TTTAGTTGCAGGCGTTCGTAAAAATAACTTCATTATTACCTTTCCGTTACTATTAAGGTCTAAAAAAAATAGGTTGTTTTACATGTAGTTTTTCTTGTAAAAAAAAAACTCAAAATTTAAAAATGTTTACAAAATTTCCTCAATCGGTAACGTTGTTCACTAGCTATGGACGCCACTATGGGGGACACACGGAAGGAGGAGGAGACAGATACAAGTCAATCTGTAGGATCCACTCGGTCGATTCCCTGGCGTATCCCGGAAGAGTCGGGAATCCGGTTTGTCCGTAAATACGACGCAGAGTCGATGCTTTTGCGCACCATAGAGACTGATCTTATCCCGTGACTCATTCTATTGTTGTAATATAAGTCTTTAATATTAATTCGACGCGATAAATAAAGAGACGTGACACGTTTAGTATTTAATATATTTAAATAAATTTTGCACCATCCGATGACCGGGGAATACCTTTCATGCGTATGTAAACTTACCATAAAGGCACTACATGCGCATACCTAATACGTTGTTGGTTCACAAAGGAAAAAAATATAATAATTATAAAATTGACCTTTTATAGATAGATAGATAGATAGATAGATTATTTATTCACAAAACCAGGTGATACAATGGATGTTTCGTCAATAAATACAAATAATAAATTACAAGTTTCATTGTAAAAACAATGTATATCATAATCTTAAGTAATGTGTAGAACGAATACGAGTATATATTTATATAACAAACATGACAAACAAGTTAATGTAATTTAAAATAAAAGAGAGTATACATTAGAAAAATCTCGGTAAACTTTTGACGTTATTTACGATGCTCTCAGGTACGCTTCAAATTCTTTCAGGCTGTAGAAAGCATTGGCCGTCAGGAGCCTCTTGATGTGTTTTTTAAATTGATTTATAGATAAATTTTTAGTGATTTTTTATAAAACATATGTTTCATTTGTTTTAAATAGTCTAAAAAATTAGTAATTAGTGCAGGTTCATTTTACTAAGACGAAAAAAGAAAAATATTCACTCCCTATTCCCCAAAAATTTCTCTGGAAACTGTATTCCTTAAATCGGGAATAGAAATGAGACAGACAGAAAAGATTCCATGTTGCCCAATTTCTCAAAACAGTAGGGCTAATAGCTATATGGTTTTAACCTATCATTTTTCCTAGAATTAAAACGGAGAATAGTGGTCCAATAAGTAGTATCATTATTAGGTCCATTTCATTATCATACCTGCGAGAAGCAATACTTTCTATCGACTCGAATAAAATGAATACAAGAAAGATTAGCACCGAAGCAAACGATATGATGGTTTCGTATATGGCAGAAAAGCCTCAAACAGGTGACTACACCTAAAAGAGGTTTTGTTTGTCTAAATAGGTGATTTTTTTTATGAAAAGCTCAAAAGGATTCGCATGCACAAGCACAACTCTTCCAATCTCAATCTCTTCCAGAGCCTCCTCAATATCGGCAATCCCCATTTCCATCATTCAAAATTTTGATGCTTTTTTTAATTAAAATTTTTCAAGCATTTTAACATTTTAGGAAACGTCCACTCTTGGCTATTTACTCTCAGTATTCTCTGACTCAGCTGGCACTGGCACTCCATGATTTAAGCCCTTTAAATACGTAGCAATTTCTATAGGAAATTTGGCAAATAAATTTCACCAGCTATTTTTTTCTCGTGAAAGGCATTTTTTTTCATACTCATATACAGGGTGTTGCGAAGTTGATTTCGGAAAATTGGAGGAAAAATTAAACGCGATAAAATAATGATAGCAAGTCATGTAACAAAAATTCGAAATCTTAATATTTTCCGAGTTATAACTTGTCAAAAATCTTTTCCTTTTATTTTATTTTTAACGTAATTTACATTTACAGGTAAAATTCGAGCCGAGAATAAAAAAGTCGATTTGTGTATAAACGATAACACTTATCGACTTAAAACAAGTGTAAACATTTTTGAGGATTTGTGACCTTAAGGCAATCTGTTCTATTTTGCAACGTCAGTCTAAATAAATAAAATATAGGGAAAATAAAAAAAAATGTTCTAGGTAAAGTACCCTCTAGTGACAAATTTCTGAAACATTTTTATTTCGTAACGATGACTTTTACTAAATCCGGGCAGCCCACTGCGTTAAGAATAAAAATTTTTTAAAATAAATTTTGACTAGCTATAACTCGGAAAATATTACAATTTCGAGTTTTTGTTGCATGACTTACTACCATTATGTTACCACGTTGAATCTATCCTCCAAGTTTCCGAACTCAATTTCCGAACACCCTGTACATTTGGTTTAACTAACCTCTACGAAAAATGTTGATAAAGTCAACCAACAACAACAATCTTTTAAAAAAAATTCCACCAAAAATAATCAAAGCCGTTTTGCTCGAAAAAATTACTTGCATTTTTTATCTGTTAACTTACTATTTAAGTAGGGACACAAATATTGATCGACTACGTTATCGATCTCGAATCTTTTCATGTACGGACATTTCTTGTGTCCATTTATATTCGAATATGCAAAACAAAAATTGCTAAATAGAAACGCTATTTTTACTAAGTGCAACTAAATATGATTAAAATTATATTGTACTTGGTTCTTTCTTTAATCTTTCGGCACTTTCATGTCTCCTTCTTTTAAACTGAGACAAAACGTATCCATTTTGACTATCGATTTCGGCTTTTGCATTTTTTTTTGGGTATTCAAGAGATTTTTAGGACATTTTTATAATTTTTTTTCTCATTAATATAACATTAAATAATCAATGAGACGTTGTGATATGCCTAAAAGATTAGAGAACCTTTGTAGAGAGAAAATCACTAAAATTTTAAGGCGATTTATTTATTTATCTTTTGAGATACCATATAACATTTTCGTATTTTATTAACGAACTAGGGAGGACAAACCAATCCCTGATGACTATATCTCGAGTGCACTTTGCAAATGTCGACAAATCTCTTGCCGTGGCTGAAGTTTCTCCGTGGGAGGTCGCCCCAGTTGTAGTAGCGTCTGCCGCTCATTTTGAAGATGTTGAAGAATATCGGCGAAGACTCGACTTCGGTCGAAAAGAGAACATACGCAATTAGTAACACGCTGAAACACGTCGCAGTTGTCATCCTAATCGCGCTTTGCATCATTGGGCGGCCCAGCAAAGCAGTTCCCTATAGAAACAATAATAATTTTCGGTATTTGTCGAGTTGCATTTTATTTTCTCATTCTTCTCGAGCTCTAGTATTTTTATTGTGTGTCTGCAGTTGTTGTAGGTGCAAACTTATGTATATAGTATATCAAAATTAGTTATTAGTTCAAAAGTAGTTGAATTGCCTATGGCGATAGTACCGGCTCATTAAATGTGCACATGCGCGAGTCATTTCAACCAATAAAATTCACCGGAGTTCAAAAATCAACATGGCCGCTGACAGTTCGTTAATTCGACATTAACATGTCAAAATACGCGCAGATCCTATTACATTTTCAGGAAAACGAAAGTGAAATTGGTGCTCGTCGTTTTTATAAAAAAGTGGCGCAAAATGCAAGTTAGTATGTGCCATGCGCGGAAGATCACTTCCTTTTAAATCAAAAACTGTTATAGCTGCGTGAGGTGCATTATAACGGTAAGTATCCAACAACAAAAAGTACTAACATAGTTTACGCTACCAAGTTTTTAATTGAAAGCAATTAGAACGAAATAGAAAGGCCGAAAAAATTAAATTTATATATATAGCAAATAAAACCATCTTAATGGCATGTTGTACAAATTGTTTTATCGCTTTTATTCTACGCATTCTTGAAAGATGTAGGTCGTTTTTTTTAACTTTATACGTACCTGCCAAACAGCAAATCCTGCGTTAGAATCACTTATTACACCAAAAACCTTGTTCTACAGGACGTTATGTGTTACCCAACACGTCGTCGAGCACTGCCAAAAATTATTATTAACAAAATAAAACCAAATAGCGCTTTCCATATATGTACCTAATGGTACCTAAATGGTAGCTGTATATGCTTCATTATTATTTAAAACGTTCTCATTCCGGGTTCCCTTATAAATAGACGTTTGAGCAAAGATTCTCTTCCTAGTTTGCGAGATTGGTTATTATCCGAATAATTACAAAACTACATATATTCCAGTCACTAAACGTTTTCTTGATTTTCTTTGTTTTTAGGCGAAAAATAATGGACGTGAATCTAATCGAGGCTTCGTGATAGGGATTGAATATCGCTTGATTCACCCTAATTAAGAATTCAGCGAGCATTTAAACGTCTTCGCAGTAGTGCATCGATTATTACGATGTATGTGTGTGTGTGTGTAATTTGAAATCAGTTACTTACTGGTGTATGAGTATATCTGGAAAACGAATTAATTTGATTTTTTTGTCTTTCGACGCCAAACAACGCAATTCAGTTGTTTTCTCCAATCATTGAAATGTTGATTTTTGGTACTCCTAACCATTACGAGAGGTAAATCACACGTTACGTTCCATAATTTGATTGGTCGCGTCCCTGATTGAGGTTATGTTTCATTTTTGAAATTTTTGCTAGTTTTTAATTCGTTTTTTTTTTGTTTAATGGGTGATATGTGTCTAGTTCGTGATAAATGGTATTTTAATAAGTCCAATTTAAATAAATATACAAAAAAGTGCATAATCTGAAGTCCAAGATTGTTTTCAATGATGATGGTGATGATGATAAAGGGTAACTACGTTTATAGGCGTATAATAGTATAACAAAGGTAAGCATACTATTAACACTGAAAATATAGCGCTGCTCAATCCGGTATTATTGTTATTGATTTTAATAGCAATAATAAAACCAGGACTACCAATAAGTAATTTATCAAAGCTGTAGCGTTTTATATTTATGCAACAAATGTGGTAAACGGCATTTGACTCACGAGTTTATTTGACACGAGCGGCTCGGATCAGTGGGAAATAAAACTTACGTGGTAAAGTGACGCTTCCCGCACACTAGATCGGTGTGTAATTAGGTATTTTACGAAAGGGAGTAGAAAAATAAATTGGCAGAACCGAAACAAATAATGCATAATTATAATAAGTTGCAAAATATCGATAAAAATAACCTCAGTCAAATGACCAAAGTCGTTTGACTGATAACTTACACCATTTACCTAGCATCTCTATATATTCTTTTATTCCAATTCAATCTAATAAAACAACTATAAGCTTTAAAAAAACGTTTTTTTGACACAGGAAAAAAGGAAAACTGACAAGGAAGTTGTAGAAATAAAGGCAGATTTAAAAAGTAATTTTAAGCAACTACATATATCCTATAATTCTTCAATAAATATAATAATTTATAGGAAATCCTTTTCCTAATTCTTTTTCAACTTAGACCTATTTTATATGATGAAGTAAATTATAAATATTGGTTTTTGTAATTCTAGTAACAAGATATAACAACAAATGCGTTATGCGAAATATTTAAGCCTCTACCACAATCTCTACTTTCGCTTTTGAAAAAGACCACTGTCTATTGCCCCTCAACTAACCAAAACTAACCAACCAATCGAATCATGCAATTTGTGAATTGCACATTACACAAGGACAGATGTGCGTATACTTTGATTCGACCACTCGTAATTACGGAAAATTGCTTCGTTTGAAAATCAAAATTGGTTTCCATACCTGTGTTGAAACCATATAACTACCAGACATATATAAAGGCCCTGGCTATGCTTATAATTAATGTAAATAAATTTTGAGAAGGTCCATTCAACATACGCATGCGCGAGATTTACAATACAACATGGCCACTGTCAGATCGTCAGTATTTTCACAAAATATGCATAGATCTCGTTAAATGTTCAGAGAAAACGAGTTAAGTCTGTGGAAATGGCTATTTAAAAAAAAATGAAGTAAAGTACAGCTTAATAGGTGAAATGTACTGTAAATTGCCTCCTCTACGAAAATATCAACCCGTGCATCAATTTTTACTGTAGTAGGGCGCAACTATATGATCCATATTTGAGGTTATGGGCAGCGTTTAAAAAGGTAAGTGAAATAACAGGCATATAAAATAATACATCTCGAGCAGGCCCTCAGTAGTTTCTTTTATTATTATTATTATAACAATAAATGGTAGAAATAGAAAATTACGTCTTAAAATAACCTTTTCTGGACGATATACACTACGCACGCGGCAAAAAAAGAAAACGCAAAAAACACTAATACTTTATCGGTCAGTTCACGTCTGCCATATTTGTTCAAAAGTTTGCCGGATCGACCGATCGCACCCGACGTCATTCTTAACTCGTCCTGTGTACCTAGAACAGTATCTGATGACGTCAGCAAAGTGTCTAACGTATGAGCGCTCTGGAAAATATTCAAATAAATAACGAAAGCATTCAGATGAAAAAAGAAATAAAACAATAAGTACCTGTTTGGTAGTTTCCGCTAATTGCCTACTAATAGATAGAAGCTGGTCCGTGACATTGGCGCTCATTTTCACCATACTCTCTTTGTCTCTCTTTTGGCGATATTTTAAGCCGGTCTCTTCATTTGTGGATTTCAACAGTTCCTCCTTGGCTCCCTTCTCTATCGCCAACATGGATTTAAGATTCGCCTTTTTGAAAGCATCCATAGTGCTAAACAAACCAATAGCAATATAGAAGGTTCAAGAATTGGCCGGTACTTGCCTTGCCAGCTGCTCTCTTGCCAACACGACTTCTTTTAACAAATTGTGATCGTTGTTGTCTTTAGCGACGTCCCCGAATCGATCGATCAATTTTCGAAGGGCTGATATTTTTGACCGACCCAAACTATTTAAATTGTTGAGTTCAGAAAGGGATCCGGAGCAGAAATTAATATCCTAACAATAATTAAATTCAGTGATTGAGTGCTCATCCTAAGGCAATTACGTCACAACTAAACTTTTAGGTTTTAGGTTTAGGAATTTTAAACATGTACATCGCCTAAATGATGAGCAATTGCAAAAAAAAATAGGCAAATCCATAGGACAATCAGTGAGAACTGAATTATCTGTGGTCCGTTATTAACATCGTAGAGTTTGTAGGTTATATTTTTTTAACATCAATCGGCAAAGAAATTATTACCTGAATTATCGCTTTTAGGTGAAGTTGATTCTCTACCATGTCGTTTCGAATGGACTTTAAAATAAACTCGGTAGAATCCATACCGCTTCTAATATTAATATTATATATAAATATTTACACATAAACGTTCTGTGGAATGATTGGAAAGTGCTACTTATAGGTTAAGGCGAGTTTCATACAGGGTAATCAAAAAGCAATAAGATTAAAAATGGCGACGCACAGGATGGTCAAATGAACACAATTTTCGAGATTGCGAGATTTTTATTATAACAGTTTCTAAAAATTATGTATAAAATTCCGTGTCACTTTACACAAAAAATATTTATCTAATATACAACAAAACGAATATAACAACAAATAATTCAAAATCAATAAACCTAGATGAGTATTTTCAAATATAGATTTTGAGCAATTTTGTAAACATCACATAGAAGAATGCAGTCTTGAAATGTTGAAATTCAACAAAAAGTATTTTAAAAACTATTAGGCCCTATGGATTGTTTGATATCAGAAAACACTACTTGCTATAGGAACTATATGCCTAAAAATAAAAAGAATATTAAAGTAGTTACGGCACTATATAATTAAAAAACTGAGATTCACTAATTGACTTGTGGAAATGTCAAAGTATGCAACGTTTTTTGATATATTAACATTTTGCGTTGGAATTATTCTATTTGCCACGCTGGCAACATGGCAAAGAGTATGTAATAAACAGTTTTTCTTAATTATCTCAAAAATGTAATTTTTCCACCAAGCCCCTTTGGCATTTCCGCGCATCAATTATTTGGCACACAACATATTCTATTTTTTAAATATCGCTTAAAGTTCACTTTTGAGTGGTCTCCTAGGCCACGATTCCTTGGACAATAATGTTTGTTTCGCCTTCCAAAGACCTACCACCTAAAAACAATATTATATGAAACAAACCCCAGGTAGTCGCAATCGGGAAATTATAACGTACAGTATTTTATTAAAAAATGGCATTACTGTGTAGTGCCTTATAATTTCCTTAGAAATTCTTGTTAACAAAACACAAGGGAGACCTAGATTTGCATTAACTCTCACTCTTCTCAGTTTTTATCCAACAAGTATTCTGGACGACACTCTTAACATTTAAATAATGGGAAATTAAAGCATTTTTTGACCAAGGTTTCATCAAAAATTTATGGAAAATTTGGGCATTTTGAAGGTTATAATTCACCTGCTTTTGGAATGGATTCAGATATGTTTCCGTCCACTCATCAACTGTATAGTTGTCGTAAACCTCAGAAAGTGAAGAAGTTAAATCGATTTTTACTAAGTCCAGTTCTTCTTTTATCTTTTCAATAGCGACGGATTCTACATACTGAGGATTAGAAAAACCATGCGCCAGATTGTAATCATTCATCCAACCTTTAACCCTCGCATCATCCACTAGGGCTTCATACTCTTGCACCAGCTGCTGTAGCCGGATGACATTTTCCAGGACATCACCTCCTTAAAATTACGACATCCATATTAATTACATGGAAGTAATCAAACCGCAAAATGAAAAATATATGTACCTGGAAATTCACATTTTGGGCTGCCAAATGCCGACCCAATCAGCCCATAAGGTTGATGACATTTTAAAACTTTTGAGACTTCCGTGGGCGGACTTAAGGGGGAGTCTTTAAACCCTTTTAATAACCTTAAACTCATCGCTAATGCCGGTATACCGATTGGCAACAACTCGCACAACACAGCAAAGTGGTCATACCTTTGCCAACCGGCCATTATGATTCCACGAAAATTAACACGTCTTTTGTGCTCTGCAACAACTGAGAGCCAACTTCTGTGATTCTGAAGATAATGATTAACGTCGGACATATACTTGTTACTTCCTGGAAATGTTTACAATGCTAAAATAATCTACAAATTTGCAAATACAAAAGTACCTATGGCGCCTTTATAGGCACTAGCAATCCAAACTTTTCTAAAAATTTTGGAATACATGTCCCATAAACTAGGCCCCAATTCATCATATACCTCTTTAGTGTACCTCCAAATGACAGGTTCCAAGTTTTCATTCAACTTAACTTCTGCAAGATCAGTTTCGGTCATAGAACGGAACTGATCATCCCAGAGTAAAATTCTAATATGGGGATATTTCTTGTTTAAAATTTGCGAAATTGCTTTAACATGCTCCAAGAATAACAAGTTCTTGGAGACATTGTCATTAATCATACGATTTGTGCAACGTTCACAAAACCCTAAATAATACACCTCATCACAACCAATATGCAACATTTCTATGTCCGGGTGTGAAGCGATGATCTGGTCAATCATATCTTCAATTAAAGACATTGTATGAGGATGTGACGGGCAAATTACTTGAGGATAAGCAAATACCTCTCTATAGTCTTTATATTGTTGCAACTTTAATAAAAATTCCAAATGTCCAAATGTCTGTATCAAGGGAATAACTTTTAAATTATTTTCTCGGGCAAGTCTGTTGATAATTGTAATTTCTTTTAAACTGTAAGCATTTAAGGCAGAGACATTCTTCAAAATTGTCCCATTATACGGGAACATATCCTCGTATTCAATTAGTATCCCGGTCCCTCCTAATTCCGCAATTAAAGGAAACAATCTTGAAAAGTAGGAAATTTTAGGAGGAGCCCCCTTCAGGTCTAAATGAATGATTCGTTCATCAAGAGTTACTTGAAGTTCCGGTTCTATATAACCTATGTGATCGAGTTCTTGCATCATATATTTTTTTAAATTTTCCTTTTTCACGTTTGACTTCAAAGGGATGTCCAATCTAACCACAATATGCTCCCGAAAATAATAGTAAAAGCCAATCAAAAGGATGGCTAGAAACAATGCAACATATATTCTAGCGGTCTTCAAGTTGTTTAACTTTTTAATTTTCTTTTTGTACCTTGGAATGATTTGTATGTTCTCATTTGATTTAGAAGAGTAAATCATTGTGCTTACATAAATGATAATTTTGAAATTTTGAACAAAATTGAGCAATATAAATACCCAATAATAAGTAGAAGAATAATGATATAACCGCGGTTTTCACCGAGAAATAGGCCGTACTGCCCCATTAATATTGACCATAGATTGTTAAAAGCATGGTTTAACTGCAAAGCAATGAATAATGGGTAATTCTAGTTTTCACATTTGCTTGCCTGTGCGATAATCATGAATTCCGTGTGGAGCGCAGTGTTTTTGATCAATCAATCAATAAGAGGTAATTCTTAAATAAGTGTTCTATCATAACAACTCACCAATTCATTTATCTATGGTCGTAAATAGCAGCGAACCGCTCAACCTAAAAGCGAAAAATAAAGTACGTTAATTTTAAAAAATGGAAAGTAATCCTGGATTGAGTCTATTTCAGAACGCAGATATCCAGATTAACAACTCTCATAATAACGAAGAAGAGGAAGATTTGCAAGACAAAATTCGGATTCAGGCCGAAGTAATTGGTTGTAACTGTTTTAGAATTATTTTGATTGGTAAATTTCTAGCTGGATTTAAAGTATATTTGGGTTTTAGTTACAAGATCTCCTAACGGAAAATCTAGATGATTTTAAATATGATGATGAAGAAAGTACTGTGAATTCATCTACAAATATTTCCCTGGTTGATGAGGATTCACAGAAATACAAACAGGCTTTAACCCCTAATGATCAGTTGAAGGTTCTCTATGATGTGGAAAAAAGGAAAAACTTTGCTTTGAAGGAAGCATTTGACAAATACAAAGATGAAAAAGAAAAAGAAATCAATTTACTTCGAAATCAGTTGCTTTTGTCTGAACAGGAGAGAAGACAATGTCAAGTATCATCAAAAAATTCTCAAGATCTGTTAGGTAACACTCTATAGTTGATAGTGAATCATTTTATATTTTAAAAAATATTTTACAGTTGAAAAGACTAATACAATAAAAAACCTGGAAAATATGTTGCAAAAGCAAGAAATAGAAATGCAAGGGCTAAAACAAATAATAAAAAATGTAAATTGATTGGTAAATGTCACTTTATTTTTATATTTTAGATTTTTTTTAGCATGAAACTGATATAAATGTGTATAAAGAGCAAATCACAGAACTAGAAATGAAGTTGCAAAGTCAAAATGGTCCATTTAATCTCAATTTTAAGTACAACTCGGAAGAACTACAAAAATCATTGCAAAATAAAATATCACAATTAGAAATTTCATTGGAAAAACAAGATAGAAGCATTCAAATTTTAGAAGCTGAAAAACAACACCTAAAGGAAGAATTGGGTATTATAATTAGGGAAAGGGATCAATTGCAGCATGATAATGCAATTATATTAACAAACTGTGATGAGGCACAACAGCAATGTCAAGATCTTTTGAATGTGATTGAAATGGCGAAGAGAGAACATGATCACTTAAAAGGTATTTACTAATTTTTTTGAACTGAAAAATATATATTGGTGTTTATTATACTGTGCCAAAAATTATTTAGAATGGTGAAAAAAATATCCTGAAAATGTTAACCCTTAATATGAATGGGTACAGGTCTATCATTTGTAATTTAAGTTTTTTAGTCTGGATTTCATTATTGCGTCAAAACAACCAAATGATTGAGTTAAAAATATTTAGCTATATTCAGCTAAAAGAAATTTCAAGATATCAACCCTTAATCATTATTTTTATTTTATTTAACTTTTTTGTTTTGGAAAAAAGAACAGTATTGAGTTTTAAATGAATGATGCTCTACAAAAAGGGTCTCTTAATATTTTTTTGTATAGTTATTTTGTAAAAAGTTATTTAGGACTGAACTTGAAGAAAAAATTAAATTTTTTTTTGGGCTCAGGCTAGTGTATGTACTTTACTTATGATTTAGAATCATTGGAGCACTCGGGACATCACAGCAGGAGTTTTGACTTTAGCAAAATAGAATCACAGGTGAGTATTAGCACTACAGTTTTCAAATAAAAAAACAAACACTATATAGGATCCCACAACCCTTGCAAAACATCTTGAAAAATTGAAGAAAATGTTAGTTGATAAATCATATGAAATTGACAGTTTGAACGCTAAGCAAAAGTAAGTTGTACATCACTGTTTTATAAAGAATGCCCGGAAATGTTACCTATTGTAGACACTATGAAAAAGATCTTCAAGAATTGTTAACTTACCGGCAGTTAAAATGCGATATGTATAAAAAGGAATTTGAGCACTGCAGTAAGCTCTAACACATTCCGTGATAATTATAAAATGTGGTTTCTTTTACAGATAACTCGAGCCATACGAGAGATTTTCTGCTAATGCAAAATGATCTTCAAAATTACCAAAGAACAATTGATGACAGGGATCAGCAAATTTTGAATCTCAATTCGATGAATAAAGATCTGCAGGAGAAAATCAAAAACATGATCCAGCAGACACGCAATGAGATACAAAATTTTTCCCACAAATACAGTATGCCCCAACTAACAAGCATGAGCGAAGAATTAACAAAAGCGACAGAGACAAACAGAGAACTAAATAAAAAACTACTTGAATCTGAAGAAAAACGCCATTCATTATTGCAAGAGCTAACTAGTAAAATCACAAGCAATGAAAATGAATCAAGAGAAATCACTCAATTGCTGGAAAATGAAAAGGAAAAAAATATGAAGCTTTCAGAAGAATTAAAAGAATATAAAGACTGTGTCAGCAAGCTAAGTGGAGAAGTAAGCGAATTAAAAGTACACAATGAAAATCTTAAATCTATAACCCCAAAAAAAACTACCGGAGATTCAAATTTGAAGACGGAATATGATCAGCTCAAAAGTCAGCTCAGTCAAGTGTTGCAATACATACAGAAGAACAAATCTGAGGAAAATTGTTCAGATTTGGCAGAAAGCATAAAATCAGAAATGGATGATTTTTTAAATCAATCAGATGAGCGCATTGAAAAGGGTATTCTGGAAGAAAAAATAATTAGCTGGAAGAAATTGTTAGATAATATTAAGGAAGATAAAGCTTTGAAGCGTCAGCAAAAGGAAGTGGTAACAAATTTGCAGCAGTCTCAAGAAAGAATAAAGGAGCTTGAAGATTTGCTTCAGGACATGAAAAATGCTGCTACTATAGCGGAAGGTGAAAAGTGCAGTATCAAATTTGAGTTGAGAAATTGTGTTAAGCAGCTGCAAGAGAGTCAGAATTTATGCAAAAATTTAGAACTCCAACTTCAGCAGAAAGAAGATAATATAACAGTTTCCCAAGAACTAGAAAATCTAAAAACCAAATTGGAACTTTTACAGAAGGATAATGTGGCCAAAGAAAACTGTCTTAAAGTGAGTGAGCAAGCAAAAAATGAATTGAATAATTTAATTGATAAAATGAGAGGTGAATTGGAGCATGTGACGAAGGAAAAATTAAAATTAGAAAATATGGTTGCCAACAGATCTCTAGATAAGGAATTACAGGGTGTCCATCATGGCCTTGAAGAGAGACCAGGTGAGTGTTACCAAAATGTATAATGCAATATTTGTTTGATACTTAAAGGTTCAGAAAAAAAAATTGAGCTTCAAGCTGAATTAATCAAATGTGAGCTGAAATTAAAGGATGAGCTTCAAATAGAATATCAAAAAAGGATTAGGGATATTGAACGGCAATACCAACAATCCTATCACGAGAAAATGGAATTGTGCAAGCGGCAGGCAGAGCAATTGCATGAGCAGGATCAGAGGTTAAATTTCTAGATTTAAATTAGAGCCAATTTTTTTTTACTTTTGGTTTGCAGATATAGGGAACATCTTAAACTGGTGATGTCGGAATGCTCAAAATGTACTCAAGAATTGGAAAATGAGAAACTCGAAATTGTTGAGAGATTAAATTTACTACAAGATAAGTTTGAAAAGTATAAACAAAGTGTTGTGTCAAATGAAGAGAAATATTACGGTCTGTTGATGAAAATGGAGCAGGACACTGTAGTAAGTTTCTAGTGTCGCTAGTGTTTGTCTCCTCTGAGAATTTTATTTTAGAAAAACGTCAATGCTTGGAAGAAATGGTCCAAGCAAGTCGTAAGCAGCTGTTTGAACATTGATGAACTGAATAAAAAGACTACAGATAAAATACTAACTGATATGAAATCCTATGATGCCGAGGTAGGTTGTAAAATATACCTTTTCTCTTTTAAAGAAAAATTGTCCTTGCAGGTTACCAATATTGAAAAATTATACAACGACAAAATTAAGAAAAAGCAAGCCAAATAAGTTATGTATTTAAGAGCAACCATCTTTATAATGTATTTAATAAAAGTTTTTCAAAAAAAAAAGTTATTATTAAATGGCTTATACTAATAGTTCAACTAATTATCTAGGTGCCTGACTAAAATTTATCGAATAGCTCCCACTGTTTGGATCCTGTGTTAATTGGAAGTTATCTGTAGAAAGCCCAAATGGTCTCAAGATTACATTTCCAAGATCTTTTAATTTCCCTGCAATAACAGATTTATTTTTCTGAGATTTCCATTATTTTTAAAAAACTTACCTAACATCTCGGTTTTCAGTTTTTCATTTCGTTCATTTATCATTGGAGGCAGCCGGACTTGTGCTGCTAATGCCTCCTGACATCCTGAATCTATTTCTAGAATTTTTTTGTAATCCTCTAAACTTTCATCAAATTTTTCAGTTTCTTCATACAATTTTGCTCTCCTTAAATAAGCTTTGACATAATTGCCATTTAACTCTATCGCTTTAGAACAATCTTCAATGGCTGATAATTTTCTGTTTAATTTTGCTTTACTTGCTGCCCTATTTGCATAGAGCATTGATCGATCTATTTGAAATTTCAATGGACATATCCTTAATCCATCTGTATAGAATTGTATTGAATCCGCATAACTTTCTTCCTTAAATTTTTGATTCCCAATGCTTTTAAGATCAATAGCTCTATTCCGTCGATCCTCCTTTTCACTATCAGATAGCTTTATCTCTAGATCTTTTAAAGTTTCTTCATCTATATTGTCATCTAATAAATTGCTACTATCATCTTCAAAAGAATCTACAGTTGTGCTGACCTGTTCATCAGGACTGGTGAGGAAAGCGCTGGATTCAACAGACCCATTTGGTTGCCTGGTGTCATTGATAACAACTTGTTCGTTTATATCTTTCACGATTTCTTCAATAAGAGTTTCATCGTTTTTAAAATTTTCAATTTTCGATGGTGATGACATTTTGCTTTACATTTAAATTGATTATATTACTAACACTGAAATAAAAACCAAAATGACAATATAAATATTAAGGTTATGTTACAGATTACAGTCATAGCCAAAAAAAATTGAGAATGGTCTCTTCACTACTTCTGTTAGAAATATATGTTAAAACCATTCAGTCATTTTTCAGATGTCGGTAATGAGAGAGTGCCTTTAGCAAATCCGCATATCATTGAAGAAAATCGAGGAAGTAAAAATCATGTATCACATTACTAAGTGATTGAATTCAGTGGTGCTGTGGTGGAGCATTGCACCCGGCGGTTTAACCTCCGTTCGCTCCCGACAGAATCCCTTGTATTCATCCCCAAAAGTTTAATATCGGTTTCCACTGTGTGGATTTAATGTTTTGAGTGTTCAGTGTATGTATCGTCGTCGGCCCCGTCGTTTTTCCCTGTTCACGCCGGTGTGGAGGCCGGATGGGCCCGGATGGTCCGCGGTGGAAGCGGGGGAAAGCCGATTTTTTTTTGGTATCGGTCTAAATCGTTTTTTGCTAGCCGAGCAAATTTTGGGTATATTTCTTCTTCGTACGTCTTGGTACCAAAAGCGAAAATCCTCGACGGAAGTCGGTAATGGGCGAATGGCCATAGTATACTTGCCCAACTGTGTGTAAAAAGCAAAGGAGAGAGAGATTTGACCACCGCAAATGATCCTAGCAGTCGAGCCCAACAGTTATTGTAAAAAACATTATTGTACTTGTACTAAGTAATTCTCAGTAAGCTATGCTTCTAAACAAATCGAGGTGACAGAAAAAATTACATAGAAATTAATTTCCTCATCCCAAAGTTTTACGATTGCTTCTTGAACACTTTTTCAACTTAGATTTTTCATGTTCGGTCCGATAGTTACTACCTCATAACTTGGAAAAAGTGGAATTAAATGATTTTCTTTGAGAAATTGCAATTGATTTGATTTCGCTCTAAGTATCAGCTATAATGTCTCAATAATTCTAGTATTTGAATGAGGCAGAGACTGAAGAAAAATTTCTGATATTTCCTTTGACCGAATAATCATTGCAAACTTGGCCGTGTGAAGTACAGCAAGAAGATATTGTGGAATTCGTAAATATTTATGCGCATTTTGATAATTGAAAGTAAAAGTTTCTTTTGAATTTAATTGCAAAAATGGAAAAACAATCCAAAGTAAAACATCGTAGAAAATTAATAAGTCCAGTTTTTCACTTGCAGTCGAAAGAAGACGATGATAAATACTTAACAAAGGATATGATCAAAAGTGTCAGGCGGACAGGGCAACTGAATTTATCCGGGAAACATTTATCCTCCGGTAAATCGTTTTTGGGTAGAATTAATTTTCTCACATATTTTTGTTAATACCTATGTTATAGTGCCTGCCAAAATATTCACAATGTATGATTTAACAGATGAGAATGCAGTAAATGTAGATTTTAATCGTGTCGCAAAAGAGGATGAGTTGTGGTGGAATCTTAAACCTTTAATGAACCTAGATTTAAGTTCTAACGTTTTAACTGAGGTACCTGGGCAAATTAGCATATTTCAGGATCTAACTATATTTAATGTAAGAATAATTGGTGTATAAAAGAATCATAGGGGGATGTGTTGTAATAAATTTTGCCCCTTTCTAGAGACATTAAGAAGCTTAGAATGGGGTAACATTGCTGAAATAAATTTTTTGTTATATCTTGGGGTAGTGTGTTTGATAGCCACTTAACTCTCTGGGATATAGTTTTGTTTATAATTATTTCATTATGTTTGTATAATTTTGATTCAATGTTGTGCATTTTCCAGTTGCAAGATAACAGTTTAACAACTTTACCTAAGGAAATTACTAACTTGACAAAATTAACAAGGCTAATTTTGAATCGTAATAAACTTAACATTTTACCAGAAGAAATCAGTAACATAATTGATCTTAGAATCCTTTTACTAAATTATAACTGCCTGGAATTTTTACCCGATGGTGTTGTGGATTTGGTTATGCTGGAAAAATTGGTAAGATATAAATAATTTTAATAAATATGTATATATTTTTGTTATAATACATAGTTATAATTTGCCTGAATAATAATTATTCAAATAAAGAATCAGTTATAGTAAATATTATCTCTCTTTTTTTATAGGAGTTATCAAATAACTGTTTAAAAACCTTGCCCACTGGAATCGGATTTTTAGTAAGGCTAATGGAGTTGAATGTGTCTTACAACAAATTATCAGAATTACCACCAGATATTGTAAACCTAAGAAGTAAGTCTTGTTTAGATTTGGTTAAGAAACAAGAATATTTATTTTGTTGCTCCATTATGTAGGTCTGCAGAGGCTAGACATAAGTCATAATAATATTCAACATCTACCAGAATCATTTTGTGAGTTAAGAAAATTGCAAATACTGCATGCACAGCACAACAACATTGAAGAGATACCTGATTTAACCGGCTGTGAGTGCATCCAAGAAATTTATTTCGGTAATAACTACATTAAGGTATGATAAGCTAAAGGCTAATTCCAAATTTCATGTATGTTTCCCATCAGGAAATCCCATTGGAATTGTGTGAAAATCTAATTCATTTAAAGATACTTGAATTAAGAGATAACCAAATTAAAACCCTTCCTAGAGAAATCGCCAAGTTGATGCATATTGCAAAAATAGATTTGGTGAATAATGAACTGGCCGAGTATGTGTTACAAAAATTTAATGCTTAACAATTGAAAGAAATTTTGAAGATTGCCACCTTCATTGGCCTTGTTGCCTCATCTGCAAACCTTAAAAGTGGAGGGAAATAAATTGAAACAAATCAGAGTAGATGTTATCAACGCTGGAACCACCAGGATATTGCAACATTTGAGGGAAAAACTGACAGAAGATGAGATTGAATCCCTAAGTGGAAGTTTTGTTAAGGTTCCTAGTAATGCTTGTGTATTTCCTGACAGGTACTGAAGACGTCTTAATAATTTCGAAGTTTGGTGCCTATTTTTTAGATATAAAATGAAAAATGGAAATATTTTGAATTTAACAATGAAAAATCTATCTGATGTACCTGACGAAGTATTTCTTGAAGCTAAAGAGGCAAGAGTTACAATTGTAGATTTATGCAAAAACAAATTTAACAAAATCCCTTGCGGGTAAGTTGTCCAATTTAACAGTTATATCTTATTAAAAAAAAAAAAACAGTTTGCAGAAAATTACGCCCTATTTATCAGAATTAAACTTGTCCAACAACCAGATCAAAGAGGTTCCGGAATATTTCTCTTCACTAACAACACTAAAGTTTCTAGATTTGAGCAACAACCAGCTCAGTTCCCTCCCAAGTAATTTGTCAGAGTTGGTTTCTTTAAGAGAACTGGTGTTATTCAACAACAGGTTTGTACTTCAGAAAACAATTCCAGAAAAAACTTTTTTAAATATTTCAGATTTACCAAAATACCTGAATGTGTATATCCAATGGCAGGTTTGGAGATATTAATGTTCAACGATAACAGTCTGGATGAAATAAACATAGATGGGCTCACCAAACTTACCAGACTGGCTGTCTTAAATTTGTCCAATAATAACATAAATTATGTACCGCCTCAGCTGGGAAATATGAAGCAGATAAAGTAAATTAACATGTGTTGAACATTATACTGATAATTTTATACTATGTGTGTGTAGGTCACTAGAGTTGAAGGGTAACCCGTTCAGGCAACCGAGATATGCAATTCTAGAACAGGGAACTGAAGCAATATTATCTTACTTAAGGGATAAGATTCCCACACCTTAGTGGTAAAAATAGTAAAAATATCTGTAGTATAAGGGAAAAATAAAATTGTGCCATGAGTAACCCCCACCCACAATCACAAAAAAAAAGAATTTTATCCAAAAAATTTTAACGTACAAAAAACTAATAAACCGGACAGTATTATTGTATAAATCAAATTCGACTTTTATTTTTTTCACTATGGCTGATCTACCATTAGCCCATAAGAAAAAAGTTTTTGCTGCAGTCTGTAGCAATAATTAAAGTTTTGCTTCTTTTGTTCTTATATAAGATTGTCTATGATACAAGGCAATTTATCAGTATCTCTGGGAACTTGCTACTTTTTGTAAAGTAGTTGAATTGGAAGGTTATTTTTCTTCTTTGGATGTCCGTGTTAGAGGGCACTTTGCTACCAATACTTTTAAGGACTAGTTAAGTCCCAGTCCATGTAACTATTATTACCTAAGTGGTTTAAAACAATTTTTTTAATTGTATTCTGATTCTCTCTAGAGATTTTTTTAGCTAAAATAGAATTTACCAAAGAAGCTTCATCAATAGATGATTTCTCTTTCGATCCATAGCTCTGATTCAAGGCACTTCATTTGATTGAGAATAGTCATTTATTCATTCCAATCCAATCATTTTTTCTGGTCTTGCGTTTGGAAAATATAATTCTTTGTTGTGTTCTACTTTGTCATAAGATTTTTGTATTATTCTCTTCTTATTTGGATCGATTGTTGTTATGATCTTTTGTTCCTACCTGTATTAAAATCAGTCATCCTTCTCTGGTAAGGGATGACCATCTCCTGCTTGTTTTTCCAAAGATTCGTGATTCTCTGGTACCTAATTCAATTGAATTATGCGTATCACAAAAAAATGTTGGGCTAGACTGCTAGGATCATTCGCCCATTGCCGACTTCCGTCGAGGATTTTCGTTTCTGGTCAATGACCACCACGTACAAAGAAGAAGAATAACCAGTAATTTGCTCAGCTAGCAAAAAACGATTCTGACCGATACCAAAAAAATCGGCTTCCACCGCGGACCATCCAGGCCCATCCGGCCTCCATACCGGCGTGAAAAGGGAAAAACGACGGGGCCGACGACGATTATCACTTTAAAACGTACACTAAACACTCAAAACACTAAATCCACACCCTGGAAACCGATATCAAACTTTTTGGGACGAATACAAGGGATTCTGTCGGGAGCGAACGGAGGTTAAACCGCTGCGTGCAATGCTCCACCACAGAATCTTACCTGTGTGCATGAAATTACTATTACATTTCTTCTTTATGTAAATTGGCCGTGTCCAATTGAACAATTTTATAATAGTATATTTATAACTTTGAACTAAGAAGAAAAAGGCACAACCACTCTTCACCCAAAGAAAGAACGTGTACCAAAAATTAGAATTAACTAAACAGAGATGTATTTTATGGCTAAACAGGTGCCGCTAATAAGCGAATGATTATTGCAAACCTCACCATCGTTTCATAATTCGAAAAAGAAAAAAGAAGAAGTATTCTATGATTGTGCTGTGTATTTATGATCCGTTTATGCAATTCAAATTTTTAAAAAAGTTTAAGTTAAAAATTTTTTAAGAGTTTTTCAAGTTTTGCTCTAGCTGAATTGAGTTCATAATTTAGGTATGCAAGATTGTGAATCCAGTTTAATTTTCAAGTGGTTTAGACTGCAGGCGTTTTTCAACAATTTTTTTTTGTATGCAGTTCACAAAAAAATAGTCCACAATTGTCGGCTTTTTATATATCATCTTTTTAAAGGAATTAAATTTGTGTGTCTTGATTTAATTCAATATGGAAGAGCAAGTGAAAAGTACGAAATCATCCTGTCCACAACTAATAGTTTTAAATTCTTCAAACGAAAATTATAACGTTAGCCCAAAAGAAACATTTTTGAAAAATGAACCTCATAAAAATAGGACAGCATTTAAAGAAAACAGTGCTTCTCCGTTCAAATTGCCATTGTCTCCTTTGAAAGCTTTGAAGTCACCATTTAAGGGTAAGTGTTTAATTGTATAACTTGGAGCTGTTTTCCAGAAAATTATTTAGGTAGAACATCGTTAACGCCATTGGATCTGAACACAAGTGTCTTAATGCCGCGAGAATCTCTAGGTATTTTACCAAGTGATATACTCTCCAGGGATTCCTTAGAAGGGGGATTTCATATCAGTGTAAGGGATGCTTTTGAAGCTGCAAATGTCAGTGCAAGAGACTCTCTTGGGATTCTGAATATTAGCGAAATTGATTTGGGTCCAGTCAATATCTTTGACATAAAAAATACTTTAGAAGAATCAAAAGGGAACATAGAGGAAACTACCAAAGGTAATATATAATTTCTAGTTACCTAATAATGAATGAAACACTCTTATGTATCAAAAATTATAAAGAGTTTAGTATTTTACTCCCTTGCCCAAGGTGCCTCGGTGCACTGAGACCAATAAGCATTCTTTCTGATGCCTCAAAAATACTTGATAATATAATACCGATATTCCAGCTATGGTTCAGATCCGATTATAGCTGTCCTACAGTTCTGCGCAGTGATATTGCCTCTGCTTTCAATCATTCTTAAGCCTTTGATAGTTTAAATTGGCCAAATTAAGGTGCTATAGGATTGAGAATGGTTTGAGAATTATCTATGTAAGAGGTAGCAGACGGTCAAATGGGCTGAAGTTGAGGGAGCTGCTGTGATGTTTTTGACGAGGGCCATTCTATAGGGTTCTCTCCTTGCCATTCCTTTTTTTGGTTTTTACACTAAATGTAACTACCATACACATGCAGTTGACCTGCATATTTATCTCCCAGCATCCACCGCAGAACGCTCAGACAGCATTAAATTTCTCTTGTAATAAATCCCTCCAAACGGCAGGCTCTTTGGTTTTCAAAAATTGAAATTGACATGTCATCGGTTAATATTGTGCTAAATAACATTAATCTTGTATGATATCATGAAGTCAAAAATTGAAATTGACCTGTCAGCAGTTAATATTGTGCTAAATAACACTAATCTTGTATGATATCATGAAGTTAAAGATCTGGGGTTGTATATAGACAGAAGCCTTTTTTTTTCATTCACATGTGTTTGATATGTATAGAATCTAGCAAGGAAAGAGTATGTAAGTCATTTTGTTATAGATATTTTTTGGCTCAGAGAAGACAGGGTGCCAGATGCATAAAGTCTTTTAATCAAAAGAATCCAGTTACTTAGCAGAACACAATTTTCAAGGAGTTTTTTAAATAGTATACATATAAGCTATTATCTTGATTCGGGTTTAAAGGCCGTCGTCGATTGGAATTAGACTGTAGACGTAGAGTCTACGTCCAACATCGGAGATGGAAGGACCTCTGAAGAAGCTCGCCACTCGTGCTAGCGAAACGTTAGGCAGTAATTCCAATCGACGACGGCCTTTAAACCCGAATCAAGATAATAGCTTATCAACGGGCCGCGAAAGCCTTAACCAATTTATCAGTATACATATATTTCAAAATCGCCTGAAGAATTTTGTATTTGGTATATTATTTATATTATTGACTCACTAGTGATCTGTGGAATTTATGAGCCTTTTTTACTTGTTTAGGTGATATTTTATTTTGTGGTTGTGATTAATGTTCATTCAATAAGGATTACTTTATTTATTTTATTTTAGTTTTAAAGATTCCAAATTTAATTTTTGATCTGGACCAATCGTTAAAACACAATGAACAATTTGCATTTGGTTTGGAAACAGGTAATTCAAGCCCCTATAATTTGAGTTGTTTCAATACCGGCTTCTTATATCCAAATTCAATAAAGCAGCCACTGCTAAGTGCTTCTTCCGGAAGGTCTACAGTTCCATCATGTAATTCATATACATCGGAGGAGATTTCAATTATCCCTCCATCGGCAAATTCTTTACAGCAGGTAATAAATTAGAATACGTGCAACAACATCCGGATGACATTTTAAATTGTAGGATCCTAGTTTAATATTCGAAATGTTCAAAACTGATATCTTCAATCAAGGTTTTGAAGGTTCAGAAGTCATGACAAATCTGGCCTCTACAACTTTTACATGGCAGACTAACAAAGAAAAGTTTAGTACTAGCTTAGAAAATGTCAGAAATAGAATCCAATCTCTTCCAGTAACATTTGAGGAGAAGGTGCTAGCGGAGTTAGGGAAGGAAGGTGGAAACCAAGTAAGCATTGAAATCATTTTAAATTTCGTAATAATAAATTAAAAAAAATTGTGTTATATGGTTATGATAGGAGGACTCTGTGTTTTTGGATCCTAACGAGCCTGGCGATGATGCAGTTTTTGAAGGTAAATGCTATATGCTATTGCGGGAAACATCAATCTTAGCAGTGCCGTTTGTATCTTTAGACCATTCAGGTCGACACTTATTGGATTCTATATCTCAACCGGATTGGCCAGATAGTTCAGGAGACTCGAGTAATAAAGGCAAGGAAAAATGCAATGAGGAAACAGTTTCTAAAACCGTCGATAACAAGCTGGAGGCGCACCTCCTACAAGTGGAAGATGAACCAAAGATCAACAGTAACAAGAACGATGGAAACTTGCCTTTAGAAACAAGGTATTTGTTTATGGACTTTTATTCAAACAATTATGCATTATAAAACTTTCTTTCTCATCATTTTTGAACAAGGTATATATTTTCAATGTCCTTGCAGCGCCAGTATAAGTCAAATTTCGAAAAATAGTTGCGATGATAATTCGCTAACGCACGGCGTTTCCAACGACAACGACCCTCAAAATCGAGCTACTCAAACGAGCGCCGAAAGTGCGATGAAAATTCTTATGGATTTATCAAATATAATTCAGGAGGACGCAAACTTGTCCACATCTCAGAAACAAGAGGGACAGCATGTGATCGATAAGTTATCGGATATTTTGTGCCGTTCTCAGAATAAGGTAAAAATGAATTTGTTGGTGAACAGTGGCATGCCTAATATATGTATGGGGATAGACTTGCAGTTTAGAAGATTCTGGGCGGTCTTCTGGGGATGATCACTCCAATGTTGAAAATGGACAGGAGCAGCGCTCTCTCCATGCAAACAATGATGAGTCGGTCCAGTCGCGCTCAGTGAAATCAGTTGGATCTGACCCAAAAGTAGGTATATATGCTAATGGGTGGTACATTTGACAAGAAAGGAGTATCTTTAATAATTATTAAATAGACCCACTGCTACAAACCAAAAATTCGCGGTTAAATCCACACCCTAAGTCTCAAGCTAAGTTGAGATAAAAAATAAATTAGTTTGATAGAAAAGTCTCTGTTTTCCTCCAGGACGATAGTTAAAATTAAGTGAATTTTTCAGCATTTTTGTAATGACTTGAACATTGACATTTAAACTACTATATTTCGTGATTTTTATAAGGTAATGAAATTTGAAAATCTTCAATCTTTTTTTGTCGATTATAACATACAGGGAAGCCTTTTTTTACTTTAACATATGTAAAAATATTTCAAAGGAAGCTAACACGAGATTTTGAAAACTAATGTCAAATTTCACTGTTCGCCCTGTAAGGTAGGAACATATTTGTAAAAATAAAAAACAAAGAATTAACATTTTAAGTATATATAGGCTGTTCCCTTGATCCTGATCGTTTAAAAGTTCCCATGTGCGGCAATTTTTGACCAACGAATTATATTTTCGAAATAAAAATTTAACTTTGCCTTATTGATAACTAAATTGTAGTCAATATTTTACCTTTTAAAGTTTTTCATAAATCATTGCAAATAAATAGTTATTTAGGAAAAAATTACTTGTATCACCGTTGTACTGTTAAACATAAATAGTCAATTTACGCGGATGTTTCTTTTAACACTTAAATTCACATTTTTTCCAGATAATCTAGTAAACATTTTTTTTTTAATTTTCAACAAAAACGTAACCAGCAACCAACAGTGTTAACAACTAACTTATGAACAATAAAAATAGGTATTTTAATTAGCCTAGTGTCCTATTCATTCCGAATCTTTTGAATTAGCTGTCCTAGGTTCTTCATTTAATGTCATGAAAAATTGAGGTCGTCTTTTTGCTGTGGAATTGTGATTACATAAGATAATTAGCTCATTTTTGGTATTTGGTATATTGTATGCTGTATAAGTTTAAAACATTCCTTTGTCTTGTAAAATATTTTGTATTTTATTTGCTTTACCATTTTTATGTTATAATTTATAGATATTGGCATGTCACTTTCTCACCTTCATTTTTATTAAAGTTACTGACTGAGCTTATTTTCTTCCTTTCTTCTTTTATGCATACCAAAATTAAGTGAAATACTGTGATATGTGGTTTAGTCCAATGTGCCATCAAATATCCCTAGTGTTACAGTGGGATATGACTTTTATCTTTGTGTTGCATTAAATATTACTATAATATATTACTTTTGGAATTTGCAACAGTGAAATTTTTCACTTGGCCCCACTCTGGCCCTAAGGCGACAACATGTAATTATACGAATGTTTTTTTTATGCAAGGTAAGCTTGTTAAACAAGAAAGACTCCTCGACCAGGAATGGTTACGAGACAAAAATGCCCGTTACCGGTTTGAAAAGGACCAAGACATCCGTTAGCGGATCTGTTAGAAACGGTCCGCTCAGGGCGATAATACCTGTAGAAGACATGGCTAAGATTAACACCGGCAATTTAACTCGTTCAACGACCCCTAAAAAAGAAAACGTTCCAAGGTCTAAGAGAACGAGTACTCCGATACAAGTAGGGGATTAATCATCGGTCTATTAAAAATAACAAATTTACTTAAATTCGATTTTCAAGGAGCCGAAAATGAAACCGGTGGCCTCCTCCACCCCCACCGCCGACGGTCCGTTTAAGTTCCCAAAGGATGGCACCGTTTCTCCCACCATCTCGAGATCGAAGCCTGCAAAGTATGCGCCTGCGTCGATCTGAAAGGCCATCGTCGTAGCTCAAACGTATTCCTTGTGTTTCCAGGTCCAATTTGAAGGACAGTCCTTCAGTAGTTGGGAGGCCCAAGACTAGCTCTGTGGGGTTACCAAGGTTAGTTGCCAATCGATCTACTGCCAAATCCGAGTCAAAACTCTTCAGAAGAAACTCGACATCTGATTTGCCCAAAGAAGGTGACCCATTTTTTTTCACCCTAGGTTTAGTTAAAAAAATAATTTTATTTTTTTTCCTTGGACTGTAATCACTCGTTCGTTAAACACTACCGCGAGTTATTTGCGCTTTTTCCGTATAGTTTGTCTCAAAGTATATTGTGTGTGGGCAAATCTGTTGTGCGTCTAACTTCTCACCTTTTCAAATATTACAAATGAATGTACGGTTTTCAAGAATATGCAAAACGGATTCCTCACATGTATATGAAAGTTCCATTTCGTATGTAACTGGAAAGTCTTTTAGACGAAAGAGTAAGACCAGAGGATCAGCGATTTTTGAAATAAAATCTGCCCTACTTTAATGGAACTGAATATATGGAGGAATCAATAAATTCTCTCTTTTAGAGTCTGCTGGTCTGCTATTGGTAGGTATTAAAGGACAGATCATTAGGGACTGTTTTTAAAGGTTTTTGAATAATATAAAAATTAGGTAGTTTCCTATTTACTGAGGTATGTATAGTCGTAAAACTAAAATAGTGAATTATTCAAAAATATGAAATTTAAAATATCTTCCCAATTTTTTATTATCAGGACAGGTAGATTAATCAAATCATATTAACCATTCAGCCAAACAGCTACTACAGAGAATGCTCAGTCCTCTCTATTCCACCCATTAACTCGTTTTGGTTAGTTGAACACTTCCACTAACTTACGATACTTTGAGATACAGTCAGTCGTTTAGTCAGTCAGTTCATTTGATGTCAGGGAAAAACAACCTTTATATGCACGAAACAGACGTAGATTGAAGGGGTTAAAAATATTTTGTCAGGTGCTACTTTGAAACGCAGCCATTCGCTGGGAAAAGAGTCGAAAATCCAATTGGCCCTGGGCAAAGTGAGACAAAATATTTTGAACTCGCCGTATTATGCGCCCAGACAGTCGGCAGTGGCGGCGCAAGCGGCAGGGAATCAAAACCGAAAACTTGTGGACGTTAAAAGCGTAGCATCCGGAAGGAAAGTCCCAGCAATGGTAAGGTCTTAGACGCACGAACTTCACTTAAATCGATTGTATTTATACCGGGCGTGCCGAAAGTATCTTATTTACGGATCCAGCGTTAAACGTTCGTTGTATATACTCGATGGATTCACTTTGAAAACAAAATTTGTGTATCCTGTTCTCGCGGATAACAAGTCGAGAAGTAAAATTTGGAATAGTTGCGTTGTTTTGTGTTCGCATTGTATTTTTTATGTTAATGTTACTTAAACAATAGTTCGTTTGGTATCGTGCACGATTTTATTCTTCTACGTACCAAGCACACTTTTGGGAGAATTGCAACAATATGCTTGCAGCTTCCCAACAAAGTTCAAATGGGGTGCTTTTAATTTTGCTACTTTGAAGGCACAACACAAAAATGTGCATTGATTTATCAGTCTCTGCAGTGAACCCAATTAAATCACATTTCTTTAATTTAATAATTCTTCGTCTTCTGTAATTTACAATTAAAAATGCCAAAGGTTCAAAGGTAACACATCTAATACTTCCTTTCACATTTGTTTATTGTCAGCATCGCCACCATGAGAAAAACAATCTAACCAAAGCAGCAATTATTGGTTAGAAACTACACGTTTAATTGTTATAGGTACCGGTTCGTAGGAATAGCAACAAAGAAAACGGCGAAGCTCTGTAGATAACGTGCAATTTCAGAACTGAAAGTAAAAGGTATTTATTTAATCTAAAATGGCAATGAATTTTGCGTGATATGCGGTTTATGGTCTGAGCCAATTAGCATTAAACACGGCTTGTGTATGTGTTCGTGTGTATTGTGTTGCGAATTTTCATTTTTTGACTTAAATAGTTTTTTCTTGTCATTGTCTATATTGTATGGCAAGACCAAGCAGAGTATTTTATAGAAATCCATTCGTATTGTAGATCATGTACTTAGGTGCGAATATTGAAATGTGATATAAGCTACAAGCGTTTTAGGATTGTTATAAGGAGATTAAAAAATATTTTCATAATAAATTTTCTAGAAAAAAGGTGTGAATTTTCTGCGGTTCGCTGGTAACAAAATCTACGTCTGCATTTTAGCGGTGTTCATTTCGTTCGATCTGAAACAAAAATACTTTGAGTTAAAAACATAATCGTTTTTATGATTTTTTTAACTCGGTTTTCAGGGACTCCTCCCGTTCCCAAGCTAAAATCTTGTTCATGTTCGAGATGTTTTTTGTGTTCCACGGTTCGAGGGGGTCTGGCGAGCTTGGTATTTCATCCGCTTGGTCCTCTATCGCCGAGCCACAAGACCGGTTCTGATGACTCGGGGCAACTCTGTAAACAGCGGAAAGTGGAAATTATATTCGCCGCTCAATTTTGCGAAATATTCTCGACGGGAGTCGGCAATGGGCAAATGATCCAACAGTTATTGTGAAACGCATTATTGTACTTGTAATTGTACTAAGTAAAAAGTATGGGCGAATGATCCTGGTAGTCGTGCCCAACAGTTATCTGTGAAACGCATCATTGAATTGAATTGAAGTAAAAAGTATGGGAGTAGATATTAGGATGGGCTGGATACCGGGGCGCTCGGGTATTGAAGGTAATGAAAAAGTGGATACTCTGGCTAAAATAGGAAAAGACTTAAACATCCCCTTGAATATCAAAATGGACATACATGACGAAGAATACAATTCTTAGAGATATTACTAATGTTTTTCGGGAACGGTGGAAAAACCCAATACAAGACAAAGGTAAAAGATATGGAAAGTTAATACAACATAATTTTCCTAATAGAAGATGGTTTTTAATCATATATTTCTCGAGTGCCGTATAACAAAGGTCGGACTTAACTTACCACTTTGTGTTGAAAATATGTTAAGCACCCCAAGTGCGGAGATGATACAAATGGTCATATGCTTTTTAGATTATAATAGGATAAAACTTTAAGTTATGAGTCGAGGTCGGACAGCCTTTCCCTAGTAACAATGTATGTATTTGACTCTGTTGTTTAGTCTCAGATCTGACGAGCCCGGTCGCATGGTCCATCCTAGGCCAGCAACGCCCGTCCCAAGATCCATAGTCCTGGAGTTTGTTTGCCCTTTTTGTTTTTAGATGTGACTGTCTTACCTGTTTGTGTTTTTTTTTTTTTTTTTTTTTTGAGCACTGAACCTGCCTACTAACTGACCCTATCTCTCCTTAGCAGCTTTAGATACCTCTTAAATAGAAACAGAAGTCTGAAAAGTAAACTTCCCCAGAAGAACATTCTCGATTATCTGGGGCAGTTCTAAATAGTGCTGGCAAATTGCCTAGCAGCAGCGCCAACTGAAGAAGATTCAAAATATTTTTTTTTGACGGATAGACAGCGTGGTGACGATAGCCAATAAATTCTGTCGATTAATAAAATATATTAAATTCAATAACAAAATATTAAAATAATATAGCTTATAACGGATTTGTCAACAATTTAAATAACATCAGAACTTCTATTTTAATGGAAAAGCGTGAGCAACCTAAGTTACAAGTTTGAACGGGAATGAACAGGGCAATAATTTATGGGTGGTTAACATGTAAGCGAAGCCAAATGAAGTGCATTAAACACGTTAAACTGACCGACAGTTCAACTTGAGCAGCCACTGACGACTGAGTGTTATCAGTCAGACGTGATAGTTCTAACATATACAACAAATTATTAATTAAAAAAATATACCGCGTAATATAATTTGTTCCGCCTCCTCCTCAAAATTTAGGTTCCCACACCTGAAACAATCCCGCATAGCGTGTATATAGTAATTTAATTTCGTCACAGTTTGCTTTTAAAACCTGTCAAGTTGACACTGTCCATGATGTTCATAAAATGTCGGCGACCGTCGATATACATCATCGCTTCGTGATAACTCAACGGTATCACCTCGTTTACTTTCTCCGGAGCTTGCAGGGTGAAATGAAAAGCGTTGGTGGTATCACTTTTTCCCGTTAGGGGGTTATATACCTCTGCTAGAACTAGTATTTGCATGTAGTTCTGGAACGTGTAAACCATCGTTGAATGCATCTGAATCAACGAATTCACCGCGATCGGTTTTTTAAAACTAATATCACTGATACTTTTTAATACTGGCCGGTATTTTGAGTATTTGTAGCCGAGCACCCAGCTGAGTTCGGTGGCGTGTCTCATTATAAACCCGCCAAATACGGTGTTGTGCAAATTTCTATCCTCAGGCTGAGAAAATATCATGTTGGACAATTTAGCGTCTCCCATCCAGACCCCATTCTCAGGAAGTTTCCTTTTTGCCATACTTAAGTTGTTTTGATCGACAGTTTTCATGTACAAATCGTGTATAAGTTTTTGTTCTTCCACATTTGGTATTACTTTAGATACATGAGTGGTGTCGATAAGCATCCTCCTTTTTTTTCTATCTTCTCCGCCCGCCAATATCGTTTTCTCTCTTTCACTGGCCGGTTTTAAGAGATTGACCACAGTGGCTTTGGTATTGGTCGGATCCCTGGCCGCAATAATAAATAGGGCTCTTGTAATACGATGCCACTTGTTGTCTTCAAACTGTTCTAACCAAACTACCACTTCCATAGTTGATCTACCTACCCAGCTCACGTGGCCTGATATCCTTATATCATCGTTGGGCTACAACAGAAGCTGTTACACTAATTGGATATTACCACAAATTTTTGGATACCCTTGGTTGAAATTCAGTAAAGTCAATTCTATCAACGAGCACAGTAACCAAGGTTTGGGGAAATAATTCGTTTTCTGGATGGTTTGGATTTAAAATGTGTTTGCGAGCTACTATAACTAAAAAAAAAACATACTGTTTAGCTAAGCATCTCAACTTTTAGTAAATGTACCTGCAAATATATCCATATCCTCTAACAATCTTCCTACTCTAACATGACCAAGAAAAGTTGTATATTTTTCCTGCAATGTTTCATCTGTGGACAAAGGTATTATTGTCGCGATAAAACTGTCACTCATAGACCTGTGAGGGAGTTCTTCCTGACTTTTAGGAAGAAATTTGGACAGATGTGCTCTGCTTGTACCCACAGGTTTATAAACCCGATTGACGCCCATTTCTAGGGCAAGTTTTATTTTCACTGAAATTTTATTTTAACAAGTAGATAATAGAGACCAACAATTTATAACTTACATTCACCTAAGGTGCCAACGACTCCTTCATATTTGTTAGGTGGTTTAGATTCAGTTGAATACCAACCCTGTGGTACATTGTTATGAATCAAATTCATATTGCAAGTACTGCTAATGATCCCTTTTAAGTATCTAAAAGGAAAGGCATTCACAAAGTAATTATGAAGATAGAGAGGTCAAAGGTTGCGAGGTTTTTAAGTACCTTCCGCATAAAAATCTGGTATTTTTATAAACAAAAATATTTTTGAAAGTATTTAAAGCCATTCTTATTAAAGTTTAGGATAAAAAACTATTTGTAAAACTATTCTTGAGTAACATCATTCGTGCTCCTTTGAACTTTCAAATTTGACAATTCCAAAAATAACTCATTAACGAGACAGGTAAGATCAAGGTGCAAGTTCAGGCCAGAAGGTGGAAAAAGTGACACCTTTTGCGGGTTCATTCGCATTTTCCGCACAATTAATTTAATAATAATAATCATTGTCCACAGCAACAAGAATGAGCAAATCGATACTCAAATTTTTAATGAAAAAAAAAACTTCATAGATAAAAATATGTTGGTTTTTAATCAATGAGAGGAATGAACTGCCAAACGTGATGGCATTGCCAACCATTCACTGGTTTTCATTCTTTACTATTTTGACCTTTGTTTATGGCATTTCAGTTGAACCATGCGAATTTAACCATTGTGTATTCTCTCGGAATTGATTAGTGATGTGGTAATTAAATAAAATAAGTAAATATTCAATTAACGGCACATTTTGTGCCCTTATCTGTTCATAATTATCGTTCCTTAAGATTAGTGAAATACTATGCGGGTATAATTTGCAATAAATTGTTAGGATTTCAAGTAAAATCCCTGCAAGTTTCACTTCGATTGTTTACATTGTCCAATGGATATAAAAGTACGAAGACGTCATAAATATTTATAGATCTAATGCGAGCTGAGTTATACAATTTTAAATTTGCGTTTTGTTTTAAACAAAATGCAATCCTGCGAATTAATTAGGTCGTAGGTTTTCATGGTAGCATAAGCAGGCATTGTGGACGAGAATAATGGTATCTGGGATTTATTGTTAAACTTAAAAGTCTTACATTATGAGTGAAGCCGATGAATCGGATTCGGAATTAGATCCCCGTATTCAAATTGAGTTAGAGAAATTAAACACCACCACCGATGAAATCAATAAATTGGAGATTGAGTATGATGTAAGTTGACAAAATTATTATTGGTTAAAATAGAACATAATTCCAATGTTAACTGTAATAGAAGTGATTGTTTTCTTCTTTTTGAATTTATGACTGTTATACTTGGTATAAAGCCTGTACTTTAAATCAGATTAAGGGGCACAAGTGGTTCGTTGATTGATTTATGTTTTTACAGGAGGCCAACACTACTTTTCGAATGCTTCTCAATGAGTCCACAAGAAGGTTAAAACTTCTTACTAAAAAATTTGGTAGCTGCATTGAGAAGGCAAGACCCTACTATGATTTGTTGGAAGTGGCCAAAAGGCAACAGAAGCAATGTCAGGAGGCAGCGGCTTTGTATCAAAAGGCAAATGGTATGCAGCCATGTTTTTATTTACCAAAACGATTTTTTTAAATACTTTCTTAAATTAGATACGTAATTAATAATATTCGATCTAGGTATCCATTCTGCCGCTAAAGAAACGGTCGCCTTGGCAGAACAACGTTTCTTGACCAATCAACATGAGTGGCAGTTCGATAATGCCTGGCAAGAAATGCTTAACCATGCCACCATGAAGGTAATGGGTGTAAATGTTAACAAACCCCCTCCGATAGCATATCAAAGTTATATTTAACTTTGGAAGCTTGTTATTTTATTTCATAAGAAGAAAGGTTAGTTGTTTTTTACATTAAAGCCAGAAATCACCAAAAATAAAATAGTCACAAAAGCTTTCCTTTAATTATGACAGTTGTGGCATATTTTCAATATTTATTATTGCTCAAAAATATATAAAATTGAGAAAAAAATCAAATTATCATTTTACATAAAATAATGTAAAAAATGCAAATAGGACCATAAAGAATATATGGACAATACAAATTTTTAAACACTAATTTATTGTTTAGGAATATTGCCCTAAATGTCGGAAATGACCTCCATTTTCCTGAATAGGTAGTTTATGCGCTCTTTTTAACTTGTCTAAGACTTTAATTATCCAGTCGGGCAGCGAATCATTATTGTTTATGCCGCCCACAATAAATTTTGTTCTTTAAATATCTCCACAAGTATCTGGAAGAGTTAGATCTAAGGTATTGACTGACAAAAATATTGTGCCCTATTGTCCAATCCAATCCATGTTGGATATGTAAACTAATTCATTGATTCTGATGTTTTCCAAAAGATTTTCTATATTTTGAATGTCATTTTGTATTACCGTATTATATATTTATTATAATTCTGTGTATAAGGGACTTTCTTTTTATGAAATTACAATAATACAGAGCTTCTAATAAAAAAAAATACTCCTTTGATGTACTGTTCTTTTTTGGCACACGCTGTTTATAAATAAGTATGTAATATTAAATCTCCACATTAAACCCTACAACTTTTGTGTTAAACTTTATAAATATTTTTTTTATACACAGGCGAACGTAAATTGTAGGTTATGGAAGCGGAAACGCAAAAGGCCGAACGGGGTCGTGAACATCAGATTAAAGCCTCCGTATACAAAGAGACAGAGGAAAACCTGAAGCAGCTTGAGGACAAGTTGCAGAGGTTCATTACTAAGTCTCGTCCTTATTTTGATGAAAAAGCTCTCTGTCAGGAACAATTGAATACTCAAAAACAGCGAATCGAAAGCTTGAAGAAAGAGATTATAAAAACCAAGAACTTTTACTCACAAACTTTGAAGAATCTTGAACAAATATCGAATGAAATTCATATGAAAAGGAAAGGTAAGGTAGTGAGTAGTACCGTGAGTTTCAGTGCGACGTGTATCTGTTGCAGATAAGTATCGCGAGGCGGACCTATTAAAACGTCCAAGAGAACCTGGGGTGGGGGCTGAGTTAAATGTACCCTATACCGAAACACCCAACAGCAGTCCTTCTAAAACACCGAAGCATATGTGCTCGTTACCCGATATAACAGCAGAGCTGGACAAGTGTGAAATCTGTAGTGTAGCAACCACGAGTTCTGCAGTAAGTGAAAAGGACGAGTCTGAGGATGTTTATGTTGATTTAGAGGAGGTATGTTTTCCGAAAACAAGGCGGTAAGGAGGTTGGCTGATTTAAATATGGCCGCAGGTCAAAGCAATACTGAAGGATATGAACATTAGACCAGAGATGGCAGAAGGGAAAAATGAGGACGTCTACATCTCGGAATTGCATATCGGTAACCTGAGCGAAAGTACAAAGCACGATTTCAATGAAAGGGAAACGGCGGTCCCCCGTCAAGAAAAATAATTGCCTTGGTAAAGTTGAAAATATTTTACGTTTCCCCAGTTAATGGCATCTTTATAAATTGGTTCAAAAATATCAGAGGTTTCCTATACCTTCTTGGTTTTAGGGATTGTATTAAAAAAAGTGTATGGCTATTTATTATTATGTTGTCCTTTCGTTGTAAATTTTATTTTTGTATATTTTGTATGATGGTTGTAATATTCATTTTGCGGAAGATAAAATTACGAGATACCAGTTTACAAGCTCTTATTTATTAGAAGTAATTCTGGTCAAAAAATATGGTCGAATTTTTGACAAAATAGATGCTATACGAATAAAATAATATAAAATTCATCGTTTAGCCATTTACTTTTACATAAAATAATCTTTTTACGGTAAACGACTTATAGGTGGCAAATATTGCCTGTACATAGGTTGACTCTAAAATACCCTGCAACCACTTACTATTTGTTGTGAGTTGCACCTCGCCGATTATATACAACATATTAATACTTTTTATAATTTTACAGATTGAAAAAGATTTTTACGTTTTATTTATTTCATTGTTCTGTTTTCTTTAATTTTTTTTAAGCACTTTTTTGTCGGCATTGAGATTTATCAGTTCATTAAAATATTTTACTGCATAAAACACATAGCTTCATAGCGTTCATTTGATACACTATTGATACACTATAGAATTCGCTACAATCGCTTGTTTGATACTCAGTGGTCTATCTGCATCTTGTTCCTTTACTCCAATAATTTGAAGAATATGCTTCTGAAGCCTATCCAGCAGGTCAAGTGAATTTTTTTTTGTTTAACTATTCAATTTCAATTTAATTCAATTTACCAACATGAAATTTTCAACGGGTCGCTCTTTAAAGATGGATGCTTTTAATGGAGAAGTATGTGACTAATATATTGCGTCATCGGTCAGAAATCTTTTGTTAAAGCTGTCAATTAATAGTGACAATTTACAATGCTGTATCAAAATTTCTGTCCCTACTTCTTTAGCGGTTAAGGTTTTTGACGTAGGTGGAGCGCGAGTCGCTTTTAATGCTAATATCCTTTATTTCGAACAAAATCATATTAAACAAGGAAACTTCAAAAAGGCATAACTTGGCCTAACATAACTAAACATTTACAAGATTACAAATGATTAAAATAAATAAACTAATAAAATTGCACAATAAAATAGCTAATTTTAAATAATAAAAAGACGAGACAATGGAAAATATGCGTACCCATTTTTGACGTTTAAGGTTTGACGAACCTGCCAAATTTCGTTAAACGTCGGTATATTTATGAATGTGAAACTCGCAATCTCATCGATTGATTACAAACGTCATAGCAACTATTTTGTCCAGTTACGTGGATCTGAATATGGTTGACATTTTGAATCTCGTAAAAGCAACATATATCAATAAAGAAAATTTCATCTTCTGTAAATATTTTATATAAAAAGCCATCTGGATATTTTCCTTGGACGCTGTAGTGTTATTTTTTTAGTTTCCGTTGATTATTCTTAGGTGTCTATTTCTCGAAATAGTAAAATTTGTTATATATCAAAAATAAAACCAGTAACAAAGAAGATATAATTTTATTATAAATAAATAGTTGGAACATGTTTAAACGACAAAGAAAAAAATATATATAGGAAAAAAAAGAGGAAAAGTCGAAAACCGTACAGTCAAGTTAAATACAATTGGAGTACAAGATTTAACGATATAATTTTTTCTTAAATTTTACACGCGCGCGCGCGCGCAACGTAATAAGTGAAAAGATGAGAAACACAAACATCTAATATTACAAAATATATTATATTCGAACGTGTATCGTTTAAATCGGCAACAGATCGTAGTATAAAATTTGAACACATAATTGGCAGAATACTGACCCGGTAAAGGTCCTTTTACTAGTCGGTAGTAAATAGCGTCGCACCTTCAAAATATTGACTAGGCACCCGCGATCCCGCTCTCTAGCTCCCAACGAAACTCGACCTCAAAAACACCTCCCGATGATGGAGTGGTGCGACGTTATATATAAAAAAAAAGAAATCCTTCAAAGCCAAGTGTAAATTCTCACCTTTCACTTTGCGATTAGTACATACAAAACGAAAAAAAAAAAAAAAACAACGCGTTAAACTAAAGGAACATCAATTGGTGTTCTTCCTGGTCCTTATGGGGAATTTATTCTCCGCGGAAATAAGCTTCAACGAATCGAGGGTCTTAAACTCGGTAGGGCTCGTAATATTTATCGTGCTTCGTCTGCCGATCTCATTCGATTTCGACGACACGCCGAGCAGTTTCCTGGGCGCGTCGTACAGTCTGTCGTACGCGGTATCGAAGAACAGTTCGTGGACTATTCTGCGCGTGAGCAGCGTGTAGGAGTTCTCCGAAAACATCGTGCATACCTCCGAATAAACGCAAACGTCCTTGAACGCTCTCGGCTCCTTCTGTTTCAATCGGAGCAGCTGGGTTTTGAACTGTTTGCTCATCACGGGATTCGCCAACCGTTCGCAAATAGTCAGGATATCGATTTTGGCTTGGTCTAGAAACAAAAAATCCACGTCCACGCGATTCCACGTTTATAGCGCCACGTACCTCCTTGAAAATAGGAAACATCCGGACTCAGTACGAAATGGCTGCAACCCAAACAGTTGTCTTTCGAGTGCGACCACTTGCCGACTAGACTTTTGGCGTCTTGGTCCGATACCAGTTTTTGGGTGCTCCCCTCCAGGTCCGAACGCGATTCCCTACTCGCGTCCTCCGGGAAAATGGCTTCCAGTAGACGCGGAAGACATATGCCCATGTAAATTTTGTCCTTGTGTTTGGACGTGCCCGTCGGTTCCACCTTTTGGGTGGCGAAAATAGAATACGGCGCCGACGATTGGTTCTGCCAGTAGATGCTGTCTACCGTCAGAGATCTTCTACTCCTACATTTCGACAAGGAATCAAGAAATGGAAAGGGGGGTTGTCATGAGCAAGCTTATCTGTTTGTCGACCTATACTGAAGAGGAGGTGTGGTTTAAAGCTTTGGTTCACTCCTACTTAGCATTAGGTCTGTGTGCATAGAGTGCAGAAGTAGGTAATTAAACTGATTTATAGCAAAAATTTCACAAAAAGCTGTTTACAGATTTCAGATTTTTAAGTATACAGTGATTATTCTGCAGAAAGGACAGCTTTTAGGAAAACAAACAACAAAAACATTTAACCATCTCCCACATAACATAATTAAGTATTAAACTAAAAATAATGTATATTTACATAATTTTCTTATAAGTTATATATAAATTGCTCGCGTTTCGTTTGTTTTTATACATTCAAAAACATATTGTTTGCTTTTTCTTAACATTAATTAATTCTATTTTAGTTCTATTTTTTAGATCTACTTTTTAGTTAGCTTTAAGTAAGACATTTCGTCGCCAATGTTGGATTTTTAGGCGCTGGTAGAAAACGTCATCCTTGGTCGGTACGCTGGTGGTTTTATTTTATTTTTTTAAAACTGTTCCCCTTATGTATGAATGTAAGGCAGCGAAATTTTTTCAATTTTTGGCGAATAATTTTGAGAAAAGAGTTGCTAGGTCAATACTTCTTTGCCATTTTTTTTAAATTTCGTTGGAATTTTAAAATTAGATCTAAAAAATAACAGATTCTTTCTAAACTGTATCAAGGAATAATTTGCAAAGAAAATGGCGGAAACCACCGGCATGCAAAAGAAAGTTTATAAAATGGGGTGGTTATTCACACAAGAAGAGCCTTACTAATGAAGTGAGATTATTTAAGTGAAAAACATAACATTTCGAAAAAATGAAAGAAACTATTCTTTTTTAATGTAAATGAATGTAAAAATGAAACTGAAACATATAGTTAGAACTCATCTTAATTCTGAACAAAACTTTTTGCTGGCACTGACCATTTTCTTTTCAAGTATCTGGTAAAGATGTCCGGACGTATTGACCTAGTGATTCACTCAACATCATAAAGAACAGGATTTTCCAAATTCTTCTCTAAAAAATGGAAATTTTTCGCAACCTTACATTCACTGCCTGTATAACAAGAAAGAAATTAATAACGAAAATCCGACCCCACTGACGTCAAGGATGACGCTTCCACATCAATAAAAAAAATGTTTAGTTATAGCTAGTCAAAATTGGGCAATGTATACATACGTCTGCGGTGGAGGTCTAAACAGATACTCGTCCTTCTCCGTTCTGCGGAAGTTCAACGAGTCCCTCCGCCTGATAATTCGTATCGTTTGATAGCCCAGCATGTTTTGTATACTCAACTCGTTGGAAGTACTGCCCGTTAAGGATGACGACGACGCGTCCGAACCGGCACCTCGAAACAAAAACAAATCCTCGTTTACGCGCCTAACCCTCAAAACTCACTCACTATTGGACGAAACCCGATGGGAACGCCTCTTGACGTTTGGTGGCAGCTTCAGCGTACTCAGACTTGTCGAACTAGGAATAGGACTCAGCGTTTGCAAATAGTTGACCCCCGCCAATTGTCTATTTTGCAGGGAATCGCAGGAACTAACACCAGAAGTAGTCGATTCAGTCATGGAACTATTCCGTTGCCTTATGATGACGTACGGGCCATACTTCATGTCCTCGAACCCGTTGCTCGTGTCGAAAGTTTTCGATTCGGAGAGTGACCGTTTGTGGACGATCTCGGGCGGCGTTCTGTTTGCGGGTAGCGTCCACTGCTTCACCTTGCGGATATCTAGCGACGCGTTTCGTTGCGTTATACGTTAGAAATTTTTGATTTGGTATAAGTTAGGGCGGTTGCGTTTTCGTCCAAATGGTATTCAATATAAAAAACCCTGATCGAATTATTTCTATATTGTCAATTAAAAAGAAAAAATTGTAGACTGATTAAATATTTTCTTTAAGTGTATTAAAATATTATCTACATTAAGACTTTCATATCTACAATTAGCTGCTATGAGAAAACCGATTCTTAGAATCTATATAACCTATCTAATGTATTACGTTTCCAAGATTTGCCGATTTTTACAAAATCAAAGATTATTGTTCTCGCGTATGTTTTGTCTAACACCGTCAAATGTTAAATTGTTTACAATAAACAGGTAATGGTCAAAGTCGTTTGAACTAATTTCGATGTAAAATTATTTGATAAGGTAAGGAACAATTTTGTGGTGCTTTAAAGTTTCTGGTCTTTTAATTTCTTTTCTGTTTGTATTCTTTATTTAAAAAATTGAACTGAACTATATTGCCTATTAGAGATGCCTAGGCCGATAATACAGGGATTTATATTAAAAATTTTTTGAAAAGATCCATTCAACTTGCATATGCGCGAGATTTAAGAATCTCGCTGTTCACCAATAACCTTGCAGCATTGAACAACCAACATGGCAGTTGAAAGATCGTCAAAAAGTTTGAATGCGGCATTTTTACGGCAGTATTTTCTCAAAATATGCCTAGATTTCTTTAAATATTCTGGAAAAACGAATTTAGTGCCTGGAAATTGCTGTTTAGAAAGAAAATGGCTCAAAGTGCAGGTTAGTTTAGTTAGTAGAGCCAAACGTGGAAAATCATAACCTTGTCTACGAAAACATCATTGCCACCGGCGGGCATCAATTTTTATCCAAAAATCTAAGCAACTGAATTTTTAGATTCACTCTCATGTCTAGTTTTCTGTAAGTTTCTATCACCACTACCTTGCACATTATACAAAGATAATGACGACGTTTTTCTAAAAATATTGTTTGTTCTGTAAGCTAACTAATATTTTCCGCATAACAGTCTTTTTGCCCCAATTACTGTTTCGCAAAGAAAGAAGTACTGTAAAACCTGAAATTTTTGTTAAGAGTTGAAAAATAGTTGTAAGAAGTGGTTCCATAATTTTTTCCTATTTAATTATGTTCCAAAAGACAATCTTCCATATCACTTTGGTGGATAAAAATTTAGTAAAACAACTTCATTAATTTGTCCGATTTGTGACGCATGTACTTCAGAGGAAAACGCATTTATTTAAAAGGGCGATAGGTCTTACCGGGCGATACCGTCGGCGATGTCAGAAACTCGATCTTGTCCTCGCCGTCGCTGGTGATGTCATCGTCGTCGGGGTGCTCGTAATCACCAATAAACGGATTCTCCGAAAAATCCGGCTCTTCCGACATCGTCGTAGTGAAGTGATTCAAATAAATTGTGTCTTGCAATTCTTCTTGGATGACGGGCCAATAGTCGTGCCTAATCGTACGCAAACACATACCAGCGTTCGGTAATTTAAAAAAAAAATAAATAAGAACTAAAAGTTCAGATTTTCACGAAATTATATATTTTGACATGACAACACCGTGTCTTTATAAAATCAATCATCATTTGATAAAGACACGGTGTTGTCGAAACAATTGTGAAAATCTGAACTTTCAGTTCTTATTTATTTTTATAAATAGATTTTCATCAAGTAAAAGCCACCTCAGTTTAATTTTTTTTTGTTATCAGTTCGTGAAAAGGAAAATATTGACCTTGTAAGGTGCCAAAAACAAATTTTTCGCCAAGCAATTTTGGACACCGACTGGACTTTTTTTTAAATGGGGTAATGCGAAAGTCTTTTAAAAAATCACTCTTCCCAATTAACGGTTGGTCCTACATTAACCTAATAAGATTGTTTTAATGTACACAATTTTAAAATTAAACATAATTTTTCGTTAATCTATAATTATTCAATTTAATCATTAAAACCGTAACAGTGGAGTGAAAGCTTAATTTATCAAATATCTTCTGTTGTTTTATTATGACTGGGTTCACCAACTGTCACTGAATAATTTCACAGTTGGTCAACTTTACATTGAGAAATATCAATATCAAGCAACCCCTTCTGGCGTAATGCGCAAAATCGCATTGCCATCTTCACAAAAAAGTTATACCGACAGCCATTTCTATTTAGAAATATCTCACAAGTGACATCAAATCAAAACCCCTCAAACAACTAACCAAAACTAACCAAAGCAATTTTCACTCTCACTTAACTTATGCTATACTCTCCTGGGGTCATTCTAAAAATATGTTATCCTACACTAATCGCTGTTAAATTTTAAACTGTGATGTATTTTAATTAAAATTAAAATTAATAGTTAATGAAGTAACAGAAGTATTATTTTTTCTCATTACTTAGCGCATACTCACTCAGTCTTGAACTAAAGTATTTTTAGCTGCGGTAATGCCACAAAAATTAATAACGGACCAATTGTGCGAAAGAAAATTGATAGAACTATTTTTTTGTCCGCACTTTTTCAAGCTTAGTATCCTGACAGTTATGATAACCTATTTAGCAAAAACTTGTGTTTTTGTTAAGAAAAACAGTAAGGGATCATGACTATCGCTTGAAGCTTCAGTCAAAGATATATTTCATAATTACACCTGCCATTCCTTTAGATAATTTTTGATTGTGATTTACACTAATATTACTTAAGTTTGCTTGCATGTACCCGTATTGTTTTTTATTTTTCTTCCATAAGACTTAATCACTTGTAATGATCCAAATGTTCACTCAATAATAACTAAATAACTAACTTTAAGAAATCGCCTTACCTGTCGTGCCTCGTCGCCAGCCAACCGTTCAGGCACAACTCGTCCGCCCCCAGCGATGTAGTAGCGACCAATCCGAGAGCGTAGAATGCCGTGCTGCGAATCGAGTAAACTGGCGAATTTGTAGCCAAATCGATCATTTTTTCGACGACGCTGAAGGAACTGAGATAATTGAGACCTCTGTTGGAAGTACTCATGTGGCCGACCGTCCAAAGAGCCGACTTCAACTTTAGAATTTCCTCGTCTTTATCGCACCTGCCCTGTTTTATTTGCTGGAACGATAGATAAAAAAAAATCAAACTAAGTTTCGGCACAAGTGGAAAAGTAATTCAAATATACCTCTATTACAAAGCCTATAGAACCGGTGGATATCAGCAGCTGGAAACCTTCTGCGTGGTGGTTCAGCTGGCCGTACAAATGCGGCGGCAAAAACATATCCTTTCTGCAATAAACCAAACGTTGAATCGCATGAACGCGTCGCGAAAGTACTTCAAATTACCTGCTGGAACTTTTCACCGCGGGCACCCTCTTATCGTACTTGCCGTCTTGGTTTCTTTGATGTAGGGTCAGAGCGTCTGAAATGTCTCCTTCCACCAATTTAACGTACCTATAGCCAAAATAACTATCCCACGATTTGATTTCATCGATTGCTTTCGCTTTGCCGAGTTTTTTCAAGCCTTTTTCGGTCGACAGCAGTCTGGTTTTCAATAGCGTGCCTTTTTCTCCTAATTTCGAAAGATTCGGATTAATGTCCATTAGAACGTCGAGGCATTCGGGCAATTCGCACGCTTCGTGAAGGGTCGACAGAGCTGACAGTAGGACCGTCCTAAAAAAAATCAATAAACAATGCGTTTGCTAGCAAGGGACGAAGTTTAAACCTCGACTGGTCTTCCAACTGTTTGACGAGTAGTTTGACGGCCCAGCTGGCGAAATTCGGGCACCCGGCACGTAAAAGCACCAAAAAGAACTGCGTAGCGTACACACGGGAACTTTCGACACCGCAGGTGAGCACTTCCTCCAGTAGATTTCGACATGGTCCCGGGTTAATGTAGTCCAGCGACGAAATTATTAGTTTTACGTAACAATCGTGGTTGGTAGTTGTCGCTAGTTCTTTGAGGCTGAAAAATGTTAAAAAGTTTCAATTATACTTAACTCCATCCCCAAAAGATCTTGAATTGAAAAACCACTCCCACTCGTTTTTTGTTCTATTGGTTTGTAAGGCAAAATAAAAAAAATTATTTAATTATTGAATACTTTACAAACAAATGTAATTATCTAAACCCTACATAGCAAAATTTATAACACACTCCCCACTAGTTTTGGATACAGTGATATGGTTCTAAGAAAAAATTTGTTTGTAGTGACAGCTACATGTATTCCCTTAAACTGCTCTTGTCCGTGCTCTGCGTCAAATTGGGATACATTGCCCAGATCATAATAGTATATTATGCAACAAGTTTGGTAAACGGCATTTGAGCCTCGAGTTATGTTTTGGCACGAGTGGAGTGAGTGCTTAATAAACGACTTAAAAAGTTTATCAAACATGTTGCTTACTATCCTGTTTTTGGGAGTGAAAAAACATCCTTATCCTAGCCAAACTGGTAATCAATATGCTTTGCTACAATGAGTGTGTTTCGTAATTAAATAAAATCGTTGATCATTTAGTCTCTTTTCCACTTTTCATTTTCACCAAATTCAGTAAACACCTTTTAGGCATGAAGGATCCATTTTTGGTGTTAAATATGTATCTAAAATTTATTCCCAGTTCCTTCCAAAATAAAAATTATTTTCGTAATTCCAATTCAATTCAGAGAAAATTTTATATCTTTTTTTATCTAAAATTAGGTTTAGACTACTTTTTATTATTAAAATAGGGTGAATTACTGAAAAAAAACCTTCCGACAATTTAAACTGACAACCAAAAATAATTAGTTACAATTATTAAAAAAATGTTATCTCTCTTTTGGGTCTTTCCTGTTCTTAGAATTTCAAACACTGATCTCTTCCACAGGAATACAAATACAAGATAAAAGATTTATATAGGATTCTTGATAGTGACCACAAGTTCTTTATTTGTTTTGTTATATATTACGCTTTTATAACTATTCATTGTAGGTTTTTGTACTGTAAAATAGTCAAATAAAGAATATGTCTATCTGTATACATCTGTATATAAAATATTAATTTTTGAAAAATATATATAACACTTACATGGCAAACATCTCTATATTGTTCAGCATAAACAGTCCCGCTTCGCTCCTCGCAAACTGGCCGATGAACAAAAAATAACTTTGACATTGAGTGTTGACCATGTGCTGCGGACTGAATAGGCAATCGTGAACGCTCCGACTGGTCCCGATCGCTTTGATGTTGACCAGGATGTCATTGAACAGATCCAACGCCATAGCCTGATATTCCGGATCTTTCAAACCGACCAGATAATTAACTAGTTCTATTCCGCTCATCGTGATATCTAAGTTAGCTGCCGGTGTTGTACCGAGATCCATGTGAGAGTATTTGTTTTGCGAAGGTTTGAAAAACTCGAGGAGGCGTTTAATGAAAGTACGATGCGATGAATCGGTTAGATCTATCTTCTTGTTGTGTTCGCCCTGCGGCCATGGAAACAAGTTTTATAAATGAACCACTGTAACAGTCTATATTCCCCCCCCCCTGCTAATTTTTCATTAAAAAAAGCAAATAAAAATAGACCCGCGCAATCTGTTGAGGTAATAAGATAGTAAATAAATATGAGACGTCAAATGTCAACCTTTATAAAGCATTTTACCTTCAATATTATTTTAATCAGGCCCCAGTTCCAAGTGAGGGCGTCGTTACTCGAGAGTACTCCAGTTTCTTTCATAACATCATCGCCATCTCTTAACACCGCCTGTCAAATTTTTTAAATAATTAAAAATTAATTTCTGATTGCAGAAACTTCGTTTCACCAACCTTAACTTGGCTAATCTTCGATCTGAATCTCCTGTGACGGCTGCCCTGCTCCTGCCTCTGTTTAACCTTCTTACTGTAATTGTTCCTTATAATGTAGTCCAAGTGGAGACTGTAAGATGCGGGTCTCTTCTTCATAAGTCTGAAAAATAGGTATATGTGCCAACAATTCGAAATGAATGAATGCCGATAACCCACTTATGCAGCTGCTGCAAGGCGGTGAAAGCTGCCATAGCTTGGGGTTTACTTTTCGTGGCGTACTGCAGCAGGGCCGGCAAGGAGGGTGACAGATTGCAACAGCCCGGCGGCAACAGAAACTGCGTAAGCCTCAATAATTCACCTGGAAAGTACCCAAATTCCAACATAGCAAAACATATATGTGCTGTTCTTAATGGTGTGTCAGTATGGGCGCGACTAATTTTTGAGCTAACTTTAAGAAAAAACTTCCTATAACTTCTGCGTCTTAATTAATATTAACAATAGTTAAAAATGGCCACCTTCGCTTAATGCAAATTGGCACATGTTCAAGCAATTTCATCAAAGTGTCCTGCTAGACGAAAATGGGCCTATCGGATGATTACTAATAATTCCTCCCTTCCTGACATTAAACACAAATTCCACTTTTGAACACTGTAATATTCTGAAGGTACCACTGACAAAAGTTTGCATGATGTGGAAAATGATTGGAACTAAAAATTTGTTTATAAATTATGGATATAACAAAAAATATATCAGATCCGCCAATTAATTTTATGAATAACATTTACATTTCAAACTGTCTTCCAGCCCAAGTGTTATTATTCAAACTTGTCGTAATAAACGATAATTATTATTATTATATCTTTCTTGATAAATTCAATAACTAAAATTAGTAATTTATTCCTGACTAACAAAAGATGATTAGTGAGCATAGCAAAATGCAGTCCTTTTAATTTAATTATGCAGAGATAATATTGCAAAAATTTTCTTCTTCGTACATAAGAAATAGAAATCGCGGACGAATACCACTAGTAGAAATGAAAAAATGTTGTGCATCTGAAAAAGTCTCTTCATGCCACGAATTTTACGAGAATATCTAGAACCATTTCTTGGATAATCTAATAGAAACTTTTCTTAAAATTTTACCACCCTATAACTGAAAAGTTAAAACGTTCAGGGCACACATTTATAACATTTTTTTAACGAGCTTAAGATTTAATCAATTTTTAATCTTAAAATTGAACATACACATGCATGACGCAAGCGTGGTTGATTTTAATTCGTTCAATTGAAAAAATTTCGTGACGTCATAAAACGGTAAATAAACATCAAACAGGTGAATAAATTATTTTTTGGCAAAGTATATTGTTGTTTACAGGGAATTAATGAGAGAAATCAATGAAAGAAAATGATTATGATTACTGGGGGTACACGATATTTCCTACAGAGATAATTAGTTCCGCTTACCTAAAAGAACTGTCGCCCTGACGCTGATAAATGTGTCCCCAGTAGTTATAACCTCGGTCAACGCGCCCAGCAGCCCGTTCTCCAGGAAACAGTACAGAAGTAGCGCCAAATGCATGTCGGTGGTGCAGGGAGTGGTTCTCGCCAGATGCGGCAACACCGCCCGCGCCTCGGCGCTCACGAATCCCTCCTTGAGACGCCACGAGGACTGGGGCTCGCACGGATCGACTGCGCTGACCGCCACGCAAATTTCGTCGGTCCATTCGGGCTGCGGGAGACCCAGGAGATCGTACAGGAGGTCCAATACCGCTTTCTGAAAGCGAACGGAGCACTCAGATCGATAGACGATGGCAAATGACGGTTAACTTACCCGAACCTCCAACTGATTGAGATACAGTACATCGACGATCGCTTTAAAGCCGCCTTGATCTTTGGGACTGCAAAAGTGCAGGATGCCCGGCCAACTGCGCAGAATCGTGAGCAGAGCGAGTCGGCTGCAGTTTAACCTCAGTTCACGTTCGTCTCTACAAAACCGTGGGTGGGGGGTCGTTAGTTCGAAAATGGGTTTTCGTTTTCATAAAATACTGACTTGGTTTTATCTTTCCATCCGTGTTTGTAATCGAAGTCGCAGAACGGAGCGGCGACGCCGTGCAAATCGATACCTGCTCGGTGCCTCGTCTGAGGTTTGTCCAATAGTAGCAAGAGGACGCCGCAAAGAGATTCGGCGATTTTTGGAGTTTGGCACTCTATAAGGTTCCTGGTTATCGCGGCAACTGAACATGATGCAATGAATAGATCCGAATTTAATATTCCTAGAACAGCAATAAACGAAACAGTAGTCAGTGAAATCAAAGTTTATTTTTGATTTCATGAAACCATATTTGAATATTCAGACTTGAGGATTTCGCATAACTGTGAAACTCCTTTCTAATTTAATTGTGTTAAATGGATTTTCTTCAAGTAAACTTGTGTAAAATCACATTGTTTGTAACGTGGAACTGACCAAATTACAAAATTTTTAATTTTTATTATTCCAAATTTAAAAAATTATACATTACACCTTTGGTCCTATATGTTGTTTCCTAATGTGAGACAGTAATAAAATGTCAATTTGAAATTACAAGGGACATTAAACAAGATGGACAATTTTAACATTGTATCCTAAAATTCGAACAAATTGCAATTATAGTTTCCCATAAATTCCGTATTTTGAGTATTTGAGATGAATAGATAATGGATATATTAATTATTCTAAGTAAGAATAATATGAATATTAATAAATTATTATAAACGTTATTTTTAAAAAATACTATTTTCAATACTATCCATCTAACAAGCAGTCTTCAAAAATATCAGCATTCATGTATTCATGATAGTTTCCAGTCCCCACAAATCCATTTTTGCTATGTAAATTACACTTTTAGCTTTTTAAAAAATTAAAGACCTCCCGCTTTTTAATTTTTTATCCTGCTATGTGTTACCAGCGGTACATCCATCATTTACCCAAGTTTTAGCCAGATAATGGATATTAGTGTTTTTCTTTCAAAACCGTCCAACTACTATCAAAAATCGTCGCCGCCAGCAAATAACTTCGTCTTTGTTTATTAAAGGTGATTTTCCTTTTTAAGTTTTCTCTAAACGAAAATGCACTTCTTTCAAAGTTTTACACAATTTCATTCATGTTCTTCATTTCAGACATGTCGTCTACAGTAGGCACCTATTGTTTTTAGTAAAACAACAACAATTAATTGAATTTTTGTAAGTTAATCTTATGCAATTAATGTGTGTTGGGTTTTTTCCTCAATATATAAATTTTTGTTTACTTCATCTAAATTGGGCAATAAATAAATAAACAGTAATGGGGGCAATGACCGCCATTATTTGATAAACTATGCACACATCATCAGATTCAATTACTATAACATTTTTTCTTGTAGGTAAGAAACAGAATCCATTTAAAGACACCACAAAATGTCAATTGTTATTTTCTTCTCTTTGTGTATTTCCTTAATTGTAGCTTAAAGTGGGCATTAGCCAAAAAAAATTGAACATAAAAGGCAAACCATAAAAATATTTGCATTGGTCCCTTTGTTATAATGCACAAAATAAACTTATTAAGTGCCTTGCACAGACATCCCAATAACTATAAAATTGCGAGGTCATAGACGCTATTCATTTTAATGGCAATTTTATTTCAGTTTAAAAATAACACTGTTTACAACCTATCCTTTAGGTAGTAGCATGTAAATATTTGTGAATGCATATTATATGTTTAAAATACGTAGCAAATTTGAGCATCAGCCAATTATTAATTTCAGAAATGTTCAAAACCTCTTACCTATCTCTGACAAAGTGGCCAGGCAAACTCTGAGCATCCTATCTTTGCCTTCTGTACCCTCATTGGCCAATGCTACCAAACTCCTCACCATTGAAATATGAAAATGGGAAGGGGATAAAATCAAAATCTCTCTCATAAGCTTCACTGCCTCAATTCGTTCTACATCATTGGCCAATATTACATCAAATGATCTAATAAAAAAAATAAGAAGCACTGATATCTAATTTCCATTTGAAATACACTATTACCTTGATATGAAATAAGGTATTAACAATTTATTTAGAGAAATAACATCACTTTCACTTTTAATAGCATGTCTAATGCTTCTCAAGCCAGCCGATCGCACTAATGTAGATTCACAAGTTAAAGACACACGCAAGCTGAAAAATATTAATTAGGACAACACTGTCAGTGAAACAATACTCCTACCATGTCAAGATGTCATTTCTGCTAAAATTTAATAGTTCAAACTTGTCCTCATAATGCACTAAAAGCTTAACCAGGGTATTCAACTGGTTCACGAGTACCCCTTCTTCAGCATCACACTCACAAAGTTTGGAGAGCAAATTTTTAAAACATTCATGTGGATCTAAAAATTATATATATATAAACACACAGAATGCCACATATTTTTAGTATCAAACATCAGATCTGATCAAAACAACATGCAATCGGCGGTCTGAGTCATTCTTACCTTGTTTCAAGCATGATGTAAATAGATCTTCCTCCTTGTTCCACTTCCCTAAAACAGAGATTTTGTAACCTGTGGTCTTGCATTTTTCGCAACACAATACTTGGCCTGAATCTTAAACGTCGACTTTGCGGCCCCAGCATCGTCGACTTCAACATCCAACTGGACATTGCCATTGCAAAATCTTTTTTTATAATACGCCGCAGTTTGGTTGCACAGCACGCTCACCTATCCTCGGCATCTTCGCATTTTTCAAAGATTACCGATCGCGCCTAAATTGCTTCTTACGTTCGTCAGCGCTGGCTGCGAAACTCTTGCCCATTTTTAAAGGGATATCTTAAATACGTCTTTCAATATAAAACTAATATATGGCGGTTCAATATCTAAACATAAAATAGGTTAAGATACCTGTCACGCTAAGTCACGCCTATACATTAGGCAACCCTTATTTGTTAATATTAGAAGCAAACAATTTATATGTTTTTTAAAAACCATGAGTCCAATACTTACTAGCGAGTTTAATAACGAAAATTTAAAAACTCAAATTTAACGCGCTGCGCTTGATTTGTTTATTTACGTCTCACTTTCAAAAAAATGTAACGAGCGACATCTGTCAACCGCGAATTGAAATTACGGAATGTCTCGGTTCTTCAAACCATAGCAGTGCCACAAAATTTTAGCAATTGTGTGGAAATCAGAAATTTATGAAGTTGATTTTGCATTTCTATTTTAATATATTATATTTAGTTAATATTTTTTGTCTTGTTATCATTAATCAATCCTAACCCAGTATGGTTCTCTGCATAACGACAGAACGATGATAGGTTTTGGTCTGTGAATGTTTTCTAATTTGACATTTTGACATATCCAAGGTCATTTGTATTTACGTAAATGTGAATTGGAAATTTTCCCAAAATTTCGTATATAAAAAATCAAAATATTTGATTTAACAAGGATATTATATACTCTGATTTAGGAGACTTTAATTTACGGAATAGGTACCTTTATTTTCAAATAAAACAGTAAAAATTGGGTTCTATTTTGGGTTAAATTTCACGTGAGTATTATTTCACACACTGTTTATTTTGGTGTATTGAACCGTTCGTTTTAAATTACTACGGTTAACTAGCTCACGATTTCTAATTGTGGTAAAAATATCTTTGAAGTGCGTTAAAGAACAAGAGGTTAAATGCTGACCTATCGGGATATATTTGTAATTAGAACATATGTAAGTTTGTTGACAAATCGTATTTCGCGGATAATGCTCAATTTTAAAAAATAAAGTTTTTCTAGATATATAGTAGTATTTTTACGAATTTATGCCCATTAGTAATAAAACTATTAATGTCAATTTAGTGTCAGCGTTATAAATAAATTGGTATTTTATTAGTTATCTTAGTGTCACTTTTTTGTTTAGTGTTTTACGCTTATTTGCAATTGTAGATAATGTTGACTTATATCCAATCGAATTTAGTCTTTTAACAAAATGCTTGAGGGATTGATCACATGGATACTAAATAATTATTTGGGAAAATATGTTCAGTTAAATACTGATCAGCTTAGTATAGCTTTACTATCAGGTAAGTGGTGTAAATGATTATGTAGGTATCCTTAAACATATAAAAAAATATTGTAATTTAAAATAACTTTGCAACTGTACAATTTTAGGTAAAGTTGAACTTGAAAATGTTCCTCTTAGATCTGACGCTCTAAAGCACTTGGGTCTGCCTATTCAAGTAAAGAGTGGCTTTATAGGCAAAGTGCAGTTACAAATACCAGTCAGACAAATTAGATCTGCTCCTTGGGTTATAGCCTTTGAACAGTTATATGTTGTTGTCAGTCCATTGCCTGTAGATGAGGTGAGGAGATCTCAATGGTACTTTAAATATTTTAAGGCTACTTTTTAAGTGGGATCATGAAACTGAGTTGTCCGCCAAAAATGATTTGAAAGTCAGCTCTCTAGATAATCTAGAGGCAAAATGGAGGTTAGAAAAAGATTTACAAGGTTCAAACTCTGCGTATTATGCAAGCAGCTACTCTTCGTGGTACAGTTATGGGGCAGGATTCGTTTCAGAGATAATAGAAAACCTCCAGTTGAGAATACAGGATGTGCATATACGTTATGAGGACTCTTTAAGCATCCTTGGAAAAAATGTTGCGTGTGGTGTCACTATCAGGTCATTATCGGCACACAGTTGCGATTCCAATTGGGTGCCAGGTTTTGTACAGTACGGGGAAGCTGACCACTCCTATAAGCTGATAGAACTGCACGACTTTGCTATTTACTGGGTGAATTTGAACTTTGATGAGCGCTTTTCTACTCTAAACGTCGCGCAACTGGCTGTAAGTTTTTTTTTTACTGGAGTACTTGCCACTGGTAATTGCTTTTATTATTTAAAGGAAAATATGTGCCCGAAAAAAACCAATAAAACCATTAAGCACTATTTATTACCTTGCGTTACTGCGCAGGCGCATCTCAAGCGTAATCGCAGTACCAATCCTCTAAGATCAAACTCCACCCCAAGGATTATATGTGACTTGTCTTTAGAGGAAGTACCGTTGACTTTAATAGATGTATGTGATATTGTGAGAACTGTCAACATTTAAATAAAAATAACTTTTTTAGTGGCAATACAATCAAGTAATATCATGCATCAAGGGATTGGATAAAATAGGCCGACTTCGCGAGTACAAGTGGTTCAAACCTTTCACTTCTGTCAAAGAAGATCCCCGAGCCTGGTGGCTGTACGCTATCAGTTGCTTGTATCCTGGCGGTCAGCCTGCGATTTGCAGACCGAAACCAACTTGGGAATCTTGTTTACAAAGGGCGCGGCAAAATGTCAAGTACCTTCAGGTCTATAGAAAACTTCTTATTACTCCCTCTGCCGCTCTAACAGCGGAGGAAAAGAAGCTGAAGCACGAAGTTGAGTGGGATAGGGATTATGAAGATTTGAAAGTTTTGAGGGAGGTAAGCAATCGCTTGTGGGAGAGTCGAGTTATGACATAATTTTTGTAACGATATTGTGAGCCCAATATTTTTGGTTTTTGAAAACTTTTATGTTGATTTTGGGACCTGTGAAATTTTTAAGTAACAGGTCGCGTCTTATATTTCCTTCCTAGACATTTTTCGTAGGTATTTTTTGCAGCAACCTCTTTTTATTTGAAACTTTTTTTCGTAAAATCTGTCAATAACCATTTTAGGAGGATGTCAATAATTAAATAAATCATCGAATCATAAAGTTCCGTAATTAAACGAACCTGCTGAACCTTGGCAAATATTTAGGGAATTTTCCTTATTATATTTTCAGCTCGCTATGAGTACTATAACACTCCCAGCTCAAAATCATAACAGCTCTTCTAAAGGGCGAAGCATGTTGGAGAGTTGGTTCCCGCAGTGGGTAGGGTGGTATTCGTCTTCGTCGAGCGACGTTGCAGTGACGGCTTCCCCCGAAGCGAAACAGCTGGAGGGGGAAATCCTTCAGGTGCTCGCTGACACTGTCGAAAATAACACGGTACTCAAAAGGGATGTCGTTTTCGGTCAGTTTAATTTCTGCCTGAAAAGCGGTACCCTAACTTTGTGTGCCGTCGACGTAGAAGAAAAAGAGTGGTGAATTTTTGCGATGCCCTTTTTCCTACGCAGACGGAAAGCAATGTTTTCGTTACAGTTGTCCAATGTTGGAGCTTGAGTTTAAAAATTTATCGCTCAACATTTTAAGTAAGCCTCGCACCGCGTCCCATCTCATCGAATTATCACTCGGCGCCATTTTCCTAAGAGACAAAATAACCTGTGATACGATGTTTCCGATTCTCGTTGGTCCGCCTGGGCAAGATCGGATGGCCGCAGCTCGCACGAGAATCGGTGTAGGTCCTAGTTCTAGGATCGCGAGCGGTAGTTCAGGTAAACTGGAAGAAAGCATGGACCAATTATTCTATTTGGTGTACGAGAAGAAAACGCCCAATTCAGGCTGTGATTATAGGTTAGTTGCTGTGATTTTACGTATCACTGCGTTTGATTTATTTTATTTGGTTTATAACGAGGATATGCCTCATTCAGGCTTATGTTGTAAGGCGAACTTAGAACAATATTTCAAACTTTTATACAGTAAACAGTATTTATCCGAATACAGAACACAAACAATTTAAAACAATTACTTACATACGAGAACCTAGTGAAAAAATTTCAAAACATTTGTGAAAATGTGGTTTCAAAATAGCTTTCAGAACTAACAACACAATAGGAAAATATTTAAAAAACAATAAAACGAAATGTCCAAAATCCTAAAAAAACAGGTATCTTCAGGTTAAAATGCAGATCTTGTCCTAAAATTTATATTGGACAAACAGGTAGATCCTTCAAGAAACGCATTAACGAACATAAAAGAGCGTTTAAAAACAATAGTCTAGATTCTAATTATGCTACACACTTAAACACAGAAAAACACATTTTTGACGACGATTTTGATATTTTACATATAGCCACAAAAAGTAGAAAATTAAATTTATTGGAAGCCATGGAGATTAACAAAATGAGACATTGGAATGTATTGCCTAACGATCAATTAGATTTAAATACCTCTCCTTTATTGAACATAAATTTTCACAACAACATTAACTCAGGTTTTATGGCCATTTTTCGGTATATATAGTAGCAGGAAGTTTCTAAATATTACATTTGATAAAGACAACAATTGTCATGTGAAAATATATAATTTCGTGAAAATCTGAACTTTTAGTTCTTATTTATTTTGCTAATGAGAACAATTGAACTATATTCTTTATATTGTGCCAAGAATGTGAAATAAAAAATGTAAATTGTAAGAGATGCTGTACTTAAAACGGTAGAATGTAAAAATCAAATAATGTGTCATTTAAGCTATGGTGAGCGGTGCGACCCTTTATGTAGAAGTTTGTTTTTTTTTTAAGGCTAAGTGTAAAGTCAAAATGTCTAGACGTAGTTTATCAACCGAATGCGGTCAGATGGTTGACCGATTTCGTATGTTTACCTCACCAACGGGACGTAGCCCAGTCGAGGATCGAAGAGATGAAATTGAAAACGAAAATGGAGTTGATCAAGAATTGGGAGCACTTGTTGCAAGGGAGAGTCGTAAGGGGGCGTTATGTAGACCAATATGCGAAGATGATGTGACTCTGGATTCGTAGGTTACGCACAACACTTGGGACATCGATCTCAATATTTCGGCGCCACAGATAATATTTGTCGCGGACTTTACCGATCAGAATTCCGCAATGGCGGTAATAGATTTCGGTAGGCTGCAATTGAGGAATAATACCAACAGCGTCGAGCCTCCCGCTAAGCCAGAATTCATTACTAAGGAAAGCGAAGACGACGGTAAACCGCTATTGGTGGTACTCATTGACGTTATATCAAAAAAGGATTCTACAAGTTGATAAATGACTACGAATTATGAATGAAAATCCACTCGTTTGCCTGCTCTTTTAGGTGGCAGAATTGGGGATAGAAGTGGTTTAGTGGTCTAGAATCTTTTCTGACTGTAATAAAGATGCAATTACTTTTTTAGTTTCTTGTTCAAAAAAATCACGGCTTGTAGAGTTGTTTTTGGATATAGGGTCGTTGATAATACTATTAATTCGCATAAATATTGCGTTCTTCAGATACGTTCTTAACACCTTGCTCCACCCCTCCTGTGAGTGAAAACAGTGATTCCGGCGAACATACTTTAGAACAGGCGTCGCAGTTTGAGAACTATCCAGATTTTGCTTTGGACGAAGTCAATTTTCATAATAGGCTTTACGACTGCTATTGTTTAGATCTTAGCGATTTGCAGATCCTGATCGGCAAAGCGAAAGACAATTGGCGATACGCTCTCCATAAAGGTCTTGCTCGTGCGTTTTAAATTTGACCCACTAAACTGCGATATTTATAGGCACGTCTCCTTTACATATCCTGGACAGATTTAATATCTCCATCCAAATCGAGCGAAGAATAGTATATACCAGCGACCCGCTCTATCCTAGTTTAACATTAAACGCGAACCTACCAAAACTAGTAGTTCATTTGAACGAGAGCAAAATTTGCTCTACTCGAAATTTAATCCATCTTATTGCGACGACCGGTTTACCGTCCCCGTTGAAATCTTCCGATAGTTTCGACGGCGATACGGTAGATGGCGCGCGGAGCGGTGATGGCAATGACGAATCGGTTAGTGTCGACACCAGCGCCGAAATTTCAAGGTAATTGGTTCTAGGAGGTTCCAAGTTCCCACTGGAAATTCTAATACAATGATTTCCTAAATAGATTGCCCTTTTGCAGTGTCACATTTTTTATCCAGTGGCGTTATTCATGTTGAATTTTGACGTTTGGCCTGTGTGGTTTTTTTTGAGTCTTACTCTTAAAGTAACGTCTTAAAAAAAAAGTTGATATCTTCGTAAATGACTTCAGCTGAAGTTTGTTATATGGACTTTGAAAGAAGTAAAAAATATCTTTATCGTGAAAGATGTTTTCTGTATGTGCTAGTTTTGTTTGGCAGGCATTTTACAATACTCCTAAAGTTTGAAAAAATTTTAAAATTCTTGAGAAAAATCTAAGTTGGGGCATTTCATGCGATGAAATTCCTAAAATATTTCTTCGAATCAGATTAGATGAAAATTGTTAAGGAAAAAATGTCGTAATAAATCAGAGCTCCTTGTGAATGTGCAAAATCGTAAAATTAATTTTTCAATTCTAGTTCGTTTTATAAGAATCTTACTTTACTAATATTTTCACAGCTTATGCTTACGTTTTGCAATAAATTCATTAGTGGCTGGCTGCTATATCCGTTAATTAAAATGCATCCGTTAATATGCGGACAATACTGTCGAGAAAAATATTTGCTCTACCATTGCCGCAGATGATAGTAGCTAAAACTAACATTAGAGTGCCCCCCCCCTCTCCCAGGTACTAGTAGCAGAAATAAATGTCATAAGTTTCATTCAAACATTCAAGATTTGCTATTTGGCTAGAACATGGTAAATATTTTTTTATCAACTTGATGTCTCTCGCGCTTTTAGGTTACTGATGATGCAGTTTACTGTGGATCAGCTGTCGTTAGAGTTACAAAGTCGCGGCAGGTGCGTCGCCGAGCTACAGGTGGCCGGCGTTAAAGTCTCGTTTACCAAGAGAGCGATCGATACCAGCGTCACCCTAACGGTGCATAGCCTGTTGCTGGTCGATGCGTTGCAAACGTTTGGTCCCGACTTCGAACTGCTGGTGGCGAGCCACAAGCACGTGGGTACGCGGATATCTTCCATAGCGTCGAAAATATTGATTTAAAACTCCGGTTTAAGGTATGGATTCGATGTCCGGCAGCTTAAGAGATAGCGAACCCACCTCGCCTACCTCGCCCGCTAGTCCTGACCCCACCATTGGGAGGGCGAACGCAACTTCGCCCGTTGCGTTGACTCAAGCTTTGAACACTTTGTCTACTTCGCCGCCCCATTGGCCGACCATGGTCCGTAATGGTTTCTCCATCGATTCCGAAGCCTTGATCACGATCGAAGTGGTACTGGTATCTGGCCAGGAACCTCTTCAAATAGCCAACATTCAGTTCAATAATTTGGACATAATCGCGAATCAGGAAACCATTGTGGAGCTGATGGGTTTCATTAAACGTGTATTCCCCAAAGCCCAAAGGCCGTCCGGCGTGAATTTGCCCCCTTTTGTACCTTCGAGCGCCAAATCGTCTGCCGAATCGTTGCTGGAGGAGGCCAGTTCAAATATACGAGCGTCGACGGAAGTCACTTTCGATTTTCACCGTTTGAACGTCTTGCTACTCAGGGGCGTGCTGAAGGACGGAGTGCTCTGCGGCAAGAAGATTTGCACTGCCACAATGAACGATGCGAAAGTGTGTGCCACTGTCGACGACAAATTCGAAGTTTCCGGCTCTTTGGGGGGATTGCAGGTCTGTCCAGTTCATTTTCGGATTGAGGTGCCCAACCCAACTAAGTTTTCTGTTTTATAATGATCACGGTTATGTTTCGATTACCTATTTTATAAAACCTGACAGCCTATTAATTGTGCTGCAATCATAACCTCACTTTATTTAATGCTAAATATGTCTTTTAAAATTGTTCAAACCAAAGAAGTTGGGAAAATACTACTCTCGTTGACGGTTGTCTGAGCACATGGCAGTCGAATGGGGTGCTGTTTTGATCCCCTAAAAGAGTTGAAAATGGAAACAAATTGAATGCTTCAACATAATGGTTATTTTATTTTATATGAATCGGCTGAATCCGAATGTTGTGCACTTTGCAAAATAATTTCACAGGTTTTGGCACACCTTCCATAAAAACTGCTACTACATTTAATTTTTTGCCAATTTTTGCCTCTTGCCTTTTTCTACGTAAAAAAGTTTGTTACTAGGCAATAACCTTTATAACATTCTTTGCGTTTCGTAGTAGCCGTAGAATATTTATTAGGTGCTTTAAGATTTATAAGGGTTTTTACGAAGTAAGCTGTAAAACCCCAAGAGTAAAAGTGGTATAATAAATTTTTAATAACGCTATAAAACCTTTTTAAAAAGCCTGAAATAGCTTACACCAAATGTGCAATATTATAACATTTAAAGTATTTTGGTTTGCAACTTGTAGCACCTATGGTTTTCTTAAAACTATCATTATTACATAATTATTGTTATATAATTATTGTTATATATATTAGCAGCTTGAATTTGCCAGTTCTTGATGGAATACGTAAAAAAACGTCAGTTAATGTAAACAAAGGCTTAGACTTGGCCGTGTCTCCCATTTGTGTTATTTTTTGTTTCTTTGTCTATATGACCTTTTTTTCCTTTTGATCAGGGACGTTTATTCTATTGTATATTTAGTAAAGTTTTTTACAAAAGATTCCACAGCTTTGATAAAACTTGTAATTGTTAGTTGGGCAACGTTGCCTTATTTTATCAGTTGTTCATACCCAGAAATAGTGCATTTGTTATTTCGTTTCACGCGAAAGGTACTAGACCTAACGCCTGAAGGCCACATGCACCAAAGGATAGTCAACGTCGGGCGGGATATGCTGATCGATGGGCCCCATCCTTTGTACGCTATGTCCGTGCTACACGAGAACGACCAGAAGGCGTTTAGTTTCAAAGTGGTCCGAAACTTGCACAAAAACGACATCGATACCGCCGACGTAACAATACGAATGGCGTCTCTCTGGTATACGCATTCCACGAAGTTCGTCTACGAACTTCAATCTTGTGCCACGGAATTCAAGCAGTATTTGTCAAATTTGGCGAGGTACCGTCCCAAAAAAAAAAAAAAAAATCAGTTCAGAGTGTGTTGACTCGTGGATTCGTAGGTCCATACGTACGGCCGCAACTGATATGGCTCTGGGTTTGGTCCACGCGAGAGCCGAAGCCCTAGCTCAGTCTCTCAACATGAACAAGAAGTTGCCAGGCTCGATCTATGGCAGCGCCCTTTCGTTTTCGGAAAGCGCGTCACCGGGACGCAGGCGCAGGCGGAGTAGTTCAAATGAACATTCCAATTTTTCATCGGCAAGGAATACCATGCCCCAAACGCCTTACAGTCCGGAAGACGAAGAAGACTATACTATCGGTAAGGACGGCCAGAAGTGTTTTAAAACTACCGCCAGAGGCACATGTGGTATAAAAAAGACGAACCCTTAAAAATAAAGTTAGTCAAATATTTGATGTAAATTTATAAATAAGGTCGAAAATGTTGATACCTGACTATCGATGTATCTCCCTCTCTTAATAGCGTTTGGAAATTAGGAGTCAGTTTTTTTTTACATTACTTTTTCAGACATAAATCTGGATATCGAGTTGGACAGTCCGGTGTTGGTTTTGCCGCGGAATTATACTAGTCCCGAGGTGTTTGTGGTACACTTGGGCAGGATTAACGTCAACAATAGTCGGGCGGATCCAAACAATTCGAACGGTTACAATTTCGAGTTTGAGGAGCCGAGGACGGAGCATTACTACGTCGAAATCAAAGATATGAACATATTTTCTTTGAACACCAGCTCGAGAAGGGTACCGGGAGGTATAATTAGCCGTCCGGAGGTGTTGTACAGTTGCAGGACGCTGGCCAAGCCGATATTGCACGACACCATTCTTCAGCTTAAAATTGATAGGGAGATAAATAAACCCTTGCGCGGCGATAGCAGCGAAAATCTATTGATCGATGGTGATAATGACAGCAGCTATATTAAAGTGAGTACTAAAACCTTGCAAATATCCTTGTAAGTTACAGTGCTTTTTTTTTTAAATAATTTTTAATTTAATCTTTCATTAAAAAAATTATATAAATTTGTCTTTTCCGGAGGAAATTGTTAGCCCTAACCCTAAAACAGTTGCAAACATCGGCGTTTCACTTGAACGTAGCTGAGAGAGCTACAATTTTCGCTTTATGGTTTTTGACTATCATTGGGATAAAAATTAAATACCATCGCGTAACTTAATTACTGTAATATAAAGGTCAAATGTGTTCTTCCGGTTGCTTTGACAAATTTAGAATATGTTGGTTCGTAGCGTCGCCATTTGTGCGTGGAAATTTGTGATGTTTAGGTGGATCGATGATCGGTTGAACAATTTTTGTACTTATCGTTTACGCTTATTATTATTATATGAAGGAAGACAGTAAACCCCATATATTCAGCTAAACTATCACATACATCTGAAAGTCCGGGAAGGTTCTATCAAAAGCCAAGAATATATATTTTGAGACACACTTTAACACACATCGTATCCTAGTTAAAAATATTAATTCGAGTGCATTGGTAATGCTAGCTTTCTGTGACTACCACCTTTTAAATGTCCTTTACTACATTTTAATTTGTTAAAAGCGAAATCTGTGATTCGCAGCCGTCGGAGTTGATCCACACATTCGGAACCGTGGTCACCGCTTTGAAAGTGTCGTTAACGCGCGCTCAATACGAACAATTACTAGACACGATTCAATTTGTAACCTCGTCGCCGAAAACGGGCGACCACCAGAGCGTAGCAAAAGCCCAGTTTAGACAACAATCTAGCCTCGGTCAGATCAGCGAAGAGGATACGGGAGTGACTACCCTAAACATGGATCCTCACGTCAGGGCAAAGCTGTTTCCCGCGGGCAATACGGCACAGAAGTCGAAAAAGGTGGCCCAGAGCCTCGGGGTTTCCCTTAAGGTCGGTTTCGAGGTACCCGTGTTCACCGTCGAACTCAGAAGCGACATCGTCGACGGCGAACAAGGTTTCGTCGATTTGTCTTTTAGAGATTTCGTTTTTAACGTCGAGCGCTGCCACTTGTACGAAACCAATATACAGATATCCCTTAGATCGATCTTTATGGAGGATTTGTCTCAGCCGGAAGGCTCAAGGTTCGCTATTTGACGACTTAATTCGAGGTTAAGCGGTAGTTGAGGTTTTTTTTTCAGGCAGAGAACGATGATGGTGTCGTCGTCTGTACCCGAAGCTCCTCCAAGCGCCACTTGTATATCAAAGTCATGTCCGGACGTGATGTACTCGCCTTATATGGGTTCCGTGTCGCGCGGTTCTTTACCCGACCATTTGGAGACCGCAAACGTGTTTGGCGTCCACGTGGCGAACAAGTAATCTTTTTTCCCTCGTCATTTCCGCACTTGAACGAAATTTTCAGCGCCTACCATCCGAAAACGCGTTGTCCGAACACTCCACCTCCAAGTCCCACCCCTGGGAGCGGTCGGACGAAACCCGAACGAAACTTGGTGCTGATAAGCAGTCTGTTGGTTGATGCTAACGCGCCAAATTTTGACAGTTACTATAACTCGCTCACGCGGTCCACGTCGATTGATTTCAACTGTTTGGATTTGATGGTGAACGCATCGTCATGGGCGGCCCTTGTCGATTTCTTCGACGGTACCGCGGATGGAGGTTCGGGGTACGACGCTACGTCCGACGCCAATTCGACCTACGAGAATGTCATCGAGAAATCGACTACGAAGGCCAAAGTCAACACCAGCATCACCGTGTGCTCTTTGACGGCGGTGTTAGTGAGGCCGGATAAAGAGATCGCCAGAGCGAACATCTCCAACGTGGAGGTGGTGATAAAGACGCAGGGGTTGCGCAAAGAAGTGGACGGCAAACTAGGTTCCATGTCTCTAAGCGATTTGACGCTGCACGGTCAGATTTACAGGGAACGGTTCATCACATCCGGAAAGGACGTTTTGCAGTTTAAATACCTAAGGTATTGATTTTTTCTATATGGTATATGGTATTGGTATATATTGCTATACGGAGTGTTATTGAAATGCCTTGCAATAAAATAAATAAAAAATGTATAAATATATTATAATTATAAAAAGTTGTTTCAGCAACATTTCTGATCTCATAAATTTAAAACTCAAAAGATGTTTTTTTCAGTTATTAACACATCCAAATATGATAATAAACTGCTAATCGACCTTATTATTATATCTAGCAGCAAAGGATTCCCGATTAATTTTTTGCAATGACATTGCTAATTCAAACTAAAAAATAATTTAAACACGATTAGGTCGTCAATAGTTAAATAAAAAAAGCTACCAGTGCAACTATTTTTGCTTTCAGCACCCCTAAAATTCGCAGATTAGTCATGCAATTTCCTCTACACTGGTTATGTAAACTTCCAGTTCATTCTAGATTGGAATTCATTAATAATATTATATTCTTTGAAATTTTGATTTTAATAACTGTACAGCATTGTTAATCATTGCAATTGAATAGCAGTTTTCTTTGTTGTGTCTCGACAAACAAATTTTCTCACAAACTCTTATTTGCATTCAAGAAAATAATCTTAACAAATATTCCTCTGTCGTTCTCTGGTCATGCGTTTAAGCTTTCTGCAATTCTCTCTAACTAACTTACTTAGCTTCTTCACTGCCACATTTACACTAGTTTTAAAGCCAATTACGCGTATTAATGCTGTCCTGTTATTAACTAAGATTTAATTAAATTGTGTATTGATACTGATTCACTAATTAGATGTCTGTAAAATAACACCCTGTATTGAGACGAAGAGAGCCACTGTATTCATTTCTGATTTTGTCAGGCACTCGCCCAATACCAAAAAGGACTATGACGGTCAGTTAACATTAGAAATGACTTCTGTGATATACGTCCACACCAAACGGTTCGTTGCCGAAATTCAGTCGTTTTTAAGTAAATTTCACGAAAAACGGAACACCGTTATCAAAGGAATTCAGGCTGCCACCAGTGGGAAACTAGTAAATATTCTTGCACTGATGACCGAACATTAACAAGACTAGAAGTGACACTCTTCATCCCTCTTTCTTATAGTTCAGTCAAAAAATTTACCACAAATATTTTCGCCTCATTTGGTAAAGTACAAGTTCGAGTTTTGCAACAATTTTTCTTAAGGAAATAAAGTAGCAACATTTAGGACAATAAGCAATTATTTTGAACTATCATACCTAACATTCTTTCTTATTTAATATATTTTGTATATTTATAGCTAAAAAGGCAAAGAGAAAATGTTGTAAATTTCTAGAATGGCCGCCAAGGGGCCTTATCGCAAATCTTGTATTTTGACAAATAATCTTATATTAGAGATAGCTTAGGGTTAAATAAAAAGTCCTGGGTGATGTTCGAACATTCCCTTCCATCCCACTATCTCTTAAGAAGTTGAGCAAAAACTATTCTAAGAAACAAAATAGAATTTATCCCAGTTTTACAACGATATTTGTAGGATGCGATTGCTCCCCATAGCTGCCATCCTAGAAAGTTAAAAACAACTTCCAGCATTTTTTCTTGGCTGTTTCAGTTATAAACTTTTCCAGTTCAAGTCTTAACGAGAAGTACTTTTTGTATGCTACCTTTTAGAGTCTGTATATGCTTGCCGAGTGCTACTAAGTGTTTAGAAAGAGATGTAGCCTAGGGTGGAGAGAGTATCCCTTCTTATTTTGCTAATGTTCCATGTCCCAAATGGCCTAATTGTCAAATTTTTAGGTTAGGGACGACCCTTTTCGATTATCGCTAATCTTAAAAGCCGTTTCACCTATGATTCTGTTACCAGTTAGCTCAAAATCGACCGACATACTGGTCACAGATCTCGGCCAGTTATTGGTGACTAACGTTTTCAAATTTTCCGGCGAACCGGGCACTATTAGTGTTTTATCGGACCCCGAATCGAACGAAAGGTGTCTGCTGGACGTGATGTCCATCAGTTTGCAAAACATGGACCTTTACATCGGCGTAAAAGAGAACGACCTAAGTCCCGTCCAAAATAACCTGGCCGGTAGTTTTAAATTCGGCTCCTCATTTATAATGCGCAAAGGGCCGTCTTTGTTGACTAAAAAATTCGAGCTCAAGTTACAGTATGAAAGGAATTTGCACAAACACATTTGCCGCATAGTACCAGACTCTAGTATTTACGGTCATCTCTCCACTTTGGACGGTTCGCTGGATCTGCATCAGTACAAGTTGATTCGTGGATTGTTGACTTTCAACTTGGGCGAGGACACCGAGAAGATTTGTCCTTCCGTGACGACGGAGGTGATCAACACAGGGGTAAGATTCATATGGTGTGGGATGTAAATTTGTATATGGAAAAAGTGAAAGTGATATGTTATATGCAATACATTGCTAACCCATGTCATCGTTAAAGTAGTAGGAAGACGAGTTACCCTAAATTCTTAACTTCTACGGTAGCTATAGCAGTATGGTAAACTAGTGGTTTCCCAGTCGCTACTTTTACGTAGGCGTGAGCTTTCGTTGATGTTAGCTGTCAGTTTTGACTCAATTTATCAATCACTTCGTTATTTTCATAATGTCACCGGTCGGTACAAGTTATTCGGTGTTCTTTTAGTTTGATGCGCGTGAAGAATGGACCTTGCTCTCTATAAAAATAAACATGGAGAACGTATCTTTGCGTTTTGTTACGTCGCATTTGTATCATTCGCCCCTCGCTTGTATAAATTTTATAAGATCCCACTTGACGATGGAAACATTCAGCAATCTGAGCCAAGACATTGATTTGGTATCTCAGGAGATAATAGTAATCGATACCAGGTTCCATGGGTGCGAACGTACGAGCCAGTGTAACGTTTTCACCAGTATATTACAGCCAGTGAAAGATGTTAGAGATAGTGATTTGGTACAGGCTGAAATACATAGCAGAAAAAGGCAAGATCATACGAGAGTCACTATACTTTTGCATAACATGAGGTGAGTCTAAAATCCCTTTCCGGTGGAAAATAAATTTCATCCTTTGTTCGGTATTGGTAAAGGCTGATGGTGATATTTGACTGGTGGGATGCAATAAGGGAGTACATCTTTCAAGAAATCGAGAACATATCGTCAAGTCCGGATCACAAAGGCGTCAGCAAACAGCGATATCCGCCACCCAAAGCGTCATTTGAATTAAAATTGAACGTAACCAATTCGGAATTCGTCGTGGTTGAAGATTCCTCCCAATGGGACACCAATGCCGTTATTTTAAAAGTTCGAACATATTTGAAGACCTTAGCTTGGCAAGGTTGTTCCTGTTTCACATTGCTATCTGCTATTGCTTTTCATAATAGGTAGATTAAAATAAATAAGAACTAAAAGTTCAGATTCTCACGAAATTCGTGAAAATCTGAACTTTTAGTTCTTATTTATTTTGATAAATGGATTTTTATCAATTAAAAGCCACCTCAGTTCAATAGGTAGATTACAAGTGTTCAGTGGCAATTGCCATGCAATTAATGCTGAACACTCTGAACCTACCTAGTTATAATAATTGATTTACTACTTTGTTCTCAAGTTAAGGTCTTCTGTCTTCTTGAAATTTCTATTAATCGGATGAATTTTAGAGTACCACGGTTATAAAGTACCGCCCCAATCACCCCGACAAACCCCTGTCGTGTAGCCTAAACAATTGCGAAATGTTTTCTTGCGTTCTGGGCGTGGAAGAGGATACGGCGTTGTCGATCATCGATCCGATCACTTTGAACGTAGATGTCGCCAAAGGCGGGGTCTTGGAAGTCCAGTTGCAATTTTTGACGATCCGGCTGTCATATCACGACATGCGCATGTTTCAGCAAATGCTCGATTCGTTGCCCAAGCAGATGCTCGCTTGGCGGAGCAGGGAATCGGTCCAAACGCCGAACTTAAAAAATAAAGTGGCCACGTTGTCCGCCCTCGGGTTCAGCGAGGCCGATTGTTTGGATGCGCTGGAAAAATGCGGCAACAAGTTGGACGACGCCGCCATATGGCTGACAAATAATGCCAAGTCTTCTCAGTTTGATAGCGATAATAATCCATTAACGATAAGGGTAATCGAGGTTAGTTTTTTTAGCCCATTAAAATAATATGGTACATGGAAAAAATTTAAAAAAAGTTTGCGTTTCAATTAAATTATTTTTTCTACAAATTATTTCCAGAGTTCTGGGAATTTAGATATGATTATTTCAAATTCAACGTAATTTCCATTTAGTTGAATACGTTTATCCCAACGATAAACTAATTTTTTTCCACTATTATCCTTTTGCAATAATGGACCCTTATGCAACTTTCCAGCCTATTTTGACATTTTGCCAAGTACTTACCACAGTCATCCGTATAATTAATTCGTATAATATTCTGCATTAATTGTAGTACACTTCACCAGATAATAACTAAAAATAAGCTCTTTTGCAATCCCAGAATACAATAAGTATTACCTTTGCAGCAGATAGAACTGCACGCACAATTAGTGGAGGGTCTTTTTCAGGTTTGTACCATTCTTTGGATTGACTTTTGGTCTCAGAATTAAAATAAGGAATCCACGCGTCTTCAGTGGTTATTATTCGTTAACTAACCAAAATTCATCACTATGACGGACTAACAGGTCATAAAGTTGGCAACAAGTATTAAACCTATTGAGTTTCTGCTTCCTGTCTTGTTAACGCGCCGCAACCTTTCAAACGCCGAAACATTCATGCAAGATGCCTATGTGTCTTTTTTCTTCTAGTTATAGTCATTCACCTGTTCTCTTTCATTCTACTGCAGTAATATTTATCTCATTTACCGACCTGCTTCGACGCCCGCCGCGTGATGCTCTACAGGTTTTAAAACGATCGATCTTCCGATAAAGCACTTTTGGATTCTGCAGGCTCACCCAACACTCGTTGCGGACGCTGAATAATTTCTTTCTTCTCCTATCCACAAAAAGAAAATTCTTGCTTTTTGAGATTTTGCTGCATCTTGAATGCTTCAGGTTTCAGGTTCAAAGATATTGTAAAGTCTGTTCATAGATATAAGAAATTGACTAACTGATACTAATTAAGGAACGAGCCGGGCAAGCTGTAAGAATGAAATATGGCCGAACAGGTCCGTAGTTTGCTTAGAATTTAATTATCTGTGGTTTTGTTAGGAAAGATACTAAACAATATTTATTTATTTATGTATGTATTTATGGTGAAATCTAAAATAAAATTACAGATTATGTTTTTATTACCTACTTAAATTACTTCGAATTATTCACATAATATATCAGTATCACTATCTCTATCATCGCCTGTTCTAATTATTATTTGTTCTATATTATTTGCAAATTGGATATACGAATGTTCTGCTTTTTCTATATGTTTAATAGAATTTGCCCAACTTTGTCGAGGGATGTTAAAAACTTCGGTTTCTATAACTTTGAGGACATTGGGACAGTGGTAAGGTAAGGTAAAAACTGTATGCCCTAGATTTTTTGCATAATTATCACAGACGTATTCCTTTTGTAGGTTCAAGCTTTGTAGAACCTCAATTAATTGCTTTTTGATACAATCTTCGTGAAAATAAATGTCGTTATTATACCTGTAGTTTTGGACTGTTGCTTTTGTGTCACATGAGGAAGGGGTTTTAGTCAGCTGTCTACTGTTATAACTTGCATTGTCCATTACAATGACGCTATTAGGAGAAATGATTGGAACTAGTTTGTTTTTAAATCAACTTTCAAATAAATCAGCGGTGGTGTCTTCGTGGTAATCCAGAGAAGAATCTTTAATATTTTTCGCAGACAGAGAAAGTCCATTTGGAATCCAACCATCTTTAGAGCCAGCATGCAAAATAGTTATTCTTTTACCTCTTTTTGATGGCGCGTTTGTTTTCACTTATCAGTTGAGTCAACCCAACCCTTTTCCGAGGTATCATAAGTGTCGAACCAGGTTTCATCCAAGTAAATAATTAGCCTTTGTTGTTCTTTGTAAATTCTATTTTTTTCTAGATATTCCAGTCGCCATTTCCGAATTCTAAAAGATTTCATTAAAACTTGCCGTTTGTCAATTTTTTAAAATCTAAAACCCATGTCTTGAATACACTTCCATAAGGTAGTTCTGCCAGATTTAACACCGGTTTGATCATATTCAAACCTCCTAATTAAGATATCTAATATAGGCACGCTTTGTTCCTAATATAACTGGTAAATTTCACGCCGTATTACATATCTTGATCACTTCCATCTACACTCGAGAAAATGTCAGCATCGCTTCTTTTTTTCCTCGCTGAAATGGGATTATTCACAATTTTCCATACAGTTGATGTGGCCGTTTCTTCTAAAGATGCTTGCTTACTGGCACCACGTTCAATGAGAGTCAAATAAACACTGTTTGTAACTTCCTTAGTCTCATTAGAAAAATGTTTTCTACATTTGGGAGGGAGCATCTCCTGAGATACACTAGACTCGCATATATTTTGCATAATTCGCACACGATTCACCACACGCTGTATTACACACGAAATAAGAATGATTACTAATAGACTTATACTAAGTAGAATCCCAAACCAAAGAATATTAAACAGAGGCAGGTATAAAATTATTTTCTTTTACGGACCACAATTTTACCTGAATTTAAATTCCGAAACTTTAGGTAATAATCTTGTTGCATTGTGTGTTAATGACCACCCTTGGATAATCCCATTCAAAAGCAATTGGTCACTTTCTTATATCTATGAACAGACCATACCAGGTAGTTGCGTCATTATGTCAAGAGTTGTCTAGCCCCAATAACATTGGCCCTAAGTTCTGCGTAATTTAATTATAGCACAATTCTCAGAACTGGCAAAAAAACATCCGTTTTAACATATCAAGTTATAGGAAGCATGTCGATTTTAGATCAAGGCAAATTGTATCTCGCTATGCATCATCGACGACTGCGGCGATTCTGACCTCCCACTTCTGGAACTGTCATTTTCCGACCTCGAACTCAGTCAACTTCTGCCCAGTTTCAGCGTAAGGGACCCGGTTCATCCTCAGGGCTATCTGTATTGCAGCTTGGCTAGCGATTACTACAACAGAGTGTTGTCCGGCTGGGAACCGATCGTCGAGCCATGGATGTACGATTGATTTCCTTTAAAACATTTCTTTTAAACTTACCGATTCAAATGTTCCGTAGCTGCAAATTGTCTTGGGAGAAGGTTTTTTCGCAAAGCCTGCTGAAGAACCGTATAATGTTGAGGGTCGATTCCGCGTACACGTTCAACGTGAATATAACTTCGACGTTCATGGATTTATACAAGCAAGTGAAGGAAAACTGGATGCGTGACTTTTACACCCAAAATTCGTCGAACTTTGGTTCTGTGTCGAATCACGCGAGTACGAGCGGATTCAGGAGGCGCACCCCTTTCGTTCCTTTCGCGCTCAAAAACGATACCGGGTCGTCGTTAAAGTTTACCATGATCGTATCGGATCTGGATACTTTTAGCAAACCGACGGTGTCGAGTAGCGATGAGATTTGGCATGTCGTCGAACCGGGCAAAACTGTACCGTTTTCCTTTACGGGCAGAGGTAATCCGCCGAGTAAAGGGTGATTAAAAAAAATGACGCCCCGATTTTTATTTAGATAAATTGAGACATAGGAATTCGCACAAAACGAAATTACACCAACTGGGTGTAAAAGTGGATGGTTGGCAGGTCATTGATCCCGTTACCGTCGACAAAGTGGGTACTTATTTCAGGGACGTTTCCGCAGAGATCCCGAATAGGGTGAGTACCTTTTTTAAGCTAGTGGATTTGATAAAGTTCGAGTTTTAGCAGTGGAAGTATCAAAGTTGTGTTTTTTAAACGGATCTCTTTCGATTTTGTGGCATTTTTGAGATTTTCTCGAAGATTAAACAACATTTATTTCGGCCCAAAATTCGCTAGTGATTATTCTCTATCTCTGGTATTGATTTAAGGTCAATCAACTGTGATTTAACCTGACGGGGAGCAAGCGTCGCTCGGACCAGTAGGTCGGTACATTTGAATTACTCCGCATGCCTGACAATATACCATACCTCCATATACTATACCTCCAATTACCTTTTCTATACCTGCATATACCACAATATCAATTGTTCTATACATGTATTATACCTTCCTATACCTCTCCTATAGCTCCCTATGTATCAGGTATACTAAGTAGTTCAAATGTACCGCCCTATGTTGGCGAAGCGACGCAGTACGTACTTTTGTGAAATTTTAATGCTCATTCATAGGGATCGTTTATAATTCTCTAGGATTTGTTTGTCGTAGATTAATTATGGTTATATCCAGGTAGTAATACCTGAAATATTTTCAAATAATTAAAAGTTGGTCAAAATATGGTCTCATTTTAATGTTGTAAGTTGTGTTAGCGGAATTGGGAGATCCATATATATATTTACAATTCTTATACAAGGTCTCCAAAAGTTGAACTATGGTTCTGATATAAAATCGGTGTATTTGATTTCCTAAAATTAGGTGCCGTCTAATATGTTGGGGGTTTTTTACTTTTACTAACGTTCTGCATATTGCCTAATGACAAATCACTGGACAAATTTTATTAAATTTACTTAATACTGTACCCCTGCTGGCATACATATTTTTATTTTTTCCAAACTCTGGTTGTGGAAAAAGCTAGATTTAAGAAAATCTTTAAGATACTCCATTCCTTGTGATGTAAATAGTATAGTGTTATTATAAAATTTCAGATGATTTGGAAATATTGGCAGCAGGTAAATGTCTGTCTTTGTAACTGTTGAGTTTTTCTGGTTTTCGATTTTACGAGCCCTGACAACTAAATGTTTGAACACGCATATTGCTTTGCAAATAAAATACCAGTTTACCCAGATTGATCCATTTTTTGTTAGGTTTAACCCTTTAATCTGCTGTACTTGGTAAAAGCGAATGTTCAAGGATATTTTTACATTTGGCTGCGTTTACTGTGCCTTCATTAAAGTGTAAAGGTCCCAACTCATTGTCCGACATACATAATCTCCCACACATACATCAAATCTGCTTTCGTCGCTGTAGATAACCTTGTCCCAGTTATGTTTGGTCCGAGTTTTGATTTGACTCAAATGTAATGTAAGTAGTTGTTGCTATTGTCAATTCAATGGAAATTTCACGAATCGTTTTTCCTTTATAGTAGTGGTATAATAATTTCTCGCACTTTTTGATCAGTAGGTTGTCCACGTATTGTTGTTAATTACGCAGGTCTACAAAATTAAACTTTTTGACAGATGTTTTTATTTTGAAAAATGATTTTATATAATTTTGGTAGGCCGAATGAAAAAACAACGATATTTCTAAAATAATTTATTTTTTTATTGCTCAAGAAAGTGGACTCCTAGTTTAAAAAAGTAAAACTTTACTCAGACTTCTTTTAAATGTACCGAATGTGCAGTGGCACATTTCGTAATTTTGAAACTAAGTCAGGAATATTGCCACAATACACAGCGATCTTTCCTGAGTAAAATCGACATAACTCTTTTTCGCGATCCTGACAGCTTGAATTGACGCCAGATGCCACTAAATACGTCCTTTGGAAGATGCAAATCATTTAATCCATTCATCATCATTTAATTCGCTCTGGTTCAACACTTTGGGCTCTCTGAAATCTGAGTCATCCGGGTCGGAATAGATTCCTCTGATTCTGACGATATGACGTTCTTTTGGAGCGGTAGGTATCGGTACTCCTCATGAGGAGCCCAGGACTTGTCTTGGTCGCCAATTTTTACACCAAAATATACATTTTTCACAAAAGAAATTATAGTTTCTTACTTGGATTGTTCACACAGTGTCTTCTTTCCATATTAATATGTTCTAGAACACTAGAAATATGCAACAACGAAGACAAAAGCAGCAAACATAGTAGCACGACGACGAATACAACCAAACTGCGCATAAGCATGTTGCAACGCTGTATTGACGCTTCTGCGCCAACACTGTTGCTTTCTAGAGAAATCTAATATTATCCAGTATTGCAAATCACATTTAACGTCATAAAAATCAATTCATTCAAAAATCATGCCTAACATGCAACAAACATATTCATGTCGTAGGTATGTATATTAATAAAATGAAATTTTTAAGATATAGAGCGCTATAAAAAACATGACGATATAGAGTATAAATATGGCATTTTTTTGAAAAAGGGCCCCCAAAAAATAAACAAATAAGCAAAAGCCGGAACGTGAGCAAAAGCAAAATATGTTCCAATATTTGGTTGTTAGTAGTTTTCGATTATCAATCAATATAAACTATTCAATTAAAACCTAAAAATAATTCCATACATAATAAAAAATGTTTTAAATTTTATATTTAGAATAAAAAAAAATAAATTAAAGAATTTCGGTAAACTGGCATTTTATTCGCCAAAGTGACTGCTCGATGCAACATGTAGTTATTAGAACTCGTTTCTGTTTGTGTCTGTCCGTTTATTCGTCCCTACGTCTCTAGCGAAACGTATTTTAGTTCGTGGACATTCCTCCGGCCCGGGTTGTATTTAACGTCGCCTTAGAGGGATCTGCGAGAAAGTTAGTGACGGTTAGGTCCGCCCTGGTGATTATAAACGACCTGCCAAATCTAATGGAGGTAAAATTGGAAAGTCGACTGCCTCACGATTCGGTCTCTATGTGGGTACGTACGATCCACTATCCGTACCGGCGGGAAACTTACAGGATTCGATTAAAATTTCCAGGTACCGAGCAGATTGTTCACGATAAACCCGATGGGCAGTTTGGCCGTGCCCTTGTCACACGCGCAAGCTCAGTCGGAGATTAACGTGAGACCGGCCGGTATGCCTTATCAGTACACGTTTTCTGCGTCTGCGCTGAGTTGGAATCAGATGCCCGCCAACGTCGACAGGGTTTTCCTGACGAGCACGTGTCACACTCACAAGGGACACAATTACAGGTGAATTGATTTACGTTTCCATTTCTTTATCGAATGTTTTAAAATTTTAATTCATTTCCGAGGTTAGCGCCAAAATTTCCCGACCTTACATAGATGCAGCTCCAGTATCACGATAAAACTTTGTCTTCTTTTAAATGTATCTTAGTAGGCTGCGAAAAAAAATTCAAATCTTACCTCAAATAGTTTTTTATTGATAGCATTTTAAACAAGGCATATCCGCATATGTCACACATAACGCAAATTGAGTATAGAGCAGTCATAGAGTTTTTGACAAAAGATGGGTTAGCACCTAAAATTATTAAAGAAATGCTGGATGGTGTGTATGGCCAAAGTTCTCCTTCGTATTCTGTAGTGAAAGAATAGGCAAAACGTTTTCGAATGGGGCAAGAGTCCCTTGAAGATGATTCAAGAACTGGTCGACCAGTGGAGGTCATAACGGAAGATATTGTTGCGATTGTGGAAGAGGTGGTATCGCGCGAAGACGTTTAAAGGTCAAAGAAATCTCAGAAATTACTAAGCTTCGAATCCTGTATGATCATTTATGTATTTACGTTAGTGCAAGATGGGTTCCTAAAAACCTTTCGCCTATTCAAAAACAACGCCGTATCGAGTGTGCGCGGTCTTTTTTGGAACTCTGCGGGTCGGAACCGAAGCCTGTGATAGAAACTATTGTGACGGGAGATGAAACTATGGTTCTCTATTATGACTCTCTATCGAAAAAAGAATCAATGGAGTGGCGTCGTAAGGGTGAAGTGAAAATTCAGAGTCTGCCAGTCAAGAAAAAAGGTGATGGTCACGATCTTTTGGGATTGTGAAGGAATTCTTTTGATAGATTTTAAAGAAACTAATACCACTGGCAATGGTAAATATTACGCAACATTATTACATAAACTGCGAGACTGCATACGTGTAAAACGTCTAGGAAAACTGACCAGAGGCGTGCGTCTTTTGCACGATAATGCACCTGTCCATACTGCTGGTGTTGCACAAGCTGCCATTTTAGAGTTTGGGTTCCAACAGATAGATCATCTTCCCTATAGTCCAGATATGGCCCGCAGCGACTATTATTTGCTTGGATATTTGAAAAAGGACTTATGTGGACGGCAGTTTAACGACAAGGTGGAGTTAAAAGAGGCAGTTTTAGCTCATTTTGCAGACAAACCAAAAGAATATTTTTTTAAAGGGATTGAGTTATTAATAAAGAAATGTAATAAGTGTATTGAAGTTAAGGGGGATTATATTGAAAAATAATAAAAAATTGTTACTCTACTTTGTTTCTTTCATATTCAGGCCGGGAACTTTTGGCGCTGCCCTCGTACTTACTTTTAATTTATTTGATTTAAGAAATTCGGTAGAAGCTAACTGTAGGGTTTTCAATTGTATTTTAGTTTGCCATTATTCTTGTGTTTTATTCGAATTTGTATATAAAATATATTTTGATTCTCATTCATGAGACGTTTGAACTACCGTTTATTGTGCTCGTAGATTTTGTGCAGAAGTGATAAAAGAAAAGATCCTGGTGGAGCAAAACGTTCGAGTCGAACAACCGGCCCATAAAATCGTATTATTACCTGCCCTTAAGTTGGTGAATTTGTTACCTTTGGATTTACGTTATTCCATTGCGAATGACGGCGGACATATCAAGGCCGGCTCGAATGCGTCCTTAGTCAACGTAAGTTAACGTTAACCCCAATTAACATTTTTTATTTTAGAACGTTTCGATTACCTATTTTTTTTACATTAGAGAAACGTCTTTTTTATTCTAATAAATACCCGATAGCACTTAAATGGAGGTAACGGTGACGAAATATGAAACTGTAACTCCCCATTTATTTTATTTATTTATCGCCAACAGTTGTCGTTACTCTTATAAACGGTAAATAAGTGTTATAAGAAGCGCCCTCATTTTAAGCACTAAATTGCAATATTGCTCTTTCAATAAAATCAAAGGCCACTTTGAAATACTAAAAGTATTTATAAAAACCTTGGTAATCGCTATAAAACTAAAAGTAACTAGAAAACCCATTGAAAATGCAATGTCGCAATGCGCAAATGTCAAATGTCAACATGCTTTTAAAAATTGTGCAAAATAAAGATAAGGATAACAGCACTTGACGGTCGTTATAAGCTTATGCGAGTCTAGATTTTAGAATAACTGTAGAATACTCAATAGATGCCCCTAGAGTAAAAAAAAACCGTCTCCAAAGGTCTAACAGATAAAGCAACGGAAACGTTTTGGATGTAATATTATAAAACTTATAGTGTTCCTATTTAGTCTAAGAAAGTTTGTAACACCATTTTCTTATAAAGCTTTGATGATATGACGAATGAATGATATTCAACCACGAATCTTACATTTTATGGTTCACGGATCCCTCAGTAGTATATTAATGCCGGTTCTAAGCCACTTTTGGCGGTAAACTTTGAATTATCGTGAATCTTCGTGTATGTTCGGGTTCGCGCAGGAAAATTTCGAATCTTTGGTTATGTTCGGGCTAGCGCTTACTCAAGATTGTTTATTTTCCATTTTAAAAACCGCAATTAAAACACGATATTCTTCCGAGTTGTCTCTTTCTTTCTTCTGAGGCCTCTGTTTTATTAAAATTATCGAGGTAAAGAGTTCTGCCAATGAAAATTCTAGTGATACTACTGCTGTAATTCCTTCAAATGGTTAGGTTGACGTGAGCCAACCCGTAGAGCTAGAATTTAAAATCGAAAACTTCAGCACCTGTTCGAATTTGGTAATACCGATCGGGAATGCGGAATTTTCGTGTAGGGTCAAATTCGAAGACGAAAAACGCCGCAAATTGTACTTGATCGCTAAAGTATCCGTCAACAAAGGAGCCCGGATAAAGGTAGGGTTTCGACAAACACTCCTTCAGGTGTGCCAAGATCGTATTTAAGGTGACCTTGTTTTCCCCGTACTGGATCGTAAACAAAACCGGCCTGCCTTTGGTATTCAGACAGTCCAGCGGATCCGCGGAAGGTGCCGGACAGTTTTCCGAACACGAACAAGCGAGAATGGTCGCTCCTTTGCTGTTTAGTTTTTCCGATCAGGACGGAAGTCACACCATCACCGCGAGGGTTGGTCGAGGTGTCGGCTGCAACGGCACCCCTCAGGTCGGTCATATTGTTTCTTATCGCAGCCGACGAAAAAGACCGGCCCTGCCGCGCGAAAATCACGTGACTCTAATAGATCCAGCAATTTCAGTCAGTCCGGCTGCGGTCCGCGAAAACGCGTATGTTTATGTAGGTTACCGTCGTATTAAATTGTTTAAAACTCCGTTTTTTGATTGTTTTCTTTTGTGTAAGTAATAACTGGAATGTTCTATCTATCTGTTTAGGGTCACGTGACCGCCAATACCGGCAATGCGCGCCCAGGCCGCTATTTTTCGTCGGCTGCGTTTCTGATATGCTGTTCGTTTTGCAATCTCGCTATGCGTTTTAGTGGTGTTCCAATTTTCACGTGCGAAAAGGTACACAGTATAGGAAACTGCACGTTACCATGCGAGACGCTAAACCGGATACCGTCTTTATCGTCGGTATCGAGGTGCGATCTGGTCGAGGTAAGTACCGGGACACCTATATAATTACGATATCTCCCCGGTACCAGCTGCACAATAGAAGTTCCTACAAATTGGTGTTCGCCCAGACTTGCTTCACGAAAGATTTGGTAAGTTTATTTAAGTAAATGTAAAATTATAAAGAATACCCAAAAAAATCAATGTTTCGTTGGGTGTACCACAATAATTTAATTGAGGTTTTAACCATTATAAATTACTGAGTCCATTCTAAAATAAAGTTATAGACAGGTAATGTCATATGCTCAATAAAAAACCCTCAAACAAGACTAACGAACTCATGTATAAAAACCCTACAGCCGACTTAAACAAGCATTAAAAGTTGGGATGGAAATCTATTCTTCTCTCAATAGAATGTATTTAATAAACACGAACATGCTGACTTAATGATGGACGGTCTTCTTTGGTAGTGTCATTGCACTACTTGCGAGAGTGACTTTTTATAACATAAAATATTATTATTTATTAATTTTATATTTTTTTGAGATTCAAGAAGTGTTTTGAAACAAATATTATTCGAAATATTTTCACCATGGAGCGAGGTAACTAAATCCTCAAACACAATAGGTTCCCTTACACTTCCTCTCACCCCAGTACCCGGAACTACCTTGGAGTGACGTCATTAGGTCATTCATTTTTTGAAAATTAATATACTGAATTAATTTTGTTCTTAGTTTTTATAACTTCCAAATTATTAACATAATTAACATAAAGTTTAACATAATAACAGGCAATTTTGGTTCGTGTAATTGCTTCCGATGAGATACCAAATAAATTTTAATGTATAAATTATTTTGAACATAAAATAATACAAAAGGTATAGATTTTTTGAACTCTTAAAATATGGTATTTGCTCTTTACAAGAGAAATAACCCTTATTTACTGAGAAATACAAAATACCAGTTCATAGTAGTTACAAACCCTGGCTATAATTAAAACACCGCATCTTATATGAATATTTTAATTACAAAATAATAAAAAAATTAAAGTAAAAATACAAAAACTCTCATAACTATATGTATTGCTAACCAAAACGATTTCTCGTACATATGAGCCCTACTATGAAGTTTCTTGTTATAAGTTATGTCTTTTCTTAACAGTGTTCGATAAATTTTCTGTTTTTTTAGGACCGTTTGTGATTGACTGATTTTTATGAAATTTTTCAAACCTTCTATTCAATAATTCTGCTTTTTCCTCCCACCCAAATGAAGGTTGTACGAGCCTTCTTTGCGTTCTATAAAATGTTCAGGACAAACGCTACATTTTAGATATTCTATGCGATGGATCGATAAAATTATATTTTCTCCCGGATTTTAATGCCTTTATTCTAACAGCCACTGTGTTTCTTCCAATAAGATTTAGTACTTGAGAAGTAAACTTTTACCGCAGCAGATCTTGACCAAAACCGTTTAATCTTTTAGTCAGATTCGCAATTTCAAAAAACTAGCCTGAGGACTATGCCGAACTCCTACATGCCGTTCCATTGGCCCCGGCTGGACAAAGATCAACTGTTGTCCGTGTCCATCGAGGAGATACCGGACTGTTGTTGGTCGGGCGGATTTAAAATCGACACCAACAGTTCGATGCACGTCAACATACGGTAAGCTTAAGGCGTTCCCGATCCCACATTGTTCCAATCGTTATTATTTTACACGACAGCGATGCCAACGCTCGCGTATACTTTCTCCGCCTCGAGGTGGTGCTCCAAGGGGCTACGTTTTATGTCGTTTTCACCGACGCCGATACGATGCCGCCGCCGATACGCGTCGATAACTTTTCCGAAGTGTCCATTAAGTTCGGCCAAAGTTGTTACATCGAGATCATGCACAGCACGGCGAGGGCGCACTCTAGCGTGCCCTACGCCTGGGACGAACCTACCAGATCGCACGTCATTAAACTGATCGCTCCCGGGGGCGTGTCCAACAGCTACAACATGAACGCTCTGGGTCCCGCTACCGGATTGACTTACGAGAATTTTATTTACATCGCTTTCGTCGGCACTTTTAAAAGGTTTAGGCTTAGATATCGGTTATTCTTTCGTTTTATTTATTTATCTTTAGCGTACAAAGGATACGCGATCCCCACGACGTGGAGTCTCAGGAGCTCGTCTTAGACGTGGGAAAAAACAACAAGGTTATCCTGGCGCGAAAAATACACGGCCAGAGGTCGCAACTGTGGCGTATGACTTCGGAAGGTTATTTGCAACACGAGGGAAGCAGCCCGCCCAGTCACCCGAATGCGCCAAGGTCGACGGACAACATCCTGGTGCTGGACATTGCCAACACGGCACCTCAGCCGATTACATACTCTAGGTAGAGAAGCGTTGTATCGACGCCCGTCTTTAAAACGCGTAGTTTTGGATTAAAACTATTAATTTTTGTTGTCAACGCAGGGTTGGATCTAAATTTTCTGTTACTAGACTGACACTGAGGAGGGTGGACCCGAGGAGACAGTCGACGCAGAAGTGGCACTTTACCGAGGAAGGTCGCCTGTGTTGCGAGCATAACAACATGTGCGTGCAAGCTGAGGACGGATTTTACGGTCTGAGAGAAGGTATAATATAAAATATATAAATATAATAAACCTTAACAGTAAAAGCACATAATCCTATATATTTATTTTAATAACAAATTTTGTTTAATTAATGTGGTAAACTGTGAGCGACTAAGACAGAAAACTTCAATATCATTACAGAAGTCATTAAATGATTTTAACCGACAAAGAGGACTTTTGTTGAAAGAATTGTTTCTCGGGGTTAGAAGACGTTACAGCCTTTGAAGGAACATAAAATTTTTGATGGCTCAGCAACTCAGGGTAACCGAATTTATGTAAAAATATAAATTAAACGTATCACTCTGTGGCAGTCCCCTAGCCGGATAGAAACCGTTTCCATGAAAGTGACAAAAATTGTTTTTAATTTGAGTGATTTACTTGTTACTTTCGAAAATCGATGAAATCGAAATTTTCGAAAGTATCTGCGCGTAACTCCTACGGGATCGCCGTTGGTACAGCAATGATCATCGTCGAAAAAAATTTTTTTTTGTCTGTGTCCGTTCTCCGTTCTCGTGTTTTGGTTTTTCCTGAATAAATTTCGAACCGTTGGAGCTACAAAATTGAAGTTTGCCCCCCTTTTAACCCTCCACGAGGCATATAAGCTTATAAAAAATGGCACTGATCCGGCGCCGGTATACATCTTTTTTTCGCGATTTTCGACTGTTTTTTGGACCTTTCTATAAAAAACGGTAAGTGTCCGAATTTTGAGCAATCGACTTCATATTTGACACATATATGCAGCTTTGCCCCGTAATGGAACCTATTGAAAATGGGGGGGCTGGGAGGTCGGGAAGTATTTAAAAAAAATAAAAATCTCGCGTGCAAGGGTCTACAAAAAAGACTATTGTTCAAAAACCCTTTACAAGACCGAAAAAATTATTTAACCAGAAGACGCAGAAGAAACCACTCCATAAACTTTTATTCTTTACAATTTTTCAAAAATATACAGGGTTCGCCGCAAATTCAAAACAACTGAAAAATGGGTCCCCCTATTATTGAAAAATGGCAATAATTTCAAATCTGTGTTTTAGATGTCAGTTTCTTTTACATGACGATATAGCCAATATAGACAGCTTAAACTTTTGTATTTACGGTTTTCAAGTATTGTACAGGGTGTTCGCGATATTCCGTGCAATATTAAAAAACATAATAAGTACTCCAAATTTGCAGCTACAGATTTCAGACTTGGGAGAGGTAGAAGTCTGGACCCGCATTTAGACTCTTTAAATTGGGAGCATTAATTTTTGTTTTACTTGTGGTTATTTTGGCATCGAGAAACATCTTTTCCTCTAAAGCCATTCATCCGATCGGAAAAATTTTACATTCGATATACGTGGGGGACCCGGCGGTATAACTTTTTTTTCACTGATTTTTGCGATTATATACAAGGTGTTTTAGTTATGGACCAAAATCCAAAAGACCTTGAAAATTGTTCTTTTATAGAGTAAATTATTAACCGTATATCAAAATTCGTACAAACAATAGCTAATCCGTTAAAACAGTGTTATAGGCCGTATACGCTGTTCCAGATATTTGGAAAAATCCAAATGAAAATCACCATTTCTCTCCCTTAATTTAGACGCGATGAACTTTATCAGTACTATGATATCTTTTTCTTAGTCCTCTCAACATACTTAAATGATCAATAAAAAATTCAGCTGTAAGTATTTATTGTTGAGAGTATTGTGTATCCCCCCCCTCCAAAAAAAAAAGCAAAAGCATTAACAATCTCTTCAGGAGTGGCGTAACTATCTTCTCCGTTAATTTTTGTTAACATGATGTTTTCTAGGTGGCGCCGCGGTGTTGGGTCTGCCTCAGCCAATATGCCATCAGGTCACCAACAAAGGTGTGCCGTTGGAGCAGGCGATCGAACGTCAAAGGCTCAGACCGGGATCGGGATTTCTATCCGTGTCGATCGCCATGGACGGACCCACCCAAGTGATTACGATTAAAGACATGAAAAAGAAACGATTGTACGCGATGCCCGATGACCGTGAGTGGGGAACCATATCACATAAACAAAGGCCGAAGTTGACATTGGAAGATGACGAAGAAACGGTAATAGACCGTGTGAAAAAAAACAACTAAATTTGGAATCCATAACTTACTAGTAAATTTTTCCAGCCCAAAGAGACGAGAGAGTTCCAGTTTAATCTCGACCTCAAGGGTATCGGAATCAGCTTGGTGTGTCGTAAAACGCCCGAGGAACTAATCTACGCTCATTTCGCCAACATTGTCGCGGAAACGATTATCACTCCGCAAACTAAGCAATTTTGCATCAGCGTGAAAGACGTGCAGATAGATAATCAGGTTAATAAAATGTTAAGGTTAACTAGTGACGTTATGTGTACGTATTTTGTTTCGCACAGCTGTTAGACGCCTCCGTGCCTGTCGTCTTATACGTCACGCCCCCAAACTCTAGAGACGGCGACAAGGCTCACGACTACTTGCCCGCACTCGATTTAAAATCGGAAGTTCAGGAGCAGTTGAACGAAAACGCGGTCATATTTAAGGTAACGTTGTACCCATTAAAGAGGGGTACACGTCTTGTGATTAGATTTTGGTATATTTGCGTAAATCAAACTTTTCTTTTCGCCGTTGCTAAATGAAACAAAAACATGACAAACGCAAATTGTTAAACTCAATGTAACCAATAACTATAAGAAGAAAAGAATAGAAAAATATAATTAATATTTCATTATAATTTAATTACAAAATGCTAAATTTACAATTCACAGCAGATTAAGAAAAATACTAGACGCGGCATAAAGTAAATCAAATTAACAAAACAGAATAAACTTTAGAGTCGTAACAAGTCTGAAAGTATTAATAGGAATATTCAACAAGTAGATAACTGAAACATAAAAATAATTATACGAAATGTTAACTAAATAAAGTCTGCTTGAAAGTATGGAAAGCCTGACACAGGAAGGTGCTAAAACGAGTAAAAAAGGTAATTTTAGTGGTGATCATTAGCTTGCTGATCTGAAAAAATATTATTAAACCTATAATTAGTACATTGGATTCAGACTAACCAGTTATTTATATGCTATTAGTTTCGACCTACACGCAAGAGGCATTTGGCATAGGCATAGTGTTTTTAATGCTGAAATGTTGGAAAAGTCTTGGGAATTCATTCTAATAAATCGAATGAAAAACTTAAAGCCTTTTAAATTTTATTATTTAATACCCCCAAGTGCCTTGATAAGAGGAAACGAGAAAAGGCAATGACTTTACATTTAGAAGGGTTGAGATTCATGATATTTCTGTTACACCAGTGAAGAAGACTATTGGGATTATTTGGTCATATTATTACATTTAGTTGGATATATTTGTCAAGGTTATTATTTTTTTAAAAGTTATTATTATAAAGGCCAAGCTAGTAGAAAACAAGAATATTCTACACTAGTGGGCCTCTATTACTATCAATATTTTTGATAGAAAATAATTCTGTTGAAGTTAAATAATTCATCAGCGTCGTCAAGATCACGCAAGATATGCCATAACAATAAAATAAAAAAACAGCATAAAGTATAAGTAAAAAATAAGTATCCTTTTCAAGATTTCAAATGCAAGGACTGTTTTCGTTTGATTTCTGGTCAATAAATAACATAAAAAAAACGCAAATATTATGGTCGATATCCAGTAGATCCTTTAGAAAGAGAAGTATCTATCCATTATGGTATCTAGCTCACAGCCTGATTTCTACCGGCGATAGATTTCATATAGCAGGTTCACAGTATGTGATGTAACTGTGAGAATAATTAGTGTCCTTATAAACTTAATTAGACTATACATAAGTTGGCCAAATACAAGAGATTGTAAATTTTAAGTCTTCCATTATTTTTCTTTCAATGGTGGATGAGAACTGATAAAAATATACATAAAAATAAAAACAAAACGAGCACCTAACCTAAAAATAAGCTGGTCTCTCTGACTTTTAGATCTTACCTCAAGCCAATGTATGAGTAAGGCTTAGATCTTAGGCCTAGTTAGCTATGACGTATCAGTATGGTCGCCAAAATGGTTGAACCACCTCACATTGGTTTTTATTTTTCGTTGCACGATATACACCGTAATGAGTTTAGTGTATCCATTTCTATAACTTTACAATAACAACGTTTCGCTTGGTTTAACATTTCAGCATTTAATAGTGAGACTGAAAAAGATAACCGCGATTATAGAGGAAAAATTGTTGCTAAAAATATTCGCATTCGTCGGGTTCCCGTGGCAACAGGAGGAGAATATCAATAGGGACGAGAACGATTACGAGACCCAGCGATTGTTGAGCGAAGTGTCGGCAGCTAGCGCCAAAAGGTACGGGTTGGATTCTTCGTTCAGATTGGTAGGCAAAATTGACGCTTTCGATTTGTAGGTATTACTTTGGGGTGTTGAAGCTGATTCCGGACGAGATACGGTTGAGCGTCCGTACGGCCACGAAATTGTCGAAGCATTTGCAGAATATCAAGAAAAAGATGAACCTGACCTTGATTAGGTTCGAAGACGCGGCTATTCTTCTGGAACCGTTCGAGAGAAAGCATCCGTTTGAGACCAGCCAGTTTTTGTTCAAGTCGATTATAAAGCATTTCAAGGACGTAAGTAATTTATCAGTCACCTTCTCTTTTTTATTCTTTTTCATAGTAGATCGTTGTAGGTTCTAATTATGTTTATAATGACTCCATTTGATAATATGAACCCAATAGAGAAAAAAAGTAACAATAAATAAATGCAATGAAACACATGTATGTATAACTGTTATAAGCCACGGTTAGCAGAGGTATAAATATTCAGGAAATAGGGATATGATTCCATAGAGTTTATCAAGTTCCGGTAAAAAATTCTGGTGTTGCAGTAAAAGTGAGGTTAAAGACCACCGACATACTTGGGCAATAGGTGAGAAGCGACTCAAAGCATATCTTAAGGGAGTCATATCTTAGTCTGATGAAAAAGATGCTGATTGATTTCGAGGCTTCAGTCCAATACCTGAACATTTTTGCAAAACTCGGGACTCGCTAAGAGTTTACTGAAAGGCAAATATAAGGTTATAACAGCGATTGCAGAATAAATCGGTTAAAAGGGAAACAAGAGAAAAACAATCTGATCCTTGTCCAAAAAAATTATTGACAAAATGCCTATCCATCTATCTAAAGACTGCTATAAATTTATAAGAATGAGGGGAATAACAGGGAAAAAATATGGCCCCGAAAGAACGGATAAAAAGGCGTATATAAATGAAGACTTACCTTTAAAAAATGATTTCCTTTTAATGATATTGCTAGATATAAGCCAGCTAAGAAGAAGAAAGATACAGTAGCTTTCAATAGCCTTAATTTAGAGATGCCAATGAAATATTTTCATAAAATTCGCAGAACTGAGTTGTTTATTACATAATTTCGCTGTGGCGCATTTCATCAACAATTCCAGGTAGCATATAGAGGTTATATTAGAAGTATTTATAAAAAATTGAATAAGAGTCGATAGGGACTTCACATTGAAATAAAATTTTTAATTGGGTGCACCCAGCAATATTTTAAATACCACACTAACGGACAAAAATATTATTATATTATTATATAAACTTTTTTCGGGCGACATTGAAAGTGACAATATTAAATATAAAATTTATGGCGGAAAACCAAAAAATGTACTACTTTTCGACTGCTGAGAGTTTGTTACTTCTTGTAGGAGCTGATGTGGCAGGCGGCCATCATATTCGGTTCGATAGACTTCATCGGTAACCCGTTGGGACTGATGAACGACGTGTCGGAAGGCGTGTCCGGTCTCCTCCTCGAAGGCAACGTTACCGCGTTGGTGAAAAACGTCACCCACGGTTTGTCCAATTCGGCAGCCAAAGTTACCGAATCTTTGTCCGACGGCCTGGGCAAAATCGCCATGGACGATTGTCACGAGGAGAAACGGCAAAAAATAAGACAGGTGGTGCCGTTTCGCTGCGCAGCCATCCTTTAGTTCTCTATCGTATGTATCGCAGGTGGAAAGCGGCAGAAGCTCCGATCACCTGATCGCCGGCGTCAAGGGTTTGGGTTTCGGTTTTTTGGGCGGCTTCACCGGCATCTTCAAGCAGGTGTACGAGGGCGCCACCTCCGACGGTATACCTGGCGTCGTGTCCGGTTTGGGAAAAGGTGTGGTCGGTGCTTTCACGAAACCGGTCGTCGGCGTGTTGGATTTCGCGTCTGAAACCGCACGAGCCGTACGAGATTCCAGCAAAAGGTGAGTCATGATAAACATTTCCACGCATCACCAAGAATGGCTGTCGGATGTACCGTGCGTTCAATTTATCTCGATAACGTTTTAATTGGCTGTAATTTTTTTTTGTTTTTAGAGATATCAAGGTAAACAAAAAAACGAAATGTAGATTTAGTAGCCAAGTCTCTTTTCAAGTGATGTATAAAATAAAACACTATCAATTTTGTAACAACATATAAGCCTACATTGAATTGAGGTGCCTTTTACTTATATATTATATATTTTTACATGACAATTGTTTCGACAACACCGTGTCTTTATTAAATCAAATCAACATTTGGTAGACACGGTGTTGGAAAATATAATACTACTATAAATAATAAAATGTGATACCATTGTAATCAAAATATGATATTGTATTAAACACATATATAATATATGTTTTAAAAAAATATGATGTTAGCTTATATGTCAGAAAATTGATAGTGTTTTGTTAAATACGTCACCTGGAAAAAAACTTGGCTACTAACCCTACATTTTGTTTTTTTGTTTACCTTGATATCTCTAAAAACCCTCGCGTTGGATAGAAATTATTACGAAAAAGGAGACGAGAACTTGTTGGAAATTGTTTTCACATTCCTAGAGCAAATAAGAAAATGATTCACTCACTTAGTAATCATCAAATTTCGTTTTTTTTTTGTCAATCAATCGAATATTTATTAAGATCAGAACGAGCATTATATTATAATTATTTTTTGCAGAATACACAAAACACAAAAGGTTGAACACAAGAAATGCAATATGCAGTGGAAATTAGTAATATAAAACATTAGCTTCAAATTATAAATAATACATACGGAAAGATTAAAGGAGAACAATTACAAAAAGCCATAAAGACAGTAATATTAATTCATAATTATATAGAACGCGTAAGTTCGTTAAATAACTTTAAAAAAACGTTGTTAAATAAACAAATAGATGCAAAAGAATTAGATGCTTTTAATAAATTGAAGTGTTTTGTTTTAAGTAAGGGAATCATCATTAAAGGAACTTAAAATGTATTTCGTCAAAAATAACGATGTCAGTAACTATATACACACTATTACTATTCAATACTAATGACACCATTTATGTCCGTCGATTATTTATATATGCGCTTTCCGGTTTATCTTTTCGACTGACTCCCTAGCGAGCGCAACATTAACAAATTAAAGCCGCTTGAAAACAACTGTTACTTGGCGTATAAAAAGGTTTTTAGGCTATAGATTTCGATTTGTAACAGCAATATAAATATCGTTTTTTTTTTTGTGTCGTAGTAAGTTGATACCCGAAAGAAATAGGCTGCCCAGATGCGTGCACGGTCCTGGTACGTTACTGCCGCGATACGATTTCCGACTTAGTCAGGGGCAGCAGTACCTTTACGCCGTTAACGACAAGTAAGCACGAAAACCCTGGGGAGGCACTCTTTGGTCAGTTTGCTTAATTTTTGTTATATGTATAATTAGAAATTACGATGAGAAATTATTGGCGTACCAAGTGTTGGGCAGCGTTTCCGAGGATTTACTCTGCATAGTGTCAGATAAAATGATCAGGATCGTGACAGGCGTTAAGAATATGGAATTGACGTCGGTGATCGAGTGTCCTCTGGGGTAAGTTTTGGTTCTCGCCAATTATTTTCGATCAGAAGTGCGCGCGATCCCACAGAAATTTTGGGAACTGAAATGGGCGCCAATATGTTTGAAAGTGATGTGTCATCTATCTGCAGAGGTCGCCTAAAGCAGGAGCTAAAAATTTGTGTTAGAAGACTAGGTTGTTTTAGTTTACCTCTCCAGTTATTGAAACATAAATTAATATCCTCTATTTCATAGATCTCTAAAGAAATCTCGCTTTTTGCAGAGTTGTGGGCGTTGCTTTTATCATATTTAATTTACAGGATGATTAATAAAGAATAGGCAATCTTTAAACTCGAGATACTATATATCAAAGTGTTTGTAGTACAATAATAAAATTAGTCAATTTTAGCTTGTTGACAGAACAACGTTGCTCCTAGATGGCGCTAATTTGACCGTAATATTTACTCTTCTTTAGACCGTCTAACTCTGTGTGTTTTTGACTTATTTGCATTTAAAAACTTTATGGTACTTTTTAAATAAATACGTAAAATATGAAACACTCCACTTACATTAAGAGAGAAGAATATGTGGTTTATGCATTGGCCACCATATTTTGCGTCGCCATTGCACCAATATTTACATGAGCAGTTTTCTCATCACTTGTTTTAAACTTAAACCCTCTGGACTTTTCAATGTGGTCATACTCGACGGATTTAATATACTCTGAAAAAATTAATTCATCGGATGAGTTCCGACGGAAAATGCAAGAAGCCGCCTATAATAAAATAAAAATAAAAGAGAAGCTTTGCTCAACATGTTGCTGACATATAAGAGAGTATGTTATAAAATGTAGTCACCTCGATGGTGGACAATTCCAACATTTGATTTGAACTATTACCAAAATTGTTATTGCTAATTACCGATTTTTTATTGATCCAAAACCATTTCATCTTTAAGATAGTTAGTGTTAAAAAATCAGAAAATCAGAAAAGGTACCATGAACAAATGCAAATAAGTCGAAAAACGACAGGGTTAAACGGTTTAAACTTGTTCCTATAGAAAAATGGTCTCGATATGACAATATTTTTTCCTGTACTATAAAAACTTTTACTGAAAAAACTTTCATTATAATATTTTAGTGCCCAATATATCTAATTTAGAGATTGCCTGTTCTTTATGAATCATCTCGCATAAGAATTCCTATATAGTATAGTATCTATGGGATATACTCTAGTTATAGTGGTTTATCCGCTTACCGTTTGTTTTAGCGATTTGGAAATTTGCAACGTGATTAAGGACAAAGAGGGCAACGAGACGCGTTATTACATAGAAATCGTAATGCATTACGCGGGTCTTAACGCAGCCCTCGTCTCCCCGGTTCCGATCAAAAAGCCCCGCGTCCGATGTCGTACCGCCGACCTGGCAGTCACTACTTCGCAGCAGATCAACTACGCCAAAGCTCTATACATGGAGCACGTGTCGACGTTGAGTAGCGACGACAATATCGCATCTTTTGAAGACTGATCGGTTTATTTCGAGTATTTCCGGGACATCACTGAATAAAGCACGGCTGTTGAAATTGTTGGGTTAGTAGAAAAGCTAAGGTCCGTATTCGTTTAATTTTTTAGGGGTCGGCGCAGAGCGTTTCCAATTGCATTTTTTTAAGTTCAACGGTACGGATTTACAAATTTTAGGTGTCGGATGTACATGTTTACACATTGTCTTAAAATATATCGCGTTGGCTTTTGACGACAATTATTGAAGTCGGTATTGTAGTGAATCTTAGAGTGGTCATCAAGATTTTAGAGAAGAATATTAATAGAGCCCACTGTATGTGTTATTTTGTGTGCTGGAGTCAATCCATCCTTTGGATACTGTATTGCGAAATTTATGCGATTTTATTACCGCTTATTTCTCATCTATTTTGTTGCATTTAAATCTCATTTTACAAATAAATCTATGGAGTCTAGGACGGCTAACGATTATATTGATTTCGTCATCTTCTAGCTTCTTTTTCAATGTATCCACAGTAAGAACAATCTGGTTTTCATAAAGGGGGTATATTTCTCTTCTTTCATATTTTCTTCACTATTATCCAGACAGTGAGATTGAAAATATTTTATTTAATAATTCATTGTTAAAATAACTTTTATCCTGTTTTTGTAGGTAGGCAGGATTTATTTGAAGCTTCCTGTTTAAAAGAATGCTCTGCCTGCTGAACATTCATACACATTTTTCACAATTTGTTTCGCATCTAATAGCTTTGATATCAGCCGACAAGTCAACGTCTACCGAACTCGCCCTTGTCTTGCGTTATGAATAAATTATTCATGGTAACAATAAGAATGTATGAGGGAGGGTCTGTCAAGAGGCAAGACGATATACTTTGGGATGCACTATACACTAACTGTGATTTAATCTTGCAAAAAACGTCATACAGGATGATGATTTTTGTCAAATTTTATGCAACGTGTGAAAAACGCGGCAATATATTGAAATGGTTGAAAAAATCCTGTAAACATAGGGTCGGAAATGCAGCAAGATTTCAAATATCTTTTGACTGATTTTTAGGGTTGACCTAGCCCAAAGTAGACGTTTGTTATATTAAGAATAAAGTTCTTTCGTTTGTTAAATTATAACGCAATGAATAAACAAATAAAAGCAAGTTTAAAGAATTCTTTAGATTTTTTTCTTGCAGGTAACTTAAACATGTATTTCAGAAATAATGCGTTTCCGGGTCTATGATTATAGGAATATTTTTTATAAAACGACCCAAGAAATTACCGATTTAAATATTGACGCGGCTTTTTGAAAGAGTGTACGCTGTGTACTGTCCGAATTTTCGGATATAAAGCAAATTGACATGTTCACGCGCTGGTATGGTATCTTGAACACTAAGTGAATAGACAGGTATTATTTTTTTGATAGCACACTTTACGGTGTTTTCTTAAAGATCATATCTGCAGCTTCCAAATTTATTTAAAAAAAAAACCTTTTTATCTATTCATTATTAAAACTTTGCTTACCTCGTACCAAAGATTTCACTTTCACCGCGAGATACTTATACAGTTAAAAAAAAGTTTTTGTTATTTATTTGTTTAACTGTCATAAAGTGCCTTGACAACTTTGTTGTATTTTGTAAAAATGTTTGTTAGAGTTTATGCCGTTTTCTCTTTTTTTATACTTTTTTTATTTACCTTTGTTCTCTATGTTTTGTCGCGAACCTCTTCGGTTGATTTTAGTTTTGGAGGGTTCGTGGTGATTTCAAATGTAAAAACAGTATTATGTGACACCATATAACGAACAACGCCCCGTAATTCAAATACGCGTTTAAGATGTGGATATTTTTTGTTTTTATACCTGGGAACTTGAGAAATAAAAACATTTTTTGAAATCAACGAATCTTTTATTTCGTGCTGTACATATTTACATATAGCGTCGCGCTAAACGGCTTTAATTTTTGCGCTGGCGTTCTTTATATTTCGAACACGCGTTTCTTGACCACAAGCAATACAGTCGCATTTGGACGGCACCGCCACCTTTTTCATCCACTTGTAGCCGTCCTCGCACTCCAGTTCAACCTCCAGCGGTTGATATTTCGTCGCTTGACAACAAGTGCAAATCGACTCGTGCATTCCAGTTTCTGTAACCAGTTTATGATCAACCTTGCTTTTTTAGGATAACAGTTTACAGACGCGGTGGTCCTTGATATAATATTTTTTAATATATCATTATGCGGTTCTATAATTTGCTACTATAAAACAGTGAATTGAATTATTTTCAAGTTCATAAAATGACGGCTACCTCTACTGTAACATAGAAAAAAAGGGGTTTTCTCAAAAATATTCCATATTAATCTATATCAAAATTTGTTTTAACGTAATCCATTCTAGATAAGCAAACTTTTTGTTCGAACTATTTTTTCTATCTCGTCAAATCAAAGGAAGGGGAAGGGTCAAATATTGGTTTAGAAAAAGTTCAATAACTTTTTTTTGACTAATCCAATTTGGACGAACTTTTTCTTCTTCTTTTTGGGTATATATTACGTATAATGGTATAAATATTTTTAGCTAAGATGAAAGAGGAAGTAGTAGAAACGTCATGGAAAAATCTTTTTTCGCCTTTTAACTTTAGTAGAAAATTAAGCATACCACGTCACGTCTGTCCCCTCTGGTACTATTACTATGCTACGGTTGAAAAATATGTTTAACACATTTTTATTTATATCTTAAAGGGGAATAACGATATTTCCATGCCGGTTTGCTAATTTTGATATAGATTAATTTGGAATATTTTTGAGAAAAGCCGTTTTTTCTATTTGGCGGTGGAGGTTACGCCCCCTAGAGGACATTTTATGAACTCGAAAGTAATGTCCAGCGTTTTCTCTTGGCCAATTTACCTATAATTTTTTTTTCTAATTTGTGGGACTAACGGTTCCTTTATTAATGGGCCACCTGGTACAGGGTAGTGATACCTTTTCTCAACATCTGTCAAAAATATAGACATTTAAAGACAAGTTGTTTGGATTCATTTAAGATTTTAAAATATTATATTATTATATACAGGGTGGTTGTATTTTCGTGAAAAAGTAACAACTTTCTTATTTTAAACAGAATACCCTGCATATTAACTAATTTTTGAATTCATTGCATTCTTCATGTACAATATCCTATACCTAGACCGTACTGTTTTTGACATATTTTGAATTATTCCTGTCAAAAGTAACGTTTACAAGTCAAAATATGTCTATCGATTTCCGACTGAAAGCTTTTCTTTATATATTTAGGGTTAATTTCCTTATGTTCTTTAGTGATCTGTGTACATATTTTGAAAATTAATAAAACCAGGATGATTGAAATGTTATGTTAAAAACGTAAATAAAAAAAATTAAAAGTAAATTTTTATTGTATTTTGCATGGTTACTTCTCAGTCACCCTGTATTTATTTATTTTTAAAATATCAACACGCACCCCTGAAATAGATAGTTAAGGAAACCAACCTCAAATATAGAACAATTAGACTTCACTTTTTGCATATAATTCAATATGTCAAAAAATGGACTTAGTTATAGGTTGTTATTTATAAAATATGTTTTCAAAGTTCCGAGGAATTCAAAAATGTAGGGTGTTCTATTTTAAAATAAGAAAGCTACGAACTTACAAACATCCTATGTATGCACCATTATAACATCTTAAAAGTATGTGTATCCTTTACGTTTTTTTACGTACAAGTTGGTACTACATCAGCATTTACAATTCAATTTCTTGACTAGATGATAATAGAAATTTGATATTTGATATTCAGTTGCTTATGACGTCACGGAAGAAAAATAACACCCACTACTTATTTATAGGTATTGTATACGCCCGTTTCAAAAAACTAATATTATTAGCAAAGAAATTTAAAAAAAAATACGCATATGGGCCAGGAAAAAGTCATCTAAATTGTCATAAAACAAAAATGAAGGCTTCCCCGTCTGGTGATAAGTTATCAATCCCCAATAAACGGTTTAAAGGATAAGCTCATCGAAATAGTGACACCAAACTTCTGATAATGGCATATATACTTACTGATACTGAAGAAAGTAGAAGAATGACAAGTGCCAACGCATTCGGTGAACCCCTTGATGGCTTGCTTATTCACGCACTCACCGTTCGGACTGCGGGTCACCCTTATCATGCCGATGGTCTTATCCAATAGTATAGGTTGAGGAGTACACAAAGCTAGAAATCCATCAGACGTTATTCGCGAAACCTCTCGCTAAACTCGCCTTACTGAGAGCTTCGACTGTGACGTTGCAATATTTGCAGCAGCCTTTCATGTAGGTATCCTCCTCGGCGCAGTCCACCAACGGACAAGTCTCGTACGAACTCGACACTAGGAACTGGCCACCGGCTCGTTCGCACGTGTAAGTGGTACACGTGTCTTCCGATTTCCACGACTCTCCCGGTTTCTTCAATTCGTCGTCCACTATACAAGCAACTTGGACGCATTGCCCGCAACACTCGGTGTGCGACTCTTTATATTCCCAACCCTAGCGTTAAAACTTCTCTTAGAAGTGGTAACCGTCTCAAAAATGTCCAATACTAAGACTAGTACATAATTAATTTGATAAAATTGAACTGAGGTGGCTTTTACTTGACGAAAATCCATTTATCAAAATAAATAAGAACTAAAAGTTCAGATTTCACGAAATTATATATTTTCACATGACAATTGTTTCGACAACTCCGTGTCTTTATCAAATGTAATGTTTACAAACTATCTGCTACTATATATATAGAGAAATTACCATAAAACCTTAATTAAAGTTGTTGTGAGAATTTAAGTTCAATAAAGGAGAGGTATTTACATCTAATTGATCGTTAAGCAATACATTTGAATGTCTCATTTTTTTAATCTCCATGGCTTCCAATAAATTTAATTTTCTACGTTTTGTGGTTGTATGTAAAATATCAAAATTGTCGTCAAAAATGTGTTTTTCTGTGTTTAAGTGTGTAGCACAATTAGAATCTAGACTAGTTTTTAAACGCTCTTTTATGTTCGTTAATGCGTTTCTTGAAAGATCTACCTGTTTGTCCAATATAAATTTTAAGGACAAGATCCGCATTTCAACCTGATTTTTGAGATTTTGGACATTTCGTTTTAATGTTTTTTAAAAATTTTCCTATTGTGTTTTTAAATTCTGAAAGCTATTTTGAAACCACATTTTGACAAATGTTTTGAAACTTTTTCACTATGTACTTCTGTGTATATAATTGTTTTAAATTGTTCTTGTTCTGTATTAGATTTCGGATAAATAGAGTTTACTGTTGTCTGAATTTATTTTTTATTTATAATTTTATCTATAACAAACGTATTGTAGCTGTTGTTCAGTGCATTTTGTTTAATGATATTAAGTTCTTTGTTGTAATTTTCTGTCGAGAGTGGCGTATTAAGAAGTCTGTGTATAAAAGAGTGAAATGCAGCCATTTTGTGTGCATAAGGGTGATTTGAGCTGTTATGTGTGACTGTGTCCGTGTGTGAAGGTTTATGATAAATGGAAAAATCTAATTTGTTTTGCGTTTTCGTAATAGTTAAGTATAAAAAATTAATAGAGTTATCCTGTTCAATCCCGATAGTGAATTTTATACGATTATGTAATGAGTTAGTGTAATTTAAAAAAGAATTCTGTCCGTTCCAACAAAGCAAGCATAGACATCATTCACGTATCTATGCCACCATAGAAAACTTTTACTTAAAGGATGTTCTAGTATGATATTTTTCAAATTATCCATAAAAATCTCGGCTAACAAAGGACTAAGTGGGTTTCCCATAATCAAACCTTTCTTAGAGATGTAAATCTGTCTATTAAATTCAAAATAATTTTGGTCTAAAGCAATCTAATAAATCTTGTTTAGTTAGGGTGAAATCTACTAAATCTATCACATCCATAGGTGGAATACTGGGAAATAAGTTTTGTACATCCAAAGACCATAGTGTTGCGTTAGAAGGGATTTTGATATCTTTAATTTTGTTGATTAATTGAAAAGAATTTTTTATTGCAAATTTTGGTTTAAAATCTGTGTGGAACTTTAAAATATTTACTAATTTTGTTGAGAGTTTAACTGCTGGAGCTGTTACATAAGGCACGACTGGTCTAATGCACATATCTTGTTTGTGTAATTTACCTAAAGAATATAATTTCGGCGGTTGTGGATTCATAATTGTTAAAAAATATTTGTTTTTGTCACTAAATAGTGGGGACTTAGTAATTACTTCCTTGACTTGTCTTTGAGATAACTCAGTAGGATCGAGTTTGATACATTGAAACAGTTCTGGTTTAAGAAAACTGTTGGTTTTTGAAATATATTCTGGAAGATCGATAGCTATGACTGCCTTACCTTTATCTGCACGTGTAAATATCATGTCATTTTCAGGAGCTTTGTTTTTGATAGTTTTACTAGTGACATTCGAGAAATTTCTTTGTGTTTGTTGTTATCTATTAATTGAGAGTTTATTATATTCTCTAATATATGTTTGTTTAATTTAGAATCGTTAATGTCCTTAATTGCTAATTCATAATCGATCCCTAAACAGTCTAATTCTCTATTAATGTATGAGTGTTGTACGTTAAAGTTGAAACCTTTTTCCAGAAATGAACTTTTAGTAATTAATTTGATCCCAAAAACTACAAATACATGACGATTCTCAAACGAGAGATGTACTGTTACTCATCTCAAAGCTGTGTAGATCATGAATCCCTACCTTGGAGCACTCCTTTTTACATGTTTCGATCGACTCCGGCATAGCTAGGCGACCGTTTTCCTTTTGGACGCACGTAACCGTCTTGCACCTGTCGCCATCTGGCGAGGGCCAGCTTGTACCGATCTCGCGGACTTGACCGTTCACTTTACAAGCCGTGGCCTTGGCATCCTTGCAGCACCGCCCCTCTACGTGACGGTATTCGTACACGAAATCCCTCTTGTCCTCGTCAGAGATAACCGGGCAGTTGACCTTGACCGCTTCCACTTGCAGCTAAAACCACGCCCATTAAAACCAAACCTATACTTCTGGGCATATACTCACCGAACCGTTTAAATTCAGGCAGAAATAATTAGTACAGTAATCGGAAGAAGTCCAGTCGTCGCCTACTTTATGAGTCACATCGTCCATCACGCAGGCCACTTGCTTGCAGTACCCGCAGCACTGCTTGGATTCGGGGGCGGGCTCTTCGTACACGTGCCCCTGTTTGCACTCCTTGTCGCAAGTTTTCACTGTTATCTCCTTCTGGACGCCGTGCTCCGTCTCGACGCATTCCATCGTGACGCACGGATCGCTACCCTTCGACCACGCCTCCCCCACTCCGTAGGTTTTGCCCGCGTACTTGCACCCGGTTCGTTTTATTTTCGGGCAGCACTGCTCGAATACGGGCACCGCTTTCAGCTCGAAGTCCGAATAGTCTTCGTGGGTTTCCACGGAAGGGCAATCCGTTTGGGTACAGGTCGGTTGGTAATTTCCTGCAAAAATTGTTCTATTTTTTTTTTTTTGGAGGGGTGCGGGAATCCACTGACAGCCAAACAGATGTCCTCTTCGAACGATCTTTTTGAATTTTTTTGTTGTTGTCGTTGCAATTTTAAAAGCCTTCGATATTTTAAGTAATATTATTTGTAGTATCATTATTATTAGTAACACTGTTACCTGTATGGGGAGTTATTTAGAGGGTCGTGTTGGGGGCGGATACCGGTTACAGCACGGGTTCCTCAGGGCCGTATTTTGGACCATTCATTGTTGTTTCTATATATACGTTTGAATTCCCCAAACGTTTAAACCATTATTATTTTCATCAGTTCGCCGATAATATGCGAATATGCATGTTTTTGTCAAAAGAATTTTGAATTTTATGTCTACTTCAAAAGTCATACAGTAAACTTAAGGTGTTCCACATGTATTAAGATTATTTATCAACTGATATTAAACTTAAACTATGCGATTCTCTTATATTCTTATGGTTTAGATTTGAATATGTTGTTCATATTAGCAGGCTTTAATATCTGCAAGATATTTCTTGCATTTTTCTACTTTGGTGTATAAAGTGAGCATCAATATATGTATGAGAGACTAACTAAGGCCAGAGATATATATGAAAGACAATGAGCAATGACAACATAGGTTTCGGAGCTCTTTCGAATATGACGCAATTAAAACCTATAACTCTCACCTAATGAATATTATTTCTTATCTATTCCGTATTTAAATAAAAAAAGTCTTAGAATTCGTGAGCCTAATGGGAGGTTAAAATGTTTCAATTTTTTCCTTTCTTTATTAGTATTATTATGACTGTTATGGTCTGTTCATAGATATTAGAAAGTGACCAATTACTTTTGAATGGGATTATCCAAGTATGGTCATTAGCATACATTGCAACAAGATTATTAACTAAAGTTTCGGGATTTAAATTCAAGTAAAATTGTGGTTCCTCATAGAAAATTATTTTATACATACCTGTGTTTAATAGTAGTATACCAAACCAAAGAGGTTTACATACATACATAAATACATAAAAGAATAACTATTTTGGATGCTGGCTAGATGGTTGGATTCCAAATGGACTTTCTCTGTCTGCGAAAAATATTAAAGATTCTTCTCTGTATTACCATGAAGACACCACCGCTGATTTATTTGAAAGTTGGTTTAAAAACAAACTAGTTCCAAACATTTCTCCTAATAGCGTCATTGTAATGGACAATGCAAGTTATAACAGTAGACAGTTGACTAAAACCCCTTCCTCATGTGACACAAAAGCAACAATCCAAAACTACAGGTATAATAACGACATTTATTTTCACGAAGATTATACCAAAAGGCAATTAATTGAAGTTCTACAAAGCTTGATCCTACAAAAGGAATACGTCTGTGATAATTATGCAAAAAATCTAGGGCATACAGTTTTAAGGCTTCCACCTTACCACTGTATATTTAATCCCATTGAACATGTTTGGCACCAACTGAAATCTGCCATTCGTCGTAACAATGTTTTTCCCCGTGTTAACTCCAATGTCCTCAAACTTATAGAAATCGAAGTTGTTAACATCCCTCCACAAAGCTGGACAAATTCTGTTAAACATATAGAAAAAGCAGAACAATCGTATATCCATATTGCAAATAATATAGAACAAATAATAATTAGAACAGGCGATGATAGCGATAGTGATACTGATATATTATGTGAATAATTTTAAGTAATTTAAGTAGGTAATAAATAAAATTTGTAATTTTATTTTAGATTTAAACATACATAAATACATACATAAATAAATATTGTTTAGTATCTTTCCTAACAAAACCCCAAATAATTAAATTCTAAGCAAAGTACGGACCTGTTCGGCCATATTTCATGCGTACAGCTTGCCCGGGTCGTTCCTTAATTCGTATCAGTTAGTCACTTTCTGATATCTATGAACAGACTTTACCTGTATATATATATGCACACTTCGAATAATTATTATAATTATTATACTTATTATAATTATTATATATATACCTACCTACGCTACTGAGTAAACATTTGCAGTCTCGGCACGGACCATCCTGCCACGTCTCATTTGCTGCCTTCAAAAGCTTCTGCTTCTCGTACCTATATGAATACCAATCATATATAACAAAACAATGTCAAAATTTCTTTAAATTTTTTGCTACTTAAGGTCTATGAAAAGAACCGCTTTTCCTATTTATCCTGTAAGTAAAGTATTGTAAACACATCCGGCGATATCTTGCAAGAATTCTAGTAATTTTAAGAGTTTTTTTTATTAAATTGGACAATTTAAATCGAAAATTGAAATCCCGTTTACCTCGTTTGGGGCCTTTCCCCACCACTAGCAGCCGCGGCGAAGCCGGTCTCGAAAATGCACTTATCCTTGGGCGGCTCGCACGCATACAGGGGACAACATTTACCGTCCTCGGTCTTGAGGGTGTGATACTGCGGACACTCTTTGGGAGCCGGACACTTGTCCTTGTGGCACACTAGCTTCGCCACGGGACAACAACCTGAAAACAGTGGCGGGGTGAGATGTCATTTCATCGAAAGTAGTGTTTTTATTTACTTCTAAGTCACCCATCTCCCCATCTTGATATAACAAAATTACAGATTGCTAACTATCCAGAAAAATTACAGATCCCTTATTGAGGAATTCGGATTTAGTTTCGTCACTCACTTACAGATGGCAGCCCGACTAAAGAATTATAGGTTACCAAAGATTAACTAACAAGCTAACCGTTTTCGTCGAGTTCTTTTTCGTATCCAGGCTCCAACTGGTCGCCGGTGGAAAGGTCTACTTTCTCGCATTCGTCCGCCGGTTTGCACTCGCAGATGAAGGTCTGACAGCCGTTCGGTTTCGTGTCCAGTTTCAGGACTTGATCTGCGCCGCAGACAAGTTTTTGCGGAGGCTCGCAGGTCGGACCCATCGTTGGTTCGGGTACTACGGGACATATTCGTCAAACGTTTCAGATTTTTTTTATATCGCTAGAATTACAAATTCAATACAGATACTAAATATATAAAGGCCTTGTCTATGCTGATAATGCAGGCATCTTTAAAGTCGACATTAAGAAAAATTGTAAAATAAGACGTTACGGCGTAGATCAAGATAACCGTTGACAGTTTGTCAATTCGTTAGTTTTAGTTTGGGTGTCCTCTTTTAATTAAAAAAAAAATAAAACAATCTTAAGTTGGTAGTTGGAAATGTATTTTATGTTCTTAAGTTGTCAGTAGTACAAAGTAGTCAGTAGAACAAAGATGGCGAGGATGTATTTTTGAGCTCTAATAAGTTTTGTTTTCGTTAGTGCAATTTGAGGCCTAAAAATAACGATAGTCTCCATAGTCGTCGTTCTTTAGAAAGAAAATGGCGCGAAATACAGATTATTGTGTGAAATTTTGGGTATATGCTGTATGAAAAATGTCATAGTACCCTAAAGGAGGATATTTTTGTTCCTAGCGTAAATGAGTTCAAAAACAGATCAGATCGCGATATCTCAAATGTTCTATTAGAAAAAATTGTAAATATTAATTTTGAAATATATTTTATTCCCATTTTTAGATGAAAAATCGTTATTGTTATTTTTACATTGTAAAATACTTTGTAACGAACAAAACCACCTACACGCCTACGTAGTAAGTTTCTCTTTATTATTAGCATAGTAAAGTTACATACATAGTGAATAACAGACCCGAAAAAATCAGCATATAATACTAATTTTTACAGTACTATTTACAAATCATCTGAATTTCTCCTGTGTCGATGGTTGGTTTTGACAACTATTGGCTTCTTCAGAGATTGACTGAACTTGGTCAACAACCGACGCAGTAGGAATTCAAATGATTTGATGACAGTAGCCTGTAGAAGTTTCTTTGAAACGAGAAATTATTATTAATCAAATTTTAAACAAGACATGTAAGAAAAAATGTTGCAAATAACGCAAATTGGGTATAGAGTATATTGAGTAAAGTGTATTTAAAATCGGAAAAAAATACCCTAAACGAATTTAAAATAATATACAGGTCGTTTCATTAAAAAAAAATCAACATGCCAAAATTTAATATTTTACAATTTTATGAAACTTCTTAAAGTTCAATAAAACCATGAAACTTTTGTATTTGCACTTTTTTTTGTATCTCTTATGCGTGATCATGACAATAGGGTGTAAAAATATACGGAAAAACACTGTACGCGTGCAGACACCAAACATAAAAACTCACCGCAGGCGTACTTATCGCAGCACTCGTCTTCCTTAGTCGCGACCTTGACCGCGTTGAAGCCTCTCTCGCATACGGTCTCCTTGCCCGGGCAATACTGCGTGTCGCATTTTAAGGAGGTTCCTTCGCATCGGCACTCGGTACATTTGTCTTTCTTCCACACGTCTCCCGGATGGTGCCCCTCGTCGTCGCATACTTCGCAATCTTTCGGATAGACGCAGGTGTCGTTGAGTAGCACTTTGCCTTCCGGACAGAAACACCCCTCCACTGGGAGCGATTTCTTGTTGCCAGCGACGCCGCCCTTATTTTTCACAGACTCGCAAGTTTCCTGCTTCGCTCTCGCGCACGGCTCGTAGTTCTGACCGGCCGCGCAGTTCTTGGGCGGGCAATATTCGTTGCGCCAGTTGATGCAGAAGCCGGACGCTGCGCAGTCCCTCGCGTAAGCTTCGATCGCCGCGCAGGACAGTTCCGGATGGTTGCCGCAGGTGTCTTTGGCGCACCAGTCGAGGAAAAGGGACGGGTCGTGCACGTGGAGACACTACAAGGATTTCCAAGAATATTTTATAACTACATTGAAATCACATCATATAATTTACTGAATCTTCCAGCGGGATGAAATAATTACAGCGACAAGCCGGCCACTAACGTTTGCCATGGAACCGGGATGCCAAATCGTACAACTTCGCTTTTAATAAGCTCTCTTCAGCAATACCAATAACTGACTATAGATAATTGTCAGATCTCGATGAAAATGTTAAGACGAACAAACGGCGGACAAGAAAATATAACAAAAAACCTACAAGAACAAATAAGTAACGAGTAAACTGCGTAAAAAAACGATTTTTTTTGGATCTGACACACAAAAACTAGTTTTTAGTTACTTCTAGAAAGTACCAACCATGTATGAGCTCTTAATATTAATGGGAGATTATCCTCATCACAGTTTTGCATTTTCTATTATATATTCCGGGATATCATCCGTTCGTTTGTTGAATATCATTTTTCACGCATTGAGTCGCGGACGTTTCGCCAAGATCCCACTTGGCATCGTCAATGCTCGCCCTCCGAAAACACTTCGTGTTGAAGATGCCAAGTGGGATCTTGGCGAAACGTCCGCGAATCAATGCGTGAAAAATGATATATATATATATATATATATATATATATATATATATATATATATATATATATATATATATATATATATATATATATATATATATATATATATATATATATATATATATATATATATATATATATATATATATATATATATATATATATATATATATATATATATATATATATATATATATATATATATATATATATATATATATATATATATATATATATATATATATATATATATATATATATATATATATATGATGACACTAAGTTCCGGGATATCATCCGTTCGCTCGTTGAACTCCGACTGGAATCCTGCATCCGACTGGAATCCTGCAGACGTTTCGCCAAAATCTCACTTGGCATCTTCAATGCTCGCGCTCCGAAAACACTTCGAACACACTTTCGGAGCGCGAGCATTGAAGATGCCAAGTGAGATTTTGGCGAAACGTCTGCAGGATTCCAGTCGGATGCAGGATTCCAGTCGGAGTTCAACGAGCGAACGGATGATATCCCGGAATATAGTGTCATCACATTTTTCCATCCGTGAATCAATACGTGAGAATATATATATATATATATATATATATATATATATATATATATATATATATATATATATATATATATATATATATATATATATATATATATATATAAGATCGTGCCAAAAATACAGATAACCGTGAAAGAGGTTAAACAAATGGTAAAAATAATTTAAAAACTGCCATTTTATCAAAATAAACTCCTTTTTTTTATTGTTGCTCCTATTTTCCGTTCTGAACTTCTTATAAAATTGTAAATATTCAAAACAATTTGTTTAGCATCCGAAGACAAATGGATCCGTTTCTTTATTTGCTGAGGTAGTTTGTCTTCTAAATTGTCATTAGGTTCGACTACCATCTCCATTTCGTCTTCAAATTCAGCGTTGTTTCTGCTTCATTCCACGGTCTCTACATATTAAAGTGTTAAAAAAAACAGGAACCTTCAAAAAATGTTTAATTGTAATATTCTAATAAATATTTATTTGTATTCTTATGACGTACCTTTATCTACCCCCTAGTCTTAACAAACACTGTGGTTGTTTACAAATCGAAGGCACAAAAATATAAGAAGAAGAATGTTGTTAATCGACAGACAAAAATGATTATTTTCAAACTTACCTGTAAGATAAATAGAGCTACTTACCTTTACCCTTTGAACTATCCAGTGAAAACAGTCTTGCAGGGTCAAAGCTGGAGAATCAGGTATATAAAAATGTACTTACTGGAAGGATAAGAACGATACATATCACCTGATATTATAATAAACGTTCCTACTTATTCGAAAATACCACGCAGCATCAATGCTTAATCAAATTTAAAACGGCCCATTTACGTTTTAAATAAAAATTTCAAGTTTCTATAAATACTCGTTACGGTCCATTTCAGGCAAGACCTAATTAATGTAAAATAAACATCTGTTGGGAAGGGTTTTACCACGGTCCTGCGAAGGTCGGCGGCTAAGGTACTGTAAAATACTTAAAACGTCAAAGCAATAAATGGTCGTATTATACCACATACCAGAAAAATAGCCTAAATAGGTTTGTAGTCTATTTTTATCCGATTTGTCTAGATTCACCTATTAAATTAGATGAAGTCAGTAAAACAACACACTATATATTATAATAAACGGAAACTAGAATAAAATTAAACATAATAGTGGAAAACAACACGATTTACCTGACCGAACTTGTTGGTGTCGAGTAACTGCAAACAAGGATCTTCGTCCTCCGGCAGTGGCGGACAGGTTTCTTCCGGTTGATTGCCGCACTGTTCCGGGGTTTGGCCACCCGGAAGGTTCTCGTACAGCCAGCTCAACGAAAAGTCGTTTACGTCGCTAGGTTTATCGCCGTTCGATTTTTTGAGGTCGTCGTCGGGGTCGCGGTTGCAGTCGCCACACAAGCCCTCCAATTTGCCGCCGTATTTGTGAGAGGGCGCCTTCACCGACACTCCTAGCGACGGATAGTATACGGAGACCTGCGCAAATGCGAAACATCCGCTTAACAATACGGCTAAAGTTGTTAATAGCGTATTAGTGACGGTTCTAAGCCACTTTCAGAGGGAAAATTTGAATTGTCGTGAATGTTCGGGTATGTTCGGGTTAGCGCATGCACACTATTATCGTAATCGGCTATCAAATTCAAAATTTTTCGTGCGACGTCGTTGGGCTCTGTCCCAATTTTTTCTCGCCCCTCCATTAATGGAAAAAAATAATTTCATCAGAAGCAACTGTATTATAACGAAAACTTCTTTCTTAAAAAATATTAGTGGCAACTTGTTTCTTAATGAGTTTGCGAATTGTCAAAATCTCGAGGTTTTGTGATCAAAACAAAATGCTAGCTGGCTTTTAGTAGAGAAACAACGCAGTTCGGTGATAAAATCTACGAGGAACTTGAAAGTTGTCTCAACCTCAACGCTTCACCGAAAATCTCAATGCTCAAAATATTCATAGTTTGAACGCGGATATCGCCAAAGGTAAAACCCTTGGATAATAAGATTAGAGATGTTATAAATAAAGGTGAGCTAGTTAATATTTAATAATATTTGACGTGTTTGAGGGGGTCTTTGGTATAATTTTTGTGAAAAACCATCCAAATTACAGCCCTCTAAGGTTAGACAATTACCACTACGCACGAGAAAAATAATTTTTCGGGGTTTTTGGAAAAATTTAAATTTGAAATAAACAGAAGGGAGAAGCAGATATCAAATACATTTATTGTTATTGGTTATTTTGAAACTCATTAACAGATTTCTGCACTTGAACTTAAAGTCATTTTGACGAATCAGATATCAAATACATATAAAATGATTTTTACTGATTATTGTATTTTGTTATTAATTGGAATTGTTTTATTATAATATAGGAATTTTAAGCTAGAATCACTGAATCCCCTTCACAAAGAGAAACCTATTTTGCGCAAAATGGTGAGAAAACGAGTGATCGAACTAGTAATTTTTCACTTTTTCTGAGAATTTAAGATTTATTTCCACACTACGGTTTAAAATTATTAACGAATGTTCTCCGCTATGCGTGCCAGATATTTTATTTATATATTTATTTTTTAGACATACTGGGAAAAAACAAAGAGAAAAAATAAAAAAATTGTGGTAGCAGATATCAAACATATACATATTCAACTATTTTTAATGGTTATTATTTAAAGTTGTTTAACTGACAGTTTTCTATAACAGCAGTTTTAAGCTAGAACCACTTTTATCCCCTCTACTTTGAGACACCTATTCTATTGCAAAACGGTGGAGTAAGTGAAGATTGATTCTCAAAGAGGCGTATTTTGGATTAATGATATTGGGAAAAAATAGAAAAAAAATCAAAAAATTGTTCAAGCAGATATCAAACATATACATATATTCAACTATTTTTAACGGTTATTGTTTAAAGTTATTAATAGACAGTTTTCTATTTTGGTTTAATGCTACCAGTCTGGGTTTCAATTTACCTCTACTTGCACGTCGATCAAGAGCACTTTGTAATGTTTCGTGGCCGTTTCCCTAACGCTGGCCCAATCGGATATTTCCGACAGGTCGGTTATCCGCTCGCTGTCAACGATCAACTTCAACTTGTTACGGTAGTAGTCGACCAAAATGTGCACCTTGTGACCTTGATAGAGGATCGTGACTTTGCCGACGCACATTTTTTCGGGTTTGTCTTTGCACGGGTGGTTCGTTATCAAAACCTAGAAATTCGATTGATATGTAGCAAAAAATCAAAAATCTCGAGAACAATCTCAACCTGGAATTTGTGCTGACCGTCAGAATCGGCCGCCACGTCACGTGACATCACGTAGACGCAGTTCCCGCTCACGGTAAAGTTACTCTCGTCGTACGTGACGTATTGTAAGTGAGGCAGCACGTTACACTCGCAATCTCTGCAGCTCGACGGTTTAATGCAGGTTTCGTCTTTGCGCACGTATCCCGCGGGACAGTAGCATCCGGGGAAGCACATTTTGTCCACTTTGGGACACACGTTAGGGTCGGATATTGATTGACACGTGGGCTCGCATTTTCTCTGGTAGCAGTCGTGGTACACGAACGGAGATTCACACGTGGCAGCTAAAATATTTATTTACTTTTTGCTACAAAATTAGTACCAAATCTCCTTATTGTAGAAGTCAACAAAGTATATCATGTCACTATTTTACGTTAGAAACTAAGGTTCCTCTACTCCGATATTAAGTGTTTACGGATCACCTTTGCGCAGTGGTATCCTGCGCATTGACCTAAGCATCAATGAAGAAACTCGCACGAAAATTGGGTCACACCATGTGCAATAAACATGGATACAACCTATATACAGACATCTGCATCTGCAGAGTAAGATGCTGGGAAGAAAGGGTCCAGAAACTCGTGGCTTCACAACCCGCTACCACTAAACTCTTCCGAGCAGCAGTGAGAGAGAGAGAAAGAGAAACTCTTTATGAATAAAGGGATTAAGGTTTGGATGCCTGAGCGGCACTGTATATAATAAGTCTGTAATAAGATATAATTTATATATATTTGCATTGTTGCCAAATAAAAGAAAAAGACCATTTTACTTAAATTTCAAGAACGTAAGAACAATATATTAAGGCTTATATGAGTAAACGTTTTTACATTAGAAATATTTTTATGTTTCTGCGTTTAAGGCTAGAAGATTTTATTACCTTAGCAACTATTGGCAACACGACTATCAGCTGGAAGTTATGTGTTTGTTATATGTGAAAATACGTTCTATTAAACACTATTTCTTGTGGAACTATAAAGTTTCTTTGAGAAACTTTATAGTTTATGCGTGAATTCCAAGCACATTCTATGGAGAACTACTCCCTTCTTACCGCCTTGTTGCATTTGAACTACTCTCAGAATGTTGGTCTCGTTTGCATATAATGATGCTGAAATTTGTGAGCTTGGATTCTTTTATGTGTTAGAGAGCCATCTTGTTGTTTTGATATCTTTTCTTATTATTGTATTTTAATTATGGAATTAATTAGCTGCTGAAGAAATTCCAGACAAAATTGTTACATTTTTGGCTGAATTAAAAACAGAAAAAAATACTTACGGCAGTCCTGCTGCATCCTCCAATCTGACAAGTCGATACTGGAATCGGCGGATAAGCAATCCACCACGAAAGACTGCATAGCGTCACACCTGCATTCCTCTTCGGCAGTATGGTTCGCCGAGGCCCTTTCCAAGCAACCGCAGGTGCTTTCCAAACACCTCGACACGAAAGCTTCGATATCGACGGCCTTGGCGCAAGCCGACAGCGGCTGTTCTCTAGAAACGCGTTTTGACATTTTGACAGTAATTAAAATAATTAAATTACATTCAGTTCATCAGTTTTAGGTTGTATGGTTTGTGAAACAAGAATGACCTTGGCCTATAACCACTTATATCCCCGCCCATAACTAATCATGTTGCTAAAAAATTGCATTTGTCCTTGGCTCGATGCAATTATGATGTAGTGATATCACAACAGTGTCAAATTGTCAAATTGCAGAAACGTAGAAGTTTCAAATAATGTTATTAATTAATTAACTAATGTCAAATTAACCAAAACTTGCTTTTTAATTCTTTTTTAAAGATTTTGGGCACGCCCTTCCACTTGCGGACTGCGCATTTAATTCATTCATTTATTAACAAACGAAACTCTATTACAATGTCTATTAAACTTTCGACTAACAACGAAAACACAAGACAATAATTAAGAATAATACGTAAACTTTATAGCAAAACATAAATTAAAATAAAAAATTATGATCAGTAACAAGTGAATCATGTCAGAGACATAACTAGAAAACAATAATAATATTCCCAACGCAGTTATGAAAAAGTACAAAAAAAGTCGAAACTTCGTGAATAATGGTCTTTTTTCCTGGAATTACCACAAACTTGATTCAAGAAAATGTCGAAGGACCCAAAAAAGTCAATCGGGCAGTGTTGGTTGACTAGTCTAGTCTTAGCTTAGGTTGGTGTAGTTTTAGAAATGAAACTATTAGTTCTTCAATTTGTATGGTGAATTGAATAGTGAAAACTATGAGCCGTTCTAGTTGCAGAGCCAGGGATATAGATAGATAGAACAGATAGTAACCGGAACCACTGTTATCCCTTCGATTCTATTACCGATAAAGATATGAGTGGTTTTTATATCACAATTTTTACATTAGCGCGGTTGCGTTTTTATTTATGTGCTGAAACTGATTGAGAAGATAAGATAAAGATTGATAATAAAATTGACTGGGATAACTCACTTAACCCTGTTGCACATATCCCACGCTTGATTCTGAACGTGCAATGGACACGCCTTGGCCTCACACCAAGCCGGTTGGTCAGGCGACAGCATCCAACTATCACCAAACTCCGCGGTGGTTCTTGCCGGTGTTCCGTCCGGTTTCCTCTTGTCGTCTTCCGGTTTGTCGTTGAAATAACCGCACAAACCGTCCACCTTGTCTTCCAACTTGTGCACCACGCCGAACTTGACGTTGCCCAAGTCATTCCAAATGACCCAGAAACCGTACCGATTAGACGTGAACAGTATAGTGTTCCCCAGTCTGGCCAAGCCGAAACCTCGATCCTGGAACCCTATGGTCTTCATCTGTTCCACCGAGTACTCGTAGTTGTCATATTCTATCGACAGATCCGGTCTTATGATGAACACGTGGTCCTGGTGCCGGATCACTAGGTCCCTCGAGCAAGTCGCGCTGCAGTTCTTCTTCAGCGAGACGTCCCATTCGTCGTTTTCGAGATCACGCCCGATCACGTGATTACATATGTCGTACTTGTATTCCGTGCGGTCGAACGTGCTGAAAGTGCGGCCGGTAATGTTGCAGACGGCATCCGGCTGGGGCGGCGGATAACAGGAATAACTGCAAAGTGTATATAGGGTATCTCAAAAAAGTATATTCTATTCCGATTTTAACAATAGAAAAAAACAAGGATACAACACAAAGATAGAACTTGAAAATTCCATGAATATGAATTAAAAAAAAAGTCAAATGGAAAAAGACATAAAATATATTAGCGGATTGACGTACTTTTTTTTCATACCCTCTATGTATCCCTATTTATAGCCTACACGGAAACTCGCAACTATATTCAGCAAAGAAAAAACAATTAAGCCAATGGTTGACGACGAAATGTAATAAAGGGGAGGGTGGGGCCCCCCTGACTCAATGCGTAATGCCAGGGGTAAAATGGACCGCTTAAAAATTCGAAAAAAAGCTGTTTCATATTATTATAACCGAATCATAATTAATTTATTGAAAGTGTTATTTTTTGGATTTAGCCTAAAGCTTTCGAAAATCTTATAAATACCAATAACAAATTTTTTAATTGATAGAAAAATAGTTACTAAATTTAGGTAAATTTAGTTAAAATTAATCAAAAATAAATCGACTTGATGGTTAAAAGTCACAAAAAATAATAAAAGACTTAAGTGGGCCGCTTTGTCACACGCTCCTCTATGTTGTCTGTCTATGTAGTGAGAGTATCTACAACTTCTACCAGAACTAACTAAAGTTTTGCAACGCATCGACAGATGGCAGTACATGTTCTAACCAACAAAATTTCGCCATTAGCCTGGAGATGATATCACAAACGAAATTGCAGTTCCCCAACTAACCAAGAGCTAAGTTTCGCCACTCAGCACCTCATTTCTTTAGTTAGCTAGTATTCTGTAAGTTGGTTATCTCAACATCGTCTCCAGGGAACGGATAATAGAGAAGTCCCGAATATCTACCACTATGACTCATGCATCCTTATTTTGGTGGGAGAAAATAAAAGCATTTGTGATTTGTGATTTTCAACACAACCTCCTTGGGAAAACACTTTTTCCCAAGGAGGTGACGTCCGACAAAATGTCTCTCAAGTACCAACGTGAGTTATATAAGTTATATTGCAGGAGAGGAAAGATTAGTTGGAGGCTCAAATGTCTGCACTGCAGAAAATAATGAGTGATTTTTTTCTAGCCAATCCAGTGTGAAAAGATAACCTTGAAGCTAATGTATTTCTATGTAAAATGTAAACTTTTTGCCGAATCCACAAGTATATAATAAGAAAATAAATCTTTAGGTTATGATACGGAAAACTCTTTTTTCTTAAAGGTCCTCGCAAAAGAACTACTTTACCGCACAGGCAAGTTACAATTTTTAAAAAATAGAAAACCGTCATCTCGACATACCTCGGACAACTTTTCGCCTTAAAATTTATCTCCTCGTCGAATACAGGAATGAAATTCGCCTGACATATGGTGGGAGGACATTCGCCGGTGGTGTGCTCGAATTTGGGCGGAGGCTTGTGGCTGACGCATCTGTACTCCGGACAAACTTCTTCCTCGACGACGATCGCGTTAGTCGTCGGTCTCGCCAACTGGTTGTTTTTATAATTCCCTCCCTTTACGCCGCCCTTGGTCCCGCCCTTCACGCCGCCTTTGATCCCGCTCTTAACACCACCGTAGCTGGTCTTAGTGTAAGCGCCTTTATATCTACTTTTCGTGAAGCCCTGCTGACCGGAGATCATCGGGGACAGATACGAGTGGAAACGTTGACTCTTCGATGGTTTCCTCGCCACTTTTTTGTATCCCGGTTGACACTTGACGATCTCGCAAGTCTTCGGTTTCTTGGTGGTGATCGGCTCGATCTCCACGGTAGTCGCGCAGTTAAGCTCGTCGTCGGGGCAGTCCTGGATACCGTTACACCACAAGGTAGAGTTGATGCATATGTTACTGGTAGGGCACAGCGTCGTGCCTTCCGGACACGGCTGGCAGGTGCACGCGCAGGTCGTAGTCACTGTGCTTCGTAGTCCTAAGAGCGTACCGTGGCGTCAAACGATGAACGCATTAAAACAGAGTTTACCTTCTCTGCACTTGTCGCACTGCTTGGGCACGCAGTGGGGGTTACCACCCAGCTTGCAGATGCATTCGGAGCAGTCTTCCATTTCGAACGCGCTACCGACGTCATAAGGGATATGGCCGACCATACAAGGACATTGGGTGCGGTTGACGCACTTGCGTCCGTCCCACCAGAAGTCTGCCACGCACCTGCGGAGGGGAGAAATGAGAGAGGAGAGCAGGGCCAAAGGAAACCAAAGAAAATCTACCTGCATGCGTCCAGTTCCATTTGGGGAGCGTCTATACCCGGACAATGGTTACACGGCAACAGCGCTTCAGTAGTCGTAGATGGTATTTCGAGTAGAGGGTAGGGCTTGAAACAGCCGTGTAGTTCGAGTCTCATTTGAATCGCTTTGTGCCATTTTAGAGGAATTATTTTGATGTATCTACAAAAATACGGCAAAATAATGGAGAACTCTGGACCCACCTTTAGAGTTTTTAGTAAAATGTTGATCAGAGATTTTTATCATTCTATCAGGATTATTCACGATGAGTCTCCAATTAGACATTTATAGAGAATGACTTACGGTAAAAACTTACAAAGTTGGCTACTGATGTAAGCGAATATGAGCTACCTATGTAAAATAATTTTGGCCATGCAGTGCTGCCAGATAAACCCGTAACGTATATCAACTTTCGTTTTTTAAACGGAACACTCTGTATATTATTACATTTTTAGAGAAAAAAAAAACTTTTTAAGAAATTTTGCAACAAAGCAAAACAAAAATTGCTTTGTGATAATGTAATACGAGAATTAACTTATCGCGTGCCGTTCATACAAAAAGGCTCAATTGGCAAGATACAAAAATCCATGTTATGTTGGAATTTCAAATGTAACAGCCCATATTTTTTATTGGCACATAAATGAACAATTTATAATTAAAGCGAATTAAAATTTCCCTGTTAGAAAAACCCTTCCGTGAAAATTTTGACTCGTCGGTCGAAATAATTCTTTGCAAAAAATCTCGATCATCTTGTATTCTAACCAAGATATAAGGGAAGAAGATATTGTAACGTAATTATTTTGTAATTATGCATATTATGTTTGTTTATTATATGTTGAATTGACGAATAAGATATGCCTAAATCATCTTTAGCGCTCTGAGTTTGTAACAGATTTTGGAAGTTCCCTTCTTCGTAGGTGACGAAAATTTGCTTGACTTCTTTTAACTTTTTTCTCATATATAATAACCCTGTATAACTATTCCACCTGTTATTTGGCATTCCTTTCACTTCCAGGTTGTGCCTTTTATGGCTTTTAAAAGATTTTTAATGATCTAATTACTGTTCATGGTGGGCCATAATATAAATGACATCACACAACCGCTAACAATCTGTGCTTGTTAACTCTCGAGATCACGTTAAACTTTTCAAGACCCTAACGGTAATTTTAATGCGGCTTATGTCACGTCTGTCTGTGCCCACTGCGTGTGACGTAATATGACAGTTGATAACGTTCACTATTTTACGCACAATTACAAATATGAAAGATAGCTGGAGTATAACGTACCTCGCACTAATGGGCAGGACGAAATTGTTGACCTGCGGCGAGTTCGAGTCGAAGTTGCCCAAAAACACCTTCTCCTTCTGGACCGTTTCCTCCACGATCGGATTCCACTCCTTGCCGTTCTGCGAATACTTGACGGCGTAAGCGGTTACCCAACCTGCGTCCCCGCCCCTCGTCACAACGCCGGTCACCTCGCGCGGTTCCAAAAAGTCCACCTCTAGCCACTCGGTGGGTGAATTGGTCAACGGTTGCCACCCCCAAGGGCTGTTTAACCTCGCGTTCTTCTTGCCTCGCGTCGGCGACAGTTCCGAGCTGACGGATATCTGCTGATCGACTATAGACCGGTTGCGCATGCCCATTTCGTCGTCGCACAACGCCGCCACGGGCACACCCGCGGTGGTGAACTCGTAGGTGGGGGTCGTCGTCCGCGCTTCTCCGCACCCAATCACTTCCAACCTCAAAGAGATGCCGTTGTTCCAGGTCTGCGGATTGATTCGGATTTTGCGCGCCTCGAACGGTACCCCGAACACTTGTTTCACGGGCGACGTCGCGTCTATCGACCCCCTGAACACCTGGGGTCTCGGAGGAGTACCCTCGTTGAGCACGTAGTAGAACTCGTCGCCGTCGGGACTATACGCCACCCGGTAACTCGTCACGTACTCGTCGTACAACGGGCTGCCCCTTATAACTACCCCGTAAACGGGTTCTTGACGTCCGAAATCGATTTCCAGGTATTGCTCCTCGTTGGCGTATTGAGGCGACCAGCTCCCGCCGGAACTGCCGGTCACTTGACTGTCGAGACGGGCGTGGCTCGGCGCGAACGCCGAACTCAACACGCTGCTAGCTCGAAACGCGTCGTCAGGCAACGGCTGATCGCCCTGTATGAGATTCATATAGTTATCTTCGTCGCATCGTGGAGGCGGGGTCACCGACGGCGCGACGAAATAGGGCGTGGTTTCCCGTACCGACCCGACTCCGCCGACTGTTTGCTTTTCCACGATCGGTTCGGTGACTAACGCGGCCTTGCACGTGTCGTGACACGTATAGAAGTTCGACACGCACTGGCATTCCGCGCACTCGTCTTCGTAGACCGTCTCGCCGGGTTTGACCTTGTCGCCGGTTTTGGTCGAGCACAGGCAGTCGTGTTTAGAAACGCACGTGTTCGCGTCCGCCCAGAAGTGATCCGGCGGACACGCGAGCCTTTTATTGGCTGCTACGCAGCCCTTCTCGCACTTCACGCCCTCTCTGCATTTCCCCTTGAGCCTCACCACACCGAGATAGTGCAGACACAGCCTGTCGCACGCTATCGCACAGCTGTCTTCGATCATACCGGGCGGGCAGGCGGGGGGCAGAGCCACGCAGGAGGGTTTAATTTTCGTCACTGAGGCGGGCCAGTCGCATATCATGCTCTCCGGATTATACATCATATCGTCGCCGCACGTCTTCTCCACCAGCTCGAAGCCGGTGAGCGACGGACGACACTGGAGGAACTTGTGGCAATCGGTCGGGTGTTCTTGGTTGGGTCTAGTTATATCGCACTCTGCGTACGTCGGAGTGGTGGCCGGACCGTCGCATTGACACAACACCCTAATCTCGAAATCGGGACAAGGTTTCTTCTCGTCGGCGGACTCGCAAACCAGCCCCTTCTCGAGGCTACACTCGACATCAAGCCCAGTCTCTTTGGCCGGGATGTGAGTACGAACCGTCCTGCATTCGATGGCGGCCATCTCCTCGCCTCTACACCTACTGGACTCTTTCACGTTGTTAAGCAAAGTTTCGGACGGTACGGGCTCGATGTCGCTCAACTTGGGCTGTCTCTTGCTCTTGTCTTGGTTGATCCACTTGGTCCAGCCCGGGTTACACCTCAGAGATTCCTCTTCCTGGTGAGTCGTGAAGACCGGCGGTTCCGTCGTCGAACAAGGTTGTCCTTTGCAGATCTTCTCGCCCCGAGAGCAGTAACAGCTGTGACAGTCGTCCTCCTCCATGAGATCGCCTTCGAAATACGTCACGTTGTCGTCGAGTTCCAGACAAACCGGTTTGCACACGTTTCTCGGCACGCAGTCTGCGTAGGAAGAGTTCAGGTAGACGTGGTCCGGGGGACATGATTTCGGGCTGCAGCCCTCGATGCAAGCGTCTTCCGCGCACGCCTTGCTTAGCTTCGGGTTGGTGAGGAGATTGTCGCAGGTTTCGAGCGGACACGTAGACACGCACGGGCTGTACTTGGAGCAACCCTCGTCGCACTCGAGAGGACACAAGTTTTGGGATCTCCATTTTACGGGAGCGCCTCTGTTGTTGCACTCTTGCGCGTACGCGGCCAATGCGGTGCACAGGCACTCGCAGTCGCCGCCCTGATCGCACGCGCATGCGTCGAACACGCACCGGTCGAAATAAGCATCCAGAGGTACCTCGGAGTGACACGGGGCGAACAAAGGACCCTTCATCACGTTGCATTTCTTCAAAGCCCAAATTTTTCGGTCGGGTCTGTCGAGGCAGGTGTCACCCACGTCGACAGCGTCCGGGCAGTAGGACTGCAGTCGCCAGGCGTCTCCGAACGCGTTGACCGACGCCTCGGGCGGACCGCCGGAGGGCGTTTGAAAGTCGTCCGCGTCGTTATCGTTGTAATTACCGCACAGCCCTTTGATTTTGCCCTTCCACCTCGGATCAACTTTTACGTAAATTCGCGTTCCTACGAGCAAAAACGGATGACTCTATAAAATTTAAATTATTTTCAAAATAATGAGCGAGGGGATTTCCGTAACTAGGTGAAAATTTATTAAAACTAAAAATTCCATCGGTAGCAAAATTTTATCATAAGGGCTCCCCCCTTCACTCATAACATTTTTCTGGGCATGTCTACCGTCTAAGCTCCGTCCGTCCGTTGAATAAGCGCAGATATGACATAAACAAACCCTTTCTCCATCAAATGTTCTACTAATATAAATTCTTCGAAACTCAAATACTTAAAAAAAAAACATTTCTTTAACAAAAGTTTCAATATCCACTGAACCATAATTATATTGTCAATTTTGTTTACCATCCTACGCCCTCATTCTAGATCGCGATAGAAGAGAAAACCCAAGAGAGAAAGTGGGCGTGTTTCTATTGGCAGTGCGCGATTCCTATTCTTGAATGTTATTCTGTTGAAAACCGGTAGAATTTTATTAACCGAACATTGTTATTTTAAAGAAAAAAATATCACACTTTTTCCTTTTCAAATGTAAATTTTAGATAGGATCAAAAAAAAACTTATTATTTGGGAGAATATTTTGCTTAATTTTGAAAAATATTTTCACCTAAAATATATTTTTATCAGTAATAGCAACTGGTGATATATCTATAATTTTATCTATAATCGGGATAATAGAAGCCCATTCCCTGTGTCGTGCGAAAAGTTCTTGTTTCCTACTAGCTTGGTTTTCGTATTTATTTTTAAATCCACCCAAGCCTATAAAAGATAAATACTATGGAAATGTTAAGTTTATTTATAAAAAATGAATTAAAATATTTAAAAAGTTCCAAACAAGATAATAAAATGACTTTTTTCCACATTTTCTGTTCTTTAAATGGGCCTTCCAAAATATTTTGTAAAATATTGGACAACTACACCCAAACTGGTCATCATTGTCTCCGTGGTATACGATAATTTTCTCAAGAACATTCTCTTCTCATTCTCTTCGCTGATGGACGGAATCAATCAACTAAGTACTTAATCAAAAGTGAACATTCAATGAAAAAAATGTCATTTACAATATAAAAATCTTCTGGATTCCTCCTGCGTTGGTTTATGAATCGAACTTGCTGACGTTGGCATGTTGGCATCTTCAGGAGAAGATTAAAACTAAACTTAATATATATATATATATATGTATATATATATATATATATATATATATATATATATATATATATATATATATATATATATATATATATATATATATATATATATATATATATATATATATATATACACATCGGGAAGTCGGAGGGGGAATTACGCACTGTTCACGCAACCAATCAGCGCGTATGGGATTGGACCTCTGTCCTTGTTCAGTGCCTTATTCCCTCTCTTAACAATTTCTAAGCTTTCGTAGGCATCTAATTTTCTACTATTATTTTTGATTTTTCTAATCTAGCCAATTTTAAATGAGCTAAATGTTCCTTAAATCTAACATTAATTGATCTTTTGGTTTGCCCTACATATCGTTACAACATATTTCATAAATTCCCTACTTTTGAAGGGTATCTAGTTTACCCTTGGGATTACCCAGGAGATTTTTTAATTTTGATCCGGACTGATAGACACTTCAAAGACCTGCGGCCCTGAAGACTCTATCAAGTCCACTTGCATATTGGGGAGAGAAAGGAATTGAGACTACTTTTAAATTTTCCTTATCAGCTTGAAAAGTCGTTGATTTTTGAAGTTTGTTTTTAAATCTAAATTTCCTAATTAACTTATCGATAAAGCTATCTTCATAGACACCTTTTTTATAAGGCTTCTTTCCACCTCAAACCTTTCTTGATTTAAAGGAAATGTGACAAGTCTATGGACTGGAAAATTAAAACTTGCCATTTTGTGTTGAAAAGCATGGTTAGAATCATTGGTTATGTATCTTAAAGCACTAGTGTCTTTCCTAAAAATGTCAAAAACTAAATGATGGATGATGAAACTAATGAAAGGCACAAACGTCAAAAATGTGAAAGATGTATTGCCTTTTCTTCAAAAATGATATTTTCCGTCGCTGTATAGATATTTAGTTAGTGCTACTCCGAATAAACAATTAGTCCCTCCCTCCCTTTAGAGAAAGTGATATTATAATAATTATTAATTAATACGTAGGTTTTGGTAGACATTTTCGACTTTCCCTCGTCCGATTAGAAAACTGATTAATACACTCACCCTTATCCCAGTGGAGAACCAGTCCCAAATCTGGCGCTTCGACGATCACAAACAACCCCTTCTCGCGGACGGTCAGGTGCTTCTTCGTGACAAACTTGGGCACGCGCTTGTCCTTCGCCAAGGTAACGCTCTCCTGGTCGTCGCCCACCACCACCCGGATCGTCACAGACTTCGAACACGTCGTTCCCAACGAGCCGCACGGGACGTTCTGCACGGTGACGTCGAAACTATCCGGACCGGCCACGCCCTTGGCCAATACGTAGTCGCACTGTCCCTGGTAGTCGAAATGTTTGCCGTCGAACGTCTTGTAATGGGAATCGCCCCACGCGCTGCACTCGGCCGTACACTGGCGGTCGGTGCACCTCCACTTGCCGTCCGCGCAAGCGCACGTGTTGCAGTCGCTTTGCACGACCGCTCCCTCTTTGTAACTCCTACCGCCGTGGTGACAAGGACACTCGTTCGGTTTGACGCATCGTTTGTTCTTCGTGTCGAGCACGTAACCCTGTTTGCATTTGCACCCCGCGTGGCAGACCGTCGGCGTGAAGTGTTCCGGGTCGTGCATATTCTTACACGTCACAGGTTCGACGTCCTCGCACGTCGTGAACTCGAAGTACCTCGCCGTGTCGCACTTGGCTTTCAAGTCGCTCGCCCTGGGGAACTCTCTGACGTCAAGGGGCGTGGCCCGTTTGCAACGCCAGAGACCGCCCGCGCAAGCGCACAACTCCAGACCTTTAGTAGCCGGTCTCACTTCCTTGTAACCGGCCGGGTACTCCAACCCTTCGTGCTGACACTTGCACTGCCCTACGGGTACGCACTCGCCGTTGTCGTCTAGGGCTTCGCCTTCGGGACAGTTACATCCCTCGACGCATTGAGGTTTGCAGTCGGGTCGGAGGGAGATGTCGGAACAGGTGCGGGTACACCCGTTGCCGCACACCTGGTACTTTTGGCCGCCCGGACAGTGAACTCCGCACTCTCTGACCTCGTTCCTCCAATCGATCTTCGCCCCCTGCCGGGCGCATTCGGCGGCGTACGCGGACATCGTAGGGCAGAGACACCGGGACACTTTGAACTCGCAGGAGCACATGTCGTAGAGGCAGTTCCGGTAGTACTCGTCCGGATCGACGTGCCAGTGACAGTCGGCGAACAGGTCGGATTTGATTTTCGAGCAGTACCGTTCGGCGTCGACCTTGCGGTGCGCGTTGACGTCGCACGGGTGACCGGACAGTACCTCGGACACGTCGTTGCATTTCTCGCTAGTTTTCCACTTGTTGGCGAACGGTACGACCGCCTGTTCGACGTCGCCTTCGGGTGTGAGGAAATCGTCCTTTTGGACGTTGTTGAACGTACCGCAGAGACCTTTGGTACGTTCCTTGAACTCGGCGGGCAAGTCGACGTATACTCGGGTCACGCCGTCCCACCACACTTCCACGCCGTTCGGTAATCGCACTTGCAAGAAGATGGACGACACGCCACGGATATCGATTCCCGCTATGGAGTACGGTACTTTCGCGATATCCTCGCCGTTGACGACGAGGTTGTGGTCTTGTTTGAGTTTGATTATCTGCTCGTTCGTCCTTATCGTCACGGTTTTGGTACAAGACGGCAGACCTGCCGAACGAAAACGGTTTTGCGGTGGTTCTTATAAGGTAAAGGACATTTATAAGAAGTTTATAAATAAACCTTAGCTTTTATGATAGTTTTTATACTTTTACAAGTTTTGAATTAATACCAAATATATAACACCAGTAGTGCTACAAATTTTGCAACACGTCCAATAAATAGCAATACCACGGATATAAAGAGTTTATAAGAAAACTTAGCTTTTATAAAAAAAATATATAGTTTTATAAGTCATTTACTTGATTACAAGTTTTGTAAGACGTCCAATAAGTATCGAAATACTGTAAGTTTTATAGTGTTGCATCTAAAACCTTTTCTTTTATTTACTTATAAAACCTTTGGTGTTGATTAGTTCAGATTTTTTTAAATGTTTTAAATGTTATTAAAAAAAAGTAGTAGTATAAACCTTAATTATTGTTTTCCTAAAGAAAAATTGGTAAAAAATATAGTACCAGCTACTATTGAAAGTGTGCTCAAAACCGTGATAATATTTTACGAATTGCCCAAGACAATCCAAAATCATCCAAAACTAAAGAAAATCTAAAAGAAATATAGCGAAGAGTTAAAAATGTAGCACTGCTGTGCTAGGTTGGTTGGTTTGTGGGAGACCATTTATTATCTTTCTTGGATTATTTAACTCTGGGCAAAGTATCCAGGCCTTATTAATAGCCATATTTGTTTACACTTAAATTCCGGTACTGAATTCGGGTCCTGGATCAACTTGCATTTTTAACTCTTTTAGGAAGTCAAAACTGCAGCCTGTGAGCTTCGAATGACCTTCAAGCACTTGCTGTTTTCCTTTGACTTTGGGTTGAACAATTTTAAAAGGCACGTACCAGGCCTCAAAATGTTTTAATAAATTACCTTCCAGTGTCTGATGTGCCCCCACGATCTCAATTTTCAATGAAAGGTTATTTACTTTCTACCGTTCTATTAAACATGAGTAATCTTATACTACAGTAATCTGTGACAATCGTACAGTACTCTCGTTATAATGATATACTTTGGTTATCTTGTTATTCTCTTGGTCTGTGTTTTGGATATTTTATAAGTTATTTGGTTAATCTGGTGGTTATATGAGCAACTCTGTTGAATACCGCCACCTACTTTATAAGTTTTTGTTTGGTTATATTCTGTCAACATGAATAAAGATATATTATTATTATTATTATAGCGATAGTGATACTGATATATTATGTGAATAATTTTAAGTAATTTAAGTAGGTAATGAATAAAATTGTTTAGTATCTTTCCTAACAATCCCTCAGATAATTAAATTCTAAGCAAAGTACGGACCTGTTCGGCCATATTTCATTCTTACAGCTTGCCCGGGCCTTTCCTTAATTCGTATCAGCTAGTCACTTTCTTATATCTACGAACAGAGTAACGACAATCTCAAAGTTACAAATAAAGATATCAGGTTCCCCTTTTAAGTAGTCGTGAACTCCTTAGGGCACCTAAGCATCGTACAACCTTATTTCAACGTTCTTTTACGTACCAGGCCTCAAAATGTTTTAATAAATTACCTTCCAGTGTCAGATGTGCCCCCACGATCACAATTTTCAATGAAAGGTTATTTACTTTCTACCGTTCTATTAAACATGAGTAATCTTATACTACAGTAATCTGTGACAATCGTACAGTACTCTCGTTATAATGATATACTTTGGTTATCTTGTTATTCTCTTGGTCTGTGTTTTGGATATTTTATAAGTTATTTGGTTAATCTGGTGGTTATATGAGCAACTCTGTTGAATACCGCCACCTACTTTATAAGTTTTTGTTTGGTTATATTCTGTCAACATGAATAAAGATATATTATTATTATTATTATAGCGATAGTGATACTGATATATTATGTGAATAATTTTAAGTAATTTAAGTAGGTAATGAATAAAATTGTTTAGTATCTTTCCTAACAATCCCTCAGATAATTAAATTCTAAGCAAAGTACGGACCTGTTCGGCCATATTTCATTCTTACAGCTTGCCCGGGCCTTTCCTTAATTCGTATCAGCTAGTCACTTTCTTATATCTACGAACAGAGTAACGACAATCTCAAAGTTACAAATAAAGATATCAGGTTCCCCTTTTAAGTAGTCGTGAACTCCTTAGGGCACCTAAGCATCGTACAACCTTATTTCAACGTTCTTTTACGTACCAGGCCTCAAAATGTTTTAATAAATTACCTTCCAGTGTCAGATGTGCCCCCACGATCTCAATTTTCAATGAAAGGTTATTTACTTTCTACCGTTCTATTAAACATGAGTAATCTTATACTACAGTAATCTGTGACAACCGTACAGTACTCTCGTTATAATGATATACTTTGGTTATCTTGTTATTCTCTTGGTCTGTGTTTTGGATATTTTATATGTTATTTGGTTAATTTGGTGGTTATATGAGCAACTCTGTTGAATACCTCCACCTACTTTATAAGTTTTTGTAAATATTCTGTCAACATGAATAAAGACATATTATTATTATTATTATTATTATTATTATTATAGCTATAGTGATACTGATATATTATGTGAATAATTTTAAGTAATTTAAGTAGGTAATGAATAAAATTGTTTAGTATCTTTCCTAACAATCCCTCAGAGAACAGAGTAACGACAATCTCATAGTTACAAATAAAGATATCAGGTTTCCCTTTTAAGTGCCGTAGGGGTTTTACAAGAGTAACGAAAACGTTTCGAGAAAAACTGTTTCCCGTTATGATACAAAAAATGTTGGTCGGGTAATATCTGAAACTAATACCTGATGAGATGCTGACCGGGAAATTCATCGCCAAGGATATCGCGCCTGCGCAGGCGACGTTCTCAGCCTCGATGGAGAAATTTTCGGTTTTGACCAGGTAGTACGAGCATTGACCCATGAAGTCGTACCGTTTGCCGTCGAACGTGACGTAGTGGGGATCCCCTACGGCCGCACACCTCACTCCGCACGACACCTGAAGTTAGAAAAATCGTCATACCAGAAAAAATGCTCGAAATTAGATAAATATTTACTTGAGTACAGTCCCATTCGCCGCTGACGCAGGTGCAGGTGTTGCAGTCTTTCGGAATCGAACTGCCCGGTGAAAAAGTCTTGCCCCTGAGTTTGCAGGGACACTGGTCCTGCGAGATGCATTTGTTTTCGTGCAGGACTGTTCCCTCCGGACAGTAGCAGCCTTCCGCGCATGATTGTTCGTCTTCTTCGGACGAGACGGCAGTAACGCCGCACATTTGCTGTCCTTTCTTCGGGCCGCACGTCATGTAGATTTTGCCTCCATTGCATTTCATAGCTGCAATAGTTACACTCGTTTAAATATCAATTTGTAATAATAGTAATAGTAATATTTATTTTCCCGAAGACAACTACAAAATTGTATAGGAATAGTCAAAATAGAGTGATTAAGGCTTTCGCGGCCAGCGTTTGAACTGTAAGTCTTTGGCCGCCCTTGACTGGGATTTCTTCCTGACGTTTCGCTAGCACGAGCGGCTAGCTTCTTCTGAGGGGCTTCCATCTCCGCTGTTGGATGCAGACTAGCGCGCTCCCGGTCGTAAGTTGTATTTATACCTTGGCAGTCGTGGAGGGGAGGGGGCGGGGCATTTTAACGCATGAGTATTTGTGACTGCCGGGGCTGTCCTTGTGTTCCTTAAGATGGGGTTCCACAACCACTCATGCGTTAAAATGCCCCGCCTCCTCAGGAAGAAATTGCACTTAACGACGGCCATTAAGCTCGAACAAAAACACTTGCAGTTCAATAGTCAAAATACATAATAGGTACAATATACATAGACATATAAAAAAACAATTACTCAAAAAAATTCGTCTGGCTAGACTATAAAATATTTTTGAAAGTATTTTCTGTAAAGTCGACAATTAATGGATAGAAAAAATAGAAAAAGGGTCACACAATAATTCCTATTAGGATTATTTTTTTGAGGAGGGTGTAAAATTTGTATTTTACAGTTTTTTCGATTTCAGTAGTATGCATAAGAGGGTTCCGCGCTTTAGGACGGACTTGACGTAAATTTGAAGTTGGTGATACAATAGACTCTTCGAGGAGTAAGTGTAACTACTCCTCAGTGTACAGGGTGCGGCAAAAGGGTAGGCAGGATTTCAAATAGTGGTTGTTCGGTTTGGTTCCAGCAGGATGGTGCTACATGGCATACAACGCGTCGTTCACTAAATCTTCTTCAAGAAATGTTCCTAAACAAAGTGTGTGGGGTGATCTTGCCTGGCCGCCACGTTCGCCTGATTTGTCGCCTTGCGACTTATTTTTTTGGGGTTCCCAGAAAGCGATTGTTTTCACACATCGTCCGCGGACTTTGAAGGAAGAAGACAAGAAATTGCCTCAATTCCCCAATAAATGATAAAATGATGCGCTTCCGCGAGAACCTACAAGAGTGCATCGGCAATAATGGTCGTCATTTAAAAGACATCATTTTTGTTTGCTTTATCTAGTTTGGTTCTTAACATCCCAAATAGTATCTATCATTTTGTTGCACCCTGTATTTTATTATTCTGCATTCAGTAAATGGATGCCCATTGTGCTGCTTCCTGGACAATTCACTCCGCTTTACATCCGTTTTGAATCCACGGAGGCTATCATAGCTTCCAGAGTCTCGCTGGTTACCCTAGGGGACCGATGTAATTCGACAAACATCACAAACGAGAAATTAGAACATTAGCCCAGATTGTGTTCTAGAGCCTCTTCTTCACACTCTGCACGAGTCCCACTCAACCCGTATCTGAACTGGTGGTTGTTAAGTAAGCAATGACCCTAGAGAATAACAGAATAGTAAGGCATTGTTTGGCTGCTGTTTGGTTTGGTTAGTTTGGATGGCTCAATCGCTTCCTAACTAGCCAACAATTTTCTTTTTCATCCTGTTTTCTGGGGCTTCTCCTTTATCAGCTCTTCAATGACCGATACAAAGTGCTGGACAGTTTAGTCCGGCAGCCCTCCTAGTCAGGGAGTCAGAGACCACATTGTTGACTAATGTGTCAGCGAGGGTACGGTGACATTCTAATGCTTCTTAGGGAATGAAAACAACGAAAGAAAGAATAATAAGTCCATATATTTTTTTTCGTGTTCAAATAGAGGTTTTTCGGTATTCTGTAGAAAAATTTCCTATTTTTTGTTGAAAAATAATTAATAAAAACACGCACTAAGTATAGGAAGGAAAGGAAAAACTTACGGCAGGTATTTTCGCCTCTCCAACTCGTCAACTGGGCGACTCCTCGATGAACGCAGTCCGTTACGTAAGCCTCCAAGGTCTGGCAGGTGCACGCGGCAGGATCAGACTCTTTGCAGGAGCAGTAGTCCCACGTGCACGCGTCCAAAAGCGATTCGGCGTCGACGACGTCGGCGCACAAGCGAAGTTTAGGGTCCGACAAAATTTTTTTGCAAAAGGAGGTCGCATCATGAGACGCGCCAGCACCGTGGCAGGCGTGCTCCTCGCTAGGATCGTCGCTGCAGGGTTCTGAAATTTCACCGAGTTAGTCTTCCTTAAAATTAAATAAAATTCAACTTCGGGAGACTAGTGCCATAAATATGACAAGATTAAAATTTTGCTGATGATGTGAAATTGTTTAGAAGAACTCACAGTGTGGTGGACTGTGTATCTGAAATGAAGAAATGATTTGGAGGTTCTTGGTGTTATTCCAATAACCTACCTCTAATACATGTGCTTCGCAATAGGTTAAGTGAGGAAGTGTTACGTCAACTTTGCCTTTGGTGATATGTTTTAATGTATTACAATATTAGAAGTAACTTTTAATTACCACCAATTATTTAATGACTTCTGCAATGATGAAATGATGAAGTTTTCTGTCATCACACGCAGCCGCTCGCAGTTTACCACATTAGTTAAACATAAATTATTATTACAGTAATTTGTAGAAAATTAATTATTATTATATTAGTTACATTATCATTATACCAAAGACCTCGACTTCTAACAATGAAACAGCCTTGTATATTCTAATTAAATTTGAGTATAATGTATGATGTAACGCTTAGCCTCCAAGGGTTCAAAAAGTGTGTTTGTATTTAATTACGTCATATTTCGGACTCACCCTCGAGATCTTCGACTTTCCAACTGGTGGCAAGGGTGACCACGTTCTTTACCGGCAAACCCTCTTTGGTCGCCATGTCGTCGCTAGAGTCCCCGTTGATGCGACCGCATAGTCCTTCAGTGCGGTTCCAGAGGCTCTCCGTGACTTTCACGTGGACAAGTTGCCTACCGTCCCACCTCAGGCTCACGCCCAGCGAATCCAGTGAGAGGACCACATTATCGCCTCTCATCGTCACTCTGACACCAGGCAATTGGCCAGGGATGGGCAGAACCTTTTTCGCGGACGCGAATATAGGAACTCCTCCCTCTATCATCATCATAAGCGATATTCAAAAATAATAATAATTAATTAATAATATTATTTAATAATATTTTTTATATTTTATAATATTGTATTGTCTGTATATTAAGGAAACTTACTAGACATATTTCATATAATGCATGTTTCTTAAATATTTTGAATTTTATGTCAAAAGTGCGGGTCTAAATATATCCATCGATTTCTCCAACTGAAAGAATTTGCTGTACATTTCGGGTTGATTTCCTTATAGAAGAGGGTCTACTTTTGTGGTTTGTGGTGATATTTTACAAATAAATAAATACGGGGTGATAAAACGCATCATTAAAAATTTAAACGAAAAAAAAGACGATTACACCGGCTTACCAGATTTTTTCAAGAAGTACTGCTTGTCCTGAAAATAAATTTTGATCGTTTTGTAACAGTTGCCAGCATCGGAGTCTGCCATGAAACAGTTGGGGTGGTTTTGGACGACAATACTGAAGGTGCTGTCGTGAGCGTCCCTTAAGAGCACGTGCGAACATTTGGACACGAAGCTGTAATATACAGAACATTTTTTTATTTTGCGAAATTTCGGTTCATGGACATAATTTTAAGAAATACGAAATAATTTTAAAAAAATATTTTTTCTTTTGTTTTAATGGCCTTTATAAAAAAACATTTTTTTAGTTTTTAAAATTTTATTTTTTTAAAAGAAAACAGTGGAAAAATATTTTTGATTTCATAATTACGATTTCAAAATATGTAACTTCATAAATTACACCAATTTTACTGCACATGAAATAGTCGACGGATATTCCCGAAAAACTAGAAACGGTCAACCATTTTTAAATGATTACGGATGAGAAAGAAAGCAGCAAATGGAACCAGTAAAAGTCTTTGATGGGGACCGCAAAGGTGCAATTCAAAGAAGAAATACCCACCATCAATAAGACTTTAAAGGATTACAGTTTATTCTGTTGCCCAATAGGAAATTTCTATGGACTTCTTTAAAAAATAGATTTTGTTTTGAAAAAGTGTAACCGCACAACTGGCGGTTGAAACACTTGAGAAGTACGGAAGTACCACCAAAGATATTGAATTTACAGATAAAGAAGTAAATATTACATATCGCAAATTTATCCAAATAGCGTTTCATGAAATACGCCCCAGAATTCGTCGTTTTCAACAAGGGAATCTTCCATAAGAAATTGTAAAGTTTTGATCTCCTTCACTATTTCGCACTTAGAGGGAACAACTATAGACTTCAAGAAAGCTATTTTGAATACCAACTAACAAAAAATAGTCACTGTGCAATTAAAATAGTTTAAGTTGCATTTGAATTTTGAAATAGAATCATTGCCTAGGATTGCATCAGTTTGGATCTGCAATATAAAATATACAACAAAAATATCTGTTCTGGTGGTACCCAGGGAGTTAATAACACTCTTTGAATTGGCAAATATAACGGAAGGCCGTACTAAATCCTATTCAAAATGAAAGACCCTAAGCTAAGGTTTAATCACTAAATCCTATTCAAAATGAAAGACCCTAAGCTAAGGTTTGATCAAGGTATTGAGGAAGTAACACCAGAGAAGCTATCCCACATGTCATTAAATTCAGAATGAAAAGAGAAGAGTATCCTACGGATATGGCTGGATAACAATAGGCAATTAAGTGACCCGAACCCAGTGTCGCGAGACCTGCCCTGGATAAAAAAAAAGAAATTTTGCAATGAAATGGAAACAATGGAAGTGGCGTAAGTATTCGTTCTGTCACTCAGTAGTACCGTATACCTAATGTGGTTTTATCACTCTACACCTTTCTGAAATAGACTTTAGTACTGAAACATCTTCATAGGTGGGGAATTCAGAATGAAGGTTTTGGAAAACTGTTTCGTTTTTTGACAATAAAATTTGAGGTTTCACATAAATAAGTGTTGCCAAAGTTTTCTTACCATCACCTACAATCATATGGCATTTCTTTTTATTTGCCACAAACCAGCATTGGGGGTCGTGCGCCTATATATGTGGTCGCAACGCTCACCTGTAAACTTTACCATCGAACGTCTTGTAATGGTTTCCCGCCCACGCGAAACAGGACCCAGGCTTTGGCAACAGCGTCACAAATTTGGTTACGTGCTGGCCGTAGTGCGCATGCGAATCGTAGCCGTTGGCGTTTTCGTTGATTATCTCGTTGAACAGGAGCTCTTCCGGCGACGACGTCTACAACAATGTCGAAAATTATTCGGCGGAACTAATGGAAAATGTGTACGCACGTGATCCTGATGAACGTAGCCGTGGTACCCGCCAGAACCACCACCCGCGTACCCGGAATACAACTCGTGCGGGAAAATGTCGACGTTCGAAGCTTAAACGTGATTGGAAAATTAAATTTATGAAGGAAATTCATAAAAATGTTATAAAAAATGTGAGATTGTCACATGATGTTGTTTCTTAATGTACCATCCTGTATATCGTTTCAGACTCTTGTAGATATATTCTTTTTGGACTTCTAAGATAAAATCCTAACATTTCATCCATTAAATTTAAGAAACCATTATCTTAGTAAGGGCAACGAACAAAATACAGGGGCGCCATTGCCATCTCAGTCACTAATCAATTGCTTGAATTATTTAAGTAGTAAAACGGTTAAAATCTATACAAAACATCCTCTTCATTGATTTCTAACAAGATTGTCTGATGTCTTATTTAAATAGTACGAGGCCATTATAAATCCATGTCTAAACAAATCGCGAGTTAAGAGTGAAGAAATTTCAATTTAGTATATTTATAAATATTGAATATAATTGCCCACTTTGAAATGAGGCTGACAATATTTTTTATATTATTTTTTAAATGTTTAAACTATTAAAGAGTGTTAACTAGTTATGCAGGTCAATGTAACAACCACACAGGTGACTATATCCAGAATTACACAATTCGTATTGAGTTTATTTTTTATTTTGCGAAACGGTGCGTTTGTAAATTTAATAGGTAACATGTTCAATATTTTTAGGATTACTTATTAAATTTTAAATATCATTTACGTGTTAGCTTTAACTATCTAAACATGTAAATAATATTACGAATGTTCTAGCAATAAGTACCTAGTTGTAGCTGACCTACTGAATTTTTGAAATCAAGAACTATGTATCTATCTACTTTGCCTAATTTTTTTTTAATGCAGTTAGAAAAAAAAAATAAAAATCGTAAAAAAATGAAATACTGAACCAACTCCATATAAACCATTTTTTTAATTTTTATATTTTGTGATTTTCTCGCTTTATTTTGTTTATTGTGATGTTAGTGTTTTGATCTGGTCGTCGCTGCTCACGTTACGTGTTTTATTTTGGATTAATCATTCACTAATAAATAATATCGTGATATTTACGAAATTTGCACTGGGGCACTGGTTCCGGTTCAAACTTTCCGCTAGAGTAGTGACAATTGTAGCGAGCTTCTGGCGGGAAATCGAATGGGATGCCCTCTGGACAGGATAGCGAGCAACTAAATGTATCCATGTCTCCGGAGCAATTGTAAGCCCCGTTGAAATTCAGGTTCTTCGGACTACACGTGTCCGCGGCTAGAATGTTGTGAGAAATGAAAATTAAGAATTTAAAAAATTAAAAAAAAAACTATTTTTTATAATTATTCTACCAAGGAGCCATTAAAACAGTATCCGAATAGATCATGTTTTGGTAGTTGAAAAGGCCTTGACCGAAATTTAAACTCCATTATAAAATTACGAGCATTAAGGATAAAGGATGTCAACTTAAAATACTTTTGACGATATTTTTTTCCTGTTGTGTAGTTTTGGTGGATTAAGCTTTTTTTGCATTTTTTCGTGTCTCACACGAGAGACAAGAAACCTGTTTGTAATTATTTAATACGAAAAAAAAGCAAAAAATGACAGACCGGAAGATTATTATTAACGAAAAAACGATTTATTTGTTCATTTTAATTAATGTTGGCATCTTGGAAAAATGAATAACTAACCGTATTGACACTGGGGTCCCCTGTAGTCCTGAGGGCACTGGCAGACATTAAACGAGAGACAGTTTCCGCCGTTCAAACATGGCGGGTCACAAGTGGCTAAAATTCTACCGATGATCGACATCCTTTTTTTTTTTGGTTTTTGGTTAATTACCTCTACAATCGGGTACAGTCGTCCATTTTTCTTTTGTCGGTACCCACAGGCCGTTCTTGCAGACGATCGTAGCGATACTAGAACCGTCGGAAAACTCGTGACCTGGCATGCAGGTGACGGTGCACTGCCTAAATTAACATCATAGATATACTACCTACGTATGGAAGATTGAGTAATCAAACGTCCATAAGTTTATTAGCATTTAATGGATCGACACACAGCGTGCGCTTGGATTTTATAATAACGGACATTTCTCCGTTTTCTTTTGCACTGCTCTTCCTAATTTTCTCCGTCTTCATCGCCTTTCACTAATGCTATCAATCTCCTTCTCTCCCTCCTCCGACTCAAACCCATAATCTTATTTCTTTCGTTCTAAATGTTTTTTTATTGTTTATGTATACCAAGGACGTGGAGTACAAATCGGGTGGTGTGGATGGACACTTTCAAACTTCCTTTACCGCTCTGATGTAAATTAAACCAAAAAGATATGAAAATCACAAAATCAATTAAATTTTGCATCATACCATACAACCTACAGGGTAACATATTTTGCATCTTCGAAAATGATGAGATTAATCGGAAAATTTTGGACACCCTTTCTTGTGGTTTCGTTTACCATAGAAGCCATTATTTTTAAATTAATCAAGATAGTCAAGAAACTGTTAGGATTGGGTATAGAGAGGCCTGAAGGAATCTACCAAGAAATTTTATCAAAAATTAAATATTATATCGGGTGTTCCATGTAAAATAACGAAGTTAGGTGTTGTGAGATTTTCATCGCATGCGATAGTGTTGGTTGATCTTTATTTATTGATTAAGAGGGGAAACGTATTATTATTGAGTATTCAATTTGTGTACATGTTTTTAATTGTAACTTTTTCAATTATAAACGTACGTAGATAATTTCGAAACTAATTTTATTATTACTTTGTATTCTAAACTAATGCATAATTTTTGATTATCTTGTAATGCTTACACGCACTGTAACTTTTTAAACATGACGCTTTCCGAAGAATTTCGTCCTTAAACGATACAGGGTGTTGAAGTTTTACTTTGATAGAATTTTTTAAATAACTCTTAGGATTCAAATTTAAGTCTTTTAATCATTATGGAAGGTTTGTTATGAACTTTTCAAACATATGTTACACATAAACATACATCTATTGGTGACGGGTAGAGACCTGAGTCGCGGTTAAGATAACGGATAGACTTGGCGTCGAATTAGATTCGCTTACTTTGGACGGCAGGATCTCCGAGAATTCATGGGCAAAGTCGGAAAATTTAAACAGGGCTTGTTCTCGTATTGGCACTGGGGCCCCGAAAAGTTCTCCGGGCAGCTGCATTGATTCGGCGCCAAACATATCCCGTTGTTTTGACACTCGGGCAGACAGATCGCTATAAAATGCGGAATTATATGCGTTTACATTTTGCTAGTCGGGATCATTATGGTCGTTTTGAAAAGAAAACGAAGCTCAAACATTTTACGTTCATCAACAAATTTGGAGCTAATCAATGGTTTAAATAACATTGTGTAAGAAGGTATTTTTAGAAATCAGAAGAAAATTGACTAACCTAAGGAACGCTTTCTTTAGGAGTCGAGCCCAACATTTTTTTGTGAAACGCATACTTGAACTTGAACTTGAACGCTTTCTTTTATTTTTGGTTAGTTAGTAAGTTTCTTGAATACTTCGAAAGCAAAAAAAAAGAATTAAAATATATTGTTGAAACATGGAAGTGCATCTTGAATATTAAAAAAAAATTAACAAAGTGTACATGAAAAGTTATGGGAAATTGCTACAGCTAAAACTCAATTTCAATTGTATTTTTTATAAAATGTCGACAAATTTTTTAATTTTAGTTTTGCTTTACTCAGTTTTTTTCATATTTTCATATTTCATATTTTCAACTACACGCTAGCGTGACAGATTAAAACCGGGATACCCTGTAAAAAGTAAATTTTTATGTCATGTATTTTCCCAAGTATAGTAGTAAGTAGTAGTAAATTTTGTCTTTGTTATTGTCGCACGATATACAGGGTGTTATGAAAATTACTTGCTATAATGTAATTAGTGAATCTCAAGCTTCAGAGACATAGGAAAAGAATGTTCGTTAAATTAAATTATTAATATTGAATTAAATAAAGCGCAAAACTCATTCTTACGTTGACAGGATGGGACGGCATCCCAATCAGCGTCTTGCACCCTCCATTTCCCCTCCACACAGCTGATGGTTATTTGAGACATTCCGTTCGGAAACTGATACGACGGTATGCAGTCCGCCTTGCACCCGGTGTAAGACGAGCATCTTAAACCTGCGTTCATGGGAGCTGGAGGTTGTCCGTTACACCCTAGAATAGAAATTGGTGACGCACGCGTCATCCAGATCGAAAGATAAACGTCTACCTCCGTTATACTTGGATATTTTACTTTTCGTATACGAGCCCCCTCCGTAAGAACCTCCACCACTAGCGGCCTTGGTTCCATAGGAACCCCCGCCGCCATACGAACCACCCCCGTAAGAGCTACCACCATGAGTAGATTTCACAGAATATGAATGTGACTTGGAGTAGTATGATCCCGACGAAGACGGACGACCTGAGTAATACGAAGATGGAAATACTATAGCTTCGTCGTTTGATTGGGACTTTGAAGACTTAATGGATCTAGAATAATGTCGGAATAGTTGGACGTTTTTTTCGGTTGGCAAGCTTTATTCTACCCGTAACCGGAAGATTCGTACGGAGCACCGAAATCGTTATCCAGAATCTGCTGGTCAAGGGTTTGCTGATCGAGATTCTGCTGGTCAAAAATCTGCTGGTCCAACTCATCGCCGCTGTATGAAAAAAATTAAATTGATTTTTACAATAAAGGAAATAAAATAATTAATTTATCTCAGACGCATCCACCCTAGCGATTTTGTCAATTTTCGTTTTTTCATTGTCTATTTATTTATGACTAGATAAATAACTAAAATAAAATGTTGCACATTGACGCCCGCATCAACCGGCAAAGTTGGCTACGGGCACTACGTCACTGATAGCGGTTGATTATTGGGATAATTTTGTTGGCTTTAAATATTCCGGTTATGCTTAGCTTTACAATCTATATTGATGAAGCAAGTAATAAAAAGTGAAAAAATATTGAAAGAAAACTATTTACCTTTAAAACAAGTTTTCAAATTTATTCATTTTCAATTATTATTAAGAAGTGTTAAAAATATACGCACTTACCCAGTGTAGTGAATTAAGAAATAGAAAAAAAGAATAATAATAGTCATTACACTTAACTGCCCCATGACTCTTCTTTCGAAAACAGTCGGGTGCAGAATACTCTAAGGAAAATTGCAGTTTGGCTTATCAATGTATTTAAAATATCATTTTATTGGACAATTTCTAAATGCGGCATATATGGTAGCAATCGCAAGAAAATGCGAGACCCGTAGCTATGCGGCCTAACTGAACTTGTGGACAGATTTATACTTTTGAGCGTGGGTGAGGTATAGGAACAGGAAACTTGATATCGTTGCTGAAATTTGCAGGTTTAGATAACTGTGTCAAGGATGTACTAAGCGCGAATTAATAATCGGTTAAAAATAATTTGCGATAAAGTTATTTTTTCTGGAATTTGATGGAAATCCAATTTACCTAAATTGAAAAGGTCCTAGTACTTCTTATACATAAGCCCTATCTGATAACAATTAAGACGCACACCTAGCAATGCAAAACTGGACTGCGATACAAAACTAATTGCCTTTGCAAGACCATTTATTTCAAAATCGAATAAAAAAAAATTGGAGTCGACACGCTCTGACGCATCATCTGTCAAACGAAACACTAGAGGTTGGATTGAGCAACCTTTCGTCGAGTACGCTTTGATTTTGCCTGTACCTGTCACCCGATTCTTGGATTGTTGTTTTATACTGTGTCAATAAAATTTGTCCTAATTTCAGTAAAAAATATATCACCCTATGGAGTAGTTTTCCCAGTGCGTCGTTTAAGGTGGTTCTGCATGAATTCATAATTAAGCCACGTCAATGTTAAACGAAGTGACGTCCGCTTTATTTAGTGTTATCAAACAACGATTTTAAAACATGTCAGCCAGCACTTCAGACGAAGTGAAGGGACCCACCGGAAACGGCGGCGACGGTCCCAGTACCAAAGAAGATGACAAAAAGGAGGAAAATTTACTTGAGTGTAATATTTGCTTGGATACCGCCAAGGATCCGGTCGTCAGTTTATGTGGTCACTTGTTTTGGTAAGTGTTATATTTGCGCAATAGGTTCCGCACAATAAGACCCATCTCTTAGCTGGCCTTGTTTACATCAATGGCTAGAGACGAGACCAAACCGACAAGTTTGTCCAGTTTGTAAAGCCGCGATAAGCAAAGAAAAAGTTGTACCATTGTATGGTAGAGGCAGCACGAAACAAGAAGATCCGCGAGAGAAAGTTCCTCCAAGACCTGCAGGCCAAAGAAGCGAGCCTGAACCAGGAACCAACTTCCCAGGTACATTATTCTCAGGATGTCTCAATTACAACTCTTAAATTTGTAATTTTTTTTAGGTTTTGGGTTTGGCGATAATGGATTTCATATGTCGTTTGGAATTGGCGCCTTTCCATTTGGATTTTTTACTTCAACATTTAATATAGGTGAACCCAGACCTCCGGCAGCACCGCATGGTAGTCCGCAGTATCTAGAAGAGCAGTTCCTATCAAAAATTTTCCTGTGGCTAGCAATTCTCTTTATCGGATGGTTATTGTATGCTTAAGGTGGTAATTCATAGCATTGAACATCATCAGCCTTAACAAGAATTAAAGAATTACCAAACTCATTAAAATAGGAAACGAGATTTTAATATAACTTTGTGATGGGCTGGGCTTAAGAGGAAATTGTTGAAGTAAAACCGATATATATATATATATATATATATATATATATATATATATATATATATATATATATATATATATATATATATATATATATATATATATATATATATATATATATATATATATATATAGAAAAGCTTGACTCGTATCAATATCTAGTGTGTTTGGTTTTTGATGGTTTTAGGTAGATAATAATTTGTACCTCCAGTTTGCTCAGAATCTATAAAATTGTTTTCTAACATATTGAAAATAATTTAAAATATAATTACATGCATTCTTTGTAATAGTTTTCTCCCTTAAAACTAAAACACCCAAATAGTTTTTTATTGAACCTCAACATTCCTACAGTTTATTAATCATTTGATACAAAAAATATTATTACTCCTTATATAGGTATGAACATCTTATTGTATTTAATCTGTTTCCAATGTTAGATCATTTCCAAAATGTTTTAATGTAAAAAGACCCTTCTATTTAGTAATATATAATTTAAAGCAAGTTATTTTTTTTTTAATTTAGACAAAATATTCCAGTAGACAAAAACCAATTTTTAATAACAGTTTAATTGTAAAGATGTACATCTCATAACTCTTTAGTGTCCTTTTTGATATTAAAGCCTCTACTTTGTAGCAGTTGATTACATTCTTCTCTGGTAAGCCTTCCGAGCAAATGTTTCTCCACAATCTCATCAGCCTCGTTTAAAAATATCAATTCTGGAGGTGCTCCTGATATTTTCTTCCATTCAACATTTGCATACTTTGGAATATCTTCGTATACGAATTGCTTGACATCTTGGAGCCTGTTTAGAGAACATCCCGGACAGCTCTTTAAAAATTAGATTCATAAAATTAAAACTTTGTATTACCCGAACCTACCTCCAGGCGGGCTCTAACAATTTTTTGATCACTACAACTATAAGAGCTCAAAAACAGTAAGTTAAAAAAGATTACTGCACCAGTCTTCATTATTGCTGTCTAAACTGATAACATATAATACATAAATTCTCGAGAATCGCTGATAAATAATTGCCTCAGATTTAAATATGTCATCTGTGGTTGAAAAATTCCTTTACTTCACAGATATTCTCTGAAATACCAAAGATTGGTGATTGTCTGGTACGTGTGTGCATTAAATTGCAATTACATTTCTTCTTATGTCAATTGGCCAAGTCCAACAGAACAATTTTATAATAGTATATTTATAACCTTGAACTTTGAACTAAGAAGAAAAAGACACAGCCACTCTCCACCCAAAGACAGAATGTGTACCAAAAATAGAATTAACTACACAGAGACATATTTTCTGGCTTAACAGGTGCCGCTAATAAGCGAATGATTATTGTAGTCTTTACCATCGTTTCATAAATTGAAAAAGAAGAAGTATTTTATGATTGTGCTGTGTATTTATAGTCCGTTTATGCAATTCAAATTTTAAAAAAAGTTTAAGTTACAAAATTGTTTAAGAGTTTTTCAAGTTTTGCTCTAGCTGAATTGAGTTTATAATTTAGGTATGCAAGATTGTGAATCCAGTTTAATTTTCAAGTGGTTTAGACTGTCGGCGTTTTTCAACAATTTTTTTTGTATGCAGTTCACAAAAATATAGTCCACAATTGTCGGCTTTTTATATATCATCTTTTTAAAGGAATATAACTGTGTGTCTTGATTTAATTCAATATGGAAGAACAAGTGAAAAGTACGAAATCATCATGTCCACAGCTAATAGTTTTAAATTCTTCAAATGAAAATTATAACGTTAGCCCAAATGAAACATATTTGAAAAATGAACCTCATAAAAATAGGACAGCATTTAAAGAAAACAGTGCTTCTCCGTTCAAATTGCCATTGTCTCCTTTGAAAGCTTTGAAGTCACCATTTAAGGGTAAGTGTTTAATTGTATAGCTTGGAGCTGTTTTCCAGAAAATTATTTAGGTAGAAGATCGTTATCGCCATTGGATCTAAATACAAGTGATTTAATGCCGCGAGAATCTCTAGGAATTTTACCAAGTGATATATTCTCCAGGGAATCCTTAGGAGGGCGATTTCATATCAGTGTAAGGGATGCTTTTGAAGCTGCAAACGTCAGTGCAAGAGACTCTCTTGGGATTCTGAACATTAGCGAAATTGATTTGGATCCAGTCAATATCTTTGACATAAAGAATACTTTAGAAGAATCAAAACGGAACATAAACGAAACTACCAAAGGTAATATATGATTTCTAGTTACCTAATAATGAATAAAACACTCTCATGTATCAAAAATTATAAAGAGTTTAGTATTTTGCCTTGGTGCACGGAGATCAATAAGCATTCTTTCTGCTGCCTCAAAAATACTTGATAATATAATACCAGCTATGGTTTAGATGCCATTAGAGTTTTTTTAAATAGTAAACATATATTTCAAAATCCTCTGAAGAATTTTGTATTTGATATATTATGTACTCACTAGTGATCTGTGGAATTTTTGAGCCTTTTTTACTTGTTTAGGTGATATTTTATTTTGTGGTTGTGATTATTGTTCATGCAATAAAGATTACTTTATTTATTTTATTTTAGTTTTAAAGACTCCAAATTTAACTTTTGATCTGGACCAATCCTTAAAGCACAATGAACAATTTGCATTTGGCTTGGAAACAGATAATTCAAGCCCCTATAGTTCGAGTTGTTTCAATACCGGCTTCTTATATCCAAATTCAGTAAAGCAGCCACTGCTAAGTGGTTTTTCCGGAAGGTCTGCAATTCTATCATGCAATTCATGGACATCAGAGGAGGTTTCAATTATCCCTCCATTGGCAAATTCTTTACAGCAGGTAATTAATTAGAATATTTGTAACAACATCCGGATGACATTTTAAATTGTAGGATCCTAATTTAATATTCGAAATGTTCAAAACTGATATCTTCAATCAAGGTTTTGAAGGTTCAGAAGTCATGACAAATCTGGCCTCTCCATCTTTTACATGGCAGACTAACAAAGGAAAGTTTAGTACTAGCATAGAAAATGTCAGAAAAAGAATCCAATCTCTTCCAGTAACATTTGAGGAGAAGGTGCTAGCCGAGTTAGAGACGGAAGGTGGAAACCAAGCAAGTATTAAAATCATTTTAAATTTCGTAATATTAATTAAAAAAAATTGTGTGCTATGGTTATGATAGGAGGACTCTGTGTTTTGCGATCTGAACAAGCTTGGCGATGATGCAGTTTTTGAAGGTAAATGCTATATGTTATTGCTGGAAACATCAATCTTAGCAGTGCCGTTTGTATTTTTAGACCAATCAGGTAGAGACTTTTTGGATTCTATATCTCAACCGGATTGGCCAGATAGTTCAGGAGACTCGAGTAATTCTTCCGAATGCGAAGGCAAGGAAAAATACAATGAGGAAACAGTTTCTAGAGCCGTCGAGCTGGAGGCGCACCTCCTACAAGTGGAAGATGTACCAAAAATCAACAGTAACAAGAACGACGGAAACGTGCCTTTAGAAACAAGGTATTTGCTTATGGACTTTTATTCAAACAATTATGCATTATAAAACATTCTTCCGCATTGTTTTTGAACAAAGTATATATTTTCAATGTCCTTGCAGCGCCAGTATAAGTCGAATTTCGAAAAATAGTTGCGATGATAATTCGCCAACGCACGGCGTTTCCAACGACACGGGTCAAAATCGGCCTACTCAAACGAGCGCCGAAAGTGCGATGAAAATTCTTATGAATTTATCAAATATAATTCAAGAGGACGCAAACTTGTCCACATCTCAGAAACAAGAGGGACAGCATATGATCGATATGCTATCGGCTATTTTGTGCCCTTCTCAGAATAAGGTAAAAATGAATTTAGTGGTAAACAGTGGCATATTTGTGTCGGGGCAGAATTGCAGTTCAGAAGATTCTGGGCGGTCTTCTGGTGATGATCGTCGGGTCCAACATACCACGGTTGAAAATGGACAGTCGGTCCAGTCGCGCTCAGTGAAATCAGCTGGATCTGATCCAAAGGTAGGTATATATACTAATGGGTGGTATATCTTACAAGAAAGGGATCTCTTTATTAAATAACCCCACTTTTTTTATAAGTTAATGAAATTTGAGAATTTTTAATCATTTTTGTTAATAATTTTAAGTCAATTACAACATACAGGGCGGTGGAAAATCATTAAGTGCTTTGAGGTCTTTTTTTGTGGAAAATATGTAAAAATATAAAAAATATTGCATTTCAAAGGAAGGAAGCTGTCGGACACGCGAATTTTGAAAAATAATGTCAAGCTTCACTGCGAGCCCCTTAAGGTAGGAACATATTTGTAATGACAGACAAAAAATATGGAATGCAAAGAGAAGAATTAAAATTTTAAGTATGTATAGGCTGTTCCCTTGATCTCGCTCTTTTAAATATTTTATTTTTTCCACCTTTTCATAAATCATTGCAAATAAATAGTTATTCAGGAAAATATTACTTGTCTCACTGTTGCGGTGTTAAACATAAATAGTCAATTTACGCGAATGTTCCTTATAGCACCTAAATTGACATTTTTCTCAGATAATCTAGTAAACATTTTTTTTTTAATTTTCAACAAAAACGTAACCAGTAACCAACAGTGTTAACAACTAACTTATGAATAATAAAAATAGGAATTTTAATTAGCCTAGTGTCCTATTCAGTCCGAATCTTTTGAATTAGTTGTCCTAGGTTCTTCATTTAATGTCATAAGATAATTAGCTCATTTTTTATATTTGATATATTGCATGCTGTATAAATTTAAAACATTCTTTTGTCTTGTAAAATATTTTATATTTCGTTTGCTTTACCATTTTTATGTTATAGTTTATATATATTTACATGTTACTTTCTCGCCTTCATTTTTATTAAAATTACTGACCATTAAAGAACTTATTTTCTTCCAGGAACACCGTGATAGGTGCTTTAGTCCAATGTGCTATCAAATATTCCTAGTGATACAGTGGGATATAACTTTTATCTCTGTGTTGCATTAAATATTACCATAGTATATTACTTCTGGATTTTGCAACAGTGGGATATACGCAATTACTGATATTTTAATCAATAAAACACATATACCAGTTTTAACATTTTATTTTCATAATTTGGCACTCAAAAATGGAAAGTTTTCACTTGGCCCCGCTGTAGCCCTGAGGCGACATCTAACTATACGAATGTTTTTTATGCAAGGTAACCTCGTCAAACAAGAAAGAGTCCTCAGCCAGGAATGGTTACGAGGCAAAAATGCCCGTTACCGGTTTGAAAAAAACCAAGGTATCCCTTAGCGGATCTGTTAGAAAGGGTCCGCTCAGAGCGATAATACCTGTAGAAGACATGACCAAGATTAACACCGGCAATTTAACTCGTTCAACGAGACCTAAAAAAGAAAACGTCCCAAGGTCTAGCAGAACGAGTACTCCGTTACAAGTAGGGGATTAATCACCCGCCTATTAAAAATAACAAACTTACTTGAATTCGATTTTCAAGGAGCCGAAAATGAAACCGATGGCCTCCTCTACCCCCACCGCCGACGGTCAGTTTAAGTTCCCAAAGGATGGCACCGTTTCTCCCACCATCTCGAGACCGAAGCCTGCAAAGTATGCGCCTGCGTCGATCTGAAAGGCCATCGTCGTAGCTCAAACGTATTCCTTGTGTTTCCAGGTCCAATTTGAAGGACAGTCCTTTAGAAGTTGGGAGGCCCAAGACTGGCTCTGTGGGGTTACCAAGGTTAGTTGCCAATCGATCTGCTGCCAAATCCGAGTCAAAACTCTTCAGAAGAAACTCGACATCCGATTTGCCTAAACAAGGTGACCCATTTTTTTTTCTCACGCTAGATTTAGTTAAAAAAAAAATTTTTTCTACTTGGACTGTAATCACTCTAAGTTCGTTAAACACTACCGCGAGTTACTTGGGCGTTTTCCGTATAGTTTGTCTCAAAGTATATTGTGTGTGGGCAAGTCTGTTGTGCGTCTAACTTCTTACTTCTCTGTGATTTGATGTTACATTATTATAAATATTCTCTTTTTAAATGTTACAAATGAATGTACAGTTTTCAAGAATGTGCAAAAACGGATTCCTCACATGAATATGAAAAGTCCATTTCATATGTAACTGGCGACTCCGGTCTGGAAAGTCTTTTAGATGAAAGAGTAAGACCAAAGAACCAGCGATTTTTGAAATAAAATCTGCCCTACTTTAATGGAACTGAATATATGGAAGAATCAATAAATTCTCTCTTGAACTGTATAAACAAATTTAGAGTCTGCTGCATATCAAGATTAGTCTGTGCGGCCTACTATACAGTTCTAGTCTATTGGTAGGTATTAAGGGACAGATTATTAGGGACGGTCTCTTGAAGGTTTTTGAATAATATAACAATTAGGTAGTTTCCTATTTACTGAGGTATGTATTGTCCCAAAACTAAAATAGTGAATTATTCAAAAATATGAAATTTAAAATATCTTCCCAATTTCTTATTATTAAGTAGATTAATCAAATCATATTAACCATTCAGCCAAACAGCTACTACAGAGAATGCTCAGTCCTCTCTATTTCACCGATTAACTTGGATGTTGCACCATTTTCTCGTTTTGGTTAGTTTTGGTTAGTTCGAGACTTCCACTAATCGCTAACTTACGATACTTTGAGGTACACTATCGTTTAGTCAATCAGTTCATTTGATGTCAGGGAAAAGCAACCTTTATATGCACCAAACAGGCGTAGATTGACAGGGTTAAAAATATTTTGACAGGTGCAACTTTGAAACGTAGCCATTCGCTGGGAAAAGAGTCGAAAATCAAATTGACCCTGGGCAAAGTGAGACAAAATATTTTGAACTCGCCGTATTATGCGCCCAGACAGCCAACAGTGGCGGCGCAAGCGGCAGGGAATCAAAACCGAAAACTTGTGGACGTTAAAAGCGTAGCATCCGGAAGGAAAGTCCCAGCAATGGTAAGGTCTTAGACGCACGAACTTCACTTAAATCGATTGTATTTATACCGGGCGTGCCGAAAGTATCTTATTTACGGATCCAGCGTTAAACGTTCACTTTGAAAACAAAATTCGTGTATCTCATCACAACAAATGCCAAAGGTTCAAAGGTAACACATCTAATACTTCCTTCCACGTTTGTTTATTGTCAGCAGCGCCACCATAAAATAAAACATAAAAACATTCATAAAAAACAAACTAACCAAAGCAGCAATTATTGGTTAGAAATTATACGTTTAATTGTTATAGGTACCGGTTCGTAGGAATAGCAACAAAGAAAACGTCGAACCTCTGTAGATAGAAGTGCAATTTCAGAACTGAAAGTAAAAGGTATTTATTTAATCCAAAATGACAATAAATTTTGCGTGATATGCGGTTTATGGTCTGAGCCAATTAGCATTAAACGCGGTTTTTGTATGTGTTTGTGTGTATTGTGTTGCGAATTTTCATTTTTTAACTTAAATAGTTTTTTGTCATTGGCCACATCGTATGGCAAGACCAAGCAGAGTATTTTATAGAATATTGAAATGTGATATAAGTTACAAGCGTTTTAGGATTGTTATAAGGAGATTAAAAAATATTTTCATAATAAATTTTCTAGAAAAAAGGTGTGAATTTTCTCTAACTGCGGTTCGGTGGTAACAAAATCGACGTCTGCATTTTAACGGTGTTTATTTCATTCGATCTGAAACAAAAATACTTTGGGTCAACAATAAACGATTACGTTTTTATGATTTTTTGAACTTGGTCTTCAGAGACTCTCCTCCCGTTCCCAAGCTAAAATCTTGTTCATGTTCGAGATGTTTTTTGTGCTCCACGGTTCTAGGGGGTCTGGCGAGCTTGGTATTTCATCCGCTTGGTCCTCCATCGCCGAGCGGCAAGGCCGGTTCTGATGACTCGGGGCAACTCTGTAAACAGCGGAAGGTGGAAATTGTATTCGTCGCTCCATTTTGCGAAATACCTATTCTTCCTTGCCGTTTTCGATCTCTTTTTGTTTTTCTCTTTGCGGCGTTTCGGATTTGACGACTGCGTCGGCGCTCCTTCTCCTTGACCTTGAATTTTCATCGTGTCCGATACGGTCACAGACCTACAAAATATATAATCACTCCTGCCGGGTCGAGGACAATAAATTCGAAAACCGATTTGTGGTCAACGGTTCAATAACTCCTCGAAAATAGCTTATGCTCGAAATCCTATATATGACTCTATAAACCACAAATCTCAAGTAGCATTTTTTTGAGTTCACAACACATCTTTACTTATCCCGATGTTTCATTTAGTTATCATTTGGGTGTCTTTTATGTAAGTTAAGTGTCAATTTCTACGTTAGTGACCGTCAAATGATAGACGTACTTTATGACGTCGTTAGACGGTTTTAGTAAAAATATTTGAGCCGTTGTGTTCCATTGGCCTTGAATACATTTGCCCATATATGTGAAACGATCACAAGGAAGTGAGGTATGGACAACCGTAAAAAAAAGAAGAAAGCAGAAACCAGACTCAAAAGTTGTACAAGACAAGAAATGAAAACAATAGGAAAGAACTTTAACATACATTAAACGAAAAGATAGAAACAACATGTAGACAGTATGAGCACATAGCATATGATATTAAATTATACATGCTCAGGCCGCTGAAAGATGCGTACCGTAACAGGCTTTAATGCTTAATATGTGAAATGCAAATGATGATGATGTAGCTTTGGGTGTACAGGAAAAATTAAGAAAAACCTGAAATATAGCTTTATTTAGAATTGTTTTGAAGACACAACGGAATTTGAATGTTCAATTTCTGCAATAGATCCCATTAAAATTGTCTGCGTTGCATTTAATAACAATAATTCCGATAAAATTATATGGATCTTTAGATATTGTTCCTGTGCCATTTTCCACAAACAACTAACACTGATGCAGGTAAAACCGTAGTAAAATGTGCCGGTCACCTTCATACACAGTACTAACTAACCAAATTGTAATGATTATTTGCACGTTTTTTTCAATATTACTTTACGGGTCAGAAGCATGAACACTGAAAAAAGATAGTGTTATCGGTGAATGTTGAAAATCTCATGGACTGACGGGGTTTCCAATTTGGAACTGCTACAGAGAACCCAGAAACAGGAGGAAAGAATTAACTCTCTAAAAAGAAGAAAGTTGGAATACCTTGGCCACGTGATCAGAGGACCTATATATGCGATGCTACAGAACATTATGGAAGGGCAGAAAGAGTCAAGGGTGAAGAAGAACCTCTTGGCTCAAAAACTTTAGGGAATGGTTTCAAATGACATCATTCGGAGCAGCTGTTGACAAGATTAGGATAGCCGTAATAATATCCAACCACCGTCAGGAGAAGGAACGAGAAGAAGTTTGGTGTGTGAAGATGCCGAAAATGTGAAAACATGTTACCTAAGGTTTTTATTGAATTATGTTTGGTCTGGGTCGTAATTCAATTTATATGAAAGTCATTATCCAAAACGACCCAAATTCATTCGCATTTTTAAACTGTTGTGGTGCCATCTCGCGATGAGTGGTGAAACTGAACGAAGTAAAAGTCCTTGAGATATAAAATTTCCCACGGGGATGCAGAAGTTAGTCACAAGTACTACTAACAACTTTGCTCAAACCAATTTGTTTAAAGTGTAAATCGCGGTATTAATTTAGCGTTACTTAAACAAAATAACATTTTATACTTTATTTTTGGTACTTACAAAATTTGTTGGTCATTGCTCAAAGCCATATCGATGTTTATAGGCCTCACGTGGGCGGAATCGGACTTTAACTGCTCTTTGACTGACTTCATCCTTTCGTCGGCGTAGTCCAACTTGTCGTTGTCGTCGTTCGGATTTTCCTTCCTTTCCGCCTGCGGACTTTCCATCGAGCTCGACTCAGAAGACACGATCAATCTCCGTTTTTCCCACGCTCCCGATTTAGCCGAACTGTTTCGTAGTTGAGCCGATTTCGCCCGTTTCATCCTCGATATTTTCCCCAGCAAAACGTCTGAAATTGTTATAAGTGTATCGTAATGCGACGCAAATTTCCTTTTTCTATTCTCGTCTGTAAAATACGTAATTACGCACCGATCTAGCGTGCGGAAAGCGTCACTTTATCACGTCAGTTCCGTTTCCCACTAATCCGAGCCACTTCGGACATTTCCGGGATTTTACCGCAAGGGTTTAGGAGCGATCGGATGTTTTCGGAGGTATTCCCCACGCTTTGAATTTTGACGTTTGTCAATTCTGACAGTCATGTCAGTGAATGTATTCGTGTTTTGCGAAAATGTACGCAAAAACTAATGGTCGTAGAAAAAGTATAGTACGCAACACGTTCGGTAAACTTTTTAACTCACTCGTTTATTAAAAATTCGCTTCGCTAGTGTCAAATAAACCCGCGAGTCAAATGCCGTTTACCGCACTTGTTGCATAATATACTAGTTACCGTAATTTTGGGAAATTACGTATAATCGGACAACTCTGCATAAGAAAAAAGGGAACAAGAACATAGTCTCTTCGTCAAAAGCAGCAAGTGTCAGGGCAGCTACTTTTATCAGCACCCCGAAAGGTTCTTGGTTTTAACAAAATCACTAATCGGCTCAAAAACGTTTAGTCGAGAATTTCTCCGCTCTAATTTCTAAAACTTCCAGTTCATTCTGGATTAGTGACATATTGCATGAAATTTCGATCAAAATACGTCTTGATAATCCCAAATGAACTCTGATTCACAAAGAGTTTTATTTGTTTATGCCAGTGGTATACGGCTCGTCTCTGTTTTAACTTTACTTATTTCATCATTCACCCTTTAGAACATAAATGGCGCGGTCAAAATAATAAGATTAAACTCTAATAAGATTAACCATCTTGGATTTTTGTTAATTAATTAAAATACAACTTTTTTCCGATCTGAACGAATTAGGGTCTCCAAATTGGCTAATTAGATTATATGATATCATTAAAATAAGACCTTGTATAAGGAGGAACAGGTCTTGACAGTAGTGAATCAGTAGATATTATGGTTTAAGTGGTATTGCATTAAGTGCTTGTTTAAGTGGTATAATAGTGATGGAAGTGTTGTACTTCGTAAGTTAGTGCGGTATGGGTAATTGCGTATAGCTGATACCTGTGACGTCTTCATTATCGCTGGGTATTAACGTCGAATATTTCTTCTTAATGTTCTCCTCCACCTTTCTGACGAAATTTTCCGTGCCAGCAAATATTCCCGCCAGGCTTTTCACGCTCTGAGTGGCCTTCGTCTGGCATGGTATTTCGTCGTTGCTCTGCGGTAAGTTGGCAGCGGCCAGGGCGTACGCCCTCAGTACTTCGGGCTTGGCGTTCGTGTCGTTCGAGTGCAAAACGAGCTCTCGCAGCGGATCTGATGACGTAACAATCTAGAAACGTTTCTAAGGCCGTGATTGGTTTTGTTCGGCGTTTAAGCTCACCAAGCTCGGTATGGGTTCCGCGTTTAGTTTTGGGAAGCTGGTTTTCTCATTCTGGGTATCTTTAATCCCCTGAGACGCGGTTAGTTGATTTAAAGTGCCCAGCATTGAGATTTCTAAAAAGTAAAGTAAAAAGAATATACTCGGGGATATGTTAGCCCCAGAGCCAAGTCTAGACAAATTCATGCTTAACCATATCGAGACCAAAACAAATCAAAATATATTTTAATCCAAATAAAGAAGTAAGTTTTAGTTAATTTTTAGATCGTTTATACTTATTTCTTGTATTTTCTTTTCTCAGCTCTGACCATAGAAGCAAGTCCATATCTGTCTCGATCTGTTTTTGCTGTCCCTATTTCTAAGAACTTTTTTTTGAATTTGTCGTCCTCTACACCAATCGAAACTGCTTAGTTTTATAGTTTCATTTTTTAATTTACATTATGTAGTATCTAGTGTAGTATCTAATGGGTTTTACGATTTCAAATGAATATATATAAAATTATAAAGTAGTAAAGATCGACAAAATGCAATACCTGACGCGTTCTGAACGTTCAAAGCCGTGTTAATTTGATTGTTTACAACAACAGCGTCTGATAAGACCTAAAACGATATACGTTAACGGCGGAGATTTTCTTTAAGCGACTTGATTACGTGATTATTTGGTTTAGTTTGGGTAACAGTAGGCGCCGCGGGATTTTTCGCCAAATTTAACCCCTGCGCGTTTATATCCAGCTCGTGAGTAAACGCCATTACGTCTAGAGCAGCTGTCAGGGCGTCCCCAAAACCGACCGCCAAGTCCGGCCCTTGGGGATTCGATAACGGATCTTTGGCAGGTCTAAAATACAAGGAATTAACCAAAACGTTACGACGCCCTATAGGCTCAAAACCCCCTTAAAATTGTGAATTTTTCAAAAAATATGAAACGTCAAATATCTCCTCATTTTATATTATCATGGTCAAGTAGGCTATGAAGAATCCCAAAATGTTCGAATCATATGATCGATGCGTCAAATTTTACCGTAGTTGGGCTAGTAGAGATATAGAAACTTATAAAAGCAAGTATCAATTTTTTTTTGAGAAAAAACATTCAACATGCGCATGCGCGAGATTTAAAATATCGCTTGTAACCAACTACATTCAACAACCAACATGGCCGCTGACAGACCGTGAATAAGTTGGGATGCGGCATTTTTACATCAGTCTCGAAATATGTCTAGAAATCTCTGTTTTAAAAAATATAACGCAAAGTGCAGGTTAGTAGGTGTGGTAGGTCAATTATATTATCTAATAGCTATATGACGCCTAAGTTTGACGTGTTTGTCGTTAGTCGTTATTAAGTGTGTCAAAAAGGTTGGTATTTCATAACTGGTCAAAACTTATAAATGACTTTCGAGTAGGTTAGTCGATCATTCTTGTAAGTCGTTAGTTTTCTGTCATTCATTTGGTGAAACAAGAATATTTGGAATATTACATATTGGTGTAATTGTTTCCAACGAAATGTATATTTAATTTGATAAAAAATATCTGAATGTTGTGCATATTATAACTTATAACTTTTCAATTAAAAACAATTACTTTGATTGTTATTAATATTTCTGCTTGACTAGTATTTTACAAATTAAAGTTCCACCTTTTTTATCGTAAATGTTTGTTTAAAACTATCAAAACATTTAAATAGTGGCGTAGTTACGAATCTCTTTCTAAAATGGTGAATTGAAATCGATACTAATACATAATTGGTTTAATTTCCGAGGTAGCCCAACGAGGAGAAAGGAAGCAGGAAACAACAAAGAATATCGGACAAAATTTTCACAAACATAACTTGTCTGTAATAATTTGTGTGTGTTATTTGAATTATAACAAGTTTAAGAATAAAAAACAACACTAAAGAAAAGTTGGAAGAATATCCCCAAATGCGCCATTGAATTTCTTTTTGCATAATTTCTTAATATCGATTTCAGCAAAAAAATGGGTATTTTCGTCCCCTTTAGCCTAATATATTTTCTACTTGGAAAACTTGCTCCTCCTACATGCAAATTTTTTTATAAGGAATAGCTTCTTTTACTTTTTCTACATTTTAAGAGGTTTGTGGCCCACATAGCGGCGTGGCAAAAATTGGAATACCCTTTGATTTTAATCGGGGTATTTATCGACTCCCGACCCCACATCATGCATCTCATCTCTTCGCCGGTCATGCCCTTCTTTTTCAAAGCGGTAATGGTCACTTTTCCCACCCTCTGCCGAAATAATTATGAGACACCAGCCTGGCAGTTAAGATGATTGTTACCTTCCAATTGGCTACCGCCCCCTTTCTCTGCTTTGCTTTGGTTTTGCTCTTGGATTTGATGACCATGACGCCTCTCTGTTCGGTGGTGTGGTCTTCTGCCGGGCCCAAGGAAATGCTGTACTCTTGCAGGTAGTTGTGAGCGTCCTGCTGCGGTATCGCTCTCTCGAGCGATATGACAATTTTCGCCCACTGTTTTACCCACTCTTTCTCGCTTTGTTCCGTCACGTGGGCGTAAGTGTTGCCCATCATCGCGATTAACATGTTGAGAAGCAAAATGGGCACGAATACCATAAACAACCCAAACACGGACTTTGCGGCCCCCGGATAGGTCGTTTTCGCTAGTTCAGAGTACTAAAATTTAATAAATTTCAAACACTGTAAGTATGAGAGCTAGTCTCCAGTTACGTCATAATTTCCCAAAGTGATCTGAAAGAGTGCCATCCAAGTGGACGAGTAGCTGTGGTACATGGTTCCGTTTACGCCCGGGTAGCCCTTGTATAAGAAGAAAAACGACTGGGAAAAACCGAACAGGAATATGGTGTAAATGATGCCGAAGGTGAGCATGTCCCCCGTGATCATGCTGTAGATCATGGTGACGAACGGACCGGTTAGGCGTACTGCACTAGAAAATATGTATATTGCTGAGGAAGTTGTATACCAACTTCTTCGTAAACACGGACATTTAAAATGTATATGTATAATATAATATTCTCTATTTTTAAAATATATGGAATTTTGCTGCTTTGCCACGTCTATTCGAACCATACTCCAACTTGTTTTTCTTAATGGTATATTGGAATGGAATGGAAATAAATAAGCAAGTCAAATAATAATAATAATAAAAATTTCGTGACGTCAAGAAATAGCCCTAAAATGTGTACTTTATTGTTTAAACCATTTCAAATGGTTAATTCAGTGGTTATATTTTTTAAAGGTATTTGGTAAACCGTGTATTAAATCAATGTTCGAAAATCTTGCCAAAATGATTTTGTGGTGCCACAAGACGGTAGTTATTAAAGCCTTGTCTGTCCCGTTTGCTTGTTTGGTCTTTTTGATAGTATGCCAACGGGAACGTGAAGTCATAGATTAAATAAAATGTTCACAAATTCGTAAAATACCGTCCCAATCCATTATCGAATGAGATAAGTCTGTGTAAAAAATACCAATGCAAGTTTTAAAAGTCTCAATTATATGGGTCGAGACGAATATTCTAGAATTCATGTCATATTCTCTAAACACATTCACTAGTAACTTGCTTTGATTTCTGTCCAGTGGCGTATCTACGTTTAGGTGTCCATAGACGATGTGCCTACAGTCTACCCTATGGAAGTCTTTCAAAAATAAGCACAATTTATTATAAAAATTCTGGAAAGGTGTTAAAGGAGATCTGTAAATTACCTCGAAATTAATAAATGTTTTGTGTTTTTTTCGCATATCGAAATCTTTGCCGATAATTTTTGTCTTGTTAGGGTTTTAGATTTGTCGCTATATGTTTGGTTATTGTTTTGAGGATGGTGAAGTGTATTTGGATTGTTTTGTTACATCCTTATTGATATTAATTCAAGTAATTTTTCTTTAAGGTAACCGATATCAATGCGTTGTTTTTTTTATAACTTCTACTTGTTTACTTACTGCATTACGTAAAGTATCTTCAAATCGAGAATATATTTTTGCAAACAAGATTGTTATTGTCGTCTGCTTGCACGTATCATAGAACAATGTAATGTTTTTAAAATCTTTGATGCTCACATTTTCAGATTCTATGATACAATTCTGAAACTTATGTTGCTCTGTATGTTAGCTCTCTTGTTTTGGAGATAAACATTATTTTATGTTATGTTATGTTATCATGAAAATAATTATCATCTTTCAACCGTCGCCATTGGTATTGGTGTTGGTATTAAAGGGGGGCGCCCTCGCGGGCGTCCAAGGACTTAGGCCACCAGATGGGCCCGTTGTGCCCCCAGGCCGCTCTAGAGGGCGTCCAGAATGCAGCCCCTTCTATAGGTCAGCAACTCCTTTAGCCCAATACCGTGCACTGAGTCCGGATCGATCAGGGCCGTTCCGAAGACTCCCAATCTTGCCCATGTCAAGGCAGGGCACTCGGTGAGCAGATGATACGGGGTCTCCTCCCCTTCCATGCACCACCTACACTCCGGGTCGTCTCCAATGCCTAGCAAGCAAAGATGCCTCTTAAGCCTGCAATGTCCTGTGTAGGCCCCTGTTAGTGCTCTACACTCCTTTCTGGTCAGTCTAAGCAGCTCCCTGGTCCGAGGAAGGGCGGGCCCATCCATCATAAGCCTCGCCTGCCTCATTCCCGGAGCAACTCTCCAGCCCCCCGCGGTCTCTCGCCCAGGCTTCGAGAGCTCCCCGCCTCACACACGGGGCGATCCCCAAGCGGGGCTCTGGCCCTATATGCCTATGCGAGGAGTCCTCCCTGGCTAAGGCGTCCGCTGCCTCATTGCCCCGGATACCGGTGTGACCCGGGACCCAGACCAACGTGACCTTTCTCTCCTCAGTACCCCTTTGCACTCCTTTATCAACAAGGAGCGCGTACGCACTGACTTCAGCGCCATGAGTGCAGCCCGACTATCCGAGCAGAAGAAGACTCTCCTGCTTCCGTAGTTGAGCCGAAGCACCTCTCTGGCCGCCATCAATAAAGCGAAAATTTCCGCCTGAAGTACTGACCCAGAGGCAACCGTCGCCATATTATGACATGAGATTTGAGTCCCATACAGGGTGTTTCCAAATTTATGCAAATTTATAAATGTAAATTAAGCACTAATTTCAAGCTCTGTATTTTATTGCGACAGTAATAAAAAGATTCGTTTTAATATAAACTATGGTGATAGATTGGATAATTGAATTAGATGGTATATATCAAACAATTTATTATTTATTTTCATGTGGTGGAATTCATATCCAAACAACGACTTATTAACATAACCAACAAAATAGGGGTTTCTGTTACCCAAAAGTGTGAGTTCCTTCTGTTGCACACAAGTGCAATATAGCACTGTTTACTGACGCGTGAGGATATAACAACGTTTATAGAAGATTACAATATTTACTTGCTTATATGTTGTTGCTGTAATCTTATTGCACCGACCATAAACTTCTTAACATAATGCAATTTTTTTGTTTTTTCAGCTTATAACTCCAAAACGGTTTAAAATATGTATATATCTTATAATTGTTTTTTTTTTGCCCCAATAAAACGAAGGGGCGTTATACTTAGAAATATAATTACAAAAAATATAAAATATAATCTTATGACATAACATGACACAGCAGCAACAAGCAGTAAACAAAAATTCAGATTTGTATTCAAAATGAAAAAATGTAGATAATTATTGTCATTCTCTAAAAAATAACTTAACTCCAAAATAGGTTAAGAACGTTGCATAGAAATTATTATAGATTTTCATAGAATCTAAAAATGTGATAATATACAGGGCATTCATTTTAAAAAATGAAGCTGCTGTGTGCTCGAGTAGATCTGGCAACACTGCTGTAACAAGTTAATAGTCTCCTATGGTCGTAAATTCTCCATATACTTCTAATAGATCATCGAGCTTGGGCATCTGCGCATAAGGGGTAACTTAAGTTCGAGTGAGTTGTGAATCATTCTGTCAATAATATATCTTATATATCTATATATCTTACCCAGCGAAAAACATCAAAAGGAACCAAGATCCGGGTACGGCAAACAAAAGAATTGTTTCTTCTGTATTTCTGTCGCCGGAAAGCCGGCAAGGGATGCAAGCGAGTATCATGAGATTCGACAATAGAAATATCAACTTGGGCGGTGAGTTTGACTGAAAAAATATCATCAAAGCTTCGTCGATGACATTACTGTCGGAAAACATAGTTACTTGTTGTTTCAAAAACGTCCAAAAGCCTTGGTTTCTGATTTCGTCACCTTGTTGGACGATTAAATAGCTCAGCACGCCCAGTAAGGTTCCAGATTCGGCGGCGTATCTAAAAAACATCAATATTCAGTGTATCTACTCTTGAAAAAATGGAAGAGTTTTACTCCCCGGGGAGATTTTATCTGGAACCAAAAACAAGTATTTTTGAAATCGAGGCATAGAAATGAAACAGGGAGAAAGGATTCTATGTTGCTATTGAACGTCATTAATTTATCCCACCCTTCATAAACAAAAAAACCTGTATGGTTTTAACCTACCGTCGTACCTGTTTTTAGAGTATTTCCTATAAACTCTAAATAAAACGAATGAAATGATCTCTTATGCAACAAAAAAGCCTCAAATATTAGTCACCACACTCACAAGTTGTTGAACAAGAGTAATTTTTGGTTGTTTGCGCGCAACATCTCAAAATACTAAAATTCAAGGGGGAACACTAGGCAGCAGAAATTGTTAACCTGCAAATCACAGTTGGATCGTCGGACCACTCCAGGAGCGGCTCGTCGGGGTCGTCAGGCCTCAAGTAAACTGCCAAAGACAGACATAACAAGTGTATCGACAAAATCCCCAGGCGTTTGAGGAACTGGTTCCGCGCGAACGCCTTCCACTTTTCTTCGAGCAGTCTCTGTATGATGCCTCCGTCAAGCATGTCCAGATGCTCCTCTTTCGTGCCATTCAGGATTATGAACAACGCCGAATTCCAATTGGTACGTCCGTCCGGTAATAAAGTGTCCAACGCGTTTAGAGTGTACGCCGAGCAAGTTATGTTACTGTACCTCCAAAATTCTTTGGCCGAGAGTTCCAGCATTTCCCGGAAAACTTCCGCTCGACCTGACGGACAAAAGTGAGAATGACCTTTGATCAATTATTGTTTAAGGAGTGATGAAAGAAAAACTGGTGAATATTTGAGATTAATTATAACGAAACGTACCAATTAATAAGCCCTTTACTTTTTGTCAATTAGTAGAACTCTAACTAACTAAACGACTAACAAAACTAACCAAAACTCCTAGTCTGGTCCTAAAGTTTCAGCTGTATCCATCACATAGTTTAATTGCTGTTGTCAAAGTGAGTTTCTTTAGAAATCAAAGCTAAGTTCATGACACATCTGCTTCTGTGCTTGCAACGGTTTACAAGAATGAGAAATAAAACACCGCTGCGTCATCCTTATAGCCTCCTTGGTTCTATGTGGCCTATTGTACAAATTGATTCACCTACCTAATTTACACGCCAGAGTTAGAGGAGTTAGTCCAGCTCTGTTCACTATACCGTTGCTAGCCGGCAATTTTGGATGCCTCAGGGCGTAGCCGAACATATCCTGAAACATTCTATATTGACCAGCAATCATCTAACGTCGTTGCGCGCACCAGCTTGTCACACACCACGACCATATGCAAAATCATGTTGCCGAAGTTATCTTGCAAATCGGGATGCGCGCCGTTGTCCAACAACAAGTTGTAAACGCTTTCATTTGCGCAGCACGCGGCCCAAGCCAGCGGGTATTCCCCCAGGTACGCCAGACCTTCGTAGTCGGTATGTTTTGCGGGCTTCATTTTCTGCTGATCCCTCGGCAGGAAGAAACTGCCTTCGATACGTACGAATTTCGATTACCGATGAAACGAACGAGAACGTTTTGCTTACCTATCGCCCTTTGATTCACGTTGGCACCCGCCTCGACCAAGTCTTGCACCAGTTCGTTGTTGTTGTAAGCTATAGCCAGATGCAGAGCACTGGCACCCAAATACTCTTCACCTTCGACGACATCTAGCGCTAGTTTAGGGAAACACTTGATCAGGGTTCTGGCCAATCTGGTGTGTATCTTGGTGTCGCATATGATGAGAACGTGAAGCAGACTTTCACCGAGGGATCCTCTGTACTGCATCTGCCAGCACGCTTCGTGATCGGTCCACTTGCCCAACGGATCGTATCTGCTTAACGATGCTTCGATCGGTAATATAACCTATGTTGGATTGAATTAGAATCGTTAAGTAGGTGAAACAAAGAAAAATTTAAGAAAGTCCGTGACTACTTAAACCCATATAAAATTCGGTAAGACCCTAAATTCGTAAATATATAACAACCTAGCGGAAATGTATACAGGGTATTATCAAAGATTTGAACTTTTAATGTAGTAGAACTGTTGCATTTAATTTAAAAATTATTATTATTATTATTATTATTGCTATTATTATTATTATTATTATTATTATTATTATTATTTTATGTTAAGTAGTTCCAAATTAATAATAAGATTGTTGACAGGTTATAAATCAACTTCATCACACTAATGTTTAAAGTAGGTGGGTAGACGAGTGGGTCTTATAGGTCAGAACAACAGGGACGATTGTAAGGTGTTTTAAAAGTATATAGATTAAATATTATATTATGTTTATTATACTCTTCAGTCTTGATACCCTACTGACAATATAGTGGTCAATTCTGCGACGGACTCACTTTCCCAAGTTTCTTTGTTGTCTTGAGCCTCCAGAAATAGTCTGTCACCCTGAATTATGGGATTCTGTGCAGGATGACTGCTGATAATCTCTGACAAATACGAAGCTCCTTACAGACACCTTCATCTTAATATCCAGCATTTTACGGCAACAGAACATCTCAGGGGCGTCAATCTTTTTCCTCTCATAGTGCCTTATCGTCCAAGACCCTGATGCATATGTTAAAACTTTTTGGTGATCTTTCGCATTCCTCTGTTAAGCTTAAGTTAGTAATTAGTATTGATTCACAACATCGAAATGATCTATTTTACGGACTTCCGATCTGATGTTATTTTTTTGTGTCCAGGATCATAACTTAGTTTAGGTTTCTTACTTTATTGAGAAATCTCAGAAGACCCTCTTCAAACGATGCCCGTAATGCAGTGTCATCTGCTAAGCGTTGATTATAAAAAGAAAGATCCTTTTTTGTGGATGAGCGCCTAGTCCGCTCATCTGGCCACAGTATGCCAGATGCTATTACACAAATGGTACAATATATCTATGCCTGTTTCACCTGTTGCTTGTAGTGTGCAATTAGTGCAGTAATGTTCGTTTCACTTCAGTTTATTTACTACCGTTCTTCGTTCATCCTTTAAGATATCTGTTTCCTTTGAGCTGGTGAATATAGCCATCGTTTTTAATATAAATATTTTGATAAGCTCCATAGCTCTGCAATGCATGACTATCAATTTTCTGGAGTAATCATTCTTATCTCGATTATTTTATTGTTATGTTACTTTATTAAAAGACTGGCATTTCAATCTGCCGTCTTCCACTTTGTCCTGTACCTGCAACTTTTTTTCTTTAATCTATTTTATCTAGTGTTTCATCAGTCAAGTCAATGTTTTCATTTAATTGATCAATAATTACCTAAATAATTACGTTTTTATTCAAAACTTAATTCTGTTTCACTCTCAGAGTCGTCATTAAGATTATTTACAATGGACTGCATGTTATTTTGTATGCAAATGTAAACTCCATTTTTTTCAATGTTCTGTACTGCTTTTTTCCAGATGCCACCAGATATATTATTAGTTACATTGCGTCGTACGACCGTAGGCCCCATCTGTTCAGCTAAACTATCACAGACATATTGTTTTCCGAGAGCATATGAATTTAAGAATTCCTTATATCTGGATTCACAATAGCAAACAATATTCTTGAGTTTCAATTTTTGTACACTTTGAACATGACATATCGAAAAATTGTTCACATGTAAGAAACTTTAATAATGGGGATGAAGCTCGTAATTACTTTTTGGGGGAGGGTCCATCAAAACTCAAGACATACTTTGTGATACACTTTACCTGTTCGTGGTCCCTAAACTTCCACCTCAAATACTCCGATCTGTTGATAATTTGAGCTTTGCCTTCGTGGTACATAAGTTGTCCGAACTGTTCCTTGATGAGTTTTTCGCACTCCGGCTGACCGCCCACGTTGTATGCGTCTATAAGTTCGCCTCCTAAAACACCGTGGTCGCGAAATGTCGCCACAACTTTGTCGCTTACCTTTTTTATAATTGGCCAATCTGTACAATAAACACTGGTCCTGGTTAGAGCTCTGGCTAATAACCCTGTCCAATATGGAGCCCCCGGAATATTCCTTTTTCTTCCTCTTCCAGCAGGGCTTGCAGTTGCAAGCTCCCATTTTTCTTTTTCACATTCGAAGGTTTTCGCTACCCGTTTTCATAATCAATAATTAAGGGGTCAGGGTAAGGAATGTGTGTCAAGGTATATTTGTGTGATAGGTGCGAGGCGCCAGCTGGTACGGGAATTTCTCTTTGTTTGACGTTGCAGTTTGTGGTAGAAAATCGTTATGTTCAAGCAGTTTGTTTTTCGCGTCGCTTTGCACGCTTCAAATTAACATCTGACGAATTATTTGATGTATTAAGATAATTATATATTTACTTCTTTAACCTTGGTTCATTATATGGTGCTTAATGAATGCTCCAAAAACCAATATGCATTTTTAAAGTGTCTGTGAGATACAAGGTATTCACGTCTATGGCTCTCAGGCAGTTAGCATTCTATTGTTTTTTACATAATATGTTGAAGTCGTTAGTTATTAGATATAATCTAAGTCTTTCATGTCATAAATTTCTTATAAGTACCGTTCCACCACTGTTGTTTGGAGATTATAATTAAGTGATTTCGAAACAAAAAAGTATACTACATTTATTTGCATAAAACACACCCATTTCGAATTCGCATTGTAATATTTTATCGCCAGTCAAATCGCTGGCTCAAGGATTTCCCTAAGTTAGGGAAAAAGTAAATTTGACAACGTTGCATTACGCTAAGTTTTCAGTTTCAGACGCTTAGTTGGTAATGATGACTTTTCTAGAGTATATTTCACAAACTGGTTGAAGGCATGTTTGGTCCAATGTTATTATAGTATTGTTTTTTGGGGAATTCATTAGGAATCACCCTGTATATAGGACTATTCGTTGGCGAGAGAGAGAGAGTCAGGGGGGTAATGTAGCGATAAGAACCTAAATCACCTGAACCAATTATAAGTAAATAATTTCACACTTTTCAGTGTTTGTAGCGCGACGTTGCCGGAATAGGGAAATTGTGCACAATGTGGCCACGCCGCTATGACTTAAAGGAAATAGAAATCCAGGTTTATGTGTGGTTATTTAGCGGGTGGGTGGGTCGAGTGAAATTCATAATATTGTATATAGTTTATTATTGTTCTTTTATAAAATCACAAAAGTTAACATATAACTCTAACAAGTCACACAAAAATCAACCTGGTGATAGTTTCGATGGATCCCGTGTAAACGCAATATATTTAACAAAATGATACAAGTCGATAATGTAATAAATAAAATGTGGTAACAATGTTGTTAATAGATTCGTCGAAAAACTTTAACAATTTCCTTAAAGAATTCCTGTTTAGTAACACTTACAACTACGTTTTATGAAATCTGATGTGCTGGTGGGAGTCCGGACAAAAATTGAGCGACTTCACGATGTCTGTACGACTTTTCAAAGTTGTTCGTCCAATTTTTGCTTAGTACTCGCGATGAGGTCAATGATTCCACTAAATAAACTATACTTTATGTCACTGTGGTTTATATCTAAAAATCTCAAAAAATCTAATATAATAAATATTACAAAAAAAATGAAGCAAAACAACATTTACAAGTTCAACAGTTTGACGCATGCGCGTTTGCTACCTCGACTGTATATTGTGAAATAAACCTTAATTTCAGCAAAACCTGTCTCTTGTGAGATTAATCATTATCGATAATTAATTATCTATGGTAACCCATTAAAATATATATAAAATAAATACGATAACTGTTACTAGGTGTAGTAGCATTGCTTTCAGAAATAATTGACAGTCACAGACTTTAAGTGGGGACGCGATCACGATCGTCATCTTGAAATTGCATTTCGAGTTGGTTTCTGTTAAATTGGTGAGATCTCTGAAGACTTTGTCCGCGATGGCACTGGACGAAGTTATACCGGCTCGGAAGTTGTCGGAGATAGCATGGAGGTCGTAGGTCCGTCGACGAAATATTGCTCACCCACTGGCGAAACTGATCCTCTGCTTAACGCGGAGTGATGAGAAAATGGACTGTGTCTAAAACGAGTCCTTTTTAACCTATTAAACGATAGATACCGACGATCCAAAGTACCTTCTTGGTATAGCAGTTGCGCGTAAATCATCCAACGCATGAGACTCGGAATCGGAGTACAAACCCCTGGTCGAAGAAGGTCTGCCAATTCTGCTACTGAAAGTTTGGTAGGAACCAGGAACGTTGACGTAATCGTTCAATACGGACGCGCTCCTCCCGTACGGTTTGTACTCCCTAGACGTGCCGGACGGGATGATATTGACAACGCTGGGTTCAGGTATGAATGATGAAAAACTGCTTCTGAAAATGTTTATATTCAATATGTGCTCTCAGAAGCAGATGATCCATCTCTGGTTCCGGTTATGCAGCTAATTTTGTGAAGCAACTTTTATTTAGAATGAGTCAGGTAGTTCCAAGGAAGTGTCAAGAATGCCAATTTGTGGCACTTCCGTTCGAATGAGAAAGCGTTCTGAAAAAAAGTTGTAGGTAGTTTTGGAAGAGACAACTTGGTGAGCCAAAATTTCCTTTATTTGAACAAAATCACACCGATTAATTTGGACAATGCGAATGCAGAGATGGTTTTATTCTTGTATTTAAAGCCATGTTGCCCAATTAACATTGCAGAAAGGTTAAAAATATTTTCTGGAACGCATTGAAATTAGAATGTGATGATACCAACTAATTTAAATATTTAGCAACAACGGAAAAAGAAGCGCGTCCCTCGAATCATCGCTGGAGAAGGAGCTATGATACGGTTCCATAAGCGGTGTTAACAGGTCTGTTTAGTCTATGATTTGAATACCTTTTAGGAACTGGTGATTTGTAGCCGTCCAAGGAGCTGTAGTCGGACTTTCCGTAGCCGTGCTTGTGCCCGTAGTCGGGCCTGTACAAGTCCAAATCCTTATAATTCTGCAAGCTGGGTTTCCTAGTCGGCCGTTTTCGCTCGTTAAACCTCGTGTAAAAACTCTTCCGGCGTATCCGGTCGATTACCGACTCGCCTTCGTCGCCGGAGTACGGGGCGTGGCCGTTGTGCGACGTCGGGGAATGTAAATCGTTCAGGTGGTGAAAATCGGAACACGCGGACCACGAGTCGCAACTCATGTATCCGTCGGTAGGCGACAGCAGCGTCGAACTATCGTCCGTCGTAGTCAACGAATTACGATTCTCGTTGCTAGTGCCGGCTACGGGTTCCGTCGTAGTCGCGCTCTTTTTCAGATCCAACATGAGATTTTGACGATCAGACTTGACCACCGGTTCGGATACGTTCTCGAGATTCAAACTGCGTCTAAACGAATTGACGGGAAGCTTGGACTTGGTTTTCTGGGTATCGCTCGAGGCGTCGAGCACGCTGTCGCTTTTCGCCCCGTTGTAGGCGGCGCTTTGAAAATGCTTCATCTTATCCAAGAGCAACGAGCGGGGGCGTTCCCTTTTCTCCGCCCCATTCAAACCGTTGTTATCCGATTGCACATTTTTCGCCTGTTTCGACTTTTTCTCGGGCTTCTCCTTCTTCTTGTCCTGCTCCTCGTACTTTTTGAACAGGCCTAGGATTTTCGTCACCGACTTCTTCGACGTCTGCAGCGGTTTGGATCCGGGCAGGTCTTCGACCGACACCGCCCTCTTGATCAGACCGCTCTCGGTGCACGGCTCCAGGTTACGCGGCAGACTCTGCTCCCTCAGCCTGCTGATCGCGCTCTCAACCATCGACTTTTTATCCAGCAGCGCCTTGGCCTCGTCCGGGTCTTTGGTGGCCGCGATATTACTCGACCGGAACTTTTCGAGTTTCTTCTCGATCGACTGCAGCAGTTTGTTCTTGTGACCACCCTTTTCGCTGTCGTTTATAATATGGTTCGCTTCGTTCTTGTCGTCCTTCGTCTGTTTCTCTCGGTTTTTCGCGAAACCTTTCTTAAGTCTGCCGATTTTCGACTCTTTGTCCTTGTCCGATTTCGGCTCGGCTTTTGCCGGTTTCGCGTCGCCGCCCTCCGCGGGGTAACTCTTCGGTCTGGCGATGCGCGACGTACGTTCCTTTTTCTGAGCGGGCGCGCTACTCTCCGCGACCTTGACGTTCACGTAATCGTGTATGGCCTTGGCGCTGTTGAGCAAATCTTTGCTCGTTTTATCGGCGTTTCCGTCGTCCTCGGCGGCCACATTGACGTAGTCGTGGATCCCTTCGCAGGGCGTTTCTTTACATTTTTCGCGCGAAGCCGACCTAAGTCTACCTTTCCGCTTGTCCCTGATCTCCTTGAGCACTTTCTGGGTCTCCATCTCGCGCTCCTTCTTCTCCTTGAGCAGAACGTTATCCTGTTTGGACGCGTCGAAAAAGTCGGGTCGTAGGAACCGCGAGATCCTACGCGGCTGCGCTGGTTTCTTATCGATTTTGATCGGATCCGGCGTCAGCGCGTATTTCGAGTACGAAGAGTCCGAGGAGTATTTGCTGTAAGGCCTGGATAGCGACGAGTCGGAAAACTTGGAGCTCAAACTGTCATCGTTGCGGGAGAAGGTGTCGGATATGCTTGACTCGGGACTTTGGACGTCGCTCTTTGCCGATTCCTTGCCGCTCACGGACCTTGCGATCCGCGGTCGTCGATACGAGAACTTGTAATCGCCCTTGGGCTCCGCCCCGATACTAGAAGACCTCACGCTAAACTCGTAAGACGGTCTGTATTCCTTCACCGGCAACGAAGACTTTTGGGGGTTCCTGAGGGAGGCTGCGCGGCCTTCCTCGCATTCCCTGTTGACGTTTCGATCGACAGACAGTCTTCTGGGCAGGGTGGCGTGGTCGACCACGCCTACCGCGGTGGGTTGTTTCGTGACGTCGTCTGGCGCGCGCGACGATAACGTCCTGTGAAGCTTTCTTACTTCCGAGGGGGTTAGTTGTGCAAGCAGCTGTTTTTGGATCCTCTTCGAGAGGCCCGGGGTTAAACACGAAAGCGCCAAAGCGTCCTCTTCCGAGAGGTTCAGCTTTTTCAAGTCCAGGTCTGCTAAATTAAGGTTTTCGGTCTTCGACATGTTTTCTGAAACACGATATACGGCTCGGCGTCAAATATGGCGGCGTTTATTTTTTCGGTTTGGTTGGTGCAATATATACCGCGCCTTCCCATAATCTGTTTCGCGAGAGTGTGCTGCGATTTTGATGATATTTTATATATTTACGAGGCATTAAATTAATGCAGGGTGATTAAAATCTCAATGCCAGGATTTTAAGTATGTGTAAACTTTTTTTTCATATGAACAAGTCCTTTTCTTTGTTTTTTAATACTTTGAACAATGTTCTAAAAAAGTTTATATGGAATATCTTAAAATCAAATCTTTATAGAGAATTTTTAATCATCCTTTATAACAAATTGGTATTTCCATTTTTATTTCTAAGAAGAGCACTATTTATAAGTAGTAAAAATAATATTGCATATTATAAGAGAAAAGATGAAAACACGACTAACCAAAACTAACTGAACTCTATGGAAACAGAATATAGGCGACTCGGAAAATGTGTAATTCAGATTTTTTATTTATTTGAAATTTGGTGCGTTTTTTCTAACTTTTATTGTTACAAATTATATTTTATTGATTTATTAATTCACTTAATAATTTGGAAAAGTGGAATTTCGAAAAAGTGTTAATAGTTTTGAGCAGGTTTTACTGCATTTAAATATTCGTAAAATGCTATCAAATTTCAGTCACTCCGAACCATGCGAAAATATCGACAAATACAACCGTCAAACAATGATATTATGATGTATAATAGAACAATAACAAACAAGACAACCTACCTTGACATGTTAGTGAGCGAATTTTTGGCACAAAACATCTGCTGCTGCTTGGAAAAAAAACATCAAAAACAATGTAAAATTAGTAAAACATAAAATAAAACAACAAAAAAAAATAAAAACAGCACACACACACGAAAAACACTCGGAAATCGCTGTGGTTAGCTCGTGCATGTATGCCGATCGATTGATGGAAAAAATAAAACTATAAACGAAAATAAACCAAAACAATTTTTAAAGGTCCCGCAATAATTTCAGAGAGACATTGCAACACGCGCCTAGGTTAAAGTTACAACCCTTATTTGTTCCTGGCTGGCTGATTTTTAACTGTTCAAATTTTTGCCTCTAAAACGTATTGAAATATCTCTCTACGGTAATAAGCGTTACGGTATGGACATAACCTCAAAATATAAAACTATGCGTTTTGAGTCGACTCGATCCGAAATGAAACGAGAGAAACGAAGATGGCGACGACGACGACGACCAAAAAGAAAAGGCTAGTAAGAGTGATAGTGTGTGCATGCAGCCTACCGAGTCTGTGTCGCAGCAGGTAGCCAGCAGGCGGTTAGTGGGTGCTGCCCTTCTGTGTGGCTGGTCCGCAGGGCACATGCACCGTAACGCGCACTCGCGCTGCAACCACACAACACCGTCAAGACTCATGCGAGAGAGAGAGAGAGAGAGAAGGGCGCCCACGCGACCGTCATTGCTTGTGATCATATTTTGTTCCGATAAGCAGCTAATTGCATATTACACCAAACTAATGACGTTAGACTGAACTTCACTCCCGAAGGATTCCCTATTCTATGGATGCAATGAAGTACACTCATCTATCAAACTGGTATAGTTCCGGCAATATTTGAGGCAAATTTTATTTAGGGTAACAAGTGTAGCAATACGGATTGTTTTCTTTGTCACACACGTTCATACTAAAGAGAGATAACTGCAATAAGAGAGAGAGTTTATATTTACGTCTCAATTTTTCCAACTGTTCCTATTCCTATTGTTGATAAAGTCTACAAAACATCGAATTCAAGAAATAAAAAAGGTTGGTAAACGCACAGTGTTAGGTAAAGTTGTGTACTTTAAGCTTTTCTTGCTTTTGAAAAAATATATACTGCTATTTCCTGACCAATATATTTCATTAACTTTTCAATTTCTATGTTTAGTAATTTGTAAGCACTTTTTCGATTTTTTTAAGTTAGTTTATTACAAATTTAATTTTATGCAAAGATTTTAAGAAAATATTGTCTGATCACCAAATAATAATATGTAATTTCAGTAACAGTATGGAAATGTAAATAAACTAATCCAAAACAAGAGCACTCCATTTTTCCATTGACATAAATGAACAAGAAAAACATAACAATCCTCATTACTAGCCGTCTTTTACTATTTGCGACACTTTTCTATTGCACCGTACAAAGGTAATTTATATTATGTGAATAGCTTAGAATACTTCTAGGTGTTAGACGCAAATATATTTTTTAAAATTTAATAATAATGTTGGGCATTTTATTTTTAACCATATTTGATAAATACGATGTTTTCTTTCTCTTTGAAATAAAAATAAATAAATAATATTTTTAATGTACATAAAATGTAAGTGACGAAAGGATGACAAACAGTTTTTAATTATTTACATGGTCCCTAAAAAATATTTTTTTATAGCGCGTACCACTTTTTGTAATAAGCTAGAGGAATATAGGTAAAATAAATATTTGTATGATAAATATCCTTAAATATTGCAATTGGCAGATTTTAAAAAATGATGCAATATTTAAAAATTTACTTTTACTTATTGTTCACATTTTTCAAACTTTATGATCACAATGTCCAAATTTAAAAGTCTACTATTAGAAAAGACAAACAGCAACACAACATAATACCAAAAAACTAAGTTTTCTTTAATATTACAGCATAAAATAATAAACAGTGGTTTACCCTTGCCATGCAAATTTAAATCGAGTCACTGGATTGATTTAATGTTTTAAAATTGGCAACCAACAGAAACAAAAGCTTAACCACTTGAAATGTCTAAATTGACATTTACTGCATGTGCTAGATAGTTATGCAATGTCTTCTCATAAGTACAAAAGAATATCAAGGAAAATTATTATGTTATATTCTGTTTAATATGACTTACGGGCCCACGAACCACGAGCCATTTTTTTATGACTTTGCCTAAAATAAAATTGAACTACAAAATATGCTCACAAGCGATTCAACCGAGGGATTTTATACAATCAATTTTGATTAGATTTGAATTGTCATTTTTGGGAGAGACAAAAAATCAATAACGATCAAATAATTCCACACGTATATCCAAATGCAAAGGCAAATCTAACCAAAATCGGGCTGAAAACCACAAAGGTCTAAAAAAAGTTAGGCAAAATCCCTGAGATCGGGGTACGAGACGAAAAAAAAAATCGCAAAAATCAAAAATCGCTAGTCCAACATCCTACGCGAGCATTTAAGATCAGAAATGCATGTCAGATAGAACTACGACACAAAGTTACCCAGAGTGTGTAAACTTAAAATTATTACACGTAATAGTAAAAATAATCGGTCACAACACAAACTAACTATTTTATGGGGAAACTAGAATTACGAATCGGGTGTTACCTCCTCGGGGAGCCCTTGTCGTCGGCGCGTTCGGATCGTTGAACACGCTTTCTATGTCCGACGCCAAGTCTCTGCTCACGCTACGTCTCCAAGGCACGCCGAAAGAGGTCGCCGACGAATTGACGGACGACGGCCTACCCAACGTTCTACTCAGAGATGAGTGTCTGTAAAGAAAACAATTCACCTTCGCTTAAACCGAACCCCAAAAATATTAAAAATTGAAACACAACACAGATTCGGATTAGATGGGGGACAAACCTAGTCTAGGTATTCTAAAACTATACACCCAATCGGAATCTACTATACGCTATTTCAGAAAAGTGTAGAGTAATTAATACAATGGGGAATTATGTAGAGCTCCGGTATTTTAATGCAACAAAATTAATTTTGATCCCTATTGTAAATCCGATGAAATTATTTGCAGGCGACGAAAATGTTTGGACCAGAAGGAAATCTTTTATCTTGATCAGACGTTATGTGGTATCCACAAGCGTTCCCTCTGACTAATTTTGGAGAAAGTTATATGTGTTTTGGATATTTACAAACTTTGTTTTATATTAGAAACTTAGCACACATACAATAGCCAAGCAACCTCGATGATATAGTGGTAAAGGCGTGAATCTTGACATTTGACAGAGTTTGCAGCAATAAACAACGTTTGACATTTGACAGAGTTTACAGCAATAAATAAATAAGATTCACGCCTTTACCACTAGACCGTCAAGGTTGCTTGGCTATTGTATGTGTGCTAAGGTTCTAATAGGAAACAAAGTTTCTAACTTGTCCAAAATGAGCCAGAGGGATTTGAGATTTGAACCCTTTTTCAGCATATTTCCCTCAATGGATGAAAGGAAAAAAAAAACATCGATTAGACACAAACGGATAATCGTAACGGCGGTCATGCTTAATGGCCTAATACCAGAGGCCAGTGTAGCTAGCAAAATGTTGGTATTTAACGCCAAATGTTCTAAGGCTGGTTCACATATTGCGTGAACAAAAGTTAATTCCTTTGTTTGACGCTAGATGGAACCACTGACCAATAACAGCTACCCGAACTACCGGCTACTGCCACTTACGTCAGATTTTCGCGTTTTCTTCTGTACACTATTTTGCACTGGGTGCTTGCAAAAAGGAATTGTTGATATACAGCAAACGATTACGCGCGTAAAACGGAAACTTCGCTTACCTCGTGAGGGGATTTTCCATGCGATTCCAAAAATTCGTGCCGTGATCGAAGTGACTGAGCAGTCGCCTGCTGGGGAAGCCCGGTCTGATTTCGTCGTCCACGTTAAGTCTCTGGGTCAAGTCCCTCACCTACGCAATCGCAGTTCAAATTACCGGTCACCGTTGGGGAGGGGAGATAATCAACTCACCCGCGACAATAATGTCGAGAACAAATTTTCAGCTGTTAAAATTTCAAAGCCTTCATCGTCATCTTCCTCGCCGGAACTCAACGAGTCGTTATGTTCGAGTGTAGCTTTTTTGGGACGTGTGCTCCTAAAAAAATTGAAGAAAATATCTGCCAACGGTAATAATTTAAGTAAATAAGGTCAGTGATAATTCGATCCAGAACCTAGTCGTATATAAACCGAACATGTGTTGGAATTAACCAATGAGCATGCTTGTCATTGAACTGATTCGAATATTTGGATACGAATTAGACAAATACTGACCATTTACCGCCATTTAACTTTAAGGTTAAGCCTTTGTCTGTTTGATGACAGCTTTTTAATTCGTAACAATATATTTATGCAATAACATGTATCAGTATCAGCAATCTCGTCGCTGAGCGGCTTTGTTCTTCAAATATATTGTACTGCATTGAATATTGTATTGTATGATAGAGGAAGATTGAAACTCTCTCTCGAAACAGTTTACGATACTGTTTAAACCAAATTATCCCGTCTTTAACCGTTTTTCACTTATGGCCAATACTTTACCCACAAAAACGAAAATTTTCAGGATGTTTAATATTTTTTACCATAAATGACACCCTAAAGAAGTTGTTGCCCCCGGATCTCCCAAGTTTCCTGGTTCATGAATTTTTGCTATAGATATATAGCGACTGTCACATGGATTTCTTCAAATATGTCGAGAAGCGTGTGTGCTGTTGTCAACCAAATAGTCATATTTTTCAAGAATTTTGACTTACGGCTAATAATTTACTTCCGAAAAGAACAATTTTCATGGTATTTTAAACAGTTTAAACAGTGGCAGAGTATAACTCCCATATTCTTGGGTTTACATATTTGCAGGAAGCACGTTGGAATTTTATTTTTATTTATTTACTTATAACTGATAATCTTATCTTGCCCTTAGTTTAATCAAATAAAATGTGTTTATACTCTGAAAAACCTTTAAACCTCAGATAATCAAAACGATAAAAAATAAATCAGCCCCTAGAAACAAGAAGAATAAGAATAACCAATAGATTTGATGATTAGAATCCCTTTGAAATTCCAAATTAATATTATAACAATAATAATTATGCTCATATCTGCAATTTCCAACATATTGCAATTGCCAATAAGCAAAGTGTAAAAGCCATTAACTGTTCTTGTTCACTAATTTTTAAGTTATTTTATATATTACATGCACTTTCTCCAATTTATTGGATTTATTAGATCTTGTAGCTTGTAGCTGAATAGTTAAATCTAAGAAGCTACGAGTAAGAGACTTATCTACTGACAAGTGACAGCGCAATCTAAAGATCGGTTTTTTTTTTTTGGAGATTCTTGAACAATTTTGTTTAAATCTTCACTTGAAGAGATTTTGACAGCGTATTATTGTAGTTAATGTACCTGAAATAGGATATTCGATTCTTACCTAAGCCTATGCATGTGATGGAAACTGTCCTTCTTGGAGTCTTCAGTGTCGCTATCCTTTCCGAAAGAGCTGTGCCTGTGTAGCGAAACGAACGGCGATTCGTCTTCCGAATCTCTGTCGCTTAGTAGCGAACTACGCAGATTAAAAAAAATGTACGTTTTCTTATTAGTTCACCCTAAACGACCTACTTCAATCTCCTAGCTCTTCCAAACTTCGTTTTGCTTCTGTTCGTCATCGTGCTATTCGTACTAGCGGTATCGCTAGGTTCCAAACTGCCGGCGCGAGGTGTGACGTAGCCCCCACCCTCGACGGCTATCGGAATAATGTACTCCCTGGGGGATTTTTTGATCGGCTCGCCGGTCGACGTCGTCTCCGAGTCGGATTCTTGAGTAGACTGCCGCGACAAACTGCCCGCCCTAAAGCGACGTATTAAAACGATTTTTTTAGGTAAAATGTTTCATTACCTTTGTGGAGTGCTCGATTTCTGGGTCTGGAACGGTCTTGGCATCGGAGGTTTGGCGGGCGGAGACTGGACACTTTCTTTGTCGTTTTCCGCTTTTCGTCTTTCGAGAGCGATCGGGATGATGTGCTCCTTTGAGAATTTCAATTCCGGTTCCGCTGCCGTCGCCCTGCCGCCGGCCGTAGGCACTCCGCTTACGGGTACCACCACTTCGCTCCTCACCTGGGGGGCGGCTTCGACGTTATGGGCAACTTCCGTACGGAACTCCATTTGGGCCGGCTTGGGGGCGGGGTAGTTCAGTTGTATGTGCGCTTTGGCGGTTTTTCTAAGGGAATTTCGTATCCAATTACAAATACCGACGACAAAAGCAAATTCTAGATTAAACTCGCGAAAACAAAGAGATTCAGCCGAACATATCTTAGTAAAATGCATTAGTGGATTGCCCGGAGTTACTGAGCTTGCAGAACTTTTATGTGCCTTCAAGGACTATAAGAACATCACCTGTATTTCACCTAGTAACTCCAAGAACCAATTTCTTGATTAAAGGTGTTCTCTATCAGTTGATGAAATTATTTAATGACTTCTGTAATGATATTGGCGTTTTTTCTCTTAGTCGCTCACAATTTAATGGATTGTATGTTTCACTTTTACTTTGCTGGATTGGATTAGTTGACTACTTATTATAATTATAGTTCTAGAAATAACTTTATTTATCTTTTTTACTTATATAATCTTCAAAGACAAGTAAAGGAATAGTATTGACAAGAAAGCGTCTGCATGGAATTAACAATGTAAGGGGGGAGGGGGATCACCCTAGCGGAAGCAGAACTTGCGAGCTAATACTACTTATATCTTCAAGCACACAACAAAAATTACAAAATTTCGAAGAAATTCCAGTCAAAATAATTTTTTTACATCTTATTGTAACCAAAAGTACCTCAAACTATGAAGACGATACTATGGCAAAAATTATAATTTAATTGTATTCGTCATAGAGAAATAACAATACCCACTTTAACACCCTGTATCTCACTAATGAGAGACATTTTACTAAGGCAAAGTTAGTTCAATATCATCATTTTCACAAGCTTAATCTAGCATTGCCTTTTGCCGCAATCATTTCGGAACGCCCTGTATTTAAAATGTAAAAAATAGCATTTTAAATATATATGATCCCCGATATTATGGCTAATACATAGTTAATCAAAGACAAAATGATATTTCTTAATGTTTTCGTTTTTCTTTTAATTAAAAAAGAGTTTGGTACGCTTATAAACGACAGCCAACGTTCAACTCACCTTCTTGGAAGGGTTGCTGATTTCAGGGTGATTTCGGCCGACGAAATTTGCTGGTCGTCGACCTCTGGCTGTTTAATCTCCTCCTCTTTCACTTGTTTCACTTCGCTGGGCGCCGGTTTATTTTCATAGCACGGCCTAACAAACGGCTTGGGCCCCATATTTTGAATGGGCGGCGAGAGGGGAGCGACCGTCCCGATATTCCCGGAAGCGGACCTTCCCCCCACCTGGAAAAAACACACCGATCGATTTCGCGATGTGCGACAGGCACCGCAGGTGGAAACTACTCACACCAAACGGAACCGGAGGCTTCCTCATCATACACGGCCTGGATTTAGACTTTCTAGCTCCTTCTTTATCTAAAGCATTCGAAATAATACTCACGGCGTTCTTCACTTTCTCTTTTCGATCGTCCTGCGGCTTCTCGGTTACTTTCGGTAACGATTCACCGTTAACCGTTTTATCCGCCGTTTCTTCGTCTTTGTCTTCCGAGGACTGTTGTTTATCGATCAGCGTTTTCTTGACAGGCGCCGTTTTTAATTTCGGCGCCGCGGACGACGTCAGGCTCGCTTTCCGTTCGAATTCTTTCTTGAAACCGTCCACGCTAACTCCTAAAATAAAAAAAAAATCAAATTTTGTCCGGTGGGAGCAGAACTTACGAACATATACTACTTACATCTTCAGGTAGACATAAAAAAATCAGCATTTTTGACGAAAAAAACAAAAACAGAAAATTTGGGAAACCCCACTAATAGATAACAAAATTCCAGTCCGAATCAGCTTCTTTTTGCAACGAAAACTTTATCAAAGCTGCAGATATTACCTCAAAATTTAACAGGATTGAACAAGTGTTTTCAGGAAAAATTTTTGTCAAAAAAGCAACAAAAACTAAGTGTAACTTAGTGTCAAAATCAACTTTGTCGCCACTTATTGTAATGAAAATTTAATGGAATCTATAGACGTCAACACAAAACCTCACCAGTACGAACGATTTTTGAGCAAAAAAACAACAAAAAAAGTGGTAAAATTCATCCTTTCTAGCAGATACGAAGAAGAACATAAAACTTACAGATATCAACCTAAAACCTTACTTTTTTCATTCAACAGTAGCTACAAGAAGGATTTTTATCAAAAAAAAAGCAAAAAAATAAATGAAACTTTGAGCAGATTTTGATAAAATATCAATCAAAATCGTTTTTTTCACCACTTATTGCAACGAAAACTTCATCAAACCTACAAACATCAACCCTGAACTTCACTTTTTAGATTCAACAGTAGGTTCATGTTGGATTTCCGACGACAAAACAATAAAAAATGAGAGAAAATTCAACTTTTCTAAGTAGATTTCCATGTAAATCGGCTTTCATCCCCTAAAATTTCATAAAACCTGCCGACATAAACCCAAAAAATCTAACTTTTTGGATTAAGGATGTGGCTTCAAGAAATATTCTTTCTAGTAGATTTTGACACCAAAATCACGTTTTTCACCATTTATTGTAACTAAAACTTCACGAAACCTTGAACCTCGCTTTTTGGTTTCAACAGTAACTCATGAATACAGAAATCAACAAATGACAAAACAGAGTTTCTTTCAGGACCAGAAATAATCAAGCTTACGTATGGTATAATTTTTTGGGGTTGACCTGCAAAAATTCATAGGATTTTTGTAGTGCCAAAATAGGTTAATCAGATCTATTATAAAAAAACTATGAAAAATGAACAGTATCATCTACCGACGTACCAGGGATGGTAATTTTCTTGGGTTTCTCGACGGGTACGGGCTTGGTTTCCGTGGGGCTCATCATGTTCTGGAATTTTTCGGCCGCTTCGAAAATCCTCGATCTTCTCCTCTCGATTGGCTTCGACGGCGCTTGCGCAGATTCCTCGGCTTTGGCGACGTTCTCCTCCTTCGAACTCGTCCCGTTCTCTTGTGTATCGTTCTTCTCCGCCTCTTTCTCGACCTCCTCCCGACTGGTTTGCGACTTAGCCGGCGAATTTTCATTTTTATCAGACAGCACCTTCTTCTTGATCGCTTTCTTCTTCACCGGCGCCTTCTCCTCTTCCATCTTCTTCGGGGCTTCCGGCTCGGTCGTCTTCTGTTGTTGTTCTCGATCCAGATTCTCCTTGTCCAACGTGGTCGCCACGTTCTCTTGACTAGGAGTTTCGTTTATGCCTAAAAAGCGAGGTTTTACGAAAAAATTAACTACGATAACGGATTAAAATTCAAAAGAAAATAGAAAATCGGGAACGTAAATGATTTTGAACTCGTCCACGCAACCTCTGATAATAATTAATCGAAAAGGAGGTAAACATAAATACAGGTTGAACAAATATAGATTGAAGAATCAAGTAGAAATAAAAATCTGACAAGAGATCCATATGATGTCTTTACGCCAAAAAAAAGCCACAGGAGAGTAACATAGAACAAAACAAAAACAGAAGAACAGCTTTATATATTTTATATATAAGTTTTCCGAAAATCAGATCAGTGATGAGTTATTTAATCTTAGAGACGGGACGTTTGAGTCAACTGTTACAATAATTTCCAAGCAAAAAACTAGAATTTTATACTAAATCAAAAACTAAAGGAATGCCACAGAACAAAAAACACGAAAATACTTCAATTGCTCAAAATAAAAACGGCCGAATAAATCATGAATAATATATATATATATATATATATATATATATATATATATATATATATATATATATATATATATATATATATATATATATATATATATATATATATATATATATATATATATATATACAACAGACCAGAAACGCTAGGTGTTCATAACTGTTAAGTCAGATAGAAAAGTAAACAATCTTGCTACTCTGCAGAACAGTATTCTTCTTTGCTATATTTTTAATATATTTTGACAATCTTATGTTGAAAATATTTTTTTAGTTACAAATTATGTAGATGATGTAAGCTTTTAATTTGAAAGTTCTGAATGCATATTTTTGTCTAAAACCGGAAACATTTTCGATATGACCACCATACATAAATGCAACACTAGAAATTACAACATTCTTTACCCAGTTCATATACTAACACTAATCTAAGAGTTTAGAGGTATATTAAAACAATTATTAATTGATCTTGAACGTCAGTGTTGGAGACTATTTAAACATATGATGGCTTTTTAAAACCTTATTTTGTGATGACAATTATTTTATGTATATAATGAATGTAATTTGAAAAAAATGTATATCATTATTATTGTAATTTTACCTTCTAAAACTTTGTTACTAACGCTGGTGGACAGCGTTCTCTTCACTTTGGACGCCACTGGTTGCTTATTCTTCGTTTGAGGAATCGGCTCCGCAGCAACCACGGGTTCAGCCTGTTCGACCTCCATCTCCTTGGAGATAGTCTGCGTCAGGCTCTTGTTTAGGGGCGGGGCCTCGGTCATGCTCGCGTCTTCTAGCGACACGTCTTCCTGGATAGCCCCATGAACCTATCGGAACGCAATTTATCTTAAGCCTTTATTTACGAATAACGACAGCTTCTAAATTTTAACATTATAGTTAGACGTTGCACAACACTTGATCAGCGTCTAGTTGGGTATTTTAGAGCATAGATTAGAAAAAAGTATTTATAAGGTTAAGAGTAAAACATCAATATTTTAAAAATTAAACAACAAATGCGCATGTGCCTGAGATATTCCAAAAACAAGGCTTAAAAAATAGTTTCGTTATTATTTTAAATAGTTTTTTTTTCTAACTACGCCACTAAATATTAAAACCTATTTGTACAAAATTGCTTTGTTAATAAAAAGTTAATAATGAATTACTTTTCCAATTAATTATATTATTACTAATAATTAATTTCACTGTGCCAAACTCTCTGTACTTGAAGTAATTGTGGAAAATTGCATATTTTCATATATTAAATGACAGCCTTTGGTACCTACTTTTATTGAATATATAATTTAATTGATTAAAAATCAACAAACTTGAGTATATAATCTGTTTAATAGATATTTAGCTAGAAAGAAAGAAAGAAAATGTATATTTTTATTAAAACTTAAATTTTGAAGTTTAATGAATACAAATTAAACAACACATGGGCACGTGACTGAAATATTCCAAAACAAGGTTTTAAAGAATTGTTTCGTCTATTTGTCAGTCTTTTTATTAGTAGTTTTTTCTATCTGAATAACCCATTAAATAATAAAACCTTACATACAAAATTACTCTGTTAATAAAAAGTTTAAAATTAAATAATTTTCGATATCATTGTTATTAATTTATTAAGGAGACTGATGTGTACATATGTATAATTTTACCGAGTAAATTTTCTGTAGAAAAACAAAAGAACGGAAATTAATTTAGAAAAATTTTGAATATTTATAGACAATTACATATTTTCAAATATTAAAGTATCTTATTAAATTATAAGAATTAAAGAAAACTATTATCAGCAACTATAAGTAATGACATAATACGAACTGTTATATCCGCAACGGTGTTTTCTTTGATAATCTTTTCCTTGCGTTTCAGGCCTTTGTCCAGGTTAGCTCTGTCGGTGCTCACCGTCGTCTCTAGCTTCCTTTTCGGAGCGAACTTTTCTTCGCTGATGAGGTCTATGATTCGCCTAAAATCGCGCACCCAATTTGTTCCTCATTAAAAAAAAATGCAAGCGAAGCGTTACCTTTCCGGCGAGGTCAGTTCTATCAAACTTCCAACCGATTGCGACCTAGTCGGTGCTACCGCTTCGGTGGGCGTGTCCGTGGCCACGTCTCCAGTCACCATGAGTTTCTCGCTCTCCAATTGGGGAGCGGGAGGCGCTAGGGACAACAAAACGTCGAGTCTCACCTAAAAATTCGTTAGTAAAAATCGATAAATCCGCTTAGAAATTTTCTTTTCATACGGGAGTTTGATTGGCCAACTCTTCGCTGATCTCGAGGCAGTTGACGTCGTAGGTTTCGTTTACCCACCAGTGGGAGCAAATCTTTTCTATGTTCGATCTCGTTTTGGGGTTGACGGTGAGCATGTCCCTAATGAGGGGCGACGCGGCTGCACCAAATTATAAGTTTTAGAACTTAAGTAATCTTAGAGTTTCACATTGGAAATTAAAATTTCATTCTACCAACTGTATTTCTTTCATATAGTCTATATAAACTTTTAATCGCGCCCGATAAAGCTTGTCATTTTCAGTTAGTTAAGCTTCCTGATATATCGCAAGTCTCATAGACACACTAATAAGAAACAATTTTTAAAAAATCGTTATTATATATCTGCGGTTGATTCGGCGCGAGGTGAGTCGCAATGCAATGCAATATTTTTTTTTGTATCAGCTTAGACGAACGATCCTCTTCGCAAGAGAGCAGTTTTAAAGCTCAGGAACTTTTAAGCTCGAATTTCATTGCTACCTTTTCTAGTAATTTGTTTATGACCATTTACACTCTGACATTCTCCACAAATAAAAACAAGGTTGTAGCGAACCTCTGAAAAATATCTGCATTTATATCCCAACACTATTTCGGGCCACTGCGCATGAGTCATGAATTTCAAGGTAACCTTAACCTATTTTACAAACTTACCTAGCCCGTCATAAAATATTTGTATTTTTGGTTTGTGGGTGATTTGTGGATTAAACAAATTAATGAAATGGAAGAAAACATAAAAAGCTAAAGTCAAAGTCGATTATATGTCCACCCATGTGGGGCATGCGTAAGCTTGAAGTAGGAAAACTGACAATGAATGAATGAATCTGCTGCAGCAAAAACAATTAGCAGAAAAAATGTGTCAGGGAGTTCATAACTATAAAATATTGAAAGATTTTTGTGAAAACTTCAATCCCACGAGACTTAGCTATACAGCAAATCATGACCTACACAAGATAAAGAAATCCTTTAAAATAGAATCGGACGGGAGACGGCACCAAGAGTGTTTTATTGAAAAATTAAAAACAGTGTCGGACCTAGATAACCCTATATTATTATATACACCATATGGACTAGAACTTTATTTTTTTAAAATTTTGGTTGGTTTTTCTTAGTTTTGGTTGTTTGGTTGTTGCGCACCGAAAAAGAATAATATATTTAAGAGGTATAATATATAATATAACAGGATATTCTAAACAGGTCAACAAATGACTATAAGTGTCGATATGTTAAACAAAGAGGCAAACATTATTCAGCTCTCCGTTAGTTAAAGCAAGTGCAAACAAGTGTTTCTATTTAGTCACTTTTAGTATGTACAATTAACTGAAAAAACTTGAAGGCATTAAAAGTTTAGTTGGTCGGAAGCTCCCGAAACCTGAAAAGTTTGGTTTTAAAACGTATTTTTTATACACAAAATTAACGCCGACGGAATCAACAGCGCAATTACTGTCCACTCAGGGAATCCTTTTGGATGAAGAAAATGGATGTGAAAAAATTTTCTTGGAAACTTTACCAAAAAATGTCTTTTGCGTCTGTATTTTTATTGAGGAACGGAAAATAAATGTTTCATAAATTTAACAAATCATTATTTTTGAGAAACGAACTTTAAACTGTAAAGATAATTTCTATTGAATACTCACGACTGGGTGTTGAAGGTTCATAATAATCGCCCTGGGATATCTGTTTGACCAGTCTTTTAAAGTTGCTGCCGTCGAAAGGCATCGCACCGTACACCAACGTGTACAAAAGAACGCCCAGCGACCAACAATCGACTTCCGGTCCGTGGTAGGGCGTTCCCTTGACTATTTCCGGCGACGCGTACAATGGCGACCCGCAGAACGTATTGAGCAATCGTTGATCGTCGAACACGTTCGACAAACCAAAATCGGCGATCTTTATAAAAATTTCAATTTGAGTATGACTGGTATATATACGGTGTCTCCCAAAACAACCCGAATCAAATAATATTAAAACGTGGTACGGGACAAAATGAGTCCTTATATCCTAGATTGTTTGACGGCGTTGTTCTTCTCTATCTTTAATCAATGTTAAAATATGTTGTCAAAAATTCGACAGAGCTAGATTTTGGTAGCGACCTTTGGTGCACTAGTAGAAGTAAAGTCTCCATCAATGTGTACTAAAACTTTAAATTTTTATTTTTGGGGTTTTTTTCAAAATAAATTATCTAGAAAAGCGATTCTAAAAGATCAAGGAGTTCCATTCTGCATTATCTACACCTCATTCCATAACACAGGTTATACATTTTTAATGTGATTCATTTAAGTGGACTTAATCGGCTGGCTGCTTCGAATTGATACAGAGTTTCACTTTAAGTCAAAAGTGTATTTCAAATTTACATTTTTTTTGTACAAAATTAATCAGAACAAGCTGTAAGGGTCAACAAGTTCAACGCTCCAGTGTAAAAGAGACTTACTAAGGAACTCCGTTCCTTTTAAGAGTTAATACTCAGAATAATACACAAATATAACCTTTTTTAGGACACGTTTTCTGCATGGTACTTTATTTCTACCGACCTTCACCAAATTCCAATATTACTATAACATTATTTTTTCGAAACTCTTCTATAGATGAAATGCTTATATAACCGAGGGATTTTGCTGCTAATTTAAATCAAATAGGAAATTAAAAAACCGTTATTTAAAAAAAAGAGCAATATTTTTGACAAGATTTCAAAATTCATTCAAGATTTAGCAAGAATAATTTTGAAAAAATATTTTGTATTGGTCGTTTTTTTTTTCGTGTCCCCAAAATTTGATCCTTTTGGACACCTGGTGTAACCCGATCACTTACTTTGGCGTTGTTGTTTTCGTCCAGTAGTATATTCTCCAGCTTCAGATCCCTGTGGCAGATTTTGTGCTTGTGGCAATAATAACAGGCGGTCGAAATTTGTCGGAATATTCTTCGGGCCTCTTCTTCCTGAAGCACCTTCCTCTCGGACAGATAGTCGTAGAGCTCGCCGCCAGCGGCGTACTCCATAACAAGGACCATTTTTTCTTTGTTTTCGAACACCTCGTAAATGTGGATAATGTTCGGATGCTGCACGGAAGACATAATCTGAATCTCTCTCCTGATCCTAACCAAATCGGCGTCCGATTCAATCTTCGATTTTTTTATCGTTTTAATGGCCACCTCTTGGCCGGTCTCCTTGTTTATGCCAAGCTGCACTTTGCCAAACGTTCCCTGACCCAGTTTTTTTATAATGTCAAACCTGCGATTCAACCAAGCCGTTATTTAGGTAAATAGTGCGAAATAACAGAAACGTTTTGCCTGTTGAATTAAAAAAAAAGATTCAATAAACAGAGCGGCTAACGGTGGTTAATTTGGAAAACTTCCAGCATTAAGATGCACATTTGCATTGCCAAGTCTATTAAGAAACAATGAATTAACGCGGACCGTGCCCATATCACCGCAAATGTTCTTAGCCCCCAAATGTTTTCAAAATTATAATTTACAAATTTCAGATAACCTTTATAAAAACTTTTTTGTCTTCTTTTTGGATGACGAACCTCCGGCCGAGCGTTGGCACGTGTTTTTTGAAACACCGTGTACACATTATCAAAACGAAAATGATACCAAACCATAGAGTATTTTTTAAAAACGAGACGAAACTTCAGGAAGTGATTCTTTGAATGGTATAAGGCAAAAAAAATGTATTTTTTTCATTGTTATGTTTAAAACTGCACTGCATTTTTTCGAAAAAAAAAAAACAATTTACCTCATGAAGCAAAAAATTGGTACCTATGGTTAATTAGTCAAAAAAAATCAAATAAATAAAAGGCATAAGTGCCGTGTTGTAATACTTTAATCTGACACCCTGTATATTAAATAATGTTTTTTAAAACCTTGTATAATGCTTGTGCGTAAATTTTATTGAAAATTTCGGTGAACTTGTCCTATTACCTCAGAAAATTTGAGAACTTGTTTGACATTACGTTTTATATAAAAGTTCGTGTACTTCGATTATTATATTATTTTAGATAATAATTTAGGATATATGAAGAGAAAAGCCGTACCTTTGTCTAAGTTTCTTCTTGTGGTTGTGCTGTTTAACACCCCCTGTATTCTCGATCCCGCTCATAATGCTATTAGCGGCTGCTTCTTCAATTCCCATTTTGCTTAAACTGCAAGAGAATTACTACTTATAAATGGATAAAATGGACCCTACACCAAAAGCTTTAATGTTCGAAAGTTGGATACAGCAAACTTAAGTGATGTTTAAGTTAAAAAAAAATAAATTAAAATACATCTTACAGACTATAATTCTTAAGATTCTCAAACATTACTATCAAATCAGTAAATATAAATAACAAATTGAAATATTATACAGGGGGTTCGAAAAATAGGCGGAGATATTTTAGAGGGCAGTTCCTTGTTAAAAAATATACAGAGGTGCGGAGGCAGAATTTTCAAGATTTCAGTTTTCAAATTTTCAAAGTCATTTGTAATGAGAAAGAGTTTTGCTTTGACTAGATACAAATTGTGAAATCCAGTGCCATACCGCGAGGTATCTTAGTTGGTTGTATGTTAGTTGTTGAGTTGTTTCCGAATCTTGCCTCTTTCTTGAGAAAAAAAATCTTAAAATGGAAATTTACAAAACGCAAAATGAATACTAAAGAAAATGATGGAAAAGGCCACCATCACCTTCATTGCAGGAAAGTAGCTTATGACGTAAGGATTTTAACACTCTGTTTCTTGAAAACCTTGTATTTTCCAAACTCATATTTAGAAAAACTTTTTTAATATTTTTTAACAAAGAATCGCACTCCAAAATACCATCGTCTGCTTTTCGAACACCCTATATATACACCGAAAGAAAAGGAACATAGAATATTTATAATTTATATTAAATTATATATAAAGTTTTTTGCCTATAAATAGAAATAGAAAAAGTCCTTTATTGACGATATTGGCGATACTTTTATTAAAACTAGGATATATATTAATTTTTATGAATTAATTATAACTGTTAATAAATACTATAATAATAATAATAATAATAATAATAATAATAATAATAATAATAATAATAATAATAAATAATAATAAATAAATAATAATAATAAAAGTAGAAAAACACTTTTTTCTACTCCCGTCTGTAAAATACTTAATTACACACCGATCTAGCGTGCACACTTTTTTCTACCCCATCAGTTTCGTTTCCCACAGATCCGAGCCACTTCGGACATTTCCGGGATTTTACCGCACAGATTTGGGAGCAATCGAATATTTTCAAAGATATTTCTAACGCTTTGAATTTTGACGTTTGTCAATTCTGACGGTCATGTCAATGAATGTATTCGTGTTGTTTTGCGAAAATGTACCCAAAAACTAACGGTCGTAAAAAAAGTATAGTATGCATCACGTTCGGTAAACTTTTTAAATCACTCGTTATAAACTCGTGAGTCAAATGCCGTTTACCGTACTTGATGCATAATATACTATTTCCTATTATTAATAAGCGATCTAACATGAAATTTTATTTTATAGAATTAAAAATTCGCGAGTATTTATGTAGCTTAAAACCGCAAGAAATTAAACCGAATTGCTCACGTCAAAAATACAATATGCCGACATGTTTTCGTCGCATATTTCTCTCGCTACGGGTGACATTGTGCATTTCAATTAAAACAAATGAACTTTCTAATTTGCGAGACATCCGACGGACAAATCGGGCGGACGCCGCCGCCTCGCCTGCTTGATTTATCGGCGGTCCAGACACACAGACGGAAAAACATATTGGGTCCAGGTAAGTATAGGACCCGATGATTCTAATGCCAACCGATTTAGATTTATTTTTAGATAAGTTTACTTGTAAGTTCGAATACTCTGGGGTTATTTTTGTGTGACGGTAAATTAAAATTAAAGCCCGTCTTTTATATTTAAACGTATAGTGATTTAACGATTAGACTTTCGATAAATGTTGCTGACAAATCGTTAAGACTCTTGTGCGCGTGGCGATTTTGGAAATAAAATCGTGGCTCATTTATCGGTCATTCGATATAAAGTCGATGTGTCTGTATATTATTTTATACCCGGCTGTTTAGTCTATGTGATCGCAACGGTGCACGCTGGATGTTTAGCTAAGGTCTCGACAAACGATGACCGCATCTTATAACAACAATAATATATAATGACATATAGAACTAACACAATAATAATTAAATAATATGCAAAAAATCCTTAAAATAACATAGTATTAAATCCCAAATTTACCTACCTAATTTTATAGAACTAAAAGCTGGTTTATAAACTACTTTTTATATTTTTAACACTCACACTTTAATGTAATTTAAATTTAACGTAAGTTGTAAGAAAATTAAATCTATGGATATATCATTAGAGGTTTATAAACGTCATTAAAAACACACCTAAGATTCAACACTTTCCATGAAATTTGCATGGACTTGCGCTTGAGCTGGGAATATCAGCTGTTTTCTGGTACCAATGTACACAGACGACACAGCAATCATATACCGATTACTAATTGAACACTCCGCTTTCTCGTGCAACAACACACGTCGCATAAAAAGCGATTATTACGATCTAAGCCCTGTTTAACCTGCCTGCCATTTAATATACGCATGCGGGGCACTTGAGATCTTATTTTCAGCCAATAAGATCTAACCAATAGGGCCGCTGACAGTTCGTCAATTCGACAGGTTTCTGTTTCGGTGTAACATTTTTATGGCAGTATTTTTTTTAAAATAACAGATCTTAAATGTTCTACGAAACAAAAGAAGTTAGAAAGAAGATGGCGCAAAGTCCACGTTAGTGCGTGAAATTTAGAGGCATGCGCGGGAGATCATCATTTTTTACTGTCAAATAAAAACTAACCTAACATTATACCTGAAAGCAACGTGTTCATTTTTGTGTCGTATTATATACAGTTTTATTTCAAAATTGCGTGTAGTTGATAAATTTGTATAATGGAAGAGACAATTGGAAATTTGTCTTAATCTTTTCAAATTAAATATACATATATCATATGCTAACGTAGAGTATTCAGTGGTTTATAAATTAGAGTCAAAATGGTATTTATGCAAATGCTATTATATTATTTTATTTTTGTTTTGGTGCAATTTTATTTTTCAGGATTGTTTTTTAACTTTGGATATTTAATATAACCGTTGTTTTTAGTTTTCGGATGATTTAATTGAACTAAAGTTAGGCTAAACTTTATTTATTTTTTTTAATGTAAAAGGCAAATCCACATTCTCATGTGAGTTTAAAGTACTGCTAATTATATTATTTGTTATATTTAAAAATGAACGTATGTACATTGAAGTACGTTTTTTTAACAAACTTGTTTATTGGTTTATAATTTTCCTAGTTAAAATGCAAATAACTACAGTTTTTTAAACAAATTGTCCATTTCCATTTTTATCATGATAAGACGAAATTTCTGCTGCTGCAATGACTAGATTTGCCTTCTGTTTAAGAGATTTCCTCATAGTAAGGTTCTACAGTTGCTTCTTGAACACTTTGCACCAGATTTTTCCAGCCCGATACCTTATTTAGTATCCCCTAGTTTTGAAAATGTTGAACTCAATGGTTTTCTGTATAAAATTATGTGTACTAAATACTTTTAATAATTATCTTTCGTGATTTAGACTTTATCAGTACTCGAGTTACTCAGTACCTAATTCCCATAAAAATTTTAGTATTAAAATATTTAAAATTCGTGTTAAAAATTTTGTGTTCGATAGATCATTGACTCTCTAGTGATATGTAGAATTTATTAACCTTTTTTGTACCTGTCTATGTGGTATGTTGTTTTATTTTGTGTCATTTTTCATACAATAAAGAGAAGATATAAGTTGCTTGTTTCCATATTTAACAGCAAAGACCAAAGTAAATACAGAAACGTTGGGAAACATTTTGTTTCGCCACGTATTTTTAATAGTGTGGGCACATTGTTGCTTGTTTCCAAAACTCAACACTTGTGTAGTTGCTGAAAACATTTGACTGAGTTTATTGATAAGAAAAACATAATATGAAAAGCATAAAGACCATTACTAAAAACAGGATAATAAAAAACTTGGTGACACAGTTCTCCAGAGAGAAAAATTCAGATATTATATCATCTCTCTTTAACATGTCTTTCTGTCCAAAAGACTTGGTCCACTCCAACATTTAGGGACTTGTTTTTGCTGTTTTTGTAAAATAATTACAATTGCAGCTCCTGCCTGTAAATCTTCGTCGTCCACATTGTTTAGAAAGTACGAACAAACACTGCACTGATGTAGACACAACGTTTTCTGTTGCAACTCAACACAATGAAACATTCACCAGAATGTTTGCATAAACAAGTCGCAGCAACCAGCAACAAAATGTTCCTCTGTGCTTCTTAAGTGCGCACAAGGCTTTAAATACGAAAGTAGTTTACAAACCAGCCATTAAATCGTAAAACAGTCGAGGAATTCAATTTTTTTGAAACCCTCCCCTTTGATCGTTTTATTTGGAAAAAAAAGAAATGGTTATTATAAATATTAAAAATAATGTCAACGCAACATATGTAACGTTGCTCAACAACGAAACCTGAGCAGTCCTCGTTGCAATGGGAACGTATCCTTCCAGTTTCCTTAAATGGTCAAAACGAAAAGGACACATTTAGGTACGCGAAACAATACGAACGTCATAAATAATTATCCAATGCGTGTTACAAGTCAATACCCACAATCTCTAACCCACGTGTCGACGACGTGGGCGGGACCTATTTTTTTGACAATTTGGCGGACATAATGAAAAATAAAAAAGAGGCACAATTCCACAGCGAATGGAACAAAACGCTAACCAATTCGGAAGGGATCAATGCGAAAACGAAAAAGAATTGAAGGCGTGTACGTGATTCAACGCAAATAGGCAAACCGACGACATAAGGTCGGAGAATAACACCTAACCTAATTAAAATCGTCTAATTTTGACATTTTATGTAAGCAACTTTACCGATAAGATTACAATCTGGCAAATTCGTGCAAAAAGGCAGCGCATGTTAACGATGCTGCTGAACGTAAGTGACTTACCGAATTTCCTACGATTTCGAAAACTACGAGCGGATATAAAATGGCCGATTGCACACTAATAAACTACAATAAATAAATAAACTATATGAAGAACGTTTCAACAACACTTTTTGTCCAGCGATCACATCACATTATTGTATTTCGACGGCCGCTAAAACGATTTCTTCACGTTTTAGGTCGACCCGACAATTGCGGACGGTCGCCATGTTTCTTCTGTTCTGTTTAAAAATAGTCCGCGACATTGGAATGTAGTTATTTTTTATTTCTGTTCGCCAAGTTTTTCTTAACATTCTATTTTTTCGGTCTCGGGGGATCCGACGCGACAGGATAATAACAATTAAAGAAACTGTAAATATTCTTTCAAATTTTTTTGATATACCGAAAACCGCATAGGTATAGCAGGTATAGCAAATCGATTGACATTCTATCCTATTTTCAAGTCAAGACAAAATTCCACTTATATATAGACTCTTTATTTTGATTAAATTGAATTTTAACAAATCCCATAGAGCAGTGCATTTTTTACGCAGTTCATATATTATTATTATTATTATTATTATATCATTATTACATGATCTGGTCTATGTGTGAATGAAATGAAGTTCCTCTCAGTTGCAATTATGGTTTTTTTGGACTATGGCACTTCATATAACTTATGTGAGAACCTTTTGTGCGTAATAGCACAATTTGTTAAAAAAAATATGTTCAAATTTTTATACAATCCCTTATCAAATATTAAGCTTTTTTGTACATTCATAAAAAAAAATCTGTGCGTTTTATTTTTTTCTGTGGCTACTATGGGTAGTAGTGGTGCACGGTAGTAATACATTTACAAATGGCTTTATTACAACAGCTTTCGTCTGTTTGCTTATTGGTTTAAAATATAGATACAATAGGTTTAAAAGGACATATAACAAAAACATAAACATAAAATTACAAAACAGTGATTTACGTCAAATTCCTTTTTTTGGTTTTATGGTGATGGCCTAAGTCAAACTATAGGATATATTAAAAAAACACAATAATTAAAACGATAATACGATTTGAGTTGACGAATTTTATTGACCCTTTTTGTTTGGTTCTATTGTGCGCCGTGTTTTTCCCAGTTTTGACATTTTGACAGAAAGTGTCAGCGATTGTTTGTTGTGGTAAATGTCATATCCCTGTTTTATTCATTTTAAATTGAATTTATCAATTTTTAGTGCAAATAAATAAGCGTTAAACATATTAGCAATATTAATAAAGATTTTGTTTTTAATGGTGAACTAAACTCTATGTTGTCTGTTACGAAAGTGAGTCCAAGTAAAATTTATAATGAGTACTTTAAACAAATTATGAACAAGAACGGTAAAATATTGTAATTGTAATATTGCGATTGATTTTTTTTGTCGACATGAATTCCTCTTGCTGCGAACAAGCATTAATAAGGCATACATTTAATGTGAACGTAACCACTAGAAATAATAGGTAATGATTGTTATGGCTAAATGAAATCACAATAGGATAAAGGAATTTGGTACTATAATCGGCTTGCTCCAGCACTTAAAGAAAATGAACAATTACATGCAAAGATTGAGTTTGACAGCATGGCGACGAAAAAACACAATATTAGTGGTCGCTGCTCTGCTATCCTTAATCTTATTTGGATTACAATACTCAGTAATCGAAGAAAATAATTCAATAAACGAAGAACGGGACGCGAAAGTTGTCGAGGACGCTTTACTACACAGCATCAAAGTGAAATTTATTGAGGCTGCAAATTTAAACAGGCCAGCTTCAACCCAAACTAGCCAAATTCTAAAGTCCGAGCACCTTAATCAAAATAGTGTTCTCGACAGACAAACAGAAAAAGATTTTCAAGTAGTAGAATCGGAACAGCAGCTGGGCATTCCTTATATAAATATTGACACAAGAAACCCTTATGTTCCTAAGCAAAGACTAGTGCATTTCGATCTCAAAGGGGCGCCTCTGACACTTACCTACTTTAGAAAAGTCATTCCTCTGGTGAAACATGCAGGTGCTACGGGAATTTTGCTAGGTAAGCTTTATTTTCCATAAATCCTTTAAAAATCACTTATTTTTCTTTTAGAGTATGAAGATATGTTCCCCTATAAGGGAGTATTACAATCCCTTGCTGCTAAAAATGCGTATACTGTGGATCAAGTTAAAGAAATATTAAGGTTGATCGAGGATGCCAAAATGGATGTCATTCCTTTGGTTCAAACTTTTGGGCATATGGAGTTTGCTTTGAAACACATAGATTTTCAAAATATTCGCGAAGTACCTGGAAGTCCTCAATCTTTGTGCCCTAGTCGTAATTCTTCCTTAGATTTTATCAGAGAATTAGTTGAACAGGTAACGTGTAGACCTGTGTGGTCATTTTTTACAATTAAAGATGTTTTTGTCTGTGAGGTAAGCTAAATGTTAAAAAAACACATTTTCAGGTCCTTGATTTGCATCCCAAAATAAAATATCTTCATATTGGCTGTGACGAAGTGTTTGAAATGGGGGAATGTGAACTATGTCGGCTCGAAATGCATGAAACTTTGTTCCTAAGGCATGTTCAAAATGTAGCCAATATTGTTCGTGAAATAAAACCGGACTTGCAAGTAAATTTACATTGGTAATCCTGCAGTTTATGTGACATATATTCAATCATCAATACTCCTTAGGTCCTAATCATACATACCTTTTACTTTTTTAGTATTGATCAGAAATATATTTCAACATCTGTTTTTGCCTATAGCGTTTTTTCATATTTCATGCGTTAGACTATAGTTCGCCCCCATCTACCATTTAAACTGCGGAATTATTTTTATATTTTGAGAAAGCAGCATTTAGTTACATATTACATCTTAAAGGTCATTATATGGGACGATATGTTGAGGCATTTGTCTCAGCAGAGCATGCAGGCCATGAATTTGGGCAATTTGGTGGAGCCCATGATTTGGGTTTATGCGGAAGACATATACAGGTTTGTTCAGCCACCTGTATGGGACAAGTACAGTGCCATATTCAAAACTGCTTGGACGGCATCTGCTTTCAAAGGTTTGTTTTCATCAGTTTCTATTTGGTAAAATTTGGTCTGCTTCGTAAATTACGATGTTGTTCATTCTTGGACAAAATTATTCAATTTAGTAGCTGCGTTTGTTATTTGTAAATACATGAATTTGTTTTCTTAAAGGATTGTGAGGACTAGAAAGATTATTTTGTGATTTATCGGTGTGTCAATTTTAATTTGAGTCCTTTCATCAGATGCATTACCGACATGTTGAAAACTAAGTTACATTCTATTGATATTTCATTTCATGCCAATAATTAACCACCACATCAGAGATTGATCTTAAACAATTAAAAAGAAAATGAGTTTTAGTACGTAGTAAACAAAAAAAGCTACAAAAATGAAATGATAAAATAAAGGCACAGGTCAATAGAACCAAGAAGTAGGTTAATCGATTGTTTAAAGTTTAGACGAATCTGTGGTCGGTCAGGTGACTGAAAATCTGTTTCGCCTCCGATGCAAATTGTGGACGAACCATCTGTGTTCAGTATTTTTAAGTGTATTGTTAAAGTTATGTTGCTCATAAAATCTGGTACATATCAGTTAGTAAATTAAAGCCATCAGTATCTGTATTTATCAGGTACATTAAAGCCACAACGAACTAAAATAATTTGAGAATATAATAATAATAATAATATAATTTTACATCATCACTCGAAGCCACCGTTCGTAAAAATTGGGACCCAAGATCAACCAGCTATGAAACAAATTTTCAGAAGGTCCAACAAAAATGTGTATGCGCGAGATTTGAAATTTCGTTTTTAAGCAATGACCATGCCGCATTCAACAACCAACATGGCCGCTGACAGATTGTCAATAAGTTTGAATACCGCATTTTTACGGCAGTATTTTCTCAAAATTTTTTACCGCAAAATCATACAAGTACAAGTAAAAGTACAATAACATTTCATTAATTATTTTTTGACAGTTAGTTCTGAGTGAATTTGTTAATAAGGTTTAAAGAATATTTGCATATTCTTTGATGCCAGTCTTGGTCTTGAAAAATGCCGAATTCGCATTTCAGGGGCCTTCGGTGAAACCGTTTATATTCCGAACGCTAGAAGGCATCTCGAAAACAACCTTCACTGGCTGGACGTGATGGCAACTCAATCGGGCGTTTTTAAAAAGGGTATCTCGGGCATCGTTCTCACGGGTTGGCAGCGTTACGACCATTTTGCGGTACTCTGCGAGCTCCTACCCGCCTCATTACCATCGCTGGTTATCAATTTGATTACTGTCAGCCACGGCTTTTTCAACTCGTCGTTGAAAAACGAATTTTTAACGACGCTGAGTTGTCCGCAACCCCCTGCCGGACGCGCCGCCCCTTTTATTAACCTCGAAAGCGACCCCCACATGTGGGATAAATTGGCGAGGTGCATGTTTCCGGGTCATGGATTTTTTAAGTTCGTATTACATTCGAAAATGGACGTTGTGAAGTGGATGTTCGTCAAATTTGCCGTCAAAATGCCAACTGAAAATGCAGTTTGATAGTACTTAGAGGCATTTGAAATTGAGCTGCAGCTACAGTAAGGATAAGTTAATTCATTCGAATGTTATAAGTTTTATTCGGATGAGATAATCTCAAAAATCCGGATAATCAGCAGATTGTGGGGTTAGGTTATTTTGCAGTTGGTAACTTGTGAAGTTATTTTTTTGAGGTTGTTCACTACGGCTTTGTTTTCATTTGCATGCCAGAAAGTGCAGCAATTCGTTGCAACCTGGTTAAGAACAACATTGCAAAAGAACATGTTATAGTTTATAATTTTTAGAACTCTGCTTATTGTTAAACCTCCATATTCTCGTTGATATTAAGAGTTATCAAGATTTACAAATTAGTAATATAACCAAATAAGTAGGTACAATTATACTTAAAGATCACTGAAAAATGAATTTGATCAAAAACAATTTCGATTTTTTTTTTATCTGATAAGTATTATTTTAAGATGAAGCAGTGGCGTACTATTAAAAATCGAAATGATTCAATCAGTGTAAATTTTTGAATTTTGAATTTTCACAAAATATTGTATAATATAATTTGGTTAGTTGTAAAAATTTGTTTTATCTGCGATTTAAAATAAAAAAAAACTATCAGGTCTCTTGTAAAGCAAATTTTGAAATTATATGAAAATGATATTCAAGTAATGAAAGCATAGTTATATATGTCGTTTACATCCTTACATTGGCCTATTTCGACAAAATATATTTGGTTTAATATACACAGATATAATATACATCAAATTAACTTAATATTTTGTTTTTCTAATGACAACTTAGTGTAAATGTCACTTGAGAACATGCTGAAAATTGATAATATATGTTATTTTTATAAATAAATAAAAGAAAATAATTATGAATTTTGGCCCAAAAATTGACGAAAATCCACGAAACGAAGGAAGTTCCATGCCTTATTCATCCGCTTTAGGTTGACGTATCGGCTCAACAATCTCGAAAATGAAGCCCGCGAATATTTGGACACGACTACCAGACAGAGAGGTTGGATGACTGCTTACAATGCGAAACACAATTACAGTTTACCGCTGAGGGTGGAAGAGCTCACTGCCGATTTGCCGCGGGTGTATCACGGTACTGTGTCCTTGGCCAAGTAAGTGTTTTTTAATCTTTATTATAACTCATCAACTTCAATTTTTGGAGTTGCCATTGCTTGTTCATATCTTCCTTTTAAAATTCTTTCATGCAATTAGCAGTCGCCAGATTTATCGGAAATGACGTCACTTTTTTCAGTTACAGAATTAGGAAACTATATGCTATTTTAAATAAGTGAATACTTCTGACGTGGTCAGTATTATCCAAGTTATCGACGTAACACCATTGACGTCACTCTCGCTTTAAATTGAATGGAATATTCATTGTCATCATTAAATGTCAAAACAATCAAATGACAAATGGCAATTGTGCATTGTGACAGGTAGAGATCTGAGTTGCGGTTAAGATTGTTAGGTTGTTTATAGATTTCTATAGACCCTCGGATTTTTCTATAAGCAGCGTAAGCAATAGCGCTAACATCAATTAAACCATATTGAAAAGCTTTTGTTCCTAAATGTTCATCTTCGTGTTGGCGTTGCGTATGTTGAGGTTGATATGGGGAATGCTAATTATTACATAAAGAACTAAATTTGCTGCTTGAATTTGGTTATGATTAAAAAAAAGCCATTATACATTGAACTTAACCCGAAGTTGGAAAAAAAGGGATTCCTCGAGTGATTAACTTTTATATAGATCCGCTGCTGATCTTTTGGTGGGGATCGTGGACAACTATACGATATCCGAGTGGATCGAGCAAAGGATTTACCCGTACATAGTTGCACTGGAAAGCATACAGAATCAAAGCGCCGTGCTGAAAAACGTCAATCATTGGCCTTCTAGGCCTCTGCCCCCCCTAACGGATTTGCAGAGACATGGGATCTCGCTAGGATTTAACTAGGATCGGGAGTTTCAGACGATTATGACCGGTAGAACAAATTGTTTTTGTTTTTCAATGTTGCATAGAGAGACTTTTTATCAAGTTGCGAACGATAGTCGTTAGATCGTAGATATATATTGATATTATGTTGGAGAGAGGAAATTTATGTGGATGTATTGAAAGTATACGGTGCGTGTTTAAAGCATATAGCTATTAGACGAAATGGAATATAGAGGCCTTCTTGCTGTACTGATAACGCAGCTGCAAACATCAAAAAGTTCTGGATTTTAATGCAATCATTAACGCATTCAAGATGACCGCTCGTCGACGGTATTTTTTCAAAATATACCCAGATGCGCATTAAATTCAAAATGAAGTGTTTAAACATCGCTCTGTAAAAAATGACGAACCATGCAGCGTAGTGTGCGTGTGGATATGTGCGACCATATTACAGCATTTACGGCCTGTATATTTTCTACTAGCTGTGTGTTATAAAGTAACCCATCCCCATCATTTATTAGTTAGTTTTAACTATTCAGTTAAGTTTTATCGGACTTTTTTTTAAAGAACAAATGAAATGCGGATATGAGCTTTGAGTACCTTAAGTTAACACAAATGTCACAAAGGATTAGAGGGTACTTCCGAAAAGTAGATTTCAGTGTATTAGCATTTTTGTTAAGAACCTTTTGATCGCTTATTATTGATATTTTGAACGTCCGTTATTTAAGGGCTTTTCGTAGTTTTTTTTATTATGTGGACTGTTTATTCAGTGCGAATGTGGTCTAATTTTTTGACGTATTTATTCACACTATTCGATGTTCCCGCGACAATTTTTTCGATGCAGTATTAGACTAATTAGCCTGGGCAACATGCGAGTTCAATTATTTTACAAGAAATCACAATTTTTTTCGAATTATTTATTGTTTAGTGTCATCGAGACGGTAGTATTATTGTTTTTGGCTGTGTTGAACTTTTAATTTTTATGTAATTTTTTTTTTTATTTATAAATTGTATATACACGACATCAATAAACTCGAATGTGTTCTTTCTGCCTTGTGTGCCGATTTTCCACATGCTTTCCATCTCCCCGGTGAACATCTGGCATGTTAAACAAAAGAGGTGGCAATTCTTGCCTTCATGTAAAAAAAAACATGTTACATAATTTTTAAGTCACCGTAAAAGGAGCTTTCCTTTTATGAAATTAAATATAGGGCTTCCAATTTTAAAATATTTATACAACTATTGCATTAATTTTTTTTCTAAAATGAAAATGAAAAAAGTAGCTTAAATAAAGTGAACTTTTGTAACGCAACTAATATTTCATGAGTTAAACAGCATAAGTTGTCTAGGATTGCGCAATCTGATATTTTTTGTCACAGACAGTAATACACTAATTATGAAGACTTGGTAGGTAATCTTTTTTCTTAGTTTATACGCAGACTTTGCAGTCTATAACCTACTCTGTGGGAAAATAGGGAACTTGAACAACATTTTAATTTAAAAAACATTGCTTATAAAAGTTTATAGTATTAAAAGCACCACAGTTCACAACAAATAATAATTTCGTAGTTCTGTGTAACAAATATAAGTAACTAAAAATTGTAAAATTTGATTCCTCTTTGAAACGTCATTGTCATTGGCCGTGACCGGTTGTGACGTCAATTCGCTAGTAAGACTACGCGCAAGCGGCACGGTAGCGTAGAGAAGCCGTTAGAGAACGACAAAGCGTTCGTCTTAGTGGTTTTAATTTTAATTTCACTCTTGATCCTGTCGCTTGCTTTTGTTATCTTCTGTTTAGTATCAAAAAGAAACTTTTGAAAATGACCGAAGCCGGTATGTTTACATCATGTTATGTTGTTATTTTTTCTTTACTAATGGAAACCTAAATACTGATTTTAAAGTATGTTGCCATTGATAACTTAAAGTATTCTTTATTTTATATAGATCGCCAAGTCATTCCTATGGAGATATTTGCACGGTTAAAACTAAGGTGGCACCTGAACATAACGTTAACACGGCTTTTATTTTCATGTAGACGAATAAAAAGTTTATCTGGCGTTTTACGGATTGTTCTCAAACGCGATGGCACGATTTGTAATATTGTTTTTATATTGCGTCCATTATACAATACAATGTGGCGTAGACTAATTACAAACACACCTTTGCACGAGTCAAAAATAAACGTATATAACATAATTCTCGGCCTATAACCTAAGAATAACACTATAACATGTCGCCGTATCGATCGAAAAGCAGCGGTATGACGTCACGATCATTCCCACGCGTTTAGTATCGTTTAAAATGAGTAGGTAGGTGTTACAACTTGAATTAGTTATTCCACCTTAAATATTGGATTTTGAGTTTTGATATTTAGTATGCCTTATTTCCATACATAAAGCGATTTAAAAAAATGTTCAAGTTTCCTATTGCCTCAGCGTTTTTCTGTCTCATTAGGAGAGGCAAGCTTCACAAATTTAAACACGTTTTAAGTAAATTAATTTTATTTCATTTAAGTATAATAAGTAAAAAAAATCTAACTAACAAAATGCGCTTAAGATATGAATCCTGATTCGATTTGGTTAACTGTGGCGCCTATTTTCATCAAAAAATCGCCCAGTAGTTCTTTCGAGAACGCCTGCAAATAAACGGGAACGACACGGGTTGACAGTTTCGACTGGCTTTTTCGTCTTACCTTGTAAAGCTGATATTCTTTGGAGGCCAAAACGTCGACCAACTGCGAACACTCCTCCCGCATGTCCGATTCTACCAGAACCGAATACAGTAGCATCATAACCTCGGGAATCACTATCGATCTGAGATATTCGCCATCTTTGGCGCCCTCTAACCACCCTCCGGGAAACAGGAGGATGTTGTACAAGAGCGCTTTCGCAATTTTTGCCAATTGGGCCGTCGACAGTCTCCATCTAAAAAATAAGGTAACACCTAGATTCCAAACAAGGCGGACGCGTTTGAAAATATTCTACCGTTCCAGTTCCGCCATGTACTGAGAGATCTTGTGTTGGTGCGCCACCTTTTGCGCGAACTGCGCATGCACCGACAATGTCGCCGGTTCGATGGGTTTGTTTTTAAGATTTTTAAACCACTCGTTAAAGGCTTCGTGGGCTTCCAAGTAAGCCTTGTAGCTTTGGTGTTCTTTTATTATATTTTTAAAATCTTTATTCTTATCTGAAACTAGATTTAATAATAATTATAATAATAAACGTTGATCATCCCAATACGGACAAAAAAACATTTACAATAAATAAATTAAATCAAACAATGGAATAAATGGCCGCAGGTGCTGTTGCAGCCTTAAGAAAAATTATAAGAGAAAAGTAAAGTATTAAATGCAAACATTATAATGTCATTGACAATCATGAAATATAATTTCATAAATATGAGACAAAGCGATACGAAAAAGAGCGTTTAAAAAATTGAATTTGATATTTAATCACGATAAGAATATAATATCTTAGTCCAACATTACGTGGATGTACCTGGGAGCCCTAAATAATTTTCTTACGGTTATGACATGTACCTTCTTCGACAAAGACCAAAAGTTAAATTGCGCGAAAACGAGAGATTCACGTAACATTTTTTCGTGGCCATGATTTAGATGGTGCATATGCCAGTACAACATTTTCAGCGCTGAATTCGCCATCTTTAACACTAATGTGTTCGTTAAATCTCAATTTATGATCCAAGTCTTGAACAGTATTTTTAAGTAATATATCATTCTGGCTTAATTTAGGAGAAATGTCATTATAATTTCTGGACTGATTTATTCAGATTAATCTTGAAGTCAGTATTAATGGCAAAGACTATTTCAGACGGATCAAGCGAATAATAAATCTGGGGGACATCTGAATAACTGCAGTGTTTCAAGGATTTAGGAATTAGGAAGTATAATAATAGACCTCCGCAATGTACTACTTCAAGCGTCCACTTCTCTTTTGTTTTAATTTAATAATTAATATTAATAATAATAATGAAATGATCAACTAAAATGCTAACCAAAGGGCAATCTTCAACAACCCTAGAGCAAGCAACGGCATGTATATATAAAATTCCTAGAAACCTATAACCAACATAAACACCTCAAGTGTGAAAAATGCTTAGCATAACACCTTTTTTGGAACCGAGGATGGCACGGGGGTATTGTGATCGATGTAATTTATTTGAAATAGTTTAAAAACCTGGTTGTAAACTGGCCGCATTGCCTTATGAAGCGGTGGAAAATAAAGTGTAATAAAAAAAACACCTTTTTAAATAGTCAACTCACCTTTGATTTCCTCCAAGAAATCCTCTATCGAGTCGGATGGCAGCTTATTAAAAGCCATTTGGGCCGCGTCGACTTTGCCCAATGTTAAAAAACTAAAAATTATGGCGTTCGATTGGACGATCAGTTCTAGCCTTTGATCCTCATCAAACATCAGCCAATCCAAAGCGCATATCTTCAGTTTATCCGTCTCTGTTAGTCTTTGCTGTAGATTTCCGCGGGCATCGATTTCCTGGGGCAGATTTCGGATATTTTCGACGATCTGTTTCGTTATGGCGAAGACATCCAAGCCGCAACTCGACGCGTAATCTAACGCTTCTTTTCGTTCATTGTCGTCGAGGATATTTTGGCAATGTTCCGCGTAGATTTGGACTTGGTTGCCGGGACTCAACTTGCTGACGTAAAAGGCCACCATACGGGTTTCATTCATGTTCATTAAACGCCGTATATAACTAACAATCGAATAAATTATTGGAAACGGAAGAAAGTAGGAAATTTGTAACACTTGAAATACTTTCGCTCACCCCTTAATTACGTTCTCCACCTTATCTCTGCTGTGGTTTTCCTTGATGTGATCCAGGAATAACGCAAGATGAGCAGCGAACCTCAAAAATTGGGTTGACGCACTCTCGCACCATTCTTCAAGCTCACACAACAAACTATATATCTCGTCCAGTATGATATACTTTTGAATGACATGCTGAGGATGGCAAGATGCTTCTCTTATGACTGAGCTGTTTGAGGATTCGAGGTTCGCAAACACATCATTAAGTGACATTCTACAATGAGTGATAACAATGTACAGAGGAGAATACATTAGAGTTTAAAATAGAAAAAATAACAACATAGAAGTGTTTGGTAACCACAAAATTATTAATTAATTAAATAATAAATTAGAAGATAAAAGTGGCAGCCCCGTATCCCCGTCTACCTCCTCAACAACAGTTGTTGCCAAGCCAATGACCTAATCTTTTTCTAATTGATTCAGGTAGGAAGCTTATGAATTGAATGGTCTCTCCCTTGGTATAATGTTAATTATTGGCAACAGATTTTTTACCGTTGCGCCCAATATTCCTCCGGCAATGGTAAATAGGGATTATCCCTGGTGCAACAGTCCCTTACTTCAGATTCAACGCGAATATCAACCATCGATTTCATGTAAGCCCAGAGTCCGTCTTCCCAACTAGAGCAAGCTGCTAGCATCGCGTTTATACAGCCGCAAAATGAGCCTACTGATGCCTTTTCCAATGCACTTATATAATCCTTCAAAAAATTAATTACCATACAGACTCCTATTAACATAACTTTATATTTTATATTTACTTGTTTGCAATATCTGAGTGCCATGATCTTCCAAATATCCCTGCTGAGATTTCCTTCTATCTCCTTTAGTTCGTTGGAATCCATCTCTTCACAACCGTCACCAACATCGGAGCTTTGGTCAATTCCGTAGTTTTCCTTTATGTTGGGGTCGTGAAACAATCTCCACCCTTCAAAAATTGCCGCTTTCCAAGCGTGGCCACATTGCCGAGCCAACTAAAAGGGGCCAATTCTGATTTTTTACTTCCTATCTCAATGATAACATTACTTTTTGAGCTTCTTCAAGTTTTCCACATCTTATTTCCTGAAATATTTTCCTATTCAGTTTCTTTTCATCTTCTGTGTCCAAGTCATGCAAAGGTTTCCATTGGTAATGTACCGAATCAGGATCCAACTTGTCTACAACTTGGCGCGAACTTTGAAATGCTATTGTGTCAGCAGACTGTAACTGATGTAAGGTATTCTCCCAACCCACCGACGAATCAGAAAAATGCAACACTTGGTCATCCTTCTCGGCTGCCTGACATTCTAACCTTAAATTAATAATCCTTACCTTAAATGGTAATTAGTATTGGCGCAAGTAAGAGAGCTTGTAGCAAGCCGTAATGCCACTTTTAAAATAAGGGACCCTCAAACCCTCTTGCAGGGGGGAATGAAGGCAGTGGAATGTAAAAAATGGAATGAGTGTGTTGAACATGTGATTGAAATAAGAGAAAGAATTTAAGACCACACACCCAACCATAATATATATTAAGAAAAGAAATATAGGTAAATAAACTGCAACTTACCAGTCTATAACTAGCTGACACTCTCTCACTAAACTTTCTCTTTTAAACAGGCTTTCGACGCAATTTTTCTCTGACCTACCGAAATATGGAATTATTTCACCATTGCCTTCAACTGATTGGGATACTAAACGATCCTGATACAAAATAAACATTAGCCTCCATGTATCCCTTTCTTTTTCTAGCCATTCTTCTTCATCTACATTCATTATGGCAACTTTTTCTTTCATGCTACGTAACACATTAAGAGAATCCGAGCAGCACTTCCCTAATTCAGAAACAACTTCCAAAACATCGTTACTTCCTAAAATTTATAACTAGGGTCAGTGGGCTAAAGTTAAGTTTCTGAAACAGAATATACCCAAAGTTCCTTGTAAAATTTCAAAAAATTCCGTATACAGACTATCCACAGTAGTTTTCCATGGGGCATTTGCTTGAATAACCTCACCAGTAACCGTTTTATTATAAAATGTATCAAAGGTAGTGTCATTGGGTCTAAATTGGCTGGTTTGTAGCAGTTCCAATTCGTGTGAAGAAAATTTTATTGAAATATTGCTCACATTAAATTTTTTTGTTAACAGGCCTGTCCTAGCCGGTGACCTCACATCACCTAATACTTTTGCTGGCGTATGCAGTTGTTTTTCCATCTTCAGCACTACAGAAACTACATCTGATAAAAAAAATTGCTTTTAACCAATTTGAAAGCGGGAAAACTATAACCTAACATTTTCTTCTTTAAAATTTTGCGGTTACAGTCAAATGTCGAGTTTATTTAAGGATTTTATTTTGTGGTGAGCATTGCATTGGGAGGACGTTTGTTATCGGCTCCTCGCAGAATCCTCTGTTTTTTTGGTATAAACAATTTGATATCCGTTTAATTGTATTTGTTTAACTGTATAAGATAAACACGTGACTACGCTATGGAAGTTACGGACATCAGGATCCAGGTGGTGCCCCTTCCATAAAGAAACTCACTATGGCAGCTGTCTAACTCATCTTGAAAAGAGATGGAGAGATTTAATGATTTTATTAAATTTGCAAAATTTAAAACAAGCTCCAAACTAAAGCTACATTTAGAAATCTTTTTTATTAAAAATAATTTTTTCGCCAACCAACAACCGCTTATGCGGAATATCGTTTAAAAAAACGCCTTTAATTACAGAGAAAAAGTTCTACTTGCGTTGGGCTGAATTATTAAGATTATCCGTGCCGAGTGGAGATACGACAGAGAGAGGGAACATTTGCTTTTAATGTGATTAAAGGAGAGATTGGAGAGAATCTAAATAACAATTTTTGCAATTGATCTTATGTTTAAAAGAAGAAGATTGTTAAAGCACTAATTTTTGGTCGAATGTCTTGGGCGAATGATCCTGGTAGTCGTGCCTAACAGTTTTCTGTGAAACGCATCATTGAATTGAATTGGTCGAATGTCAAACATGGAAAAAAAACACATTTCACATTATGAGAGTGTTTTATCAATTTATTAAATTTCTCGGCATGCATAAAAATGTCCATAGAAATGGCAATTATTCCATCCTTTCGATAAAATACAAAATGTAATATCCTCTTATTCACGCTCACTTCTACACATTTATCTTTGCTTGAAAAGAAATGTCACTTTTTTGTCCTTTGCGGAAAGTTGGGGGGCAAATGCTGTAACACTGGAAAGGGGGCAATTTATTCATTTTTCTATCACTTGCGTAACTTAATTAACTCGACAAAATGCAGTCCACTCTATTGAGCATCGTCAGTCAATCGTTAAAAGTAAGTTTTAGAAATTGTTACTTGCCAGAAACATGGATTTACGTAATATAACCTCAATAGCTGCGAACTTTTGATTGGTAATCGGCAATTTTCTATCCTATAAGAAAAAGAGCTTCCGTTAAGCATCATTTTAACGCGTAGAATATTATTAATATGCGTTCGCTTGCAGCCATCGTCCTTGAAACTGCATCATAGTGTATCCACTGTGTTGTCCAATCGACTGTATTCCACCTCGCATGATGCCGACATTGTGGTGATAGGTTCCGGTCCGGGCGGTTATGTAGCTGCCATTAAAGCAGCCCAACTAGGAATGAAGGTAAAAAGCCTTAATTCTTTTTTAGTTAAATAGAATGACTCTGTTTTAAGACTGTATGTATAGAAAAAAATGCAACGCTAGGTGGAACCTGTTTAAATGTTGGTTGCATACCATCAAAAGCTTTGCTCAATAACTCCCATTACTATCATATGGCCCATTCTGGAGATCTTGCAAAAAGGGGCATTGAGAGTAAGAATCCCCTTTAAATCACAAATAGATTGGACAGAAAATATCGGATTTCAGGTGATAATATACGTTTAAATTTGCAATCACTCATGCAACAGAAAAGCAACGCGGTTTCCGCATTGACTGGGGGCATAGCTCAGTTATTTAAGAAAAACAAGGTAACCCTTGTTAGCGGGCATGGTAAAATCACTGGAATAAATCAAGTGACAGCTCTGAAAGACGACGGTTCTAGTGAAGTCGTGAATGCAAAAAACATTTTAATTGCCACCGGGTCCGAAGTTACCCCCTTTCCTGGAATCGAGGTATGTGTTATGGCCGAATTTGTTGTAGGTGCATTTAATATTTCATTTAGCTCAAAAAATAAATGTCGTAAAAACTAGGGATTTAAAAAACTTAAGCAAAAACTCTAGCAGCAAGGGAAAGTACTGAAAATTATTTTTAAGTTTCTAGAATGGCAGAATTTCCTTTTGATCGCTTTAGTAGTAAGTTTTCTGACTCCAAGTTTTTAGGACAATTACTTTTTGAGATATTGTCAAGTGTCCTTAATTATCAACTGGGTTCTTCTAGATTGATGAAGAGCAAATTGTATCATCAACCGGCGCTCTGGCGTTAAAAGAAGTGCCCAAACGTTTTATTGTGATTGGTGCAGGTGTTATCGGAGTAGAATTAGTAAGTGCATAAGTGCCAAACAAAGTTCCAAAATAGGCATGAATGATTTTTAGGGTTCCGTGTGGTCTAGGTTAGGATCGGAGGTAACCCTGATTGAATTTTTACCTTCGATCGGTGGTGTAGGCATTGACGGAGAAGTGTCAAAGTCGCTGCAAAAGATATTGACAAAGCAAGGTCTGAACTTCAAATTAGGCACCAAGGTAACTGGGGCGCAGAAGAGTGGCGGTGTGGTCCAAGTCAGCGTGGAAGACGTGAAAGATTCAAGCAAAACAGAAAATGTAAACGAATGATGGTGTTTTCTTTAAACAGTCACCATGATTGCTGGTTTCAGCTCGAGTGCGAAGTTCTTCTGGTTGCAGTAGGGAGGCGGCCTTACACTTATAATTTAGGTCTTGAGGAAATGGGCATTGAAAAAGACCAGCGGGGCAGGATACCAGTAAATTCTGTGTTTCAGACAGTCATTCCAAACATATACGCCATCGGTGATTGTATCCATGGTCCAATGTTGGCACACAAGGCTGAAGATGAAGGTTAGTGAATTTATAATTTGCTTGACAACCTTTTTACACGCCACTCGATGTGAGACAAAAAATATTGCTACCTAAATTTGTAGAAAAGAAAGTAAAATATAACAATTCAATATTATCAAACATCTGATTGCTATAATCAGACAAATGAAAGCAATGAAAACATTTTATTTTAACGTTTTTGACATTTAAAAAGCTAATAGTTTGTCTGAAAAAAATTAATAAAGGTTTTCTTGCCAAATTTTTAAAACAATGAAAATTATATTAAAAGTTATATTATATTAAAAGTTGATTATAATAAAAGTTAATAGATATGCTAGAATTAGGGACATGTTAAGCTGTATGTATCAACACTGATTATGGATAATCGTTTATATATAAAATGGTTGGGGAATTAACTTATCTAAATGAAATTGACACACATAATACAAGAACACCTAATAAAGATTGCTTGTTAACAAAATCATTATATTCTAAAGGTTTGAAATTATATAACTTATTGACATACGAGGAGGTACCCAAAAAAAACCGTAATCATTTTTTATAAACTATATATTGTTTTGAAAATCACAGAACGATCTTATCCCCTTCAAAATACTCCCCATTACAACTAATACATTTGTCCCAGCGGTGCCTCCACTGTTTGAAACATTTTTTATATTCATCTTTGGCTATAGCCGACAGCTCATCCGTCATTTTTTTCTTGACCTCTTCAATGTTGTCAAATCGCTGTCCTTTCATGTCCCTTTTCATACGTCGAAATAAGAACAAGTCACACGGAGCGAGATCAGGCGAGTAAGGTGCATGGGGCAGAGGAACCATGCCATTTTTAGCCAAAAACTGCTTAACAGAAATGGCTGTGTGTGCATTATCGTGGTGAAAGAACCAGTCCCCTGTCCGCCACAAATCGGGTCTTTTTTGTCGAATACTGTTGCGCAATCTTCTTAAAACTTCCAGGTAAAAAGCTTGATTAACGGTCTCACCACAACCTAGCGGCAGAAAGGTGTACTATACAAGCTCTGCGCGCGGCAATTCAATTCCGGTTTTTTATGGGTACCCCCTCTATTATGGTAAAAATTGAAGCCTCTAAGGGTATTCAAAAGAAGTCTAATAAAATAGACAAGTAAATTATCAGTAATATAGAAAAAGAGCTTGACTAAAATTTGTTTTATAAGTTTAATATATAAAACTTGTGATTTGTAAAGTTTGTAACAATTAGCTAATAAACGCGTCGTTCATTCATTCATTCATACATGAAATGTATCCCATAAATAAGTAAAACACAAAATTATTTTCTAATGTTGGCAGTCATGTTCATAGAGTAAATTTTTTTTGGCGGTTTATTGGCGCCAACTTGAACTGAACTGTCTTACTGCATATTATGTAATGATTTGTATTAGGTATTGTCTGCGTGGAGGGTATTTTGGGCGGTCCAGTACATATCGATTACAATTGCGTGCCATCAGTTATCTATACACATCCTGAAGTGGGCTGGGTCGGTAGGACGGAGGAGGACCTCAAGAGTGAAGGTACATTCATTTTTTTCGCGTACCGCTCTCATTATTCGTTTCGTGCCTTATTTTGCAGGAGTCGAATATAAAGTAGGCAAATTCCCGTACATGGCGAATTCGAGAGCAAAAACAAACAACGACACCGACGGCTTCGTCAAGGTGTTGTCAGACAAAGGGACTGATCGCATATTAGGTACTCATATCATCGGACCCGTGGCGGGGGAACTGATAAACGAAGCCGTTTTAGCTCAGGTACCGTCTCGATACGATTTTTTTAACTGCTTTGAAAGCCTCGTGTTTGTTAGGAATACGGCGCATCGGCGGAAGATGTCGCGCGAGTGTGCCACGCCCATCCGACATGCGCGGAAGCGTTGCGTGAGGCCAACCTGGCCGCCTACTTCGGGAAACCCATCAACTTTTAAAATAGGATCGCAATAACATGCCCGACCATCGCGTTTTTTTGTCGTTAACTGTACATATTTGTAAGTTTTTTTTGTTAGGTGGGAGATAGCTTCTCCAGACACGGTTCTAATTTATTATGTCATATTAAAGTATCTGTTGGTTTTGGTAGTTTTCTTTTTTTAGAAGAAAAATTTAAAAGTTTTTAGCAACTGTTATTAAAAAACATATGTCCATTCATGAAATTTAATAATTTAAACATGTTCTAAAAAAATTAAATAAAAAGCCATGTACACTATGTTATTTGCAATCAATTAATAAAATTTTGAATTGTTGAAAACATTTTCAAAAATAATCAGTGATTTAACAATAAAGGAAATCCCAATGTTTTTCTTCCAAATAAGCTCGATTTCTGCAATTTTCTGGTAGTTGTTCTCTTTCACAAAATTTTTATGCATTAGTTTCTTAAGACAACGAATTGGGTACATAATTACACCAATTTTTTGTTTTATTTTTCGAGAATTATCACATCTAAAATTGTTGCGGAACACTCAATTAAACTGATAAGAGGGAAGCGGCCTCGAAACGATGATACACAACTAAAATATTCCTAATGAAAGAGATTAATTTGTTTGGCGTTACAGTATGGAAGGAAGTAGAGGTAAACAATAATTGGAAAGCCACAATTCATAAGTTCAATAATATCGATCCTATATTTACATTCCTACAGGGAGGCATTTTTTAGAAGTGGTTCTGCAATTAAAAGCGTGGAAGTCTTTAGTCTTTGCTTGGGCTGCCCAACGACGCATATTTTCACTAACTCTAATTATTATGTGCAGCGTCCTTTTGTTACCTTTTGTGACAGCAGCAGCGATACTGCCTGTAGTGGTTATATTAAATGTCCTGGATTATTTAAAAGCAAAAGGTAAGAACAAAGAGTTTCTTGTAATTCCCACATTTGTGCTTTCTTTTAGGACTTCTTTCAATAATCTACATCATTTTTGGGCACGGAGTTGTGTTGGGATCCCTTACCCTCGTGTTATTTTGTATATCCTTTACCTTAGCAGTTTGCTGTGGATTAATTCAGTCTTATTACGTGTAATGTAGGATTTTAAGTTTTGCTAATTAGCATTTGACCATAAACAATTCATCTTAATTCGTCATTCATTTTGTACTTTTCAACTTGCTACATGAATATTACAGTTGTTCCACACACAATAAAGATAATTTTAATCACTTGCCATCACATAACATCTTCCATAATATCTCTGTAATTTCCTCTTGCGTCATTTTGGTTGTAGAGAATTTGAAGGTCTTCAATTGGCCACAATCCATTACTATACAGAATGTTAGGAAAAACTTTTGTTACTTTAAATACAGAACATTCTTCTTTGAAAAAGGATACAGCCAGCAACACTTGAACTGTTATACACAAAGTTCGTATTTGTAATCAGCTTGTAGGCCAAAACCATACACCTAAATCAAAAAATAGACTTCATCTATTTATAAGGTATGATATAAATATATATTTATATATACTTTTGCAAATCAAATCGTTTTTGCTTTTTACTAAGGCTTTCCAATTGCAATTCCATCTTTGAACTATATTCTGTCTTTTCCATCAGGTCTTTAGATTGTGTTTCCAATAACCTATTTAAATCATCCTAAAACTTTGATCCTAAGAAATTTGACAGTACTTAATTTAAATAAAACTCACGATTTTGAAGTTCTTAGAACACAAACGTTTTTCAATTTGGTCAATATCAATAAAAAGCAGACTTTTACCATGATCAATGGTGTCTATCAAATCAGTTGACAAACCTAAGGTAATACAAAAATCCAATAAGTTGAAATGGCAAAATACTATCAAATGTCTAGCAATTATACCTGCAACCTGAGATCGAATGTTAATATATTTCAAACAAAGCTTCTCCACATTGGCAAGTTTTTCAATTCCAGCGCTGGAACAGTCTTCAAAATTGCTTAAGACTATTTTTGATGTTTGCAACAGTTCCGCCGCTTGATATTCTTGACGCCTAGCACAAGAAAAAGTAACACTTTCAGACATAGCGATTATTAAATTAAAATTTAAACTTTTCTCTCAATCTGAAACCGTTATTAACTCAACATTTAAACTTCTGTCTTTGGCCAAGGTTCACGTCACGATAGTGAGTCCAAATCATAGTTACGAATTTGGTAAGTTCAAAGATATTAACTGTCTATTATTATACAAATTTTATCTGAACTTTCTCGTTGATACTGCTAAGGCGGCCCTTGATATTTTTCACTATTTTGTGGCTTTCTGTATCCTGTGATTTTGACAATGGGGGAATGATCGTAGTAATTTTACCTAACTTCTAGTGAAAGAAGAAGAAATATTCTAGTTAGTTCTGGAGGGTGTCAGAGTGGTGATTGGTCAAGATAGAATCAACAACCTCTCATGGCTAGATGAATGTCGGAAATGGGAGATTGATCTGGCTCAGGTTGGTGTGAAATGCAAAAGAAGAAGATTAACCATGGCGAATCTTGGTTAGTTTTAGCTGGTCTTAAGTCCTGCGGGGTGATTTGACTTTGTGAATTGGCTTGAATAGCAGGTTTTAATAAGGATTCTTTCCGTTTTGGTTAGTTTTTTGTTGTTGACATATCGATTCATGTAGCGGTTTAAAGAATCAAAGATTTTTTTAAATGTTATCATGTTATTAACTACCTGAATCAAAATTTCAACAACAAAACTTACCAAAACAGAAATATGTAACTGTCAATGGTACAATTTCACTAATCCAATCGAAACTCAAATCAGGCTGTCCTGCGTTCTTGTCTACAAAGTTTACATAAATAATTCAAATGAAAATGAAACTGTCTCTGTAACTTGTAACTTAAAATTTTAAAATATTTTTTTTTTGTTAAATTCAATGTCGAAACTTGTATTTATGCGACCACAAAACCCTTGTGTCATTTTATTGGTTATTGAAGTTTATTTTAAATTGGCTTTACGTTTCTTTGGTTATTTAAAAGAAAAAAAATGTGTTATCGTAATGGAAAAAGTGTTTGATGAAGATACCGAAGGGTACTGGCGTGAATCATAATCTTAACCTTGTAAAAAAATATTTTTTTTGGGCGATATTTTTCATAATCAACTCCTCAATGAGGTTCCATACAGACCTCCTTATAAGTTAGAAATAGCGTTTCGGATCTAAAACATTCTACATGTTAGGAAAAGGAAACTATTAGAAGAAGTTAAATGTTTGACTGGAGTCCGTCGTTGCAGAGTTGTACTCTCTCTCCCGTGTACGTATTTTTCTTCTCTTCTCTTCTCTATCCACTCACCAACCAAATAACGGAAACTAACCAAAACTAACCAAGTACTTGCTTATTTATACACAATTAAATTGATATTCAAAAAATTACCGTCAATCACCGACTCAAATATGTAAGGCCATAGAAACAATTAGATGTTTATTAGAATAAACAACAAAGAAACTACTCCAATGAAAAACTTTTAAAAGGTAACATTCACTACACTAAAAATTAAAGCGAATTTTTTCAATTCCCAATCAAGAATATTTACTATTTCAGAACTTATCCGATTGCCACTGACAATTAACAACACCGCCCACGCTTTAAGTTTTAGTAACGGGAAATTAAGGAATAAAGTAAAACAACGGCAAAATGACAAACTCTAATGACATCGGTAAAAACAAGATTAGCAAAATTTAAACGTCGCTCCACTGTTGTCGAGCGCAGGCGCCAAGCCCCGACAACGCAATGTCTCAGGTGTACGTAGCGCGCTTTGTTGCCGTGCGTATTCGCAATTCGCGTCGGGCTTCGCGCGACCGCCACCAGACGGCGCGGCAGGTAAAAATTCAAACAATGAAACAACAGGTAATCGCTGGCGTACCCTCGCCACCTGCTTGATTCCCACTCTTGCGTCTCGATCGAGTCTGTGTGCGATCTCTATGCGAGCCGCGTGTAGCGCAAATGACTCAGTTCGTCATTAGTATATCTCGGCGTCGTTGTCGGTAAATAATGTCAGCTGTTCGTCGCTAAACGGCCGGCTCGCGCGTAACAACAAAACCATGACGCCGCAGTGCAATCCGGTCTTGCACTACACGAAGCAGCCGTTGATCAGTCAAAACAATACCCAAGTAACGTTTTTTAACGGGACCGCGAAAAAATCGCAGGAAGCTGGTAGCAGGGGCAGGAAGAAACACAGACCGCGGAAGGACAAGATCAAGTGCGTGATCGTGGGCGACAGGGCTGTCGGGAAAACTTCGCTCGCAGTTTCCTACAGCAACGACAGTTTCCCCAGCGAGTATCAACCGACGGCCTACGATAATTACAACGGTGAGCGACGATACGATTACGAATAACGTTAATTTCGAAAATTGAAACGCGGAAACGGTTAATAAGCCGCGAGTTGTCGGTGCGAATTTTCGTACATTGTTGTACGGGGGCGACTCGAAAAGTTATTGTCTGCGATCCAAATCAGAGTAATATAACGAGTGTTTGAAATTCAACTTTCGACGTTATTGGGGCGCTCGTGTTGAGACCTCGAGTACGAAATACGGCGCGGCTCAAATTAGGGCAAAGTGTCTTATCGCCGAGCCTGATATTCCGCAAAAAAAAAGTTTATCTTTGGTACTTATAGAAATATGACTGCGAAACTGACATTTCCATTGTTCCGAGTTTATTTTAAAATTTATGCTGGAACTTTTTAAACTTTATCTTTTCAAAATCAAAAATTTTGCACGACGTTTTTTCTGAACAATTTTGAAAAACCTTTGCTATTTCCTTTGCAAGTATACAATGCCACCCTTGCAGCTTGAAAAATAATTTGTAAATTCGTATTTACATAAATAGCCGAAGCGCAATTACAATATGCATTAAAACTCGACTCACAATTAAAACAAAAGAGATTTATTAAAAATGATTACTAAAGTCCACAGCAATTAACACAATTAAATAAATAATGGTGATCAGCAACAGGTTAGTACAAAGAAATTCGAGAGAAATGAACAATAGTATTTTCCAGCTGAAATTATTATTGACTTTATTCAATTAATCAATTTGCCTTGGCTCTCCAGCATACATGTTACGTTTGTTATGGTAAGTGCATCAAATATGACATGCGTGGCGCATACATACGAATTTCTGGGCATATTCTCGTCATGCTTTAAAGATTACGCGCATACAATAACTGAAGATGGTGCATATTGTGTTTTGATTTTATGTGCATACGTCAATTATTACCAGTTATGCTTTAAAGTTTATCTGCAAACAACAATTAGTAGTATGTCAATTATGCTTTGCATTTAGGTGCATAGTACAGTCTTTATATTTCCAATTGTACCTGTATATACCCTATCTTTGTGATTCGGAACCATAATATCTGTCAAATCTGCATGTTTTTTTTTAACTGTGTGAGCAAACTTTTGTATTTTGGATTAAAAAATATAATGTTGTGGACACTTTCAAGAACCCGTTTGGGATATACTTACTTACAAGACAATGCTTGACGGGCATATCGAATTAATTTAGCATCTTTGTGCGATGCAATATCGGTTTACCACGTCAACGTCGTTTTGCGCTCAATTTTTCAAAAACTTATCCTCAAAAAAAAAACCGTTTTCCCAATTGTATCTGTGGGATAGAAAGAAAGTCACAGAAGTACAGGTGGATGCCTCCATTGGTACTGAACGGTTTAAAATATTTGATTAATATAAATTAAACACTTTTCCTCATAGCGAATGAAGTATTCTGCAACTAATTTTAAATATAATGAACTACAGCTGATATTGAACCATAGAGAACCAAACATATATTTTGATCTTCTAGTGTGTTTCCTAATATCTATTCCAGAAAGGTCTAACTACAGAGTGGTCCAACGAAAACTCAGGTATCGTTCATTGTCTGGCATTATTTTATTTCAATTTTTTTTAGTGCCACCGACTTAATTATCCATGTGCGACCACTTTGTGCTAAAATCGTCCCGATATGAAACATTTAAAAAGGAGAGAATTTTATTTTAACAAAAAAACAGTTACATACATAGTACGAGAATAGTATATTATGCAACAAGTCCGGTAATGGTATATTATGCGGTAAACGGCGTTTGATTCACAAGTTTATTTAATTTAATAACCTACCTACTCTACCTTATTCACCACAGCAAGTGCTCGGTAATTGTTAGGGTTATTTCTGTATCCCGTCTTGTGAAGTACGTAAGTAAGGTATTAGAAAACAGGGAGCTAAGTTGTAAGAGCCAGTTTAGTGGCAGCAACGTGGCAATAACAATATGTATATGGGTCTTGATGAATATGTTGTACACTGTAATTTGAATTTATAAAAATAGCGTTATCGCGCGAGCAGAGATAACGGGCAGATACGACAGGCGTTAAAGGGAACGCTAGTCTCGTAAAAAATCGTATTGGCCGTGACGCGTTTGAAATAAACAAAAACACGTCGGTGGATCGAGCCTTGATCGCCATTGATGCTTGTTTTCTAATAAAAAAAAACATGGCGATTTGTTGCGATCTCTGTTATAGAACAACGGAAAAAATTATCGAAAATTGAAAACAAAAATGGACTAAAACTGAAAAATTTAAAATAAACCCTGAACAATATTTTACGAATTAGTCTTCAATAGAAGACTGTTTTTTATACCCAACCTGTTTTTATTTATTTTTTTTAATGGGGAAATGCATGGTGGATTTTGGGTTGCAAATTCTATTTAGAATGAGACGGGTGGTAATTGAGATTGTTTTTTTTTGTCCTTACATTAATACTAATGGCAAATAACTACAGCAAAAGATTGTTTATATTTATTTCGCACCTTTTCTACCTGTTTTTTGAAGACGAATGGTTTGTGTATGTAAAAGACGTAATAGATAATTTCATTTTTAGAGAATAAAAAAAAAATAAAAAATCGTAGTTAGTACATATTTAGGAAAATACGTGTGTATTGCAAGTAAGTAAATAATACTCCTGAAGAAATTGTAATATTAAATGAGTTATCCTTAATATAAACTCTGCCTTACATATTATATACTTTTTTTAAATTTAGATTCACCCTTGATTAGTGTCTGCTAGGTGTCTGCATTTTGATTAGGATGTTTGTTACGCCTAACATTAGTACCTCTAAGAAATGTAAAATGAGAGTTGTATGTTTGGCACAACAATAAATTTACTCATTATTATTATATATATTTTATTATTATATATTTGAAAAACGTTGAAAATATTGAAATATTACGCATTTCCAAGTACCTTCATTTAAATTCGCTTTTTCATAAGTGAATAAACAATTTATTTTATATAAACATATATATTCTTTGATGGTCAAATAATATTGTGTAAATAATGTCGGTATATATATATATATATATATATATATATATATATATATATATATATATATATATATATATATATATATATATATATATATATATATATATATATATATATATATATATATATATATATATATATATATATATATATATATATATATATATATATATATATATATATATATATATATATATATATATATATATATATATATATATATATATATATATATATATATATATATATTCTCACGTATTGATTCACGGATGGAAAAATATGATGACACTATATTCCGGGATATCATCCGTTCGCTCGTTGAACTCCGACTGGAATCCTGCATCCGACTGGAATCCAATCTCCTAAATCCAAGACACTATCGTATATTAGAAAACAATATTTTGGTATTCCTTAGTTTTATGGAGGTATAAAAGAAAATACTGCAGCGAAACACCCTGTATACTAATTTATATAATATAAATTAATCATAAATCACCCAATCTCTACCTTTCTCTACAATTTCAAGTTGATGAAGACTCTAATGTCACTTTTTTTGGTTTAATCGTGTATTATTATTATTATTTTCCTTTCTGCGTTTCTTTCGTTTGCCATTGAAAATTATTACGTATTGTACAAGTTATAGTTTTTTTGTCGTAATCTCCCATGCGATGCCGTTTCCACTACTTTCGGTGTTTTTTTTTACGCCCTTTCATCTTAGCTAAAAATATTTATATCATTATATCTTCATTCATATCTTTAAAACTAAACGAAGTTCGTCGAAATTGGATTATCCGAAAAAAAGTTATTCAACTTTTTCTAAACCATCATTTGACCCTTCCCCCACCCTAAATTTGACTAAATAGAAAAAAATAGTTCAAACAAAACAGTTTTCTTATCTAGAGTAGTAGAGCTAATTTTGATATGGGTTAATTTGGAATATTTTTGAGAAAACCCGTTTTTTCTATTTTACAATAGAGGTTACGCCCTTTGGCGGCCATTTTATGAACTTGAGAATAATTTCCAGCTTTTTCTCTTAGCTATAATTTTGTTTTCTAAGTTGTAGGACTAAGGGTTCCTGAGATATGGCCGACTTCTTTTATTAATGGGCCACCTCGTACAATTTTATAAATTTAAAATTTCAATGAAACTTCCACGTTTACATTCCGGCGATCCCGTATAACATTCTAAAAACTTCCCACAGGATGATACAGCGCATTCCGAAAGGGTGCATTTCATTTCGCACGGGCAAACAAGGGGGGTACATTTTAAGGGTAATCTTAAACGAATTTGGAAAATTTGGTGGTTACCGTCGAATCGTGCCGGTGCATAATTTCGCGCGTAAAATTGATGGCGTCCTGCATACAACGTGGGGCGCCGTAGGATTTCGATAAATCTTAAACGATCCGCACCCCACTTGTATAAAAGTTAAAAAGTTACGAACTCTCAAAGTGTTATTTAACTACAATCCCTTCTGTCGGGGCGCATCTTTCCACGGCATCAGTTTTGGTTAGTTTGTAAGCATATTTTTGTATGTCCAGTTGTAACTTTTCTTTTTTTCGTTTTTCCCTGTAGAAACACTGACCCTTCCATCGGCCGAGTTACTGCAATCGTGTTTAATTAGCACCGCCAAGGTGTTTAACCTTGCTGGCCGTTTGACCCGAGTCTGCCAATTTGTAAAACTTGGCCGTCACAGGCGCCTTCGATTATTAAAGAAATTAAGACCGTTCAACGGGCGCTTCATTGTCTCAATTCCCAGGCCCGTGTCGTCACTTGGCTATGCGTTAAAATTAAGTCATTTTTAAAACGGGTCATATCATTTCTTAAATTAGATTAAATTTTAAATAAACTCACCTTAAAACGTCGACTCGCACTTTCAGTTGTTCATTGTTTACGGCGTGCATCATAATATCCGATGCAACGGCATTTATCTCAGCCATACATGTTTCGGTGTTATTTAAAAAAGTGGATCTTTGCAAATCGGTGCTTAAGTTCTT